CCCGCTTTGCTGCACTTCCACACAATCTCCGATTCTCCGTGAGCTCCGGGGTCACGGTGCCAGTACCTAAAGCTTCAATGCTATGCGTAAACCCCATCTTTAAGTACTTCCAGCCTTTTCATGTGCTATCAAAAGTCTCGAGTTCTTTTCCCTTTTCAGCCATACTTGCAGCGCCAGTTTTATCTATGCACCCCTGCAATTCCCCCTGCAATTTCCCCATTTATCCGGCAAACGGTACTTAGGTCAACCCCATTGACTATGCACGATGACCGGGTAAGATAATTTGCAAGGTACCGGGAACGGCAGGGGACCATGGAGGGGTATGCAAGTTTTGAGACCCCAAAGCGGATAGGCAAATGGGGCCCAGAGAATAAGGGCGAGTTAGGGCTTCTCCCCGGGGCTAAAGGCCCGAGGTAGTGGATCGAATAGACGGGACCTCGGGCCCATCGGTCGAACCGGAGGAACCTTGGGACATCTGGGCCTGGATCTTTGTAATCACAGTACCATGGATACCTGTAGATTCTACCAAGATCTAACACATTTCCATGAGTCAAACTCTGAGTACTCAATTCGCGAAGTATATGCATGTATAATTTGCCCCTAGACACGCCATTTATTGTATTTCGGGAAATGCGCCGACTATCTTAGGTTTTCTTCCGCACTAGGGGCCTGCGCGTTTTCATCCGGCATGGACCGCATTTAATCCAGGCCATTGCGTTGTCCTTTGTTCATTCGTCCAACTGTCTTGGCTGTTTTGTGATTAAACAGAATTGTGATGTAGTCTGTCTTGGATGAGCTTGTATGCCGTGTCGGGCGCTTATTGGGAAGGAAAACGAGGCAATACCAAGCTCTGATATGACACCCTATTTAGAACTACAAATACCTTTACTGATAGCATATTGTATTCTAATTATGCCATCACTGAAGATTATGAAGGTATGTCGGCGGCTGAATCGGGCAAGTGGCACGGATGATGATCTATTAGAGATAACTTATGCGGACGTTATTTTATTCAATAGTTTCGCCGTTGATTTGCTCGTTTTCGTCTTGCGACAATAATACCATGCCTGTGATCATGTTATATTGTTTCTATATGTACCTGATAACGAACTTAGATGACGAAGGCCCCTGCGTACGCTATTTTCAAAGCCTGCATGGTAAGGGTTGGACCTCTTGAGCTAATATGGTCTGGTGCTTTCACATGTCCCCAACCTTTTACTCTACTTGTAGAAATGTACACTGGGGCCTCGGAATGTTGAATCGCATTTCTGTCTCGACACGAGTTTAGACATTTTGTTGCCGTCTTTCCCGGTGAGTGCTCTTTTTGTCTGGTGCCAAGACAAATTTTGGTATATGCAATCTACGACTGGGGTATATGACCCAATGCCGGTGTGCCCTAGCTCAACAACCGCGGCGCTAAGGGCCACTGAGGAGGCTAGTGCTTAGAGCCGGCGTTGGACACTTATTATCGTTCTGAGCCACCAACAGGGACCCCATGCTTCGGGAAATTGCTCATCCCAGATTTCTGTGGGCTATTGTTGGTCTCTATAATATCCGCCCATTCAACCTAGCTGGATATGGTTCAGGGGTGCGCCCACTTGTTTATCAGTTATTTGCTTTGGTAGTTTGCTAGATATTGTGGCGTCAATTAAATAAATGGGGAGGGAAATCTTGCGATTCGTTAGTGTAGTTATCATACGATCTTCTGAACCGGGCTTATTGGATATTCCAACAAGCTGTACATTTAATTCAGGGAAAATGTGCAATGTTTGGCTTCGGGATTTGATTTGTCTTTTCGCTTGCGTGTTCGGATGGCTTGTATCAGTGCAAATTAAAGGATCTCCAACGATACTCCCAGTGAATCAAGGCAACAGTGAAGATAGAGGATAAAGAACCTTGAGGATTCAGATAGGGACAAAGTGGAGTGTACTTTTGGCCAGCTCAAACTACAAAACGACCCCCACTTAAGGCCCCAGTTTCAGCTACACTTGCAGCTTGGCATATAAATTGCCAACTCCACGTTCTGTACCTTTCCCATTACACGTAGATCTGATTTGTTCTTGGATCTGACAACCTTATTTAGGCAACATCGAAAGCTACAGCCACTTTCAACAAAGTATGTTTCAACCACAACTCTTGACAAAGCACATTCACACCACGTCCCCAGATATAACATGGTTCCAGCGCAACAGTTTGCCGCAAATCCAGTTTTCGGGTGGAGTCCCGAAGCCACAACCGTTTACCCACCTTCCCAAGAGGGCCAGTTGTACGTTACCTTGAACTGGACAGCAAATCAAAATATATGAAGGGACCGATCGTCAGTGCGAGCACATGCCGGTATATTCCTGATCGAGAGGTCTCGTAGCCCGACAGCAGTTGTATGCGAAAATGTCTATCAATTGTCATGTCCAGTACGGCGATGGGCCCGCACCCATCTGCCTTGGAATTTACATGACATTTAACATTTAATTGCCGTGTTCGTATAACTGGACTTGGACAAACAGTGTAGATCATTTCATCATTTGCCAAGTCTCAAGTCGATCTTTTTGAATTCTGATTTTAGCCGAGTATCAAGTGTCCTCTACCATACGTATAGTCTAGTGCTTTGGGTCCCCCACTTGCCTCCTCCACTCTCACCACAATCTAGGAAGGGTCTATCCCGTGTCTTCGTCACATCACATCACATCCAAATTACCTGTACGTGTTCTACACGGAGTAGCAGCCCGACGATCGCATCCCTTTTTAGAACCTCGCTTCGCGAGGTGGGCACCGTTGAGGTTTATGCAGGGGTTTCTGTGTCGTTTGTTGGCGTGGGGGGGGGGTTTCCCCGTGGGATATGATGTGGCATCTTGGATCTGTATCATTTTTTGTACCTCGGGTTGGTTGAGCGGGTAATTGCAGGGTTTGTGGAGAACGCTAGTGGAGAGACTACTGTAGACACTACTGAGTAGTGCCGTTGGGATTGTTTGTCTGTGATGAGTCGATATAATGACATATTATATGACAGGGGTCCCAGCTATGTGTACAGTGTCACCGATGAAGTATTTGATAGTCTCTACCCGAAAACCTCAAAGCGAGTCTTTATATAATATTTTCACCAGGCACTAATATCTCCTATTTTGTCACTTTTTGCCAATCTTCGAAGGCCTGGGGTTAATCATAGATCTTGTATAAAGATGAAGATATGAAAAACAGCTATGACGTGTGACTATAAGCGCAAACGACTTAAGATTATCTAAAGACACACAATAGATAACAGACAATTCTTCCACCCAGGATATCACAAAGACAAATGAAGAACTACCAGAGAAACAAATTGAACAGGATACAAAACAGACGCAGACATACAAACAAAGCAGAACTCCCCCCACATATAATCTCCCTAAAACCTCACTTCAGGCCTCATAAAAATTGCTTTCTGCACAAAAGGCGGCGGAAGCGGACTATACCGAGTGGGACTCTGCTTCCTAGAGCCCTTCAGCAGAGAAGGGAATGACGAAGAGGAAGCGGGCAGATCAGTCAAACTGAGAACAGAAGAAGCCCTCTTCCGATCAAAAATTTGGCTTTTTCGACTTCCATTGGATGTGGATATTGAGACTGATGATGCTGGAGTATGGGTTGGCGTTTGTTGATAAGAGACTGTTATTAGACTGGTGAGGTAGTGGAATGTTTCTTCTTCGGCTGGTTCGATTCCGCCTTCCTCGGTGAAATGTGTAGAGGGTTCTTCATTTTGAGGCTCCGTGTTGGTGTTGTTGCTTACTCTAACTGCCAGGGCAGCTACTTGATTGACCAGTATTTCTGTTTCGGGTGGTTTGTAATGACACGATACAGGGTGGGAAGTGAATGTGACATTTGGTGGCCTGAGCCTAGGGTACCGGTCTTGGTCTTCGAGACTTGAATCACTGTTCTCATCAAGCATTGATGCCGAACCGAGTTCTTTCTCAGAACTCGATCTCTTTCGAAACCACAACTTTCGCAAAAGGAAGGACATGATGATACAAAGGCTGACAGAAACAATAAAATTTAGCGCAAATAGCAATGTCAAAACCAAGGTCCTCACTTACGACTTGATTCAATGCAAATAACACCCTCGGTGAGGATGATCATACAATGATAACGAATCCCTCGAGTCCAACTATATATCTTAGACCAACTGGGCAAAAACTTGATCCTAAACCAAACCTGCAACCCAAACAAGCAAGAACCCGTCAAACACCGGACAGATGTTTAAATCGAACCGGGTCTGAAACACCAACCCAACATGCATATAGTATACACCTTAAATTTCCGGGATTAATGCCCTGACTGTTGCATAACTCTACACAAACTAGGAACAGGGACCGAAATAAGAAAGGCAAGAACCCAGCCCACGACCTCCTACTTCCTCTATCACCAAGCCGGAAGAGTGCATGCAAGTCTCCTAATGAATATCTGAGATCCCCAGTGAAGAAATTTCCAAAAATACCCTAGAGCTGTTAGACTAGGAAGTTACTTGTAAAAGGATAGATCCGAAACGAGGATTACAAGCAAACGGAGAAGCTAAACAAGAAGTGGAAACATCCCCTCGGATTCTTTGTCCAAAGATCCTAGCATAGATTGGGTTCGATTAGGTTTAGGCTACTGTTTAGCCGTTTGTGGAGCAGGAGATTGGAATGGGTGGATCGGATCGGAGTGTTGGGGCTAGTTTGGAATTGGACTAGGGTTTTCTTCACTTTCGGGGATTTGGTTTTCAGAGCTAGGATTGTGGTTTTGACCATGATTCTAATCATGATCTGGACTTTGGGTTCTGAGTTGGGTTGTAAATTGAGGAATATAGGTCTCTTCTTTGTCTCTATAGGAGGCTATGGGCTATAGGGTATACATTATGTTGTCTTGATCAGATAATCGTGCTCTATGTTTGTTGATGGTCAAAGTCAGCTAAAAACTGTAAATCGAGCATGTACTGTATTTGTACATATGCATAGCTTCCATGGATATATAGCAATATAAACCAGACCAAATTACCCAGTTTTCGGATCTCGAACCATGCAGTACAACTGGACAAAGATTAGCTAACATCCCAACATCCCAAAACCCATACCAGAAAGAAAGAAATGCAACATACCATGCAAGCATCCCCCCCATCCCGACACTCCATAGTCAAACCCATCTCAAATCCCAATTTCCGATAAATAGCAACATTAGGCACATCCTTGGAACTCTCTAGATAACACCTCCTCCCCTCCTCATCCGCGCGCTTCGTAACAGCCTCAAAAAGCAATCTTCCAACACCCCTCCCTTGCGCAGACGGAGAAACAGCAACAATATTACAGAAATAGTAACCCTGCAGATCCGTCCAGAGCTGCTGCTGCGCTTCTGCCTGGCGTTCTTTCCAGATCCAGTACCTATTCGTACGGAGTCCGCCGCGGCCGAGGTAGCGGATGTTGTTTGTTATTTGGGTTAGGGTCAATTTCCAGGACGAGAGGTAGCTGGACCAGGTTTCTGGAGTTTGGGGTGGGTTTGGGGGGAGCCAGCAGGATACGCCAAGGATTTTGGAGTTGGAATCCAGGTCATTGGTGAGGGATGTTTTTGTTTCTTTGGCGACTTGGAAGATGGCATTTTTTATTCCCCAGTGGCATCTTGCTGCGAGGGAATCGCTGTTTCTTGCTTTGTTGAACTGGTATTTGGGTTCTCTGTAACACGGAGACCGTGTTACGGGGAGAGGGGTGTTAGTGCTTGTGTTGTTCAATCTGGAGTATTTCACGAATATGGATATATATATATATATACATGCATTTGAAGGAATGCAATACTGCATTCCCATTTCCCCTACTGCGGGATAATAACATACCTTATCTTCATCAAAGACCCACTTGAAGTACGGATCGTCGGCGAAAGCTTGCTGGATAACCTCGATGGCACCGGGAATATCTGCTTCTGTGAGATTGACGACTTCAATGGCCATATTGAGAGGTTCAATTCAGCGATGTAGAGGGAATGTGGAAGCCTGATTATGATTTGGATAGGATAGGATGTCGGCAAGTATTGAGATTGGCGGATATCGCTACGGGAAGATATGCCCCGCTGTGTCAATGATAAGAGTTCTCTCAGGGCAACAGAGCCAGGTTGGACTGGACATGTTAGTTTTTATTTGTGTTTTGGTTTATTGGGATTGTATAGGTCTGTGACACACCCTGATGATTGGAATAGAGGCTTGAACCAATGGCCTGGGTGTTGGGTTATGGACTATGTATGCAGGTAGTCTGGGGTCTGGATTGAAGATCGTGTTCAAAAGACAGTATTCAAGTGAGAGAATACAAGAGGGAACAAAGAGAGAGAGAGAGAGAGAGAGAGAGGAAGTAGAGCAGAATGAATAGAAAAGAAGCCCCGAGAAGAAGTGTGGGGAGATCTAAACCGGGGAAGGCAGTTGGATGCGTCTGCTGACACATCTATCTACATCCAACTATAACTACATGTATACTTACTATTTAATATGCACGATTGTGGTGAGCCGAAAATATATAATTGTACGCCTTTTGTCCGCATGAATATCAACAACTCAAGCAACCAGTAATTCCAAAAACCCAAACCTAAACCACAGGCACAGATCTATAGATGAGATCGCTGACAATGCCCTCCAGACACCAATAAAACAGAAAAGACTAGACTAGGGATCCAATCCAAGTCGGATATGGACAAAACGAACAGAACATAACTTCATTCAGACATCGTGACAGTTTTGATGGAAACCAGATCACCGGGGTGCTGGTGTAATGTAAAACATTATTGACTGGGCCAAGTATCCAGTCTAAGACCCGAAGTCCAGACAGATCCAAAGATCAAGTGGGGGTGCAAATCCATTACTGGAAGTAATCCTCGATACGCACCCATTCACGTGGGACATCCATACTGCGATTAACACGACCACCGGGTGTGAGTGGGACATCGACACGGCCGCGGCCCCGGTCATCATCCTCGTGCTCCTCGTAAAAGGATAACCGTGAGAAGTAATCTTCAAGCACGCTTTCGCGATCCCCATCGCCGACGATAGTAGTGTATTCCGGCGGGGGAGTGACAAGTGGTGGCGGCGGAGGCACATCCTCAAACGGCGGGGGAGCATAAGACGGAGCGCGAAGGAGATGCATCGGTCTCGGCGGGTTCGGGCCGCGGTCTAGGGCTGGGTTGGCGAGGTGTGCCTGTGGGGGTCTAGCAAGACCGCCGGAGCCGTTGGTGAAGCTGCGGGCGAAGGTGTGGCCTGTTGAGCCGCGACGGGCGAGGTTCGGGTTACTATCTTCGCGGTCGGAGTTTGAGGGGGTTGGGATGCGATCGCGGGGCGCGAGGGGTGCGCCTGGGCAGCCGCATTCGAATTCTTGGCCGGGGGGTTCGGGGTCGGTAGCTGGGTTGGTGTAGGCTGGGAGGTAGATGTTTGCTTGGGTTGCTTTGCAGGAGAGGATGTGGAAGGGAGAGTCGATGGAAATTTCGAAGTGGCGGCGTTTTGTGGGGTCTCTTTCGTCGACCTTGGAGAGGCGGAGGACGATCTGGGGTTGTTAGTATGAGTGAAAGGTTGTGTGGAGGGCGGATTGCTTACCTTGATCCAGTGGTTGATCTGGATGTTTTCGTAGGTTGTGTCAAAGTGCAGGCGCTGGCCTTCATCGCGGCCCTTCATTTCGTGGCAGCTTGGGAGTTGGACATTGAATTCCATTTCAGTAGGACCGACACCGGAGTCGTTAGATAGATTTCCCAGCAGATTACTTCGGTTGCGATCCACAATCTCCTGTCCTCTTGCTGCAGCGGCGCGGTGATCCCAATCGATACCGCCGCCTGCTGTGACACGCATGGAACTACCAGGGTATGTGCTCACACTAGACGAGTCGGCCCGCTTCTCAAACAGAAGCACCTTCTTCGCTGGTTGCAAGCGATGGACACTCTTATCGGCGGTCCAGTGCTGAATGTTCTCCGTCACATACACCTTGATGCGGTGACATTCCACCTTTGCAAGTGGCGTCAACTTGAACGCAATCGGAATCTGCGAGCCCAACGGGAATGACTTCCCGGAGATGACAATGTCATAGTGAAGCTGATCCTCCCAATTCCGCGAGATCGCAATCGGCTCGACTTGTTCCAGCGATCCCTCGGCAGGAGTGCGAATTACCGGAATCTCCGTAGTGCCCAAGAGATTAGGTCGGAATGCGCCTGATCGTTCCACCATCGCTTCCAGATCATATCGCACAGATCCGAGATCTGTTTTGATCGTCTCGGGCAATGATCCATCGATGGGGAACTCAAAACTGTAGAGATAATCGCCCACGGGGAACATGCGATAGTTGCGCTGGGGCTGGGGCTGGGTGGCCGGGGGCTCATTTCTGCTGAAACTGCGCGAGTGGCCGCGATTCGTCTGCAGGGAGAGACGCTTGGTTTCCCGGCTAGTAGGTGCAGCGAGTGTGGTGACGGAGCTTCGGTTGGAGAACAGTTCTCGGGTTGACATGGTCACTACATCCTTGCCTGGAACGGCTGAGATCGGTTTGGCGTGCTGGTAGTAGTGCGCGCCGTAATCATTCTGCATTAGAGCGGTATCGCCGTGGTTGAAGTAGATCACACCGTGAGTGACGAGGTCCTTCTTATCGTGGAAATGGATCTTCTTGGGTGGGATGCCTACACGGGGATTAGTTGGTGACGGAGTGTGCGGTGGCGTTGGGACATACCATCGGGCCAGTCGGTCTGGGCATGGCCGCGGAAACAGATCGAGATCTTCTTGATCTTGATACACTTGGTCACTTTCAAGTGTAGTTGTCCACGAAGAATAGCGGACTTTTTACTACTAGGGTCGTGTTGGTCATAACCCTGCAGATAGAGGACCGGCTCGGTGAGAGCAATCCCCACGGAAATACCACTGCCGGTAGCAACAATCTTCTCATTCTGCAAAGGCGTAAACGGAGTAGTCAAATCAGGCGACGAGACATCCTGATCGGACACGGTCCGGGGCATCACCTCCGTAGTGGAGGAGGATTCGGAACGCATATCGGGGTCCAAGTCGACCGATGTCGGCGGCGAGGGCGAAATGATAATCTCCGAGACTGGTCGTACACCACGGGTTCGTTGTGAAGGCGCCTGAACTCCGGACGAGCGCAAGCGAAGGAAGCGCTTCGCGTTTTCACGTGGCCCCGCCAGCTTTCTGAGGAGCGAGTCCCTGCGACTCTGTTTGGGGAAGGTTTCCTCGTGGGATCCGAGGGAGTCAAAGCAGACTGTTTGCCGACGAGCCGATCGGGGTAGGAAATTGGAGATGGTGTCGGTAAACGAAGGTGTTCCAGTGAAGTTCGAAGCGGTTGGACTGGTTGTTGCTGACCGCGAGCTTAACTGCGCGGGCAGCGGGAGGTTGTTAGCTCCCATCATCTTGCAGAGTTGGGCATAGTAAAACGAATCGGTGGATGAGAAACCCATCTCTTCATCCAGGAGTTCTAGGAATGTTGACAAAGACTCACCTTTGTGAAACCTGTCCCCCTTGTGTCCCTTCAAAGTAAGGAGTAAGAAGAAATGGAATGGGGAGTTGGATTCACAAGTCACAGATCATCCCGCAGATCCTTTTAGATGCAGGATTGAGGGGGCACAGCGAAAAGTGGTTCTCTGCAACCCCAAGTCGAGGGTATAGACTTAAGACTAAGACTAAAAAAGAGTGTAAGAGTCGAGGCAAACTACTAAAAAAGCCGAAGGTGCCCGATCCACGGGAACCACCTAAGACGATGACAACACCATTAAGCCACGGCTCATTTCCGGCGATCCGACCTCTGGAGAGATTCTCCGTATAAAGCGGATCAAACGGCCTTCTCAATTGCCCAGTTGCCCCGAATTTCACTGTTTTACTTTTGTATTATGTGATCTATGGTATTCACGGTATTCACGGTATTCGCGGCATTCACGGCACGGATAGTCCGGGTAGCAGTCTGCGGGGATGACCAATTGTAAGATTTTTATATACAACTACTCTTGTAATAGACTACAATACAATCATATGGCAGTTTCTCGGAAATATATCTCATTCGTATGTATGAGCCAAGAGTACGTGCAATACGGTGGTCACATGGATCAGCCACTGGGGATATACTCCTCGGGAAAGTCTGGCGATCCGTACATGTTACATGCCCCTTCAATGTCTTTCCAGTCATGCACTCTCAACCAGGACTGTACAGTCCTAACCTAGGCTACATGACAACACACAGGTACTTGACAACTGTTCTGTTCCGCCCTGAAATCCTGGAGCCCTGGAAAATAGGCCCGTGCCAATGACCTCATCAGGACTGAGACTAACTGGAGTACACTAAGTTAACTCCAACTCTCCACCAACGGGCCAGAAATAGAGGTCAAACCCCGTCTGTGCTCCAGTTCTGGATCTCCTGATAGCCAATTTCCCCTGCCCTGATTTGGTTTCTCCAGAGCCTGTCGATCTGCAATTGGGCCTCTTACGTCATTGGGGTTCCTACACCGTTCGGCAAGGAATATCAATTCTCAAAGGGGAGCTTGGAAATCTGGTTATTGGCGCTGTTTGTGCTTGCTTATTGTTTCCATGTGAACTTACAGCTAACAGCTAACATCACCTTCAACTATAATTCCAACCCACCTAAACTCTGGTCAGCAGTGCCCAGGTGGGACTCGGCTTGTGTCTAGCCTTGGGCGCAGAGTATCCACTTCATCCATACCTGTTATTTGCCGTTTCGTTTCACGCTATAGCTATACCGCTCCATTCATATAGCACCAGCAGTCTTGGGGTTTGGGAGCTAGCTCAGCCACAAGTTTGCCGGGAAGGGCAATGGTACCTGTTTCATAGGGCGCAATGTGGAGTTTACCATTTCCAGTGACAAAAAAATGGGTATGGATATAGGAAGTACACATACTTCCATACCCATACTCCATACATCCATCCGCCTAGCCATATCTCGGGTTGTAAAACACACTAGAAGCCCAAGGAATGTTCCAACTTCCTATAAGGCAGAGGCTCCGCTGTTGATGCCCGAAGCTAGTATGAGGCACACGGGATGTGGATCGATTACTCCTTGCAGCGAAACCTCAGATTGATAGACTGGAGATGTGATTCTAGATCTTCGAGCCTCGATTTGCTGTTACATTTCCCATTGGCTGTACAGCGCAGATGGCCTCTTGGCTACTACCTGGGAGCTTTGACAAGCTAGTCGATCGCTTCTCGAGTCGGCTTCGGGCTGGCAGCTACCATTATGCCCAATAGTTAGTGGTCAGGTTACTCGGACGTGACCTAGAGTTACATGTGTCGGTATATTATTTTCACCGGGTCCGTGTCGATTTTGGGGATAGCCGTCTCAATTGGAAGGGATGGGTAGGAATCAAATTTGCCGTCTCATACTTATTGGCAATAGTAAGATGACACCTCCACTGTAATCGATGCTAGTAGTGACTATTGATTTTGTACACTTAATGCTTGATCAGTGTATGTTCCCCAAGTCCACTGTACATGGACGTAAAAAGTGAATATTAGTTTGTGTTGCCAGTAGTAACAGGGTATGAGACATTACTGTGATATAGTAGTACACTCATCCAAAGTACATGTCATAGATATGCTTGAAATCACTAGTGCCGGATGCAACCCTATGCAGATCTCAGGAGACTATTTCCCCACAAGCGGCACTGGCTATTGCTAATCTGCATCTCAACTATCTCCCCTCCATTAATTAAACCAATTGTCATCCAGCTCATTGACATTCATCAGAGTATCCCCTTCAAGCTGATTGAAGTCACCGCTATTTTCCCCAAAATTCTCTGTATCCATGAATAGATCATCAAAGTTAGATTCAGCCGGTCCCATGAAATCATCCGTAGCATTGCCTTGTAGGAAATTATCATCTCCATCTGTCTTGGAAAGTTCCATGTCAAATGCACCGCCACCGGTGGAGGCGGTGGCTTCCATCGGCTGTGCTTGTGATGTGTTCGGCTTCTCGGCTGTTCCCGTGGCGCTCGCGCCGGCAAAGTTGGATCCTGAAAGGAATGCTTGATTGCCCATGTCATTATCGTTAAAGTCGAGACTGAGGTCAAAGTCGTTGGTGCCGCCAGTGTTGAGAACGGAGTCAAAGTTAAGTTCCTCGTTGGTGCCGGGAAATGCTGAGTCGGGTGCTTTACTCTCGCTCTCCTCTTTGACGACTACATGGTCATCCTGGGTGTCGGGTTTGGTTTCTGGAGCTGGTTGGTTCACAGTCTCCTCTTCTAGCTTAAGCGCCGGCTGCTCAAGCTCCGTACTGGACTCGGCTTTCTCAGCTAGAGGTTGAAGTTCAGGCTCTACTTTTTGGTTGACATCGCTCATGGCCACATCTGCAATGGATTGAGGAGCGCTGGTCGCTTTCAGTGCTTCATAGTCTTTCTCCAAAAATGCCTTGGCGATGAACTGTGGATGGTTAGCGAGGAAAAAGCAAACATTGACTTGGAATGCATGGAGTCACGGGAGCAAGCTTCAATGGCACTCACAATTTGTTCTGACAGGTTATCCAGGGCATTCTGGAAGCTTTCATGGTAGAAAGGAATAGATCGCTGTACATGGGCTCTGGATGGCATGGAACCGGACTTGCGAAACACACGACCGGTGTCAAGGAGCTGGAGAGTGAGCTGTGAAGACTTGGGAGAGGAGAGATAGCACATACCGTGCGCTCGATGATCGTAGAGAGGTCCCCCAGGGACTGTGGATCAGCAAACCCAGCCATGTGTAGAGAGATGCATAAGACAAGGTTATAGGTGATGGATGAAGTGATGGAAATGATAGAAGTCGTGCGGCTAATCCCGTTGGGGTTTGGTGTCCTCCCCCCACCCCTAGCGGCTAAGTCTCCCTTTACTCTTCTCTTTTCTTTCTTCTTCATCTCTCTATCGTTTTTCCTTTTCTGTTTCTTTTTTCTTGTTCCTTCTAGGTTTCTTTCCTAGTTTGGGTCTTCCTTCCTTACCCTCCGACCGTATCATCTTCCGGGCTCTCGGTGTCTCTTAGCACTGTTTATACCCGTTCTTTGTTTAGCTTCATCTTTGAGCCTGTTCCTGTTCCCCTTAATCCCCCATCCTTTATACTATACTTTCCGGTCTTGCTTGCAATTGTGGCTTTCAATTTTTCTGGATTGTCTCAAACGCCCTGGATTTGACAGATCGCCAACCGGGACCCCCAGTCTGACATTTAATCCCGACAACTTGCCTCTTTCGCTTCCTCTGATCGCCTTTGGAATATCATCGATTTTCTACAAAAAAGAATTCACAATGGCCGAGAACGCTCAGGCATCTGCTGCTTCGCTGCCACAGCCTCCTGCTGTCAATCAACAGTATGATGCTGCTCAAGGCAACGGCCAGGGCACTCCATCTCACATGCCCCCGCCCCCGCGTCCTCCTGTGATCATTCCCCAGAATACCAATCCGATCCCAACCGCCATGTCCCCCATGTCCGGAGCCGGTATGATGTCTCCTACAAGCGCTGGAGGTTACGTGCGCCGAGCCGCCCCCGAACCGAACAAGAGAGCTCTCTACGTTGGTGGACTGGATCCAAGAGTAACCGAGGATATTTTGAAGCAAATCTTTGAGACCACAGGCCACGTGGTCAGCGTGAAGATCATTCCAGACAAGAATGTGAGTCCTCCTGACGGGCATCCCCTGCATAGTGCATCCCCTGCAATAATGACCCGTGGTACTCCACCGGTTCTGTTGTTATTTTTCTCCGAAAGAAAAAGAATTTCATATCTGACTTCGTTGTTATTCAGGGTCAATTCACCACCAAGGGTCACAACTATGGTTTCGTGGAGTTTGACGACCCCGGTGCCGCTGAGCGGGCCATGCAGACCTTGAACGGCCGCCGGATTCACCAATCGGTGAGTTTACTTCCTTCCTTTGATCTGGCTTTATTCTGATTGTTGCAGGAAATTCGTGTCAACTGGGCCTACCAATCCAACAGCACCAACAAGGAGGACACCTCAAACCATTTCCACATCTTCGTCGGCGACTTGAGCAACGAGGTCAATGATGAGGTTCTGTCCCAGGCCTTCTCTGCTTTCGGCTCAGTATCTGAAGCTCGTGTGATGTGGGATATGAAGACTGGTCGCTCCCGTGGATACGGATTTGTCGCTTTCCGCGATCGTGCTGAGGCTGACAAGGCTCTTACTTCGATGGACGGTGAATGGCTTGGCTCTCGTGCCATCCGCTGCAACTGGGCTAACCAGAAGGGTCAACCCTCGATCTCTCAGCAGCAGGCTATGGCTGCCATGGGCATGACTCCCACCACTCCTTTCGGTCACCACCACTTCCCCACCCACGGCATCCAGAGCTACGACATGGTGGCTCAGCAGACTCCCCAGTGGCAGACTACCTGCTATGTCGGCAACCTGACTCCTTATACTTCCCAAAACGACTTGGTTCCACTCTTCCAGAACTTTGGCTATGTTCTTGAGACTCGTCTCCAGGCTGACCGTGGCTTTGCATTCGTGAAGATGGATTCGCATGAGAACGCCGCCTCTGCGATCTGCCAGCTGAACGGATACAATGTCAACGGTCGTCCGTTGAAGTGCAGCGTGAGTTACTCCCGTCCAGCCATATTTTTTTTACTGACAGCCACAGTGGGGCAAGGATCGCCCTCCGACCGGTCAGTACGATACCTTCTCTCCCCAGCAAGCCAATGCCGGGTTCAACAACAGCCCTGCTGGGTTCTTCCCCCAGTATGGCGGTCCCCCAAACCCCATGAACCAAGGTTAGCCTATCATCTTCCTTCTCCCTACACTTTTACTTACTAGAATAGGTCCTGCCCCTGCTGGTCGAGGCTGGGATCAACAAGCCAACAACTTCACCGGACCCGCCATGCCTGGTCAGGGCTATCCCCAGGCCGGCAACGCCGGAGGCTACGGTCGTGGCCAGCCCATGTCCCCCTCTGGTAACTGGGACCAGTCCAACAACAACTTCAACGGAGGCTACCAGGCGTAGCTCGGTTCTTCGTGAACAGGTTGCAGTCGGGTCACTCGGCTTTCGCTAACAGAACCAAGTTGTCTTAACATGTTTTTGCTTCTTGTCTTTCTTTCCATAGCACCTCTACAATTCCCCATCTCCGTTGATATTTCTCTCTTTATTTCTTTATTTCAATTGTCAAATTGTCTCTCGAGTGGATTTTCAAGCGAGCAACCTGCTTTTGTCTGAAACGGAATTTGTGTCTTGCGCACCAATACCCCAAGTCCACCGTTGGTTTCGATCTTTTTCGTCTTTGTTTCCATTAAGCGTGCCTTGGGATCAAGGGTTCCTTGGGTTTTTTTTTGGCTACGCTCTCAAATAAAAGCGCCTCCCTACTCTCTCACTGCGTATTTGGACTGTTTGCTTTTTCTAGTTCATTCGAGTACATGTATTTTTGTGATTTTGTCAGCCTTTTGATACTATTGGAAGATTTATGGATGGACTATCCGTATATGCTGTGATGACTTTCCTTTCGTGTGACATCTTTGGCGTTTTAGGTCAGATACCAATTTGGTTTCCTGTTTAGATGCTTGGATATGTTTCTAGCATGCATTTGGCCATAGGCCATGTTTCTTGTGCACTGCCAACTGCATATGTAGTTATAGAGTGTTCAATAAAGTGGTAAACAGCAGTTGCATGAATATTGCAGTGCAGGTGAAATTGGCTGACAAAGGCCAATTGATACAGCCACTTCTCACCGTATGCACAGACACAGACAACACTTACCATATAACATCAACTTCCCCTGGAACAAAGAATTCCCCAGATTTGTGGATTGACGGCAACTTCCCGTACCAATGGAAGCCAACAATGCGGACCTGCCGGGCTCCAATCGCCGATCCAGCCACAAACGCAGCCTCTCAGCCTCTCTACTCGCGCGCCTCTCCTTCTTCACCCCAATGGAAGACCTCCAGCCCAGCATGCTGCCAACAGACGGTGCAAGCAATGCAAGCACAAGCAGCCGCGCAATGTCCGCCGCACTCGCGCAGCGCCGCACGCGCCGCCGCCGTGGCTCACTCCGGAAAACAGCATTACTAGGCCCAAGACTGGAATCACGAGAAAAAAGAGCTTCCTCTTCCAAAATCGCCTCCGATGCTTTTCGCACCAACAGCACTTCCACAACCTCCATCTCCAACCTCCCCACCTCCTCCGATCCCGATTCCCTCCAACCTTGCACCTCTCTTAAAGGCCAACCCTCCACCGAACATGGCCACGGCCCCACACCCTACCCACGCGCCAGCATCGACGACGACGCAGACGCAGACGGCGACGAGTCACAGCTGAGCTTCTTTCGCAATAACAATACACTTAAGGCGATTCGGCCGCCGATAACACGGCGACGGCAGAGCGTGGCGCGGCCGGCATTTCACGGCGAGGAAACGGCCACGGACGACGAAGACCTGATTTCATTCCCGCGTCTGCATTCAAATGCCATCACTACGTCTGGGACGGGGAATAATGGGCCGGCGTCAAGTCCGAAAAGTGCTGTTGCTGGTTTACACATCTCGACGAAACCGCAATCGTCTTCCCCGGATGCATTCTACCCTCTTGCGCCTCAGGCTGAGACGACATACAGGACTGTTCATCGACCCAAGTCTTCACCTCTAGCTTCAAATCCTGTTGAGATGAAGAGTAATGGGAATAGTGCGGATGTGGATTGGGATTATTCCGAGACGGAGTGGTGGGGGTGGATTATATTGATTGTAACTTGGTTGGTGTTTGTTGTGGGCATTGGGAGTTGCTTTGAGGTTTGGAGTTGGGCTTGGGATGTTGGTGAGACGCCTTATGCGCCGCCGGAGTTGGAAGATGATCCCACGTTGCCCATTGTTGGGTATTATCCGGCGCTTATCATTCTTACCGCTGTCATGTCTTGGGTTTGGGTTGTTGTTGCTTGGGTTGGGATGAAGTATTTCAAGCATGCAAATATTTCTGGGGATGATATTTAATTGTGTTGCTTTGTTTCGTTACTGTTGGTTTTTATATACCCTTTTTTTAGCGATATATATATCATACTCGGTGTCTAACTGAGGCTTTAATTGAACATATGCTTTTGCAGATTAATGGACTGATCCAATGTCTATATAACTGAACAAGAAGCTGAAGAAATATTACTCTTAATGGTATCATCTAGCTATCTAGTCTAAGAAGCACCGGTACTTTCTATGCAATGAATCCACACCACCACGTACCAAAACATCACAAATTGGACTCCGTCCCCAACCGCCTCAATCTCAACATACTATCCTGCATAGAAGTACCAACCAATGACCCATCAGGACCCCAAAGGAAACTCTCATGCACCGCCCGATTCTCCACAGCCCTAGGCGTCCACCCCTCCTGTATAAACCACTTCATAGGCAACTCTCCAGTGCCAGCCCCAGCATCAGCCAACCCCCAATCAACCATCCTCAATGCCTCCCCATGCACATGCACAATAACAGTAAGCGTTAAACTAGCCATCTCACTCCAAGCCCGAATCCCAAGAGCCCGGGGAATAAGCAACAAAGAATTCTTATCACTAGAATACATATGCGCACACACATAAAGATTATCATACTCACCCGCCTCCTCCTTCCTCCTAACAACATCCAACTTGACAGACGCATCAGCCTCAGGCGATCCCTTGAGCCGATACTGCGTAAGCTGCCGATAGCGCTCAGGCTCCCCCTTCACCAAGACCGAGGTATTAAACCCCCCCATATCAGTCTTGCGCACATCCAACCCGGGGAATGGCCGCTCGGTGATATTTCCATGCCGGACATTCTCAATCCACCAGTCTGCATCAACGCTTGGACTGAGTGGTTGCTTTTCGGCTGGTTTGGAAGTCAGAATTGAATTGAAACGGGTTTGCACTGGTGCGGGCTGGTGGTTGAATAACTGTTGTTGTTCGTCACGCTTGAAGCTGCAGATGGCCGTGAAGCAGATTTTGCCGTTTTGACGTGCATCTATGCTTCGCGTGCTGTACATGTATCCGTCGCGGATGTGTCGGACGCTGTACGTGTATGGGGTGTCTAGCTTTCCGGGGAGAATGAATGTTCCTGTCATGTTCTGGTTTTGTGGTTAGTCTGTTTATATTCATGTCTGTGGGCTTTTTGGGGTAGTATGGTTTGTTCTTGCTTTGGGTAATTTGGCTTTGACTTTTGAAAGTAGAAACTTACATGAATGACAAGTCCCCGTTCAACAGTCTTCGACGCTGCATAGGCAGATTGCGCATAGACATGTCAGCCAAATGAGCGCGTGCCCTCGCCAGGAGGAAACGGTGCAGCTAGAGAGCGGAAACGTTCGATTTTCTCTGATTCGGCTGAATCTTCGGATGGGATGGTTCTTGTCTCGAGTCGTTCTAATGCCATCAATTCAATGAATGAATGCGGGGACGTCGGTTCGTCCCTGGCATTGTCTGGGGCCCCGCGTTGCGGAGACATAGAGTATGAACAATAGAATTGCAGATGGACTGGATCTTTTGATTTTAACTTGAGGTTCAAGTTTTCGGATATGGTACTTGGTACTTTGTGTGAGGCGTTGAGGCGCGGCCCGGTGGTGGTAGCTGGACCTGGACCTGTCAAGGATGTTGCCCTGTAATCGGCGTGTTTGTGTTCATTTAAGTATGGGATTTATACCGCCTGCTTCGTATGGTGTTAAGACAATTCGAATTGAGTTGACTTGACACCGAGTGTTGGGGAAAGAAATCCAAATTGAAGTAGATGTATGGGGGTTGGTACCCCGGACGGGACTGGCCGATACCTCGGCTTATTGGTCACGCGGCCCAACCCTAAGGCTTTTGGGATATTTGAATATTGGAGTATATCAGAACACCTTTTGAGCGTATGGGACTGATGGTTTTTTGAAAATATCACTCTCACTAGGGGACATGGCTGCGTGTTTGAAATTAGTTGATTGTGATTGGTTATGTGGAGGCATTCGAGAGCATTAGCGCCAGCAGTATTGAAATTCTAGTCTCTAGATAGCAAAACAGCGCTGCTGATAGGTGATAAGCGTCATCTGAAGATACTACAATAGGGGTTACCGATATGTACACAATAATATGATATGTTAGACAGTTTCTATACGAACTGTCAAAGCGAGTGTACCATTTTATGTATTGTTTTGCCCTACTTTGACATCCCCCTTTTAGCGTCTTTTTTGACCGTTTTTGAGTACCGCGACACACTAATCTAGATCACATGAACATATGGACGTGAAGGGACTTATGACTCTTGTGATGGTCACAGCCCACGATTGTGGGAAAGTTGCAGAAAGACATGTCAGGCCTACTTCCTTTCATGCCGAACAGTCTATAGTATTCAAAGTAACAAGACTTGTAGATCAAACTGGTATTTTGTACAGTATACGCCAATCGCGCTCATAGTGTCGAGTGGTAATCCCAATGCCCGTGCCATAATGATACAAAAACAAACAATAATGCAAAACCGAACCACGCTCCAAATCTGATATCGACAGCCGAACAAACTCTTCCGATAAAGAATTATGCCGATTAGATGGTGTCGCTGATCTGGCGGACGTTGTTCCACCCAACCTTGCCCTCGACATTCTTAATCTCCTCAAGCTTGTCGCCCAGCTTGACCACGGAGAAGTTGATCATACGGGGATCGAGACCGAGAGTGCGGCGAACATTGGACTGGACGGTGCCAGAGGAATCAAAGCGCATGATGAAGTGGTGACCCTCGGAGTATCGGGCTTGATGTTTCGTGGTGACTCGGGGCAGACGGAAGGATCCCCAGTTGGTGAAGCCGCGGACAACACCACCGGAGCGAATGACCTGGGCACCGGCGTTACGGGCGATTCTGCAGGATGAACATTAGTATTCGAGATGACCGATTGATGGAGACCGCGATGGCATTGATTCAGACGTACTCTCGCACCTCATTGAGGCTGCCCGGGCGGACCTATAAGCAGAGCGCGGGTTAGAAAATTCAAATAACAATAATAAAACAAGTCCGAAAATCTCAATCAAACAACATACAATGGCAATCAGCTCGTACAACATGGCGCAAACCCGATGGAAGACAGAAATGAAGTAATTGAAGCCACGCAAAATCCCAACTGAGGTTCCGGCTTATCAGTTCTTGGCACTCCTTTATCGGAGCCCATGCGTCAACGAAACTCCGCCGGGGAAGCTCCTCCCTCTTCCTTTCCTACTTAAACTCTCCCCTCTTCCCATTTTTCCCTGTTCACACTTCCAACCCCTTCAATTCCTCCAACATGTCTTCCGTCGCTCGTGCCATCCGCCCCTTCGCTTCCCGCGTCCTTGCCCAGAAGCCTCTGGCTCCCGCCTGCCGGGCTTCGCCCGCTTTCCGTTTCCCGCGGGGAACCAGGAGCTTCTCCCAGAGCCCTCTTTGTGAGTATTGTGTGCCCCAATGCTGTTCGGGAGGTTATACAAGATACTCCGGCTGGCGATGAAGCATTACAATGCTTGATATATGTCCTCCGGGACTGTATGATGTCACGTTTTACTGACGGCGCATCAATTCGCAATTCTAGCCCAGCTGAAGAAGTACACCGAGTCGCACGAGTGGATTGAGTTGGCCGACGGCGGCAAGACTGGTTAGTTAGACCGTTCCCCTATCAATTGGACATATACCCTTGCCTTCCACTGCACCACTTGGTTGGAGTGGCGGGAGTGCTATATTGTCTACTATCACACCACTATCTATGAATGAGTAGCGGGGTAGCTAACTTCTATTCCTCCTCCAGCCAAGATCGGTATCACCGACTACGCAGCCCACTCCCTGGGTGATGTCGTCTACGTCGAGCTCCCCGAGGAGGACCTCGAGATTGCCGCTGGCGAGCCCGTTGGTGCCGTCGAGTCCGTCAAGTCTGCTTCCGATGTTCTCTCCCCCGTTGCTGGCAAGGTCATCCGTGGCAACAGCATCCTCGAGGACAAGGCTAAGACTATCAACGAGAGCCCCGAGGGTGAGGGCTGGATTGCCGAGATCGAGGTTGCTGATGCTGCCGAGCTTGAGGCGCTTCTCGATGAGGCTGCTTACAAGGCTACCATTGAGGCTTAGATTCGGATTTGTGTAGACAAGGCAAGTGATACATAATGCTCGCTTGTTTTGGATGTGGTTGGAACGCCTTTTCCTTTTTATTTGTGATGTGATGTTATATTTGTCGTTGCTTGGCAATGGCTGGTTTCCTTCAACGAAAGCGTTTAGACTTGTCGATTCCTCTGTGGATTGGCCTACTGTTCAACAAGATTCTGTTAAAAGTAAATGGCTTCTTTCTTTGTAGAATTGTGGTCAACTTATACATATTGATGAGTGGATACATCTCGAAAAAGTAAGATTACAGAGTGCATTCATATACCTATGAGTATGGACCATTTTATAACAACAATACAATCATCACATCTATACAGGAGGAATAGTGTCTCGACAAATAGGACACTGAAGCCGAAGTCTCATCCAGCTCTCCAAACAAGCAGTATGGAAGATGTGCCGACAAGGGGTAACCATGTAAGTACGACGACTCAAGATATTCGAAGCCCCATCGGCGACACTGCTCCCACCAGCAGCTGAAGGCGCCGGGAGAACGGGAACTTCGATATCCTGCATACAAATCGCACAATCGAACATAGCCTTCTTCCGATCTTTCCGCTGCTTATCCTTGTCATCTTCCTTGAAATCGCTGACAAGGTCTCGCTCGTCAGCTCGCAGTGATGCAATAGATAAAATGCCACCACCAGCCTCGAGATCGTTATCTGTACCAGAAAGATCACGCAGGGTGGGATGGTAATCATATGCAGGAGGCGCCCAGCCTCGCGGCACAAAGAAGCGCGGACCGAGAATGTCCTGGCTGGCTAGGATCCAGGCCTGGATCCAGACCCATCCGGTCATGATAAAAGCACTTGTCCAATCGGGCCGAATGAAGAGCACGTTTCCGCGGGCTGTGAGGAAGTACAGGAATGGGAAGAGGCGCAGGATGCTCTGGCCAATCACGAATTCCCAGCGCAGAGCCTTGCGGCAGTTTCGCATTGCGTTGCGGTAGATCTGTGGGACCCAGAATGAGAGGTAAACTGCTGCCAGGAAGCGTGTGTAGATTGAGCCGAGGCGTTTGGGTAGGAGGAAGGCCCAGACGGAGAGGATGAGCATGCCGAACAGTGCGAAATAGAATCTTGCATACATTGCCCCCACGTCGCTGCGTATTTGTCTTGGAGTTGGGGGCGTGGTTCGGGTGGGCGCTGGTGTTTCTGGCTCGTCATCCGGCGCATCTTGATCAGGTGGTAAGATGACCGGGGTAGCGCCCGAGTCTCGTACTGCGGCAGCAGTCGCGGGCAGAGGCAATGTTCCTGGGCGTGTAGTGGGAGTTTGATTGGACGGACGGTCTTGTTCTCGCCTTTCCGGCTCCTGCACTGCCCAGATCTCCATCATGAACTTCATTCCAATGTAACTCACAGAGAGGAATGCCAAAAATGATGCAGTCGTTAGAACCAAGAATGAGATAGCTGCATAGAGTTCCAGAACAATAAAGGCCAGAACAAATGCATCGCCGAGCGCCATCAATGCGATAGTATAGAAACTGACTCGACTGCGGGTGGAAGGGGTCGAGGCTTCTTTGATTTGGCGCAGAAGTAGAGTAATTTGTGCAACAAATACACCGGAAACCACGAAAACGAGACGAGCTGCATATTTATTGTACTCTTCGCTTTTGGGTCCGGACAAATATAGCGTATCAGTCGGAGGGAAGTCGGGTGTTCCCTTGCTCTCAAGTATGTATCCACAGTCTGGGGAGAAGACCACGGCAGACATGACCATCAGAGGAGGATCTGGAATCGGGGCCCCCATGGGATATCTGAGCTCCTGTTCCATGCGCTCCAGTAATAATCGGTCAGCCGCAGCATCACCGACCATGACAGGGTGCTGCTGTAGGTAGATGATATGTTCACATTTTGGCGCAGGGAACTCAATCTGCTCTGTTCCAGACAAGGAAGACCAAGGGAATAGTGTCGGAGGCCGATTTTGCTTCTGTGAGATGGTATCCGAGAGCGACTTGAGAAGAAGGTCATGGGACAGGGCGTATGAGTCGGCGGACAGCATGAAATGTGGCAACGAGAAGATGCCCCCGAATTTCTCGCTTGAGGTGGTCAAGATGATGCTCCCGGTGTCAGGGAAGTGTATACCGAACAAGGAGAGGTACCACGTACTTCCCCAGAAGTCCTCACTCTCAATGGTCAAACTCGCCCTCATTTCTCTTGCAATACCTTCGCCCATTTGAAGCTCCTCACCACCTCCCTCTTCGATATCGAAGTAAAAGGTACCTCCATTGCCAGTTATATTGCGACTGAACTCATGAGTGAAGTATTCATGTTGTTTGGCGATGGCAGTGACGTTCAGAGGTGTACGGCGAGGCGGATCTGCAGTCCGTCGTACCCAGTCTCCCCTCAGCTTCCCTGTTGAGTTGCGGTATACCGGAAGGAGGAGTTTGGTCAAGTTCAGAGTCGGCGATATGGTTGGGTCTTCTATACCATCTGGAGCTTCCAACCTGGCGTTTGAAATGGCGGAATGGAGCTGGTGGCGAGCGCGGTCTTTGACCTGCGGAAACAGTTCCCATGCGTAGCTATCGTTACCCCTCAGGCCCTCAAACGGAAGCCACCGCTCAGCGGCTGGATCGAAGTCGCCATATTGCGACCCATTCAACAGACGAAGAGCATGTCGCTCGCGGTTAAGCTCTCGTTGCCGTTCCCGATCCTCATCAACCAATGGGGGTCTAGACTGGGAGCTCAGGAGCAGGTAGAAAACTAGCAGGAAAAAGAAGAAGGAGCCGCGGTTATCCATTAATGCCACGGGGTGCTGGCATCGGACTTCTCAAAGACAGACAACGGTACGCATAGCGAGAAAGAAAAGAAGAGACCCAGAAAGGGTCAGAGGACGCGACTATGTTCTAGACCGATCAAAGACAGAAAAAATCAGTGAATGACGAGCGCAACAAGTAGATGTGCTTCCGGGCGGAGATGATGATGTACTCGACCCGGAGAGCTGGCGGGAACTCCTTGCTGACTTAGCCTGAGGCACCAATATCAACCTTAGAACTGCTCTATTGTGGAAGGACCCCCGGAATTTACATCCAGTAATTAGATCAAAGACTCAATGAGGAATCTATTCCTAAAATGGATTTTGAAAAGACACAATTGCCATTACACCCGTGACAAGAATTGCTCACAAGATGCTGTAACCCGATGCTGATATCAAACCGGTTGAATTTTGGTACAAATAGAAAAACGCATACACACAAGACCATGTCCATTATCAAGGCCTCCTGCTTTATGAGGCAGCGGCCAGGACACCCTCGCTCTCTTCGCGCTGATCCCTCCGTCGGCGCTTCTCGAGAATGGCCTCGCGGCGCTGTGCCAGCATCTTTAATTGTCTGCTCTCAACACCCTGCATCCAGTAGCCGAAGCTACCACCAACACCAGCAAAAAGAGGGTAGACCCAGAGGGACTCCTTGGCAAGAATAGGACGCATCTCGATTCCGAGTTGCCAGAGGCGGACGGCGATGCCTGTGGGAAGGATATGGTCAGCTTACATGGTCTGAATTCCCGGCAGATTGGCATTGGAATAATAGATAGTATTAGGATAGAGTATCCCCCATTCGAGAGGGGTATATCACGTACCGAAGCCGCTCCAGAAGAGCACCTTGTGAACCATGATCGCGGGTGGGTGCGGGCGGGTGGTTGTAATATGCGGGCCGGAGGAGTTCCGACTTAAAAGATAGACGTGGCGATTTGGTGAATTAGGTAGTTCAACACCACAGAGGCCAGATTGAATGGAGGCGGAGTTATGATGTTGCCGTCGCAATAGACCAGGAGAGACGAGGTTGAAGCAAATCAGCGGGCCGGAGTTCCCAATCATGGAACAACCATTTATCCGGTACCTGGGTTATCGCTTATCGCACGCGACCTGTGAATCTCTCTCCAGACTCGTTTCCAGGCTTGTCTCCAAGCTATCATTATGATCGAAATGGATCCTCCTTCTCAGGATTTAGGAGATGGCTCCTCTACGAATAAACGGTCGATCGGCATTGAAACCGCAGGGCGCAAGAAGTTCAAAACCGAGGACCTGCCCTTCACTCCCGTGCAACATGCAGCGATGGACAAACTCCGCCATGCGTTCAAGAAGAAGGGTTATTTTGATCTTGTTCGCAAGCAGCTCTGGACTGGATTCAATGAGGGTGTATGCCTATGCTCACACCCAGGATCGCGCATCCATTTTCTACATTGCTAATCCTTTCTCCCAGGAACCCAGGACCATGTTTACTAATGAGCTGCTCGCACTCGCTGAATCGGAAATTGATCGCGAACCAGCCCTGCTTTCCCGCGAGAGAGGAAAAGCCGCGACACTGATTGAAGGAGCTGTTGATCGTGGCGATGTCTACAAGAATGTGGAGAATTCGATCGATCAGCTTGCACTACAACACGCCGACTTCATCCTCGATTCCCTCCGCGAAATCCGCCGTCAAGAAGTTGGGGAGGAGGCTGCCGCGCGCGAACTTGAGTCAGGAAACAAGACCGATGCCGAATACGACGCCCTTGTGAAAATCGACCATGATAGGCGGGAGAAAATATGGCAGGAAGAGAGGCGCAAAGAGATGGAGCTCGAGGAAGAGCAGAAGCGGATCAAGGATGAAGAACTCCGCAAAAAGCGCGAACTTGATCGACTGAAGGAAGATGAAGACAGGGCCCGGAGAAAGGAGATCGACGAACAGAGAAGGGCTGACCGTGAACGCCTACGCGAAGAACAACGAGCCCTTGATGACCAGCGCGAAAGAGAACGACAAGAACGATACGAGCGACGGAGGCGAGAAGACCGGGATCGGGACCGTTACTGGGACCGTGACCGCAGCCGAACCCGCGATAGGGATCGTTTCCGCGATCGTTCTCCTGACTATCGCCAGGACCGCAACCTGTCTCCTCGGGCCCGGGATATTAAACGCGAGAAGTCAGCCGCTTCAAAAGACCCGACTCCTGCTCCGGTGGACGAAAAGTCATTGGAAGAGGCTGCTCTGCAGATGCTCCTGAAAGAAGGCGAAGAGCTCGCAGCTAAGGCTCGGATGAAGCCAGAGTTTGATTTCGAAGAGGCTGAAGCCATTGAAAATGGCCTGAAACCGGCGCCAGCGGCGACCAAGAGTGCCAATGACAAGTACTCACGTGCCTCAACTAGAGCGGCCAGCCCGTCCCGCGATTCTGAGGCAAGGCGCGGTTCAACCACAGATCGTAGGGAGCGGTCTCGGCATCTGATGCGTGATCGGAGCCGGAGTCGTTCGCGGCGACGACGCACATCTCTTATTGATCGCCGTGACCGGTCCCGGGACTCTGTGAGATCCCGTGATCGTGACATGGACTCACGCCGTGGTTACCGTGACTTCCGAGATAATAGACTTGATGATCGAAGCTACAGACCAGCTCGTCGGAGCCGTAGCCGCTCCGTTGCCCGACGTGATCGAGCACCGTCTAAAGACCATGACCGGGACACTGACCGACGACCTGAGCGCAGCCGCGAGCGAGAACGAGAATACGAAACTTACCGTCCTAGACGACGAAGCCCTCGACCTTCTCGTTCACCTGTGCGTCGAGGTTCACGCAGCCGTCGCTCACGAAGCCGTTCTCGTTCTCGCCCTCGAGTCAGGGCCCGAGACCGTTCTCGATCCGGTTCAAGATCTGCTCGACGCCGTTCACGCTCTCGACGTCGCTCTCCTTCACCGACTCTTGATATTGACCGCTATGTACCTTCCACGAGCAACCGAAGCAAATCACCTAGGCGCCGGGTGCGAACCCCGGAGAGAGAACGAGAACGGGACCAGCGACCACGAATGGGCGATATTGACCGGTACATGCCGCCTTCTGGGCGAGACGACGAAGCGGCTCCAATAAAGGAAGAAAGCGAGGCTGTGTCAGAAAAAGAGATTAAGAAAGAGCCGGAAGATGAGAAAGAAAAAGAAAAGTCAGCACCAGCACCGACCCTAAAGCCGACGCCAACCCCCAAGCCAACCCCAAAGCCAAGGGAGAAAGATACCGAAGATCGACAACCCCGTCGACGAAGTCCTAGCCATGGAAGAAGCCGTAGTCGCAGACGAAGCCCTAGCCGTAGGCCAAGTCCCAGGCGCAGGCGGAGTCCTAGCCGCAGAAGGGACCGCAGTCGCCGGAGGAGCCCTAGTCGTCGACGCAGCCGGAGCCGTCGTAGAAGTCCAATTCGTCGGCGTAGTCGCAGTCGAAGGAGAGATCGGAGCTGATACCCTGTGAAATAATGTTTGTTATTTTAATGCCGTGTATTATTAGGGAATGAGAGTATTTGCCGTCTCTAAATGTATCTATATCTCTCTTTATAGACGATAAGCGATAAGATCGCTTATCGGTGCTCCACCAAAAAAGTTGAACTCAAACTCAACTTCTTTCTCTTCTTCATTCACGCAACTGTCAGACTCGACATAGAATATTACACCCACTAGACTTAAGATTGTCTATAATATTCCACAACCCCAGCTCTCCGTATCACAACAACCTAGAAATCTCTGATCCCCGACAACGAACCACCCCAAACACACGAACCATGCAAAAAGAAACACAAAAACCGGAGGCAGCAAAGAGCCAAGTGTCCAACAAGCCCTCACAAACAATGAACCTAACAGACCGCACGGCCCGCCGTCAACACGCCTCATACCCACCCTCAGACTCAGACCCAACCTCCTCCTCAGGCTCCTCAGAAGAAGACTTCAGCGAAAGCGAAAGCGAAAAGGAGGACGAGCACCACTCCGACCAGGATATGCGCGACGAACAAAGAACCACAGCGGCAAACCCAACCGATCCCTCCTCGTCACTACCGCATATTGGCGGCCGGCCCAAACCGCGCATACACCGCATGAAGGGTGACTCGGAGCTGTTATCGCGACTTAGTGCTTTCTTGCCGCAGATGAAGACCGCAAATGAGGATTTGCAGAGGGAGATAGAGGCTGGGAGGGTTGGGGATCTTGTTCTTGATAATGCTGATGAGGGCGGAGAGCAGTATATTGAGATGGTATGCTTCGTTTGACTTAGTCGAGGTGTGGACTTTGCTAACTGTTTCTTACAGGATCTCGGTCTTGGTGTCCTAGAAGAAAAGAAGGACGGCGATTCGTCTAGTGAGGACGATGATGATAAGGAAGAGTCGAAGACGGGTTCTGCGGCTACTGGGAACACTTCCCAAGACTTGAAGGATTCTGATATCATTGGGAAGCTTATGGGAGGCAAGGGCAAGAAGGCCGAGGCCGATAAACCGTCTATTGAGGAGATGGCGGAATAATATGCTGCTGTTTGCCGTGGCTTGCAATTTCAACGATGTTGATTTGGATGTGTGGTACTGGTACTGGTTCATTCATGGCGATTTACCGGCTTGTCATTTGTTGTTTGCATATGGGATACGTTTTGTCAACTTTAGCGTCTTGATATTTTGCTTTTCGGACCAAGCATGTGAAGAAATTCTTGAAGGTCACCCAGTGGCGGCAAACCGCTGACGATAGCGGAATACCTCATGATAGATTATTGAAATTTTAGGAATAATCAGTTTGTGACCAACGATACATAAAGTTGCCAAGGTCTACGAATCCATAATCTTGGCATCTCTTCTTTCATCTCTTTATTCATCTCTTTTTGGCCATTTTCGAGTGTCTTGGGTTGACCATTCACAGTGATTTATATAGAGGCGTGGGTTGTGAAAGGATTTATGGCTACTGTTGTACAAGTTTCGATCAAGGCTCTCTACGGCGGCTGCATTTGACCCTGCAATTTTAAAATGATTTCTTATTTATGTCTATAGAAAGAAATGATCCCATCAATCACCGTGAACATAACCATCGATACATTTCCTATGCAACCCGCCAATAAATCAAGTCTAGAAAGACCTAGAAGAAAGAGAAAAAAAAAAAACCAGACATATCGCGGATCTCTATATATGCATGAACCCATCATACACTATGGCCGAATGACATTATTAAAAGAAGATAATTTTGCGCGCTGCCGTGAAATTGTTTAGGATACTTCCTTGATGCGGCAGGTCCAGCCAGATTCCTTGGTCAGGAGAGGCAAGCTGTGAGAAATGTAAGTTAGAATAAGCTAGAATATAAGAGTTGAGGTCAACTAACCTAGCACCAAGACACCAGCCCAGCTCGTTGTCCTTGATCTTCTTGGCAATCTTGACCTCGCGGGACAAGGGCATCTCGTAACCAGTGTGGAGCAGAGCCATCATGAAGTTGAGGTCCAAGCACCATTCAGGGCGATCACGAAGCTCAGTAAGAGCGTTTTCGATACCCTTAAAGGCACCCCAGCTGCCCTCGCCGGCACAGACTGTGTTGGTCAAATCATGGAGCTCGTTGAGAGTAAAGGATTCGGGCATGCCCAAAGGAGCGGTGCGGTCGTAGAAGTAGGAAAAGATGAAGACCTCCTCTCGAGAGAAGGTCTTTGCGAGAGAGGGCTGGTGGACACCATTGAAAGAGCAAGGGGCAAGCTTGCATTCGCCGCTCTTTTTGAGGGTCTTTTCGGCGAGAGCACGGCACTGAGGCGCCATAGACTTGTCTTTAGGACCAACCATCTGGAGATCGGCACTCAGTCCCAGAGGGTGGTTGGCAGGGAACTTGAGAGTGACCTCGCGCAACATTCCAGGTCCAATACAAGGATTAGGAATGGGCTCTTTCGCCCAAGAAAGGTCATTGGGGTTGTTGGCCAGCATGTTCTCCACAACCACCATGTGGATATTCTCGCGAGCAGACATCAGGCCATACCCAAGGTGAGAGTGTTGATACAGCTCGAAATCACGGCCACCAAAGCTGAGGTTGTACTTGTGATCACCGGGAGCGAGGTGCTCTGGCATACCACCGGCCTTGCTCTTCTCATAGGTAGGCTGGAAAACAATCTGAGTTGAACCGCCACCCAAGTCGAAAACAGCGGCAGTAGGAGTATCGTCAGGGCCACCAATCTTGCCGAGCAAGTAATTGGCTGTGATCCAAGCATAGACACCTTCGTCCTTGCCATCCATGATTTGGACACCACCCTTCTCCTTGGAGACGACAGGGAAGGGATAGGCAGTCTCCAAACGGTGACGAACGGCGTCCAGAATCTTGCCGCTCATTTCATCACCCAAGAGACGAAGTCCAGCCGTAGCCTTGACGGCAATTGGCGAGCAGGACTTGTACTCATCGGGAACTGACTTCAAGGCGACTTCCATAAGAGGGTCCAGACTGTGGGCAGCACCCTCAGCGTCCTCCTTGAAAGAGCTGAGACCAGAGCTACCACCTTCCACCTTTTTGGTCTGCTCAAAAACCTCATTTTCAAGTTCAGGAGTAGAGCCGCAGTTGTTGAAACGGTAGACGTGAATACGAGATCCGGTGCTACCAGCATCGATCATAAGAGCATATTGAATCAGGGGCTTGGACGGGTCGGAGGACTTGGTGCATTTCGCGGTCGACGCCACGCCGTTGCTTGAAGGCGGTTTCTCTGCAAAACAATCAGTCAAGTAAAGCGACCAGCGCATGGGAAACACATACCGTGAGTAAAGCTAGAAGTAGCAGGCTTAGACGGGGAAAGCCACACCAACACCATGAAGATGAAGGCGATGATAGCCCCGGTCTTCAGATACCGCGATCTCTGGCTTTGTGCCATGTTGGCTTGTTCTTCGGTTCGATTGATTTCGACTGACTGAGAAACTGATCCGTTGCTCCGAGTGGAGCGTTGACGGGCGCTTGAATCTAGGTGGAGTTTGTTGTCTTGGTTGTCGACTCCAGTCGACATGCGAGCAAATGGTCGAATAAAGCGACAGGTGGCGAATATCCACCGAGAAGGAATGAACGACCGTAGGTTAACAGAAAGGGAAAGAAAAGAAGCAAGCGAACATTGATCCTCCAGAAACACCAGACTAGAAAGAATAGGTGGAGAAATGTTCAGGGAAAATGTCAGGAGAAAGGAGATCCAAGGGTTTCAGGGCTGTGGCGCAGATGTGGCTGAATGCGGTTCCCCGACATGTTTCCGACTCGTCACTGCTCACTTACCTCCGGCCCTCGTTCTCCAGCTTTTCATTCTTCCTCCATATTACCCCGGAATTCTTGAGCTATTGCTATCAACATGAGCCACACTCGCGGCCTCGTGTCGTCCGCTCAGGCCTTGCGCCAGATCTTCATTGTACCAGGCCGCATCTCTAGACCTGGCATTCTTCCCAATACTCTGCGAAATGGAATTCAGATTCGATCCTTCCAACAGGCACATCGCCTATTCCTCCGTGAATACCGCCCGCCCGTCCAAGGACCACCAAAAAACGAGGCTATCACCGCAAGATTCATTCAACTGGCCAACGAAGAAGGCAACCTAGATCCCCCGACCAGACTTGAAGAGGTTCTCGAATCCTTTGATCACAATGACTATTTCCTCATGCAGGTTCAACCTGCACAAGGTGGCCAACTACCAGTCTGCAAAATCTTCAACAAAAAAGAGGTGCGGGCAACCGAAAAAGCCAAGGCCAAAGCATCACGAGCAACCAAGGTTTCCCTGAAGTCCATCGAGCTGAACTGGGCCATCGATGCACATGATTTGTCACACCGGCTGAAGCAGCTCACAACCTTCTTGGACAAAGGCCGGAGGGTAGAGGTCATTTTGACCTCGAAACGGCACAAGCGCAAGGCAACGGTGGATGAGATCAAGCATGTCATGCAGAGGGTACTCGACACTGTGAGGGAGGCTGGTGCTATCCAGACCAAGGCGATGGAGGGCGAACCTGGAAAGCAGGTTACGTTCACCGTGCAGAAGGACAATTAGGAGGATTGGACTTTGTGTATATTATATGGATGGAGTGTACAAGATTCAAGCTGCATAAAACTGCTCTGACTGGAGCTTTTGCTTAATATATAACGTTTCTTCAAAAACTTCAAAGGTTGGCAGCTGAATTTGATACTGTCCGTATGGCATGACGTCGATACACGCGCATTGCCCGGTAGCTCGAGAAAGCACTGCATCGAGAAACCCCTCATATGGGGTATATAGCTCAGAATACCTGTCTATTTTACAATTGCGCTCCTTTGCATCTGTTCAGCCCATCTATATCCTGATGACTGGCGTTTCCTCCGCAATTCCGGCATCTTGATTGGTCGATGACTAAGCAACTCCCTGAATCCGCCGTCTGACTAAAAAATTTGGTGTTGATCTGGGCTTCTTCTCTTCCATCTTTACATCTGTTTCTCCTTGCCTTTCTTTTTCTTTCCATCGTTTTTGTCAATTGAACCAAGATGTCGAGCATCTCCCGTTCATTGAACCTTTTGGCGCGCACCAGCCGGTCTTCCCTGCTGCGCCCAACTGCCGTCAACCCCGTCCACCATGTCTTCAGCAACAACAAGGTGGCCGCCCGTGGCCTGGCTACTGCTTTCGAGCGTACCAAGCCCCATGTGAACATTGGTAAGGAGAATATTATTGCGCGTGATTGATTTTCATGCTAATATTCCTTCCAGGTACCATTGGTCACGTCGATCACGGCAAGGTAAGCTATTCGCGACTTCTTCCGACACCTCCGCCATCAAATCTAACACATGCGCCGTAGACCACCCTGACTGCCGCCATCACCAAGTACCAGGCCTCCAAGGGTCTTGCCAACTTCCTCGACTATGCCGCCATTGATAAGGCTCCCGAAGAGCGCAAGCGTGGTATCACCATCTCGACTGCTCACATTGAGTTCGCAACCGAGGCCCGTCACTACGCCCACGTCGACTGTCCCGGTCACGCCGATTACATCAAGAACATGATTACTGGTGCTGCCAACATGGATGGTGCCATTGTCGTGGTTGCTGCCTCCGACGGGCAGATGTATGGATCCCTTACTCCAGGATTGGATTAGAAGCGGGCTAACGAAATCACTCAATAGGCCCCAGACCCGTGAACACTTGCTACTCGCCCGTCAGGTCGGTGTCCAGAAGATCGTTGTCTTCGTTAACAAGGTCGACGCCGTTGAGGACCCCGAGATGCTTGAGCTCGTCGAGCTTGAGATGCGTGAGCTTCTCTCCACCTACGGCTTCGAGGGTGAGGAGACCCCGATCATCTTCGGTTCTGCCCTCTGTGCCCTCGAAAACCGCCGCCCCGATATCGGTACCGAGCAGATTGACAAGCTCATGGAGGCTGTCGACACCTGGATCCCCACCCCTGAGCGTGACATGGACAAGCCTTTCCTCATGTCGATTGAGGAAGTCTTCTCCATCCCCGGTCGTGGTACTGTCGTCTCTGGCCGTGTCGAGCGTGGTCTCCTGAAGAAGGATACTGAGGTCGAGATTGTTGGTGCTACCAACGACGGCAACCCCATCAAGACCAAGGTTACCGATATCGAGACCTTCAAGAAGTCCTGTGACGAGTCCCGTGCTGGTGACAACTCCGGTCTCCTTCTCCGTGGTGTCAAGCGTGAGGATCTCCGCCGTGGTATGGTCGTTGCTGCTCCCCAGAGCACCAAGGCCAGCAACAAGTTCCTGGTCTCCATGTACGTCCTGACCGAGGCCGAGGGTGGTCGCCGTACTGGCTTCGGCGCCAACTACCGCCCCCAGGTCTACATCCGCACTGCCGATGAGGCCGGTGATCTCAGCTTCCCCGATGGCGATCTCTCCAAGCGTGTCATGCCCGGTGACAACGTTGAGATGATCCTCAAGACCCACCACCCCGTCGCTGCTGAGACTGGTCAGCGCTTCAACATCCGTGAGGGTGGCCGCACCGTCGCCACTGGTTTGATCACCCGTGTCGTTGAGTAAATGCTCTCTTCGCGCACCATTCCCCTCTGGTCAGAATCCCTGACCCTTGTATTATGAAACCACTTTTCTTCCAGTTTGTTTGTTAGGCCCCTTATATCTCACAGCGCGGGAATCATCGATCAGCACGAGGTCCGGCGGTAATCCGGAGTTTTCGATTGAATCTTGTCCATGTACCTTTACTACCTTGGAATGTAGTCAGATTTTCTCCTATATTCTCCACTCCCGTGAAAATGTATTCAAAAATTTCTCAAAGTCAAATCTTTCGACTCCAAAGTCCCGTAAGCAGCTAGGTCTTCGCCGGCTCATATTAGTAGTCCTCTTTCAGTGCGTCAATAGATGAATGTCATGTATATGATCAGCCTCCTATCTATTACACTAATATTCTCAAACGCAAACAACGTGAATTATAGTTCTGGTCCAATTTAATCAAGGGATCCTACAACAGTCGGTTTTATAGATTGCCCGATTTATATACGGAGGTAAGCAGATGCTGCATCCGATTGGCTCGGACGAACCTTCGACCGCACAACTTCGGCCGAACTTGACGGACAAGCATCTATAGGCAACGAACACACGTACCTTCTTTCTAGAATACTCTGACAATCTGACTCTGATTACATGCATGTCTGACTTTTGACTTGTTTCTTTTTTTGTTCTACTTGCTTTGAAGAACGGAAAGTCGTGACTTGCCACCATGCTATGAGAAGCTGACTGCAAATATCTCTTATTAGATGCAGCTTGTGATCTCCAGCTAAGACACACCTCTATTCCACATTTATATCTATCTATTACAGCTATGGAAGATTGGGTTGATCAAGGACCACCGCGCAAGAGGATGAGGAAGGGGACTAAGAGCTGCATGGAGTGTATGTATCAAACCGACCTGGCTTTCGCGTCTCGCTCCACTTCAACTGCTGATATCGACTATTTATAGGTCGGCGGCGCAAGATCCGATGCACATTCCACCCAGATCGCCCCGGGGTCTGCAATGAATGCCGATCTAGAGGGACAAAGTGTATCGACCAAGAACACACCGTCATTACCCCTCCACTTTCAGGTTCGCATTTGTTTCAAGGAGAGCAACCGTACAGCCTCCGGGAACGAGTTGCGCATCTGGAACATATTGTGGAGGGCTTGACTAAACGATTAGATCAACGGAGCTCGCGTACTCCGTCTAGTGAGAGGCACGAGTCGATCCAGCGTTAGTATATATCCGACTTGTCTGGAATCACTTTATCGCTAACATAACCCAGCGATGAAATGTCCGAGTATGAAAGAAAAATGTCCATTGGAAACCACCGCGTCAGACGAATTAGGCCCATCGAGTGATCAGATCCGAAATGCACCAGTCCTGCAACTTTTCGACAACTACCTGGTGAGCCGGCGCGAGGATACGTCCGACAACGATAAATTCGCAGGTGTCAAGGACATGTCACCCAAAGCGCACGCCGTGCGCGCGGAACTGCTGTCTATGCTTCCTCCAACACCAGACGTGAATAAGATCATCAATGCCTCCTTCCACTGGTTTGTGTGGCAAGATCATTTTCCAGAGTTATTCAACCGCGCTGATAAGAGGCTTGTCGTTGGTGACCACTGCAACGAAACTCTTGTAGCGCCTGCTGAAGTAGCGAAGGCACTCATGTGTCTTTGCATCAGTGCGATTCATGCTCCGGATGAGTTCAATTTCCAGGCTTTGACTGAGCCATTTGATCCGCAAGCATTCTATGATCGATGTGTCACCTCGGTGGACCGTTTGATTGTTCGCGACGATGACTTTGCGGCTACATTGCCAGGCATTGAATGCCAAATGTTGCTTTCCAAGCTGCATTTGACCGAAGGCCGGCTTCGAAAAGCTTGGCTGGTGAATCGCCGAGCGATTGAATTTGCCCATTTGGCTGGAATGCACCTCTCAACCAAGGTCCCTAAACCGGAAGATTCGCTATATGAACGGCGCCTAAAGATTTGGTGTTCGCTGGGAACATCAGACAGATCACTGAGTCTCATTCTCGGCTTGCCATATGGCGTCGCTGAGGGCTTCTTCTTACCGCAGGTCGAGCAACGTCTCAATTCGAAAATTGCAGCACCAGAGGCATACTTGCTCCGCATTGGTATAATAACAGGACACATGGTTGATAGAATCCAAGATCCATCTAATATGTCGCTCGAAGCAACAATCCGACTGGATCAAGAATTACAGGATTCCTGGAAAGCCATGCCAAATCATCTCCGCAGCGCAGATCCTTCTCCAGGCGAAAGAAGGGAGCACTACCTTGAAAGGGTTCCACTGCAATTCATGCTTAAGCTACTTCGGGCTCTTCTCCATCTTCCTCTGATGCTGCAATCCCCCCACAACCCTCAATTCAGACCCTGTCATAAAATCGCCATCGATTCTGCACGAGAAGGCTTATCGCTGTACAAGGTGCTCCGATCAACGACCAAACCGTACTTGTGCAAAATGATGGACTTCATGGCCTTCACCTTGTGCATGCTTCTGATTGTCCATCTGCATGGTTACTCCGACGAATCACCAGACCACAACACAGAACAAGACGAGCAAGACTGGGGCTTAGTCGAAAAAGTTGTCGAAATTCTTCGTCGAGCAGCAACAGAACCTGGAGGCTCAGTTGCTGTCGAGTCCGCAAACATTCTAGGTGCCATATTTGATACAAGAGGAATTAAGCCAGACTGGAACAACATGCAAACCTGCAAAATCACCGTGCCCTACTTTGGTACTATCACAGTGGGCGCAGGAACCAAATTCTCTAAGGGTCCCGCCAAAAATAAAGATCAGGAATCTAATATATCAAACACAGCTGGAACAGAGGGTTCTTGTCCCGGACTGCAGTCCTGCGTGCCCTACACGCCGCCCATTTCTGACCCAGAAGGTCCATCAACTACCAGCACCGAGGCCTTGAATGGAAACAACCTCACACCATCCTTGGAGTCTGGGTATCCAGATGAATCTTGGCTTCCAAGAGGGGAGCCACCCACGAACCCGTTTGTTGGCTTGGAAGTCAACGCTTTTAGTGGGCTGTTTGATGATTTTGGCCAATACATGTGGCCTAATCCTGATGTTGATCTTGGACTTGATCAGGGCTGGAACCTGAACTGGTACGATGGAGTGCCGCCTCAATAATTTAGATACCCCTTACCCCTTCATGTATATAGAGCGTGGCTGTATAGTATGGCGAACAACGATCTCCTATCCACTCTACCCATGGACACCCTTCAAAAGTAGCTAACTAGACACACAAACCACTTCGGTGATGTTTATTGACAGGAAATAATTCAACAAAATCAAGTACTGAACATATTAATTAACATATTTTAACATATTGAACCCCATATCGAAACTCCATATGACTTCACACGCCACCGGGTTATGTAATGTTTTCCCCAGCAACGACCTCGGGACCTCAAATGACCTCGTGAAACAACCTTGTGATTCTTCCTATTCGACACGTTTCGTCCTTTTGTCTTTGTGTTCGTTTAGATCCTCCCGTCTTTGCTCCTACAACTCTGGCCATCCCGAGCAGACACCTTCCCCCCACATAGCACAGGGAGCAATAGATCGACCATGTCTGAACGACGCCCCTCAGGGTTAGAAAGAAGCCCGACAGCGCCATCTGTCCTGTCCAATGGCCATTTTGCCTCGATCGGCGGCGACGGTGACACTGCATCCTACGAGCATGGTGTGCAGGTCATTGATGAGAATAAGGAGTTCAAGTACGGCCACCTACACCTAGACCCAGACCCCCTCAAATGCGCTCTGCCACCACCACGACCACCACAGTCCCTCGTACGCAACACTAATCGCATGGTTATAGTCCCAACTTGTCCAAATACTTAACTCTCGAAAATGTCACGCCGGCCGGCTTCAACTACCACCTCATCTCCGTGTTTGGTTCGCAGTCCACCGGAAAGTCAACATTGCTCAACCACCTCTTCGGCACCGAGTTCTCGGTAATGTCCGAGCTGGAGCGAAGGCAAACAACAAAGGGTATCTGGCTGTCGAACAATAAGAAGCAAGGTGAGGCCGGCGCGGAGGAGCGCATGGCGGATAACATCCTGGTTATGGATGTGGAGGGTACCGATGGTCGCGAGAGAGGTGAGGACCAGGATTTTGAGCGCAAGAGTGCGCTTTTCGCGCTAGCCACGAGTGAGGTTCTTATTGTCAATATCTGGGAACACCAGGTTGGCTTGTACCAGGGTGCCAACATGGGATTGTTGAAGACCGTCTTTGAGGTCAACCTGCAGCTCTTCCTGAAGGATAAACAGTATGTGGCATTTGTCTTGGTTTGTGCTTATGTCCGGTCTAGGCGCTAATAAGCTTGCAGTACTACCCACCGTTCTCTCCTTTTCTTCGTCATTCGTGATTTCATCGGCACAACACCGCTCAAGAACCTCCAGAAGACATTATTGGAAGATTTGTCCCGGCTCTGGGCGACGATATCGAAGCCGGCTGGGTTGGAGAACTCTACGATCCATGATTACTTTGACTTCCAGTTCTACGGACTCCCGCATAAGGGATACCAGCCTGACCAGTTTGTTACGGAGGCTAAGAAGCTGGGCTTGCGCTTCCGGGAGGGCCATCGCGATCCCAAGAGGGATGCGCTCAAGGGCGAATTTTCCGAAGGGGGTGTTTTCTTACCTGAATACCACCGTCGCATCCCAGCGGATGGATTCTCACATTATGCGGAGGGAATTTGGGATCAAATTGTCAACAACAAGGACTTGGACTTGCCAACTCAGCAGGAGTTGCTTGCCCAGTTCCGTTGCGACGAGATTCTGCGCGAAGTGATGATTGGCTTTGATGAGGCGATTATCGCATTTGAAGATAAGCAGGCTGAGGCCGTGCGCCTTGGCGCACCAGAGGTTCTTGGTGGACTGGGTGTTGCCATGCGCGGTGCCCGCTCCAAGACTCTGAAGAGCTTCCAGACAGAAGCTAGCCGATACCACAAGGGTGTATACCAACGCAAGAGTGCTGAGCTTGAGAGCAAGGTTGATACTCGTCTGAAGGCCCTGTTCCACGGTCAGCTTTCTGCTGCCCACAAGTCCGGAATTCGTGAGTTCAGCGAATCTGTCTCTGCTGCAGTGAAGGATGGCCAGAAGAAGGGTGGTAGCTATGACTTTGCCGAGATTGTCACTCGGGAAGCCCAGGGCTCGATGGAGAAATTTGAAGAGGTTGCCCGCTCTACATTGGTTGAGGGTGCCAAGTGGAGTGACTACAAGCAAGAGCTGGCTCTTTACCAGAAGGAATTGTCTGAAGTTAGTGCCCGCCTCCGCCGTGATGAGATGAGACGTTTGGCTACCCGTGTCGAGCGCTGGGTGCAATCTCGTCTCGGCGAATCAGTTGGCCTTGAGTTCAATGCTCTTGGATCAGGAAGAGCTGGTAGTGGCGCTCCCGAGAATGGAGAGAAGCCCACCGAGAAGGCTTTCTGGGACCGCATTTGGAACCTGTTCGAAGAAACCGTTCTCGATGCCGAGCGCCGTTTCACAGACCGTGCAAGCAGCTTCGACGCTAGCCTCGATGAGGTCGATGTCGGACTCTGGCGTTTGCGCCGCAAATCTTGGGGTGTTCTCCGTGCCAAGATTGACGAGGAAATGATTGAGGGCAACTTACTTCTCAAGCTCCGTGAGAACTTCGAGGACAAGTTCCGCTATGACGAGGAAGGCGTTCCACGCATCTGGCGCCCAACAGATGACATTGAGGGCATTTATACCCGCGCTCGCGAGTCCACCTTGACCGTTATTCCTCTTCTGTCTCGTTTCCGCCTGGAGAAGACCTCCGCTCCTCCCCCCCTTGACCGCTGGGTCGGACACACCCCGAGCACCGCAACCCCCGCGGACGAGGAGGACTTGCCCCCAATTGGCGGCGTAGACGAAGACGAGGGCAAAAGTCTGGAAGAGGAGATGACCATCCTCAGCGACTCAAAGCGCCAAGAACTCACCGTCCGCTTCAAGAAGACCGCTGACGGCGTCTACGTCGAAGCTAAGCGCAGTGCCATCGGCGGCATGACACAAGTGCCATTGTATTTCTACGGTCTACTCCTAGCCCTAGGCTGGAACGAGATCTGGGCTGGTAAGTCTTTTCTTTCACATCCATATACCCCACACCCTACCCTAAACTCACAAAACTTCTTAGTCCTCCGCAACCCAGCCTACTTCATCCTCCTCTTCGTCTGCGCTATCGGCGCATACATCACCTACCAACTCAACCTCTGGGGCCCCATGCTCAAGATGACCGAAGCCGCCTCCCAGCAAGCCCTGGAAGAAGGTAAGCGTCGCTTGCGCGAGTTTCTCGAGTCCTCCGACACCGGTCGCCAAGCTATTGCCATGTCGGCTGGTGAGGGGAGCGCCGGCCGCAAGGAGGAGTATGAGATGTCGGATTTGAAGACGGGTGGCTCGAAGGCTGGTGACGATGTGGATGATATGTAACTTCCTTTTGCTTGCTGTGCTGCTTGTCCTAGCGATCACCCTGTATTTTACACGTACTTCTTTGGGTAGTTTCTATATGCACCTTTATTATACTTTTTTGATCTTCCCTTGTAGACGCGAGGCTTATTATTTGATGTATTATCCACAACCGGGACCATAAAATCGGTTCACAATGCCATGAAGCACTAGACAAACTCTGTACGAAATCCTCAACGCAAGTGCTCAGCGGAGATCGGCATTCGGGCTGAAGCCTGGCAGCATCAGATCGTGTTATTGGAAGATCCACTATCGCTGTCTCGGGGACAAATACAGACTTCATTTGGACATCCCGAGTCTTGGCCCTGGTACCTCTGCGCACGATCGTGGAGAGATAACGTAGAATTTAGGCCGGGCACCCACTTTCTCGCGTGTGTACGTGGGTATTTCCATCTTCCCCAGACTCCATATTCGCGGGGATGCAAGTACTTGTTACTCGTGATCTTGTCAGGTTTCTCCTGTGACGCAAATGGCCGCCTGGACCTGGACCCCCTGATTCCCTGATCAGCCAATAGAATCATGGAGCTACCAGCGGAATCAGGGAAATGTCTGGCTAGCGTTTAGAAGTTGTGTGCCTCTCCCGCTGCCGGACGCCATCGTCTACTCTTAATTCGACGCCTGTTGTTGCTCCTGCGGGCAAAGGGGTATAGATCTAAGCAGGACATACATTTTCCAGCGCGATAGGTTGTACGTGAAGGACCCCCTGTGTTTGCAACCCCACACCGATGTATTCCGCCCTGGAAGTACAGCAACACCACCCGGGGCCAAGGTCCATTTGCCAAGAGTATATGATGTTGCTAACCCAACATGGCAAAGCCGGTTGTAATCTCTTTAAACTGTATCGCTGGTTCGTTGATTTATGCTATTCCTATAGGTCGCAGCTGCATTCACATGTCCATACAAATCTCCAAGGCTTGCCCAGGAAATCCAAGACTCACTTATTTACTCCCTCCCCTGTCACTGGAGCCTTTGACGAGTTTCATGACACTTGACGCTCTTTAGCTTATCTTGTCACTTCTTGGCCCATCCTATCAAGAACTAGCAATAGACATCGTCGCTATGTTGGGCATCCCGAGATAGTTCGGCCTGCGCGGCAATGCCCTCAATCTGGCCATCAGCTGGATTGCCGGGCTTGATTTTCTGTTCGTTGCATATTCCACAGCTTCCACCTCAGAGCGAAGCAGAGCGCAGAAATCCCCACTAACTCTGAAATCCATCTGTTAGACTCTTCGGCTACGACCAAGGCGTAACAGGCGGCTTACTCGATCTGGAATCCTTCATTAAGTATTTCCCAGACATAAACGACAAAGCACAAGGCATTAGCGACGCCGAATCAAAAGCACGATCAACGTATCAGGGAATTACCGTCGCAGCATACAATCTAGGATGTTTTCTAGGAGCCGTATTTCCCATTTTCGTGGGAAACCCGCTCGGCCGTCGAAAGACGATTTTCTACGGCTCGATTATTATGACTATCGGCGCACTGTTCCAATGCACTTCATATGATCTGCCACAATTTGTGGTAGGGCGCATTGTTACAGGCTGGGGAAATGGGATGAATACTTCGACTGTTCCGACTTGGCAGTCTGAGACGGCACAGGCCCATGCGCGTGGCAGGTTCGTTATGATTGAGGGAATGCTGATAACGGCTGGAATTATGATTAGTTATTGGATCAATTATGGTAGGTCCAAACGCTCTTAGAAGCATGTTTTTTTTTTAAAAAAAAAAAAAAAAAAAAAAAAAAAAAAAAAAACAAAATCCTCGTTAGCTAATGGCCAATAACTATAGGCATGGCATGGATTGGCGACAAGGAAGTGTCATGGCGTTTCCCGCTCGCATTTCAGATCGTTTTTGCTCTGATAATTTTCTCCACGATTCTCAATCTTCCGGAATCTCCTCGCTGGCTGCTCATGCAAGGCCGCGATGAAGAAGCACTTGAAGTCCTGGAAGCCTTGAACGATAAACATCGCGAAGATCCATTCATCAAGAATGAATTCGAGTCGGTTAAGCCGACAGTCTTGGAGATGTCCAGGGGCTCTTATGCCAGTCTGTTGAAGATGTCTGAGTACCGCGAATTTCACCGAGTGGTGCTTGCATATGTCAATTAGATGTTCTAGCAAATTTCTGGGATCAATTTGATTACATACCATGTGCGTTGTCTACCGCATAGTGCGTATTTTGCTGTTGATACTGACTAATTACAGGCACCACTTCTATTCCAGAATATTGGTCTTGGCCATAACAATTACCCTAAGTTGCTGGCAGCTTGCAATGGAACGGAGTACTTCCTAGCCTCATTGATTCCAATCTTCATCATTGAAAGGGTTGGTCGGCGCAAGCTAATGCTTTTCGGGGTAAGACAGTTCCCTTTCCATTCTACTGTCGTTCTACAAATACAGTGACTGTGGCTAATGACGGACCCGTCATAGGCAGCCGGGATGTCACTTTCCATGGTCGCTTTAGCAGTCTCATTACAACAGCTCCAAACGAGCCAGGCAGAAGGGAAAGGAAACACAGCCGGTCCTGCACAAGCGGTGTTCTTGTTCGTGTTCAACACCTTCTTCGCCATTGGCTGGCTAGGCATGAGCTGGCTTTATCCTGCTGAAATTGTGCCCCTGAGAATTCGAGCGCCGACAAATGCCTTATCTACGAGGTGAGTGGAAATAAATTGAACGCGAATCTTTCATCATTCGTAAGGGCTGTATGCTAACCTAGTTCCTACTTTTAGTGGCAACTGGATCTTCAACTTCATGGTCGTGATGATCACACCTGTGGCATTTGCCAACATCCAGTGGAAAACTTATGTCATTTTCGCCGTCATGTGAGTCTTGCTCTACCTTCATCGAATGATTTAACGTGCTGAATCACCGTTTTCAGAAATGCTGCCATCTTCCCGGTAGTATACTTCTTCTACCCGGAGACGCGATATCGTTCCCTGGAAGAGATGGACGACATCTTCAAGAAGTCAAGTAACGTGTTGGATGTCGTGTCAATATCCCTCAATGAGCCGCACCGATACGATAAGCACGGTCAACTCAAGTCGGAGTACATGGATGATGTCGTTCGGCGAAAAAATGTACATGATGAGCAGAAGGTCGAGTATTCGGAGGGATCCTCCGGAGGCAATATTTGATTGGGCTTGCTCAATATAAACTCCGGTAGATTCATATTTTAACTTGACGAGCCATTCCGTGATACGCTATAGACTCTGAGTACGTATATAGAGTCCTGCGGATGAAGTGTACACCAGGCTCCACACGAACACGCCAAAATAACCATTTGAGGCTTTTCTTTCGATCTCCTTTCATACCTTCTTTTCACCTCTTTTTTTTTTCACCCATTTTCGAAGTCCTAGAGTTAGTAGTTCCAAAATGGTAGGATTGATCATGTAGACTGTGAATCGACTCATGACTATAAATGTATGAATGATAAATCGGACCCTGTTTCACGTGTTCCAATCCGACTGGGAGAAGTAATCATCCAGGGACAAAAAGCTTGTCAACGTTTCTGATGAAGCCAACGTATTGCGGGGTCATAGCCACGTCAACGGACCTACTCCGAGTGGGGGTTGTTTATAAGGTCTCGGTTTCCCCATTTCGATCCTCGTGTTATATTATTTCAAGCAATCCACCATGTCTGGCATCCCCGATATCCCAGAGACATACGATGATCTCCCTGACAAAAGTCGCTTCTGGCCTGGAGCCGCAGGCTCAGAGGAAGAAGGTCTTGGAATGCTTCGACTCCTCACCCCGGAGATAGTTGCACAAGCTGCGCAATCCCAAATCCAAACTGGCGAGCGCGTATGCTTAAACTGGAACATGGAGAATCTAACTCCACCAGGTAAAGGATGCGCTCAGAAGAAAACAGGGTCTCTAGAGAACGCAGAGTTAACCAAGGTAAAACAGGATTCGGCCGCAAACCATTCGAGCACCGCGTAAAATGGGTCGCAGAAGGTGTCGCCTTTGACGACGAGTATCATTTCAACCCACAGCAATCCTCCCAATGGGACGGACTGCGACACCACAACGCGCCAGCACCCACACCCGAAAACAAAGACCGACGCGTATTCTACGGCGGCACAACCGCCGCCGAAATCCAAGATGAGAAGTCGTCACGCATTGGAATCGGGCACTGGGCAAAGAAAGGCATAGCCGGTCGCGGCGTGTTAATTGACTACGTCTCATACGCAAAGAAGAAGGGCATCAGTCTGAACGCACTTACACGCCAGATGATCTCACTGGACGAGGTCCTGGAGATCGCGCGCGAGAGCAACATCAAGTTTCAGAAAGGAGATATCTTCTTTTTGCGAGTTGGTCTACCGGGGACGTGGGAGGGTATGTCGGGCGAGGAACGATTGGCCTATTCGCAGCAAGGAATGCCACAGCATGCGGGGATTGAGCAGAGTGAGCGGGTTTTGAGATTTATATGGGATAATCACTTTGCAGCCGTGGCTTCTGATGCAGTTAGCTTTGAGGTTTATCCTGCTCTTAACCCTGATTTTGATTTGCATCATTATCTGCTGGCTGGTTGGGGTATTCCTATTGGGGAGATGTTTGATTTGGAGGAGTTGGCTGCCACATGTGAGCGTTTGGGTCGTTGGAGCTTCTTTATCTCGAGTAGTCCGTTGAACTGTTCTCGGGGTGTGTCTAGCCCGCCTAATTGTATGGCTATCTTTTAGATCATTGGGGATGTAGCTTAGTGAACTGACAGACTTGAATCCTGGATTCGGCAGTGGATCATTGAAATTCGATTCTTGAAATTCGATTCTTGAAATTCAGATCTGCTATATCTATATTGATGATTTCTTCTCCTCAAAATTTGGTACTTCAATGTATTTCATTATACCTTTGACAGGGTAGTGGAACATGGGCTCAAAAGAGGTGTGAAAAGAGGGTATGGATCACAAATCGCGTGGCACTTACGAGAAGTCTAGAAGCCTATCGAGACAGGCATCCAAAAACTGAATTCGCGTCTCTAGCATGTAATGGACAATACTGGTAGATACAAGTCAGCTGAGGTTGTCCAGCCTTCATTTGTTCATCCCTTCGGCATTGGACCACCACCGAATATGTGCACTACTACGCAAAGACCCGGTTTGAAAATAAGGATTCTGCCTTTGCAAGAGGGTGTTGGGCTGCAACCCTTGATCGAAAAGCCTGTCCATTCTCGGGGGATCTCTTTGTCAACATACCAACCCTTTCTTCTCGCGCCCCTCAATACTTCTCTCTCAATGCTCCTATTACAAGTAATGCTCTACATTCCACATACCCAAAGTAGATGTCATTCTGCCAAGCATCAACTATGTTTGTCCAAACACAAGGAGCGTCGCGTACTAACACTGCCGGGAGGTACTTAAATGCCATGAGACGCATTTGGCGATTTGATTTTTTTGAACGACCACCTCGACAACACACGACACTCTCTTTAACGCCATTCCTAGCCGGAGAATCCTTTCTTTCCCGCTCTACTCACACTCTTTGACCAACATGTATTTCTCTAAGGTAAACCCAGACAATCAACCTCCCCGTATACCTCACTAACAGCCCAAAGACCCTCGCCACCGTGGCTACCTTCGCCATGACCGCCTACGCCGGTATGCCCGTCGCCAGCATTGAGTTCCAGTCCTGGGAGAGCTGCGACGTCGGCGCCCCCGCTCTCGGCCAGCCCAAATTCGTTGCCCGTGTCACGGCCACCCCATTGACCTGTGACAAGACCACAGTCAACCGTGACTGGAGCATCGACAACTACTCCTTCAGCGCCCACCTTGACACCAAGGACACGGCCTACTGCCACGGTGTGATCATTTGGAACAACGACGGCTGCTCCGGCGAGCCCACTACTTTCCTTCCCTTCGATGACAGCCCCTTCGCTGTGGGCAAATGTCTCCCCGACATTCTGGACCCCGGCTATGTTTCCTTCAAGCTTGCTTGCGACTTCCCTGGCCCTGCCGCTGCCGCCGGTGCATTCTAGAGTCGCTTAGTATCTAGCTATGATTGTCGGGATTGTTGATTGGATTCTGTGAAGGCCGTGGATTGACGATGAATACATACTTTCCTTTATAGTATTCTATTTTTCCTTTGTGTTTCTAGTTAATCTTTAATGCAAAGATGTATCCATGGTGGATGACTTGTTCTCAATTCAAATCGGTGTCTGACCACTGAATTAATGCCCTTGCGCTACCAACATTTCCCTTTTTTATACTTCTTTTTAGGTGTAAACATTGAATTGACGACTTATCAATAGGTTATCCCCGGGCATAATCTCCATTAGATTAATAGCTGTGTCTGATAATTTAGCTATCGAAGCGCAACTTAGCATGGCAAGCATGAATTTGAATGGTGTAAGTGCCACGGTTCTAAGATATATACCTCGGTGATCATCAACCACTTTCCCCAATCCTTCCCCTACACTTTACCCTTCAATCTTATTTACTTATAAATCCAAGATCCAATCCTATAATAGAGATCTTCACGCGCGAATCAAGCGGAAAACAAGTAGTGATATATTTCTTGGCATAGATAATATGGCCCCGAAACATTGGTGCAGAAAATAACGCAATTGACATCATGGGATGCAATGCGACCGAAGAAAGGAAATAAACACTTACAATTTGTTTTCCAATTAATGGTCAATATGCATTCTCGTGTAGATCTAGCACTGTAGGGGTTTACATTTAACAGTAGCCGTTGTGCCTCTGGGCCCGCGCTGGCGCGGGATAAATCAAAGATCAGAATACAAAAAAATAAAAAAAAATAAAAAGATCCATGTGAAAAATATCCTACGATCTGCATGAGTAACTATAAATAAGTATTGAACTGCATGAGATACCGCATTACTATCCTAGTACATCTCAAGCCAGTGGGGGGCGGTTCGTGTCGTTTCATGCCTATGGGGCACAAAGCTGAGCTCGTGGACCTTGTAATCGTCTATCTCGAGTTGGTAGGTAATGTTTAATTCTGTGCCTATTTTGTATCAAGTTAAGCTAGGTACTGACCACTGTTAAGCATCTTTTGGGCAAAAAAAAAAGACACCCAGAGAGTTGTGCTACGGAGTGGCTTAGCCCTATTTGAATATCGCAAAGGATCGGCGACCAGCAAAAGTGTGCCTTGGCCCCCAATATGCGCCTGGGTAAAGGAGAAGCAGACACTCCCAAGCAGACTAACATATTACTGGTCGCGAAACTTCTTTGAAGCTCTCTAGGTGCAGAAGTTAGCGCCGCCCCGGCCCCCGGCCCCCATAGTCCCGCGTCCATGGATGCCCATTCTTATATACTACCACAATGAGGCTCTAATATGCACACGCTGGTACGCTGAGGGCTAAGTCAGACGGGCTGTGAGTTACTGTAAATAGGAAAAACGGTTGAATCTCTATTATTACTTGTTTGACCTGAAGATAAATTTGCTCCTATGCCCCCCAAGCGTCTCATCACAGTTCTTTTCGTCTATACTTCACACAAGCTTTTATTCACAAATAGCTATCCAAAATGCAACTGGTTGCTCTGATTTGCCGTTTCTTCCAGGTAGGCAGAACGGACCCAGATACCTTGACTACCTGCTAATGCCAACACAGCTCATCTTCACTATTGTCGTCCTCGGCCTCTCAATAACTCTCGCCAAAGGCCAACAAATCGGCTCCGTCCCCGCTGAAACAAGTTATGGTGCCTTTTCTGGCGGTATCGGTATCCTCGCCGCACTAATCGGTGTCGCTGCACTCTTCATCGAGTCACTTGATGGAATCATCACCTGGATTCTCGACGGCGTGTCTGCCCTAGCACTGCTTGCTGCTGGTGTCGTATGTCTCCCCCCATTGGAAAACTTCTTATATGGGTATGACTACACAGAAGAGTTCTAGCTAATATGGTATCTCGTTTAGATCTTCGCCGTCCGACTGCACGGAACGAACTGCTCTGACTTCAGTACTTTGTTTGGACAGAAGCTGCTCAGTGGCGGCTGTGTCAAAGCCAATGACAAGACCACTTATTGTTATTGGGATGAAGATCACTTCAAGTCTAGGTGTACTTCTGCTACTGCGGATACCGCATTCATGTTCTTGGGCTTCCTTATGTGCGTTGATGTACTGGTTGTGTCTTACATCTTCCGCAACAGACGCTAGACTGGAGCCCATGACTGGAAGGATTATATTGTTTGCTGCCTCTCCCGAAGGCGAATTGTGTCACCAGTTTCTCCCCTGATGGCTGCGCAGTTCGAAGATACCCCCCGCATGAGATATAATGATATGATACTGCCGTGGAATTTTAGAAAAAAAAAATATAGGAAAACACTAATCCGAGGCCGCGTCAATGATCAAGGTTGAGTACTGCATGTAATGGTTCATAATATACAGGAGCATGTTGTAGCATAAGTAATCCGAACAAAAGTAGTTGCCATGAGAAAAAGGAAACAAAAAACAATCATGCACGCTCAATAGTGAATTGCAAAGAAACCTCCCATTTCTGGCCACCAGTGCCATACCCACCACCAAGTCTGTTCCTGATCAAGCTGGAGATCTTCTCACGCAGCCGAGCGAGATTCTCCTCAGTGCCAGTAACCCGCAGCTTAAGATTAGCCATGCATAGCCCGTAATGGACCTGCCAAAAACGGGCATCATCGATACCAAATACAGCTGGATCGGCTTCGATATCCTTCATCACATCCGAGACCCCTGGACCTGAATAGGACATCAGAAGCATAGAGCCAAGAGTCTTCACCAAGCGCACTCCCATGAAACACATTGAGAGTGCGATCGTTCCGGATAAGAGCTTATCGAGCCAATCATATATCCGGATCGAGACCAGAGGCAACAACAACAGCAGTGCTGAGCATGAAAGAGTCAAGAAATGAGACGGGTTGCTCAGGACGGATGGCAGGGACTCAATGTATGCAAAGCGCATCGCCTTACCAATGCGAGCATGATTCTTAAGTCCAATTGCCGAGACGAGCGTGGAAGAGATCGCCAAAACAGCGGTGATATCCACACTACCCAGCGAAACACGATCATGCTCATGCGAATGGTGAGGCTCATGACCAGCCTTCTCGAGGAAATGCTGCAGGTTATGCGAGATAAGATCCAACCCCATAAACAGGAGGAGAACGCACATGGCGAACCCAGCCAGGACTTCAGCACGTTCCAGGCCGAACGGGTGGCGGATACTTGATCTCTTCCACACTTCGAAATTACCCAACACATCCACTGCAACGCATAGCATAGCTCCGAGTGAATCGAATAGGATCAAGTGTGATAATGCTGTCATAGCCAGGGAGCCGTGGGCCGTCCAGAGTGTGTACGCCGCGACGAACATGTGGCAGATACTCCACCAGAAGCGGGTCTTTTGATCCTTTGACATGCTAGCTCGGCATTCTTTCAGTGTTGGCATCGGAAGGGAGTTTGGGAGGGCTAGGGGCGCGCGAGGTGGAGGCTCGAGGAAGATCTGATGCGAGATGCTACTGTGCTTGTACTTGTGGCCGCGACGTTGTCCAATGTTCTGAATGATCAGTACTTCGTTTCCAGATTGATGGAATGAAATTGGACCCACCGATTTCACCACTGGACTCTTGGCCATAACAGTAGTATTGAAATTAAACGGCCCCGCCGCGGTCATGTCGCCCGAGCCGTTTTCACTCGGTGACACTGCATCTTCGGGCGCCGGGCTCAAATTGAAAGAAGATTTCGTAGGGCTCAATCGGTCTTTGCTCCCGATGTCCATTATGCCCTTTGGGAATGAGGCTTTGAGTGGCGATAGGGAATCGCGATCGATGGGTATCCCTGAGTTGACCTCCGAGGCATGTTGATCATCCGCTGGCGGGGTGGGGGTGCGCGGGGGAATTGGGAGAGGGAGGTTCGAAGCCATCGCGCTGGCTTTGCGAACAGGGATTTGTTATGTGATAGCTGCTATGTACACATGTGGAAGGAGGATGAACCCCCCAGATGATCCCTGGTGTTTCTGTCGATCCCATCACGTGAGGTGTCTAAATATTTAGCGCGTTCCCCTATCTATACACTGTTTCATTGGTTTATGAGCTTGTCGAGCTGGATTTTATTAGATTCAGAGAAATTGAATACTGGAAACTCATAGGTTTGTAATATCATGCAGACCATCTCGCCGGGCTATTTCATAAGCCTGCACAGGCCATTTTACAAGATTTCGGGCGCAGAATATGCACGAATTGACAGAACTCCACTGGTTGTGGTATAAAATACAGATCTAAACTATTTCAATGTACCGCTTGATCTCCCTATAAATATGTTAGCATTGCATCAGTAAGCACCGCGCCTTTTCTTTTGACTTACCAATCAGTGACAGCCTCCCTCCATTGACCCAGCTCATGCTGTCTCGTAGCAGTGAAGAAGTCCACAAACTCAGAATCGAGGATCTCACGAGCAATACTGTTAGGCGCGGAGAACCGATCTAAAGCCTTGTCCAAAGTGTTGGGCAGTAGTTCAGGACGAGAGTCACCTGCTTTGCGCGCTGACATTGGCGGGACATTGATCTCAAGCTTCTTTTGCACACCCCTCCAGCCAGCTGCGAGGATGACACTGAGAGCGTAGTGAGGATGTAAGTCGGCACCTGGGATACGGACTTCAAAACGTGTGGCACCGGCCTTGCAGACTGGCGGTGTGATCAGACGAATGGAGGCAATTCGGTCCTCGAGTCCCCAGCTGATGTGTACTGGTGCCCAGTAGTTTTCGACGAGACGCTTGTATGAGTTGACAGTAGGGGCAAATAGAGGCATGATATCAGGGAGGGCTTCGAGGAGTCCGGCAAGAAAGTGGCGTCCTGTATCGGAGAGGTGGGCAATGTCTGACCATTGGGGGTTTTCCTCGGGAGTCTCGCGAGCGAAGAGGTTCTTACCCTCCTTGTCGGCGAGGGAAATGTGGATATGTCCTGAGCTTCCGGGCATGCCATGCATAGGCTTAGCCATGAAGCAGGGTGTGACACCGTGATCCATTCCCAACGACTTAGTGAGAAGCCTGTATGTTGTTAGTTACGAGAGAAATATATGATTGGGTTGGTGGCACCGACTTGAACATTGCGACCTTGTCTGCCATCTCACTAATTTCAGTAACCTTCAGGGCCTGTGAAATGTCAGAAATATCTCTTATAATTTGAAAGGGCAACGTACAGCTTCGTACACACCGGGCCCGCCCTCAGTGTGCCATCCTTCAATACCGCAATTGATTTGCGCAGCAGTGTTGAAAATATCATAAAAGTACTTCTTGTTGGCAACAGGTCGTGTTGAGCTGTAGCAGAACATGCCAGCTGTGATGGGTCGGAGGGCACTAGGGGCGTTCTTCTCCAGGAAGGAAGCCAGGTTGGGGTGGTTGGAGCCGGCGCTGCCGTATCCGTCTTCGGAGGGAGTCTGGAAGTTCATGAACTCGAGTTCAACTGTTTCGAGTTAGAAAAGCTCTATTAAACACGACGCTGTTGCATCTCACCTCCAGCCAAAGCCTGAATTCCCTCGCCTCCAAGTCGATCGCACAGACTCCTCAACATACTCCGCCCATCAGCCAAGACTGGGTCAGTATCATTGAGGAAGCGCACAAGGAAGAATGGAATATTCTCCTCCCATGGCAGACGGCGGAAAGACTGCAGATCTGGAATGGCGAGGAAGTCAGCATAACCTGACTCTGGGGGCGCGACGCGTGCTTCGGTTGTCCACATCATGTCGTGCATATCCCAACCAAAGAGGGCTGAGCTAAAGCCAAAGCCCTTCTCTGCGATCCCGAGGAACTTCTCCTTGGCCATGACCTTGCCGCGGAGGACACCATCGCTGTCAATGCCGGCGACCTTGACCTTGATGTCGTCCGCCAGGAGGGTGGGGAGGGATTCAACAGTAATCATGGCGGGTGTTATCATTATGAGGACTTGTGAGAATCGAGTGAAGAAAACTGAACGGAAACAGATCTCCCACTGGCCACCACGGCTCTATTATACAATTGCGCGAATTGCGGGCTATTGGGGAAGCTGCGGGTCTAGCTTGTGGTCGTCATTAATGCCGCGCATCTTGCGACGATAATCCCGCGGTGTACAAAGCGCGCACCATATCGCGCAACCTAGCGATCTGCGATGAAGCTATGGCCGTCGGAAGTTGCTGCGACGGAGTTGCTCCGCGGTCCGCGCTGTAGATTTGGGGTAGCGCGCTTATCGTAGCGTTATCGGTCAAGTATACAATGGACTTGAACAGATTCCACGCTTTACTTGATCATTACAGTCACTATTCAGACACCATGTCGAGCAGTCTTCGCATCGCAGTTCTCGTTTGCGACACGCCAGTTCAGCCAGTCCTTGAAAAGTATGGCGACTACTATGCTATCTTCCAAGGTCTATTGAAGCAGGGCTTCCAAGATTTGGAGTTGCCAGAGGAACTCGATGTCCAATTCAGCGGTTACCATGTCGTGGAAAATCCTCAGTTCCCTGAGCTGCACGACTACGATGCAGTGCTCATGACTGGAAGCAGTGAGCTCTCCCAACAAATCCATGGGGACTACAACCTCAACTGACTTTTATACTAGAACATGATGCCTGGAGCAATGCTGACTGGATTGTCAACTTAACGAGCTACGTGAAGAAGGCGTTTGAAGCAAAGAAGCCCATAGTTGGCATCTGCTTTGGACACCAGATTCTAGCACGAGCACTCGGAGCCAAAGTGGGAAGAAATGAAACTGGATGGGAACTTTCGGTGGAGGGGCTTGATTTGACCGATGAGGGGAAGGAACTGTTTGGAAAGGACAAACTGGTACGGGAGAACTACCCTCTAATGCTATGGCCTCATATCTGACTGAACATAGTCCATCCAACAAATGCATCGCGATATTGTCTTCCACGTCCCAGCCGGCTGCAGCAATCTTGCGACAAGTCCGATTTGCGGAGTTCAGGGCATTTACATGCCGCAGCGAGCATTATCTGTGCAGGGGCATCCTGAGTTTCATGAAGGAATCATGACTCCTTTGCTAGAGTTGAGACATCAAAGCGGGTTATTCAATGATCAATTGTATAAGGATGGGTTGTCGCGCGCGGGGAATCCCCATGATGGGCGGTTGATAGCGAAGACAATGGTCAAGTTCATTGTGGAAGCGCAGAGTAGCAAGTCATAAGCAAATCAGATATTATTTACATCCACGATAAATTACCAAGTCAAGTCCCGATCCTGATAGATGAAGAGTCGGATCTACAGCCTATGTGGGCAGCCCAAGACCGCGGTACGACCTCCGCGCTATAAAGCCCACCACGCCCACCATCCATTCTTTCCACTCTCCAACTTCCACCTCACCATGTCTAACCAAATCCGCACCATTTCTCCTTCCACAAACGAGGTCATCTTCGACCAGCCTGGCACTTCTCTTGAAGAAGCCCTCCAAGTCGCCGCAGACTCCAAGGAAGCCTTTGAATCGTGGCGTACCTCATCATTGGATGACAGAAAGAGCATCGTGAAGCGCGCATTGGATATCGTCGCAAAGAACCTCGATGGACTGTCTAAAGACCTCACCACCCAAATGGGCCGGCCAATCAGGTACTGCGCAGCGGAGATCAAGACAATGGGTCTCCGCGCTGAGTACTTAATGGACATCGCCGAAGAGAGTCTTTCTGATCTACCTGGTCGGCCTGAAGCTGGCTTCCGGCGCATGGTCAAGCGTGTTCCCGTTGGACCGGTCTTCATTGCAGGTACTTGGAATGTGAGCCAATCCTACGTTGCAAAGACTGGATTTATAGCTAATTAGATTTGATAGTACCCCTTCTTGACGACTATCAGTGCGCTCGTACCTGCACTTTTGGCTGGTAACAGTGTCATCTTCAGGCCTTCGCCTCAGACCCCACTATTCGGAAACCGAATGCTGGAGATTTTTACAGAGGCCGGACTTCCATCCAACGTTCTCCAGGTTATTCATATTGGAAACCTGGATGTTCTGGATCAAGTTGTACAGATCCCTCAAATCCAGTCTGTTTCTTTTACCGGGTCGACCGCAGGCGGTATCAGATTGAGAGAGGCAACTACCCGCCACATCAAGCCTGTTAATCTCGAGCTTGGCGGAAACGACGCTGCCTATGTTCGCGAGGATGTCGACGTTAAGAATGTTGCAGAGAACCTCGTCGATGGTGCAGTTTTTAACTCTGGACAGAGCTGCTGTTCCATTGAGCGGGTCTATGTGCACGAGAAGATTTACGATGCCTTTGTCACTGCTGTGCAGGAAGAGTTGAAATCGTGAGTATGATAAGCCTCGAGGAGGAATAATGCTTACATGGAACACAGTTACAAACTTGGCGACCCCCATGACCAGAGCACAACCACTGGTCCTGTCATCTCAGCCCAAGCTGTTAAGAACATTGGTGCCCACGTCAAGGATGCTCTGGACAAGGGAGCTATTGACTCGACACCTGAAAATGCTAGCTTCCAGGTGACCAGCAACCCTCAAACACGGAAAGGAAACTTCGTCGCACCAGTTGTGCTGACTAATGTCAACCACACCATGCGCACTATGAAAGAGGAGACCTTTGGTCCTGTTATGCCTATTATGAAGGTATTCGGCGACGACGAAGCTGTCGCTCTGATGAATGACAGTGACTATGGTTTGACCGCCAGTGTCTGGACAAAGGATATGACTCGAGGAGAAGAGTTGCTTGAGCGCCTTGAGGCCGGTACAGTGTTTATTAACCGCTGTGATTATCCATCTCCGGTAAGAGACTGCAATTGATGCCTATAAACTATATTTCAAAGCTAATACGTGAATATAGGACCTCGCTTGGACCGGTTGGAAGCAATCGGGCTTGGGATGCACTCTTGGGCCCCGGGGCTACGATGGATTCACCAAGCTGAAGAGCTACCACATGAAAGATGCCTCTGCTTGAATAGGGATTTCTTAAGATGGTTAGCTGTATACCTGGAGTCACTATTCAAATCAATGTAATGAGTCACGTATGTTCTTGCAATATCTTCATAAAACTATCCAAAATGCCCCTCACGTGCCTCTATTGTACCCCATACCGGCCACGAATATACTGAGACGCTAGTCATCATAGAACCAACTTCTTGGTAGCTACCCATTAACCCCACAGAAACACACAAAACCACCCAACACATATCTATTACCTTACAGCTCCTCCAGCTATCCCTGGCTATACAGCATGCCCCTCCACCCCACCAATAAGAACCGGCCCCACAACGCGGTCCGCAGCCGCGCAGCCCTAGACCGCGCAGCAGATAGCGCGCCTATGGAGTAAAGCTGCCCCAGAAACAATTTATGCCGCTAAGACAATTTACCTAACAGCTAATGAAGCTACCCCTCAACCCCGCAGCGCGTGTACAAAACATGTAGCTCACCGCGCCGTCGGATATCGCGTGGGTCAGACAGAGCGCGATGGAGATTCGGGCAAGAATCCGAGACCGCGGTTTTGTGAAGAACGAACCCGTGATATTATCGGGTTTCATAGCGAGGGTCTTGTGATACCGTGTGGTTATCTGGTTGGATTGGGATGTGGGGTGTAGATTGGGAAGCTATAAATTTAAGGAATGGGGGCTCTTCGGTCTTTTTTTCTTCTTGTCCTTGTCAATTTTCGTACTCTTTCAATCTAAAATCTATACTATCACCCTAAACATCAAAATGGTTGGCAGACTCGAAGGCAAGAACGCCATTGTCACCGGCGCAGCTGGGTACGTATAACCTCACCTTCCACACTTCACACCAAACCGGGCTAAGAAAATTCCCAAAACAGCGGCATCGGCCTGGAAACAACAATCCTCATGCTCCGCGAAGGCGCCTCGGTCCTAATGACAGACATAAATGAAACCACCCTCACAAGCGCCCTCGAAAAAGTCAACAAGATCATCCCCTCCACCTCCCGCACCGGCAAAGTCGAAACCAAAGCAGTAGATGTATCCCAAGAATCCCAAATCGAAGCCGCAATCGCCCACCTCGACTCCTGGGGCGGGCTAGACGTGATCTTCAACAACGCAGGCATCATGCACCCCAAGGACGGCGACGCCGAGGAGTGCCCGGAAGATATCTGGGACCGCACGATGAACATCAATGTCAAGGGCGTGTGGTTCGGGTCGAAACATGCCGTGCGCGCATTCCGACGCCATGGCAAGAAGAGAGCTTCTGTTATTAATACTGCTAGTATGGTTGCGCTTGTTGGGGCTGCTACGCCGCAGTTGGCGTATACTGCTAGTAAGGGGGCCGTTCTTGCTATGACGCGTGAGCTGGCTATTGTTCATGCTCGGGAGGGATTCAGGTTCAATTCGCTTTGTCCGGCGCCGCTTAAGTATGCTTTTCACCCTCTGGACTTTTGCCTGGTGGGATAGTTTGACTGACGTTTTTTTTTTTTCTTTTCTTTTTTTCAGCACGCCTCTTTTGCAGGATTGGCTTGGTGATGATAAGGAGAAGCGGTTCCGTCGTGAGGTTCACTTCCCCAGTGGACGGTTTGGAGAGGCTATTGAGCAGGCTCATGCCGTTATCTTCCTTGCTAGTGATGAGAGCAGCTTTGTCAATGCTACCGACTTTGTTGTCGATGGCGGCTTGACCAAGGCTTATGTTACACCTGAGGGACCTGCGACGGAGGCACCGAGGAACTTGGCTTCGTGATAGATCATGGTCGATATATTTGGAATGCGCTTTGCTAGTTTGTACATAATATAAGTAACAGAATGACGATCAACATCATGCGAAGGAAATCCAAATTTGATTTTGCTGCATTGCCCGGCAAATATTCCATGGCCCGGCTTCGGACATTGGTAGTAGCCACATTGCTTCGAGGAGGAGTAGTGTGCGATGCATATTTCCAAGACCGAATGCTTCAGTCATGGCAGTTAACCGCGCTCTGAGTTGGGCTTGTTGGTCTGGAGTGACGAGACATGAACCCACCACGGCGATAGGCCAACAGAGGCCGGAGTTAATCCGTTCGTTGGGTGAGAGCTCGCTCAGGTATGACATTGCTTCTGTGACTGCATTGTCAAGCAAACCTCTATAGATTCCATCAGGCGTATGTCGGAATCCCTCAAGCGATGTGTATAAATAGATGAGAATAGCCTGTTGGAAAATCAAGCCAGCAACATGGACCTCCGGCCCGACGGAAGGATAAGGCGACCAGCGCAAAACCTGGGCTTGGATAGAGGCGAACATGGCGAAATCATCAGCTGTAGGAACAGGGGCTTGCGCGTCGTCCATGATCCACTGTCGGCCAAGATCGAAAATGCATGGGATCAGCAGTAGTAGTTCCAGCCAGCAGCCGCAAAGATTGCCCACGTATTGAGTGCGCAGGAGTTCGCGCGATCGCTCTTCCAGGTCGAGGTTCAGGAAGAGTTGGCCACTGTACCGTGCATCGATTGAGATCATGCTCACGGTCGCGGTGTAGGTGTAATATTCGATGACGAAATCTTTTAAGTCTCGCGGAACGGCTGAGTCGCTCTGCGCAAGTAATTTGACCAGTAATGAGTTTGCCGCGGAGAGATGGTCGAAAATCGTCCCGTTCATGTCTCCTTTTGCTGTCTGTTCCTCATCAGCTCAGTCAATAACTTCGCAGGAGAGTTCTTACCTCAGTAAAACACATCAAAAGCGCCCCCACAAGGAGCATCAATGGGTTTGATTCTTTGCCATCAATAAAGTCGGTAACTCCCCGACGGAAATGCTGTAAAGCCTTGGTATAGTGACTGTGGGCAATAGTGTCAGACTCATCTCGCGATCGAAACGCGCGGTGAGCGGCACTCTGCGTAATGACCAACTGCAAAAGCAAATCGCTTGAAAATGCAAGCGGAACAATCTGCACAAGGAATGGATTTATAGGCGTTGAGCCATTCGCCATACAGTCGGCTGTGGTGGCCAAGTAATGACTGAGAAGCTGATAAGACTCGGCATCGTAACCGGGCAACATGGACAGACTGCGCGGCAACACATGTCGCATCGAGAAAGCCGACACAAGTGAATCCCCGGCAGGAGTTACTGAGACCGGGCGTGGAGGGCTGGTTTCAACAGGCAACGGGGACTCAACCGGGTGGTCGGCGTCAGCACTGGCAGACTGGGCGCTCGACGAGACGGATCCCGCTCGCGACGAGGGACTTCTCCCAGCTAAGATCCGATCAGGGGACTCAATGCTTTGCAAAGGACTCGGTCGGCGCTGTGATGTTGGCGAGTTGGCATCATTTGGCGCGGAATCTCGTCTGCCGGGCACATTGGCAGGCCACGAGCAGTCTAAGTGGTTCCGTTGACAGCCGCCACATATTGGGCGTGATTCATCGCATTTCTTCTTTCGTCGTCGACAGGTCCAACACCCTGTACGCACTCGAACTATTCGCTGTACACGGTCCGGCATGGGAGATGTGAGAGGGAAACGGCAGATAACCAAATGTGGGGTACAACGCCCGGGGGCAACTTAGGTTTCGATTGGGGGTATAAGGGGCATTTATCTTCAACTAATTACAGCATTTCAATCACTAGGTCATTACATCTTGTCACAAAGTCCTTTGCGTCGTTTCCATCGTGCCAGGCATCGTTAAATGCCGCACTTAACGACATACGACCGCGGAATGTGCCCAGGAAGAGTCCAAGTCCGGTTCCGAGTTCGTCGCCCGTTACCCATGGATCGTCCAGTTCGAATTTACCATGTGTGGGGGCCAGAATGTGTTCAATCACTCCCAGACTGGCGATTGAAGCTGATGGTGCAGGGTTTGGAGGCGGAACTGGGGGATCTTCCAATCCCGGGGGATACGGGGGAGTGGAAAGATACCAATACGAGGGAACAAGACGGATATGTTCCTTGTCATCTCGCATATTCAGGTAGTAGTCTTTGACCTGCTTGACCGTTTGTACAAACTCGGCTTTCCTCTCTTCGGTTGTTGGATTGGACTTTCCGAGAGCTGGCACCGTCAAATCGATCGCAAGACTTTGCCCGGAGACAGAGTGGTAAACAGAAGCAGCATGCTGTGGCTTGTTGTACGGTTCCTTGCATTGACTGCGCTCATTGATTGGCGAGTAGCTAATGTATCTCACTCTTCGCTTCTCGTGCTCTCGCGTTTGCAAATCACGAACAATGATGGCGATTGCGGCATGGTAGACATGCGTGATGCTAGCATCTAGTTTCTTGCTCGCCGCCAAAAGTTGTTGAGTCTGCTCTTCACTGAGAGTCAGCGAGACTCGTTTGTGGTATCCTGGGACGGTCGCTCCCGATTGATGAGGGATTTGAGCAATCTCAGCCTCCTCGAGAACCGCGGTATTTCTATCCATGATACTCCTAAGCGTAGGATCTTGCTCTGGGACATCGAGATCAGGAATAGAAGCGGCTGTTTTCAACGGCGGGCTAAGATTCTTCCATTCATCACTGAACTCGGGAATGGGGAAAGTCTCTGGGCGATCAAATGCCTCAGACGCACATTTGAAAAGGTTGTCCAGGAGATGAAGCGATCCAATTCCATCAATAATTTCATGATGCGAGCGGAGTACGAGGTCAGCGCGGAAATGGCCGTCGACTGGCGCACGTTTGATAAGGAACAAGGTCGGCAGTTTAGGCACGGGGGGGTTCGAATTGCACCATTCGTGGCCCGACTGGTTATTGGAAATTACCTGGAATGTGTTTTTCAGCCAAGCTGTCTCCCCCTCGCCGCCAAAAGTTTCGTAGATCTTGTGGCATTTCTTCGCGTCGTGGTTATACTCCACCCATGATGCGATGGTGGGATGGTCGTATCGTAGTCGCAACCAAGCTATGCGCAGTGCATTGAGAACGCGAGCTTCGTTCGCATCGGAAGTAGGATCGGTTGCAATAGAGAAAGAAACATGAGCGGTCAAGGCGAAAAAGACGCGACCGCTCCCTTGGAACCGTTTTGCCAGGGTAGTATAGAACTGCTCGACCTCGTCAACATCACGTTCCCACCGTCCTGACTTGGTTTGTCGCCAGGTGAAGGGCTCATATGGTGGCTGCATGGTGTTCAAAATCTGGGGAAATTAGAAATCATGGAAAGTCGCGCGAGAGAGAGTTGGCGCCCCTTAAATCATTTATGACGCAAACACGAAGCTCAGGCGGCATCCTGGCATTCCGAGTCCCACCTACCAGGTTTCCCCGCCGGGGCTTGGCTAGGTTTGCATCCATTTGGGACAACTGAAGAGGCTTGACCGCAAAGTTTGAGTACTTATAGCTGCTGTTTGTGTTACTTTGTGAGCCTAAAAGCCACAGTGGTTTCAATTTTGTTTAGAGCTTTCGCGATAACACAGAGGTGGGCTCGCTTAGTTTCATGTTCACTTGCTAGAAATAAATGTTCTCGAAATTGTTCAAGATCATCAAATGCACCCCGCAATATTGATCGAGGTCAAAGGTAAAAGCCCCGCTGAACCCCCCGGCTGCCGGCAATGGACGGGGTAAAAGCAATATAACTCTACAATATGCACACGTCAGTCCAATGGGCATCCACAGATTTTTTTGTTTCTTTGCCTATTCGGATTGGTTCAGCAGTATCTTTCCAGGTTCCCCGCATTTCATGATATCATAGGGTACGATTCGGAACTTACCGAAATGATATGTTCGCATCCGTAGGACGCGCTTAGTCGGTTAGTATGCCTTTTCTACTTGTTAAGACTGTTTGACTTCTCATATTTCAATGTAATTAGATGATCGAATATATGACAGCCAATGTCAAAGTCTACATCGCTTAAATATGTCCTAATTATGTTAACTGTGGTCCGCTACACAACTCCGCTCCACTTGTAGTTATTTCATGGATGTAGTCCATAATCGGGATCTCCATAGCAGGTAACTTGTTGTCTCATGACAAGTGACGTTATGAACAAAGGTACAAATTACAGCACTTGTCCTTTTTTCATTGCGATCATGATTTGCCCTGATTGAAGCTAAATATGTAGTCGAATGACCTGTGACACACGTGGATATCTATATGAAGTGAACTAGACCAGAATCCTCCGCCATTGGAATCATAATAGGGCCATGAGTTATTTCACACCCCTACGTGCTTAATGCTTTATCAGTAGCACTATATACAAACACATGTCCCATATAATGGGAGACATGTTAACTCCGTCATCCACTTAATCGTTGGGCAGGGAGTCATCAAGTCAGTGGCTTCTATTCATTAGCCATGGAATGCACAACTTCCGAACACAAGGCGGCCCACACCAAAACATCAGCATCGGACGTCCGAAATCAGCGGAACATCCGACGGTACATGAGGCAGCCACCGGCGATACCAGCGGATATAAAAACCCGCCCACAAGCTTATAAAGCACCGCACCAATCAGAGGCATCCCGTTACCGGGATCATGCCTGGACCAAAAACCAAAGGAGGTAGCAAAGCATGCCGATCATCTACACGTGACTGAAACGTGACCGCGTGCCGAAAACCCGATAAATGACACCTGAGGCCTCACAGCCGTCTGCAGCCAGTTTCGTCCCACGACGGGCCAGGCCGCCAAATGCGAGGAAATTTTGTAGCATGAGAGGGGCAAACGGGTATCCTGTCGTGTCAAGCTTTGAATGTGGACGAATAGTAGTGTGCGATATTGCAACTTGGAGGTCTCCGCTTCTGTTAAGTCCTACTTATCGCCGTTGTGCAGGTTTCTTCTGGAGATTTATGCCTGGGCCCAAGTGTTTTCAGACTTTTATATAAACAGACGGTGCCTCGATGTTTGGTCCCTGTTTTTGAACTCTAGTGACTCCGTGTCGCGTGCCTTCTTCCTTTTACCACTCATAGCTGCTTTTTAATACATCCTTTTCTCTGCGAACTGTTCTTTGCTTTCCTGCATGAGGTTACATCATGTCGGAAGATAATAAAGAATCTGGCCCGGCCAGGTCTCGGTCGACTTCATTATCAAGTTCGGGGTCCGATTCACATGTATCGAGGACGAGATCGCGCTCGCGCAGTTTGGCAGGCTCCCTCAAGACGAGACTGCGGTCTTTGTCGAATCCTGGGATGGCACAGGTCGATCGGGTTTATTCAGGCAGACATATGAATGACCAGTCTGTCTATCATAGTGACGATGGATCCAACGACGAGGAATCACTCCAAGGCGAAGGGAGGCCCGATACGATACAGGAAGTGAGGAACGGCGTCGTGAACGAGCGCGATGTTGATTTGGAGAAGGGCGATGCGCAACATCCCGAGCTCGAGAAATCCAGGACGTCAAAGTCGAATAGGTCGCGAAATGATCCGACATTGGTGTGTACCCCATGCCCGACTTCTTCTATCAAATACTGACAGTCACAGGTGACCTGGGAGGGCCCTGAAGACCCGGAAAATCCGAAGAACTGGAGCACGAAGAAGAAGTGGGCAGCTACTATTACTGTCTCACTGTTCACGTTTATCTCGCCCGTTTCATCTTCGATGGTTGCGCCGGCACTCTCATCACTCGCTGCTGAATTTAACGTTACGGACCAAGTGGTCTCTCAACTCATGCTATCAATCTTTGTCCTAGCCTACGCTGTTGGTCCATTATTCCTCGGTCCTCTCTCAGAAATCTATGGCCGAACAATTGTCCTTCAACTTGCCAACCTCTTCTTTCTCGTCTTTAACATCGGATGTGCGGTGTCAAAGAACAAGGTCCAAATGATCGTTTGTCGTTTCTTCGCTGGACTAGGAGGAAGTGCTCCACTAGCTGTAAGTTTGAACCCTTCTGTAACCACTCATATACCATCTAACATCCCATAGATTGGCGGAGGCGTCCTCTCGGACTGTTTCCACGCCGAAGAGCGTGGAAAGGGCATCGCAATCTACAGTCTAGCACCACTGCTAGGCCCCGCCCTAGGCCCAATCGCCGGAGGTTTCATCGCAGAAAACACAACGTGGCGCTGGGTCTTCTACTCAACATCAATCTTAGACGGTTTGATCCAGGTAATGGGTCTCTTCTTCCTCCGCGAAAGCTACGGACCCAAAATCCTCCTCGACAGAGCAAAGCGCATCCGCAAAGAAACAGGCGACGAATCCTACCAAACAGAAGCAGAGCGACAAAAGAAGACCCTCCCACAAGTCCTCCGCGGCTCACTCATCAGACCATTTAAACTCCTTCTCACACAACCAATCGTCCAAGTCCTCGCCCTATTCATGGCATACATCTACGGCATCATGTACCTTGTCCTATCGACATTCCCCACCCTCTGGACAAGCCCAGAATATTACAACGAGTCCATCGGTATCGGCGGCTTGAACTACATCTCACTAGGTATAGGCTTCTGGCTCGGATCGCAGATCTGCGCGCCCCTCAACGATCGAATCTACCGCCGTCTCAAAGCCCGCAATGGCGGCGTTGGAAAACCTGAATTCCGCGTTCCACTCTTGTTCGTTGGTGCCTTTTTCATTCCTAGTGGACTGTTCATCTACGGCTGGACAGCGCAGGAACATTGCCATTGGATCGCGCCCAATATCGGTGCTGTGCTCTTTGGTACTGGTACCATCGTTGCGTTCCAGTGTATCCAGACTTACATGGTTGATACGTATACGCGTTTCGCGGCTAGTGCCCTTGCTGCTGGTGCATTTTTGCGGTCTTTAGCTGGGTTTGGTTTCCCGCTTTTCGCGCCATACATGTATAATGCACTGCATTATGGTTGGGGCAATAGTTTGTTAGCTTTCTTAGGCATCATCATTGGGGCTCCTGCGCCTGTGTTCCTGTGGAAGTTTGGTGAGATGTTGCGGAAGAAGAGTACTTATGCTGCTGGATAAGCTTCACATGCACTTTGGTCTGGGTTGACAGTGTTTTGCATTTGTGACTTTGCATTTTGTGAGCGTTTTTGGGTTCCGAAAAAGTTGTTACTAAGATAAATTTAATTCATAAGGGCAAATAAACCATACAACAGATGGTCTATCATATATATGCGCTCACATACTGTGCTCCTCTGCTCTAGGGCTATCCTTACGTCACGCAACACAGACGGGATCTAAATTAGTTTTTCCACTTTGTATGCCTACATATCTTGTTCGCGGTATCAAGCCCATGGTAATGAACAATCTCGCCAGCATATTTTCTGCGTTATGAATGTATGGACCATGCGTTGTCTAGAATCTTCAATTTTTCATGCAGCAATTGAGCAAGTATGGGGCCTGGTGCAGAAAACGAAATCTCGTGGATGAACATTGAATGCTGTGGGATCCTAGGATCTAAACAAAGACCAATGTAATAGTCTATCAACATGGTATTCATTCAATCTTTTTAATAACATGGATCAACTCGTGAAGATTCACAGATAAAACAGCAATGGGGCCCATCATAGGCATTAGAGATACATTATTTACTCGGTGATACCGCACTCCTTCTTACCGTGCTTCTAATAAATCGTTAGCTTATTTTCATGATCAAAGAGGAAGGACGAGAATCATACCAGAGTACGGTGGTACTTAATACCAAGGTTCAGACCAGTGGCTGAGTCATAGGGCACAGGGCTGGTGTAGTTGTAGGTAGGCTCAAGACCGTGGTAAGTCTTCTTAACGACCTTAGCAATGCCGTGGCCAGCAGAGCACTTGCCCTTGACAGTAGGGATAGCCCACTTGGAGGAGTACTCGGAGTAGTCGTTGTCAGACAGAGGGCCGGGGTAGGTCTCGTTGATGTAGGCGTTGGTGGTGTCAACTTCCCAGTTGACGTATCCGGTCTTCTCGGCAACCAGGTTGAGCAGGTTCGCACCGCAGTCCCAGCGACCGAGGGAGGGCAGACCCCAGTTAGCGGACAGGGAGGCGATGATAGAGTAGTGGGTGTAGAAGGTGTCATCAGTTGTGCCACGGAGGTGCTTGGGGATGGCGCCGCCGAGCAGGACGCTGTAGACGCGGTTGGGAACGGAGTAGTTGGCCACCTCGTCAAAGGTGAGAAGAATGAGGTTGTCCTTGAAGAAGTAGTCGTTCTTGAGCAGAGGGGAGAGGAATCGGTTGGCCCATTCACCGGCAAAGGTGATGTTGGTGTCGTGAGCATCGTTGGTCATGTTGGGGGTGATGAACATGTGCTGGGGAAGACGGTGGTGCTCAAGGTCTTCGTAGAAGGTGGTGAAATTCTTCATCTGGCGGGGACGCACGGCGTCGTTGGTGACAGAGTCGAACAGGACCAGTGGGTTGTGCTTGCGCACGTACTGGTTGGGACCGCTGAGAGGGTAGCGGAAGCCCTGGTATCCAGCGTGGGGCATGTCTTCCTGGTATTCACCCCAGGCAATGTGCTTGGTGTCGAACAGATCGGCAATGGTCGAGACATTGGCGGGGATCTGGTGGAAGTCGTCATTGTCCATGCCAAAGTTGTCACCGGCGGCAGAGGCACAGTAGTTAGGCTCCGACGGATGGGTGACAGCAAAGTAGTTGGTCAAGAGGATACCCTCCTTGGCAATGTTGGCCAAGTTCTCGTCCAGAGCGGCGGTATCATAGTCCTAGAAAATGTGAGCACGTGAACACATTCCATATACGGAATGCTGGACAGGGCATACGGTGTTCTCGAGCCAGATGTCAACGAAACGGTCAAAGGCCAAACCTTTGACGTTGGAGACAGGCGAGTAAGGCAAGACAGTCGCACGAGCGGCATCAATCTCGGCCTGAGTTGGATTCTCCTCAGTGATAGTCTTGGCCGCACCAAGGGCGAGAGCGCCGACGAAAGCGAGAAGAGTCTGCTTGGTGAACATGATGACCAGAGATTTATGAGTTGTACAGACGGTGCGATGAGACAGGAAACACAAGAGTAGATCGGGCGATTCATGCGATCTTATAGCTGTGACCTGGTAGCATTCTCGGCTGGAAGTGTTGGAAGCGAGATTTGACGGGCAATTCCGCCCTGGAATGTGAGGCACATGGACAGTTCTGTGACCACGTTCCGATCGGCGCAGGGCTCACTGGCTGCAGTTCCCCTCGATTTCTAGCCTGAAAGAGTCAAGGTCACTCAAGATGGCGGAGTGGGTGACTCTCGCATATATTGCAGTCACCTGGTTGGTCAGTTGAAGCCCCCGGCAGCCCTGGTGCCTGGGGCCGCTGTGGCACGTTGTTGGCGCCTGGGCGCTGACTGGCTGCTTGGTATTCTCCACTGTCAGCCATACAACGCGTCGCCATTAGCGATGTTAGTCCATAGGGAAAAAGAAGCTTTTAGGATCACGCAGAACCGGTGATGCCGTGGAAATTCCAAGTTTCGATTTCGGCTTTCGGGGCTTCTATTGTGCACGGACCGTCTATTGTGGCCTGAGTAACAAGGTGTACGCATCCGATATTACTCCGAACTAATGCAGTCATGCCCTGACACTGCCGCATATTTCAAGCGGTTGTCACCCGCACACAAAGCCGTAAGGCTCAATAGCCAATGCTCATTTGAGCATAGCGTTTCTACTCCAGAAGTTCTTCCTTCTCTCATATAACTCTGGTAAAAAAGTACATATTCAGAGCTTAGTTTACCGTCTACTTACCCTTTAAACCCAATAAAGAACAAAGGACAAATGTTCTTTCCATTAATGTATGTATTATTCGTATGTATTTTAGTTAATAATTTTAAAAGGACTAGTCCCATACAGTTTTGCATCTACATCACATTTTATATTAACATTCTCTATCAGTTTTAGTGTTGTATTAGGTGCAACTATATTAGGTTTCCAAAGTCATGGGTCAAAATCCTTCTCATTATTTGTACCTTCAGGTTGTCCTTTAGCTTTATTACCTTTATTAGTGTTAATTGAATTTATTTCATTTTATCTAGAAATGTTTCATTGGGATTAAGATGAGCAACTAACATATTAAGTGGTCACATGCTGTCCAGATCATCGAGCTGATCGACGTGGAGCGTTGGACGTTGATATTCAATCCTAGACATGGGATCCGTAACGATTCAAGTCCTGAAAAGCTTGAATTGGTCGATTTTGCAAAGGCATTATTGCCAGAAAGCTTGATTAGCATGTCTGCTGCGGAAGCGCAATCATCTGGCTTGACCATCGCCATTTGGCGAAGGCGTTCAACGTGTGCTGATGCGGACACATTCAGAACGCATGAACGTATTTTGTTGTCGTTTGCACAATTGTTCAAGTCGGAGCCAAGCCCATCAATGTCGATTTTAAATACCATGGTCACAAACCAGATATCCATTTTTGGTGTCTGGTCGATTTTGCTGTCATGAGTTTCGGGTGCCATGAAAGTTCTTGTCCCGGCAAAAGTTGGAGCTCCCACGTCCCTGTTGAATACACCGAAATCGGTGGGTTTGAACAGGTACACCCTTTTGGGCTTTGCTTAATACAGAATGCTAAGGCATACTTGTAATTGTCAAGTTGCTTATTTCTTTCTTATCAAAAACTATGCAATAACATTGCTAAACCACAGGCCAGGTCGTTTATCACAAGTAAGAGCTCCTGAGGGCTTAGCGGTTCCTATATATATATATTGGCTCAGCTTTCCAAAAGGGGTTTCCTACATGGCACACAACATCTACCATAACGATATTCTCAACAACATGTTCTAAGCTCTGCTAGCTTAACCGATAAGAAAGAAAGATATACTATACACAATATGAATATGGCTCAGTCGACTCTAAACACTAATACCCTCTGCACAAGCTGTGTACACCCTTTACATCCCCCCAACCTTTTTATATTCTCTGTTGAAATTGGATTGATACTGAATTGGGAAGTCTTTATGTCAAGGCCGACGAGGTTCTTCAAGTCTGCTCTTTCTCTCAATGAGTGAAAGACCCTACATCAATAAGAACCCTTCTCCTGATCTATACTCTACTTGGTAGGTCTAATGCTGATCACTAGATTCATGCCTGATGTGTCAGGTATGTATCAGGTATCAAGCCTGGATGCGCCATGAATCTCAACATTCTCTAATTGATCCTCGCGAAGGAGTCGAAATGAGCCGGAAGAGGTGAAAAAGGAGAGGACAAAGTAGAGCAAAAAACAATGCATGGAATGGTATCCTTGCTTTGCGCTTTAGTGTAAACTAGTCTAATACTTTGCCAGTGGCTATATACACAATAGGCCCTGTTTTGTCCCCTTACCGGCTGCACTGCTACGATTCAAAGCAAGGTATGCCAAAAATGAAATCTGTTGGCAGAAAAAATTAAAATGATATTAACGCAGAATATCCGTCCTTTGTTCGTTATTCTTGACTCAATGACTATTACATAGCTATCTTGACAGGTAAAAGAAACAACAGAAAGAGAAAGAAAAATCAATGATCACCATCAATCAGGAGAACGTGGCAGGTGGCTCGTTCTCTACCAATACTGGGTCAAAATTGAGCCAAGAAAAGGTGCCCCGGTGTAGTAAGAGGATGACGAGGAAGAAGGTGAAGGTGTAAAAAGATGAATGGCAGAAAAGGGACACCAGGGACGAACGTGCACGCCGTGGGTAATATTTTGTACAAAGGAATCACTAACGCCGATTGAGCATTTACTCGGGCTTCTTGCCAACCATGAGGTACATGGGGGTGAAGAGGTTCTTCTGGGCACCTTCGACCAGACAGTCACCGGCCAGAGCCAGGCTGTCAGCGGTCTTCTGGGAACCGCGGGGGAAGAGACCGATCTTCTCACCGGCACCGACGAAGCGGTGGGCGAGACCACGACCCCACCAGGTCATGCGGGCAATCGTGAAGAAGTCCCAGACTGAACCCATGTGCTTGAAGGAGCCCGCCAGCGGGTAATACCAGGGAATAGGGTCGGGACGAGCAGCCAGATCCTCGTGGTGGGTGAGGTTGAAGCCAGCGTTCTTCATAGCCTCAATACCCTCGGAGATCTTGACCATGTTGGAGATACCGTCACCCTGCTCGATACCGAGACGGATGCGGCGGTGCTCGGCATCATCGTTGTTGTAGTCGTCAGTCATGAGCCACTCGTAGACGGCGAAAGTACCACCGGGCTTCAGGACACGGAAAATCTCGCTGTAGACACCAACAAGCTCCGGGGCGTGGACGGTAGCCTCAATGGCGTAGACAGCGTCGAAGCTGTTGTCTGGGAACTTCATCTGCATGAAATCACCCTTGACGAAGGCCATCTTGTCGGAGAGACCCTGCTTCTCGGCGTAGTGGGTGGCGCGGTCGATCTGGTAGTCGTTGTTGTTCAGACCGGTAACGTGGGCACCGGTGAACTTGACCATTTCACGAGCGGGACCACCAACACCACAGCCGACATCCAGAACCTTCATGTTCTCTGTGATACCGGCCTGGAGGGCGAGGTAGTGCTCGTGGCGGGCAATGGCCTGGAGGAAAGGCTCACCGTAGGCGAAACGGCAGAAGTGGAAAGAAGAACCCCAGCCATACTCGTAGAAGTCGGTGGCCAAGTTGTAGTAGCTGGAACAAGATTATCAGTACGGAGTGTCGATCACCAGATAAGGGTTAAAAAACATACTGTCGGGTCAGGGTAGCGTATTCCGCTTTGCGGGCCTATCGCACAGCAGAAGTTAGTCACAAAGTCAATGCCTAACGATGCGCAAATCCATACCTCACGAATCTCGGGGGTCTCGTCGGCGGCAGCCTGGTTGTCCCAGTGCTTGAAATACTCGTCAACAGCAGCCTTTTGCGCAGCGGCGTCCTTGCCGCGCATGGCAGCGAAACCACCCTGGGCCTTAGCAGACTTGCCATGGAGAGCCTTGTTGAAGGCGGCGTCACGCGCGACGTCCTCACGTTCAAGGGCAGAAGGGGCCATTGTGAAGAATTGCGAAGATTAAAAGGGGTAGAAGAAGAACAAAAAAGGGTCAATTCCAAGGGAAAGACGACGGTACACCAATTGAACGGGAGGTACCAAGAAGAGAAAAGTAAATGAACTGGTAGTGAGGTAGAACGACTGGAGGAGGTAAAAGGGGGGAAATAAATACAGTCGAATCCGAAGCAACTTTTTGGCAATCACCCACGGACCCCCTGAGACCTGGGGTGGCCACACCTTTTTTGGCGGCGGAAGGTGGTAGTTCCGGTCTGTGGCGGTGCACGGGCTGGCCAGTTGCCGGGCACGTGACTGGACACCAGCCACACGCCACTTCAGAGTTGATAATCCACGCTCTCTCAGACCACCTCTCGGACTTCAACGTTATCGCTTCCGTCATGCCTCCTCAGATCAAGCATGACTTGAATCGCTCGGGATGGGAGTCTACTGACTTTCCATCTGTCTGCGAGAACTGCCTTCCAGAGAACCCTTATGTGCAGATGATTAAGGAAGATCATGGCGCAGAGTGCAAGATTGTAAGTTTTTGGTGCTTCCCTCATAGCTACCCTGGAGCTCATGCTGACTGCTTCCGGTTAGTGCACGCGGCCCTTTACCATTTTCCGGTGGAAGGCCGATCGAACCTCGCGACAAAAGCGATCCATTATCTGCCTGACATGCGCGCGCCTGAAGAACTGCTGCCAATGCTGCATGCTCGATCTTTCGTTCGGTCTGCCCATTGTCGTCCGTGATGCCGCCCTCAAAATGGTCGCCCCGGGTCCGGAAAGCTCTATCAATCGTGAATTCTACGCGCAGAACCACGAGAAGGAAATCGAAGAAGGCCGTGGCGCCATCGAAGAATATGAAAAGACGGACGACAAGGCTCGCGAGCTCTTGCGCCGTCTCGCCAACAGTGAACCATACTACCGCAAGCCACGCCGGATCGAGGGTCCTGCCGAAGTAGAAGAAGCGGAGCAGTCTACGTCCATCGAGCAACCACGAACAAACAGTCGCTATGGAAATGGACCCGGTCCGATTCGCACAAGTGAAAGCCGCGTCGGTAACCGTCTTCCAGGCCGTGGAGGTCGAGGTGGTGGCCGCGGTGGTCGCCCATTCCCCAGCACCGCACAGCTGCCGCCATCGGCTGAGGATATTCGTCCTCCCGCAGACCCCAATGTCCTTTCTCTATTTGTTACAGGTGTGGAGGACGACCTTCCCGAACATACTTTACGCACTTTTTTCAGCAAGTTTGGTCAGCTCCGATCACTCATTTGCTCTCATCGCTCCCACTGTGCTTTCATTAACTACGTTACCCGCGCCGATGCCGAAGCTGCGGCAGCCCACTGCCAGGGTAAAGCTATCATCGAAGGCTGCCCACTCCGCGTCCGCTGGGGCAAGCCCAAGTCTCTCGACAACCTGGATCGCGAAGAGAGAATCAGGAATGCGCGAGAGGGTCGCCAGACCGTGGGATCTGTTGGCAAAGGAAAGCAAGCCGACAGACGAGCTGTCGCCGCGGGAGAGAGTGCTGGCCAGGAACCACATCGGACTCACATTGTCGCACCACCACCTGGATCCGGCGAGGTCCAGTACGCCAGCATGAACGGCGACTGAACATCACAACTAAACAAAAGTCGCGAAATTTGCCATTGCTCAGAGTGAGGTTGCATGTAACTTAGGTTCGGAGCGGGCGTTATCAAGGATTGGGCTTCTTTTATGCAGATCTATGTACTTAAATCAAAAATACCCCGGGGACGCCAATGATAATAAAAGAGTCGGGTATCTTATTATACAAGTCCGGTCACTGTCCTAACTTATCTGTAGATTCATATGCCTTGTCTTCCATATAGGCAATTAGAGAATTGGCTTTTCCCAGACGACAGATAGACGTCTTGTTGGACATTTCGTAGACCGGAGATTTGGCTTGAACCACGTCTGATGACACTATATCTGTCATTCATGAGGAACAAGCCTTGTGGATCTTCACATCCTGTCCGCCAACTTTGATGGAGTCGTTATCACCGCGTTCGATCTGTTCGTGGATGTTAAGTTCTGTGGCAAGTGCTTGGTTAGCCATCAACCCCTACCCAAGGCCCTGAGTTGGAAACAAAAACATATACATACCCCACTTCGCATTCTCGTCGCCCTTCGCCCGGGACCCTTGCACGATGTTGTGGCGCAGGATGTTGGCAACCTCGATCGCATGGTTGATTTGCATGCCAGTGTCGACGGCCGGACGGCGATTCTTCTCGAAGTTCTGGCGGGCCTCTTGACGAGCAGCAAGGAGGACGGGGAGGTCGTCTACAAACAAACTGTTAGTAAATGGAACAAGTACGCCGGGACGGCGGATCATGTTTGGCAAACAAACTGTGGAAAACAACACGGGTGGCGCGGAGCACTTGGCGATAGGCGCTCTTCGCGGAAACGGCAGTAGCAGTTGACATGATGACTCGTTGGAATTCACCACAAAAGAATTATACAGAAGTGAAGTAAGCAACAAAAGGAAGAGAAGCCTGGCGCCATCCCAAGTCTCGAATCTCCGGATCGCCTCATCGCTGATTGGTCAGAAGGGCGGCAATTCGGGGCAGAAAAAAAAGGTATGCAAAAAAATCAACGCGGGACATTCAGGCACTCACACACAACTTGGGTCCATCACTATATCCTCCACAATGGCCTCTGTTCAAGTTGTAAACGCTACTCTCCCTGCCCTGCCTCAGGGCTGGGCTGGTGAGAAGGACTTTAAGACTGTTGGTGCCCTCTCTGGTGCCACTCAGCGCAACGTGGAGCCTGTTGGCCCGCACTTCCTGGCTCACGCCCGCAGAGTAAGTTCTGCCTCATTATCTGATTTAATTCTTCTGATAGTTAACAAATTTTTAGAAGCGCAACAACCGCACTTTCTCCGAGGATGAGCGTATCCAGGCCCAGCACAACGTTAAGAAGACTGAGGTCGAGGAGGATGATGACATCTCCGAGGATGAGGATCCTATGATGCTCGCCCGTGAGGCCAAGGACTGGAAGGTTCGTATTCCAACACTCCTTATAACTTTTCTTTCCGATAGATTGATTCTAACTGTTAATAGGGCCAAGATCACTACGCCGTTCTCGGTCTGTCCAAGCACCGTTACCGTGCTACCCCCGATCAGATTAAGCGTGCCCACCGCAAGAAGGTCCTTCGTCACCACCCCGACAAGAAGGCCGCCATGGGCAAGAGCGATGAGAACGACAGCTTCTTCAAGTGTATCCAGAAGGCCACCGACCTGCTTCTGGACCCCACCCGCCGTCGCCAGTTCGATTCCGTCGATGAGGCCGCCGAGGTTGAGCCTCCTACCAAGAAGCTGACCGGCAGCAAGTTCTACAAGGCCTGGGGCCCCGTCTTCGAAGCCGAGGGTCGTTTCTCTAACAAGCAGCCCGTGCCCCAGCTCGGTGATGAGAACAGCACCCAGGACCACGTTGAGACTTTCTACAACTTCTGGTACAACGTCGATAGCTGGAGGACCTTCGAGTACCTCGATGAGGATGTGCCCGATGATGGAGAGAGCCGTGACCAGAAGCGTCACGTTGAGAAGAAGAACGCCAACGCCCGCCGCAAGCGCAAGACCGAGGACACTGTTCGTCTCCGTGAGTTGGTTGACGAGTGTCTTGCTTCCGATGAGCGTATCAAGAAGTTCAAGCAGCAGGCTCGTGCCGGCAAGGACGCTAAGCGTCTCGCCAAGGAGGCCGAGATCAAGCGCCTGAAGGAGGAGAAGGAGAAGGCTAAGGCCGACGAGGAGCAGCGCAAGAAGGACGCCGAGGAGGCTGCCAAGGCTGACCGTGAGAAGAACAAGAAGGCCAAGGAGGCCGCAAAGAACGCTTCCAAGAAGAACAAGCGTATCCTCAAGAGCTCTGTCAAGGACGTCAACTACTTTGCCGCCTCCGGTGAGCCCACCGCTGCCCAGGTTGACGGTGTTCTCACCGATGTCGACCTCATCATGGGCAAGATTGATGTTGATGAGCTCGCTGTTCTCGCCGAGAAGCTCACCATCGCTGGCAAGGACGGTGCTGCTGTCAAGTCTGCCTGGGCTGGTGAGGCCAAGCGCCTTGTCGACGCTGGTAAGCTGAAGGACGGCGAGGCCAAGGCCTTCGCCTAAATTCTCTGCCTGTCATATAGATGAAGGGCAGCCTTTGGCTTTCCTGATCATGAATATTCACGCCACATAGAGTAGAAAAATGTTTGGGTCCTACTTTCAATCCATGCGATCTTTGATCATTTCATGATTGTACCTTTCTATTTCAATTCGTAAATTCTATACTAAGAGATCTCATGCGCTCGGCCCAATTTTCATGAGGAATTCTGCCATGCCCTTCTTTCTACGACCTGAGATCCAGAAGCAGTCCTGAACACAGAAGTCGACGACGGCATGGGATGTAGAGAAACCGGCTCTCGCTCTTGAGCGCGCTTACTGGATCTTTTCTTGATCCAAGGAAACAGATTGAAAACACATCCACAGATAAAGATCCCAATCCACAATCCCAATTCTGTGCCATAGATGATGATCCCTAGAATGTCGATAGACTTCGCGAATACTAAACACCAAATCAGTACATACCCATACCCATTCAATTGAAAGGCTTGCACTCACAAACAGACACGAGGGAAAACAAATCCCCAGCTGCATCAATACCAACAAAAATAAAACTGATTCCCCTAACAGTCCGATGTATATAGATATCCCAATAATGTCTCAGCACACCCGCAGCAAGAAGACAAGCACTCAAAACAGCCATCAGGATAAGAGGCCATTCTAGGCTCCGATCCTTTGCGGCGCGCAGAGCAAAAACAAGTCCTACTTCGATCCCACCTAGTATCAGAAGCAGGGAGGTTGCCGCGGCAGTGCATTTCATAATGGAGTATTTCTAGAGAGAGTTAGCCTATAATTTAAGAAAGAAATCGAGATAGTAAGAAGTAGCACATACCTTGCCATAATACAAACACTGAGCCCAGGTGATTAAACTCAGCGTTGTCAATATCTGAGGCTGAACCCGAAGCGCGATATTGAATTCTTCGACGATGTTGTATACGCCTAGTGGTACGCCTGCTGAGGCCCATAGTAGCATCATTGAGCCTTGGAGGCCTTCTGTGTCATGTCTTCTGTAGTTGATTATGATTTGAGGGAGGAGCTGGGGGATATAGATAAGTGTGTGCATTGTTTATCTTCATTTGGGGGTTGCATACCTGAATTGACCAGCAAACCTATGCACGGGATATGTTAGTTGGGGGATGAATGGGAAATCGGTCGTGAACGTACCGCACCGAGTGTGCCGAGCACATTTTCAGCTACTGGGTTGTTCATCTCCCAGAGACCATATGTGAAGGAGGGAATCGACGATGGTCGTATCTGATATGGGGGACATTCACTCAAAGTGAAGTTGTGGGTCTTGTTTCCTTGAATTCTTATTGGTTCATTCTACACATTGTTCACAGTCATAATGTCATTTGTACATGACTCGAGGTTTCTTTTCCAATGAGCTTATATTTCCATTCAACTACTCAAGGCAAAGAAAGCTGCCGGCAGCGCCTGTAATGGATACCGAGCCACGAAGTTTTCCCAGCTCATCGACTTCACTGCCGCGTATTTTTTATTGTCCAGATCGGTCCCCAACAAGGTCTGGCCGTTGATCCATGAGTAATAGAGAAATCCGATAAATTGAATTGGATCTCCTGTAAGTGTCTTCCCAGAGCGAAAAGGAGATAAAATGTCACGTACATCGACATGTAGCCATACATAATCGCTGGTTTTCTCATCGCGCATCCGGTGCATAAGCTTGTACAAGTTGTCTAGATTTCCACGATTCTCAAAGCTATGCGTAATACCATAGACATTATCGAAAGACTGAGCAACTTCGGGGATTGTAGCGTGGCCACCGAGGACTTTGGATAGTTGTTAGAAACACAAAAGACGATTGCGTCAAGGTATGTCACATGTATTCCATGACCATGCTTTATGTATTCGAACATCGCCTCTCAGGTGTCTCATATTTTCAGACCATGGAATAGAAAAATTATTGCTTTCTAGTAACAGGATAGCTGCACAATCAAATCGGGTGATAAAACACGCCTGAAACACGGTCCGAAGTATGAGATTCAAATGAAGTTCCAACCTAAGTAGCTCAATCATATTGGAACGCCACGGCATTATAATAGACGCCGCGACATACAAGAACCATATTATACCTAGAGGTAAGTGGCGACGTCTGAAGGCGGAGACAAGCTTCCAAGGTTGGCAATCGGACCCGCTTAATCATCTCGGGCGTTATTTCAAGCCCGAAGCACGCACCGCATCCAACCACTTTTAATATCTCTTGAGATGAATTCTTAAGCCGCAATGGCAGGCTCACCGGGTCCCAGTGCCCTGCATAGCTCATTCGATCTGATACATGCTCGCAGCTGCCACAAATGTAATCAGAGGAAGACCCGCTGCAGCAAGACGCTTCCATGCACTAGTTGCTTCAAGCTAGGAGTGGAATGTGTCTTTCCGCCTCCAGGCCGAGCACCTCGCAGAAAAAAGAGAGCCTTGAAAGCTGAGTTGGTTTCGCGAGTGAAGTATCTGGAAAATCGGCTCCAAGGTCTTGGCGAGGAAGCCAAGCGTCCTCAGACTCCTCACTCCAATCATGGTGATTCAAACACGGAAGACATATCCCTGATCAGCGATGTCGTCTCGCCCTTGAAGTTCCCGAAGGACAAAAAAATCACAAGTGGAAAAAACGGTCCATTTGGACAGCTAATAACGGATGACGAGGGGAGACAATACGTGGAGCATGAAGCTCTCATTGGTTTTCAGAATGAGGTTTGTCATATGTCGAAGCAAGGATCTTGTACCAATCGGAATACTGATAGGCTCAATAGATAACAAGCATCTCCAGCAGAGAACCATCAACTAGAGAACCAAAGGAGAGCCACTCCCAAGGGAAAACCTCAAGTACATGCATGTTCGGCTTTCGCGCTCTTGCAAAATCTCTTCATGGACTGAATCCACCACCACTCACCAGCCGCCTTTTATGGGGCATTTACGAAAGGAATGTGGCACCATTGGTCTCAATTCTTCACAAACCAACTATCCATCGACTGGTCAGGAAAGCAGCCACCAATGCTGAATTTCTCGATTCAACCGATGAGGCACTGGTATTTGCTGTATACTTTGCCGCTATTGCGAGCATGAAACCTGAAGACTGTCTAGAGAAATGGAAGACCGACCATGATACGCTCGTTCAACATTACCGCTTTGCAACGGAGCAGGCCCTGGCTCGGGCTGACTTCCTCAAAACACGCAGCCTGGTTGTATTGCAAGCTTTGATGGTGTTCTTGACTGCTTTATGGCGGGCCGAAGATGGGCGCTTCGTTTGGGCCATGACATCTGTTGTGTACAGACTCGCACAGGGGTCGGGTCTACACCGAGATGGATCGAAACTAGGCCTGAGCCCTTTTGAAACAGAGATGCGCCGACGGCTATGGTGGTACATCTACCTTCTCGATGCACAATCATCAGAGGCACAAGCCATCGGTCGTTTAATTTATGAAGGAACCTACGATACCAAGCTTCCACTTAATGTCAACGATGACGATATTTTCCCGGAGGCAATGGAGCCATTTACAGAGCGCACTGGGTTTACCGAAATGACATTTTGTCTCATCCGATGCGAAATCAACATCCGATCCCGTCAGTTGTGCGGAAATACAAAGCCTAGTCTTACACCGAGGCGGCCAGGCATTGAAGAGACTGAAAACAACTTGAACGAGATCAACTCCTTCATGGAAAAGACCCACCTCCAATTCTGTGATTTGAATGTGCCAATCCAATGTACTGCAGCTACGATAACACGGATTGCGCTGGCGCGGTCATGGCTCATTGCCCATTTCACTCTCATTACCAACGGCGAACTAAGCACGGACCGGTGGCAACAGCGGCGGGAGACTCTTTTTCAAACCGCCATCGATGTTCTAGAGTTCACCCATTTGCTGGAAACAAGCACAGAGACAGCAGATTGGATCTGGCTATTCAAGATGTATCGGCAGTGGCACGCACTAGTCTTCATTCTATCCGAAATATGCGTGCGACCAGCATCGACCATCGCAGACCGCGCATGGTTGATAGCGAATCTGACGTTTCAACATTGGCAACAGGATGGACCTCCGAAAGGCTGGGTTCTTTGGAAGCCACTCTCGCGTCTATTTGAACGCGCTACCTCAAAACGAACAGAGCAACAAGGTGTACTAGACATTGAGCAGCTGGAGAAGGATCTACAGCTGCCAGTTTCGTTTTCTGTGGACTCATTGCAAATTTCGCCTGTTTGGGCTTCCCAGAACCCAGGCCTCGGCTCCATGGAACAGATGCCAGCAGCGGGTATTGACACTTCATCTATGGACATATATCGAGAGATAATGCGAGATGCTGGTTCAATATTTGATTGGGATGATAACCAGGCCTGATCCGCAGTTGAGACTAATTGTGATTTTCAATAAAGATCTTATACTACCTGCAAGTTAAATCATATCTTCTGGTGTACTCCGAAGATTACTAACACACGTGGACCATATCGTCTGGAATGAGGTAGCTTTAAATCTGATTTCCACGGTAGTATATATAATTGCAATAAATCCGAGAGGAGGGAGACAGCGTTCAACCGAGCATTTTTAGACTTGACATTAATCCGCTTATGCTGGTAACGCCATTACATAATGTAATGCGTCGTTTGAAATGGAAAGTGCTATGGAACACCTGCACCTCCTACCTCCTTTATCTCCCACATTTCTTCTTCAGTTTGCTCATTAAGCCTCCTCCTACCTTGGGTACCCGAACTAGCCAATACACAGCCAAAGCCCCGACAGCATTGACAACAACATACCCAAGGACAATGCCAAAGTTCCTCCAGCGATCCTCGTACCGGATGTTCACAGTGCTGAGATACTCATTCGTGTTGCTCAGTTGACAAAATTCGCAGTGTTCAGTGTTGTTTGGGTCGACCAAGTAGCCACCGTACGAAAAGATGTAAGAGGCCATGTAGCTGGCACACGACTGACCTGCCGGCGGGAGAAAGTTGACGTACTCATTGGATGCACACATGATTTCTGTGTTTGCGACACCGGTCGAAAGAAGGCCAGATGCAAGCCACGTGAATGGGGATATGTAGTACATGAACGTCCAGAACCCGGGCAGAGAAACCTTCTTAACAAGGATTCTATTTTTATCATGACGGATTCGTTAGTCCAATTGTTGATGATGAAAGGAATAAAGGGGTCCTGTAAGCAGGGAAGGGGGAAGCAGTAAAAGTCGAGATATGCAACATACCCGCAGAATGAGATACACAGCATATAGCAGATATTCCCAACACTCCCAGCAGACTCAGCGCTGTCAATTCCAGCAATGAGAATGTGTGTGAATGTGCTGGTGAACATCATAAATTCCCAGATAAACAAGAACGCCAGAGCACCACGCGAGATGGCTTCATCCGTGGAAGAGGCGTTCTGATATAGTCCAATGGGATAATACCAGCAGAAATAGGCGAGCCCTGCCATCAGGGTGTTCCAGAAGATCTCGATCACGAGGTTGCTCAGAATCAGGACTAGTTCGGAGTTCTATCAGCTCAGTGCTCGTGTATGCGTGTGACCTCTCAGAGTTGATCATCACTTCATACCTTTCCAATCGTATATCTTAGATGGCCTCTCGCGCGCTTCATAAACCTCTCGCTGGTTGATGAATTGAGGTATAATTTGCTCGCTGAGTTGTCCAAACATGCTCAATAGCATCATCACGGCATACATCTGGTTTTGGAGTCCTTGGATGGTGTTCGGTGCGTGATAAAAGCTAAATCCAATGAAAAGAGCCTGCAGCAAATGAACATGAGTCAGATATGAAATGTGCTTATGACTTCCGACATAGGATGATTCGATCTGGAAGATACTAACCGAAGCCACCGTGAGGGCAATTTTGGAATAGATATATGACGGTGTTCGCCAGTATTGCGCCGCGACACGATTTTGAACGAGCCACCACTGCACCAAAAATGATGCCGCATAGGATCCCTTGTTTGACTTACTGGATGGCTGCATTGGTAAGCTGCCCCCTATGGTAGTCCTGGAGGTCTGAAGCTCATGCAACCTCTTCCTGACAGAATGATATTGATGCGAGTCTCGCCAAACCTTTGGCCAGTCGACAGTGGTATGCGAACCTGGCGCAGCGCCAATTACAGTTAACATCCACTCCGCTGGATTAGCGCCCGGAGGACATTGGCTGGCTCCATTGCACTCTAAATACTGAATGAGTGTGGCCGAGTCTTCGCCAATTTCTAGCAAATACAAACAGATTAATCATCAGCAAATGCAAGTTTGAGGTCCCGCGTTGAGGGGTGAGAGAGAAGAAGAAGAAGAAGAAGAAGAAAAATAAGCATGAGAACGAACCTCCAAAGTACACGGTTTGGCCACCTTTAGCTAGAAGCAGCAGATTGTCGAATTGCTGGAACAGAACTGCAGATGGCTGGTGGATCGTACACAAGATCGCCTGGCCGCTGCGTGCGAGTCGTTTTAGAAGTTGGCAAATCGCCCACGACGTCTGTGAGTCTAGTCCAGAGGTTGGCTCGTCCAGAAATAGAAGTAACTCAGGCTTTGCAGCAAGCTCGATACCGATGGTGAGACGTCTACGCTGCTCGATGTTCAAACCTTCACCAGGAATACCAATTATGGCATCTGCGTACTCTTCCATCTCGAGGAGTCTGATCACTTCATCCACATATCCGAGCTTTTCATGCTGTGATACGTTTGCGGGCTGGCGGAGAAGTGCACTGAAATTAAGTGACTCGCGCACACTGCATGTGGAGAGATGAACATCTTGTTGCTGAACGTAGCCTGTTTTTCGCTGGAAGGACGCATCGCTAGGTTTGCCATCGACGAACATAGTGCCGGTGACGACACCAGTGGTGACACGGTTGGCAAGAACATTAAGTAAAGTTGTTTTGCCAGCACCGGAAACACCCTGGGTTTGGTTCATGTTAGTGTCATTATTACAGTGTACTGGAACCGATAGTGACATCTATGTACGTACCATCAAAGCAGTCAGGGTTCCAGGTTGGACCCATCCATCAACGTGGTCAAGGATGCGCCTGAATTCTCCTTTGATTTTGATATCATAGCACACGTCTTTCCATTGAAAGATCTTGCCCTCATGTGGAGAGAAAGCCTGCGTCTCGTCGGCTGCAACTGCTGAGTGCACCACCGTGGCCATTTCGGCCCCGAGGGCCTCTTTGTCATTGATATCGGCCATTCGGAGTGTTGAACCTTTGTCGACAAAATGGCTACGACGAAAGATAAGAACCTCACCCTTACTCTTTGCCATGTTAAGAAGCTCAGTCGCGGCCAGGTACGTGACTGTGAAAACAACCCAGAAGGCGATGAGGATTCCAACATTACTGGTAGAAGGTCAGCCGACTCTCCCTATGAGGGCCAAATACCCGCCATAAATGTGATAGAAAGACTTACCGCCATTTGTTGGAAAGATAGTACTGGAACTTGTCGATGATGTATACATCTCCCTGGATTGTTGTCGAGCCGGGCTTGTTTCCAACCTCTGCGCAAGCCTGGTTATTGATGCCGATGGTGCTGTAGTCTGGCCCCGAGGGAATGACAACCGAGCATGAGAAATTGCGGCCGTAGAACTCATTGATCATAAGAGACTCAAAAGCATAACTGAGTGGATTGACATAGGCCATCCACCGAGACCATCCAGGCATATACATGGTTGGCATTGTAAACCCAGTGTACATAATCAAGCCCAGCACTAGTAGGGCGGCTGGCACCATCGCCTGTGACATGGTACGTGACACAGATGCAATCGTTCGGAATAGACTGGATGTCACCATTGTGCTGAGGAAGGCGACAAAAAGGAAAAAGAAGAGAGGCCCGGCTTCTCGACGTAGGTTTGCCATAAGATATAAGGTGAGATTGAAGCACAGCGTGTTGAGTACTTTATACGGGATGTCAGTTAACATGCTGGCAACGGCCTCGGCAGATGGGTGATAGAGAGCGAACTGATTGTGTTTTTCTACAATCGGTCGTTGCTCATAGAGTGTCAAGATCTGATGATGGTCAGGGTTTGTATCAAACAGCGGTCAGTCGGATAGTCATACCTCGAGGACACTAGAAAATGCACTGAGCAGCAAAGCAAAAAAAATCAATCCTCCTCGTCCATAGAAGCTGTTCGTGTCGCTGTGTAGATTGAAAAAAATGCTTCCCAAGACCAAAGCCATAATTGTATTGCCTCCAAGTTGAATATATGTCAAGGAGGGATCCGCAAACAGGCGCTTCCACCCACGCCAAAGACAGAGAGATATCTGTTGCATGTATGAAAGGGTATAGGGTGATTTCATTCTTTGGCCACTTGCCTGTTGGGCCGTGCGCGAGGCCACAAACTCATCCAGACACTCGCCTGCCAGGCTGTATTTAACTTGGTAAGCCTCAATTTGAAGCGTGAGCTGCTTTTTCTGCTGGCTGTTGTTCCATGTCTTCTCAAATTCTACTGCTGTGCGTGGAGCTTTATTTTCAAATCCTGGGCGCACCAGACGTTCCTTAGGGCTGGTCATCGAGGTGAGAAAATCCGGCGTTGTCTGTCGGTCAGGGCCTGGTGATATTCTTGTCAGCTACAAACAAGCACAATATAGGCTCAAGATATGGCGGAATCTGACACTCAAAACCCAAATCTTCAAAGTATGCGCGTGCTTCAGATGCCTGCCCGAAGAAGATCTGCCGTCCTTCGTATAGAACCGTAACTTTGTCGAAAAGCTTGATATGGTAAGCCAGAATGTCTTTATAAGATACCAAAACGTAAGACTTGGAAGATAGAAGTGGCCTACATCATATGCCTCCTGGGGCGCCTGGTAGAGGGAAACCAGAACAGTAGATTGCAAAAGCTCAGTGGCCGTGCGAAGCGTTCTGCAGAACTCGATTGCATTGGCGCTGTCCAGTCCGCGCGTACTGTTATCCCAACATTGCAAAGCAGCATCGCTCAGCAATGCTTCAGCAATGCTCACACGTTTTCGCTCTCCCCCACTGATGCCCCGGATGAAGTCATTCCCGACAACCGTGTTCGCTGTATGCGAGATCCCGAACATGGCCATGATGGCGTCCCGCACAAGCATGGAAAATTCCCCGGCCTTTAGCCCAGCCGGCAACTCTCGTGGTGCTCTGGCGTGGGCTGCAAAAGAAAGTGTGTCTCCCACAGACAACATTGGGAAATGCACATCGTTTTCGCCAGCGAAAATCGCCTCCCCTCGAAAGTAAGTTTGCATCTCTTTGCTAGAGACACCTAAAAGTGCATAAATAATTAAGACATTAGTTCAAGCCTGCTAGTGGGAGTAGCCTAAAACACTGCGATACGCACCTCGATAGTTCATCATAACTTGATCCCCCAAAGTCAAACCTTCCATTCTCCCAGCGATCGTTTTCAACAAGGTCGAGCATCCCGAGCCCGGAGGCCCAAGTACCAATAGCATCTCGCCGGCGTTAACCAACCCTTCGAAGCCGTGCAGGATATCAACCCGTCGCTTGCGCCGTTGTGTCATCAGAGACAGAAGGATATTTCCCACACTCTTCTGGTAATCGGCAGCCATACCGAATCCAAATACATCAACATTTCGGAAGGCGACACCGGACTTCCGGCGCTTTCTCGAGTCGGGATCCTTGCTCTCGTATCGAACGAGCGCCTCAACCCAAGCCCTAGTATCAAAGCTGGAGGAATGTGGATCAAGCTCCGAGTCTGGCAGAGGATGGAAGATGTTGTTGTAGGGATTGGCCACATCCGAGCCCACGGTGTGTCGCGAAAGGCGGCTTGCCAGTTTGTGGATTGTTCGGTCGACGTCGCAGTGTTCTTCTGGTTTTTCTAACCCGGTCTTAGATATCAACGAAAGCCCGGTGCTGGTGATATTTCGGCTCTTGATTTGAAAAATAAATTCTTTCATAGTTGCGTGTTACTGGTAAAACCACAGTTCATCTGCGAGAGACGTTGTATGTATAGATAACACTGTAAGTCTTTCTGTTCCTATTCCTGACCTTTCTGGTGAGATTGATGGAATTTAATACTCGACGTAGCTGCCCCTTTTGACTATAATCCTTTAAAAGTCAGTTTCCTTTCCATAACGAAATATGATATCGATTCGGTGTTCGGGGTTTGCGGGCTGGTGTTGCTCGGTGTTCGGGGAGGCTGAGCCGGGCACTCTAAATTTAAGCTTCAGAGTGGAACAGGAAGCTTAATTCCCCCGAAATACGAAGTAGGAGATAGGCAGTAGTTTAATAGTACTATAAGTTATCTGTTTTCAAGCTATTTTTGCTCTTTGATATTTGTCCTGCAAAACAAGATGCCTGAGTCCCAATTCTTGGAACCTCTACCGTTAAACTATAGCCTGGCAAAACGGAAAATAAGGATACTGGTCTTCTGGCTACTAGTGTTTCTGGACTCTGTTGTGTTTCCAATTGGACTCTACTACCTCCTGACAAGAACAACGACGTGGTCCACCACGACTAGTACGTCCGTCTTCTTCCTTTCCTCTGCTGTGATCTAACCATCTGTTTTCTTCTACAGTCTTCAGTGTCTTGACTGTGACATTGTTCGGAACCTTTATAACTCAGTCATTAGAGAGATCGTGGAACTTGTGGCGCGAAAGATCCAGCTGCCGTGTGCCCAACGCAGGCCGCTACTATGTGACACCCCTATCCCAACATTCTGCTCTCCCTAGTCTCCGTCCGGCGACAATATGTACTGACTATATCCGTGCAGTTTGATTTCACCCACTGGAATGTCCTCGCATCCTGGGTCATCATCATCACCGAACTCGTGGTCGGAACCATTCCCGACCCACCCTGGATGCGCATGCTGGCGGTGCCCGTGCCATCAATATTTTTCATATTTGGGTTGGAGATGTTGATATTCGAGATATTGTACATTTTCGAGATTCCCGCGCCATTTCGTATCTCATCCATCCCAAAAGGCAGCCCGATGCGCCCGGCCCTCTATCCACTACTGGAAGATATCATCGCGGTAGACGGCAAAGGAGGATCAAAATTTCGGGACCGCTTGGATCAGCGGTATAAAGCCAGTCCGCCATTTCGTGGCATGCTACACCGAGTCACCATGCTATGGGCGGTTCCTCAAGTCTTAGTGGCTGGGGGCACATTAGCGGGAATTGTAATTGCGGACCATGAGCTGGCTTACACGGTACGTGTCTAATCTTTAGGATGTGATATTATTATGAGTGACTAAGGCCCTGGGGCAACTGTTTGTAGCTTGGCTGGTCAGTGCCTGCTATTTGGGCGGCAATCTGGATTGTTGGAACGGTGATCTGGATTCGGGTGGAGTTGAGACGAGAGAGAAACCATTGGAGGGGAGTGCGATTGACCCAACAGCTACAGGGAGCGAAGGATTGTGACCCAAGGACAGCAATTACCATTGAAGAGGCAACTTGATCATTGACTGCTAACATTGAAATGGCCACCCCTTGACATGTCAAAAAGTGTGTTGCAAATAACCTTCAATCTAAACCACGGTCTCTAAACTCTTTTGATACCTGTATATGATTCACAGTGGCATTTGAAAATGAGCTTAGTATAGGCAAAAAGAAGGCGATCCATGAGATGTTAAAGCAAGATAGAAAAGTAAATGAAACCTTATATTCCTTTGCGGACTCTTTCGCGTCGACGGCGCAATATTATATAAATGGCACTTTAATAAAAATATGGCGCCATTGAAATAGATTACTTCAATGCTTGGTATTTTCTCAATTCATCTCAATGTCTTGAATGATTACCTTCCGAAACTCAGCCACGACAGTCATTTCGTCGCTCAGCTGAACTTCGACTCAGTCTAGCGGATCAATGTCTGCACCAAAGTGGAAGATTGGGTGGTGATCCCACTCTATTTTGAGTGGGAAAGAACTGCGCCTTGCTATATTGCTATGTATAAATTAAAAAATCTCGGTCAGACAACACCGAGGGATTATCTGGATATGGTTTCAGCGGGGAGCACGAAACACCGAGCCCCGAACCTTGGGGTTCCGCGGTATCTCCACCATTCGGAGCCTGTCAGTTCATGGCATCATGAAACTGTTTTCTTGATGAGGCTATGCAAGCTTTCAGAGAGTTAGTAAATTATATAAATACTGGATGCATTACTCCAATGCCCCCAATTAAGGCCTCCAATCCATCTATTCATTTGCCGCTGAAATTCCATCTTCAGAAAAATTCCTGCTACTATGACAAAAATTATGCAAGATACGCTGTGCATTCCCGGACCCAAACGTAAGGATACCCATGAATGGAACTACAATTCAATGGGATTGCCGCCGACCGTTTTATTGCTTTGGGTTGTTGTTTTGTGCTTTACTGACTGACCAATTCTCCAGCCCTGCCCATAGTGGGAAATCTCTTCGACATCGACCTAGATCATGGTCTTCAGTCCATTATCAAAATGGCCGATGACTTTGGTATACTATGCTTACCTGTCTAAAGCAAAAGAAAAGTCACTAATACAGACCAATCACTTAAGGTCCCCTCTTCCAAATCACTATCAATGGCCAGAAGCAGATATTTGCAACCAGCCAGGCCCTGGTGGATGAGCTGTGCGACGAAGCCCGATTTCATAAAGCCGTCATCGGGGGTGTCCAAAAGTTACGAATGCTGGCCAACGATGGTCTTTTCACAGCCTATCATGGAGAGCGCGGCTGGGGGATTGCCCATCGGATTCTAATGCCTGCCTTCGGCCCACTACGGATTCGGGACATGTTTGAGGATATGAGCGATATTGCCCAGCAATTGTGCTTCAAATGGTATGGATTCATGAATATTCCGGCTGAAATTTTTTAAAGATGAAAATAAATGGCTGACTTTGGTTGTCTTTGGTGCAGGGCTCGTCAGGGGAGTACGACCAGTATCAACATTACCGATGACTTTACGCGTCTCACATTAGACACCATTGCACTCTGTACGATGGGCTTTCGCCTGAATAGCTTTTACAATAACGAGTCTATGCACCCGTTCGTGGAATCTATGCTGTACGTGCTGAAGGAAGCCGACCTCCAGTCCACGCTCCCCGAGATCGCAAACTCTTTGCGCGTCAAGTCGCAGCGGCGCATGTCTCAAAACATTGAATCGATGAGGGAGATGGCACGGAAGATCATCAACGATCGCAGAGGCAAAACCGAATCGGTTGATGACCTCCTGAACACACTGCTGAACGGACGAGACCCAGTCACCGGTGAAGGCATGAGCGATGACTTGATCATCAGCAATATTATCACCTTTCTGATTGCGGGACATGAGACTACCTCCGGCTTGCTCTCATTTACAGTATACTATTTGCTGCAACACCCGCAGGTCTTGGAGCGGGCCCGAAATGAAGTCGATGAGATTGCTGGCGTGAACCAGATCACGGTTGAGCATCTTGCAAATCTTCCTTATATCGACGCCATTTTGAAAGAGAGCCTGCGAATGATGCCTACCGCTCCTGGTTTTACTGTCACCCCGAAGAAGCCAGAGGTCGTTGGCGGGAAATGGATGATCAATCCAGGCGAGCCTGTCAACTTACTGCTACCTGTCTGTTTGCAAGACCAGACTGTATTCGGGTCTGATGCGGGCGAGTTTCGACCAGAACGCATGTTGAAAGAAAACTTTTCAAAACTCCCACCCAACGCATGGAAGCCCTTTGGTAATGGCGAGCGCGGTTGTATTGGTAGAGCATTTGCCTGGCAGGAAGCCCAACTGGTGATTGCTTTAGTCCTTCAAACATTCGACTTGGTGGCAGACAATCCGGTTTATGAGCTGCGCATCAAAGAAACCCTTACCATCAAGCCTGATGGCTTCAATGTCCGAGCCACTTTGCGACGTGGCCAGAATGCTACAGGGCTATCCCAAAGGCGTATGTCGGTGGGCACTACTGTAAGCATGTCATCATCTTCTAGTAACGTCAGAAAGGAGAACGGAGACTGCCAGGAGGTAGCAGGAGGGCAGCCAATCTCTTTCTTCTACGGCTCCAATAGCGGAACATGCAAAGCTCTTGCTCACCAGTTGGCATCGACCGCGATAGCCCGCGGCTTTACCAAGCAGAAGCTCGCTCTTCTTGACACTGCTGTTGACAACTTACCGAGAAATGAACCGGTGGTGATCGTAACCACTACCTACGACGGGCAACCCACGGATGATGCAAAGCAGTTTGTCGCCTGGCTTGAAAGTGGCAATGTCCCGTCGCTCCATGGCGTCTCGTATGCAGTCTTTGGATGCGGCCACCAAGACTGGGCCAAAACCTTTTATCGGATCCCGATCTTGATCGATGACCTGATGCAAAAGGCCGGAGCAACACGTCTCGCAAAGCGAGGCGCAGCCAACGCCGCTGTCAGCAATATCTTCTCGGATCTCGAAGCATGGGAAGAGGCTAGCTTGCTACCCGCGCTCCACCAAAAGTTTCTCCAGTCCAGCAGCAACAACATCAGACCACTGGATCCGTGTCAGCTTCAAATCAGCCTCAGTAAGCCAGCGAGGGTGGGCATGCACCAAGGTCTCGTCGAGGCCAAGGTGACCGCTGTCCGGGTCCTAACCAGCCCTAGAATTCCCGAAAAACGACATGTGGAATTCTATATTCCAGGAGAAGTCACCCTACGCCCAGGAGATCATCTCAATGTCCTCCCGGTCAATCCGCCCGACACGGTCTCCAGAGTTCTAGCCCAATTTCACCTCGCACCGGATCACAGCATCACTATTAAGTCGTTCAATGCCCTTGGATTACCTCACGCCAAGCCTGTGTCGGTGACCGAACTATTCAGCTCCTATTTGGAGCTATCCCAACCGGCAACGCGGAATGTAAGTTCATAACTGTATCTATTTTACGTGATTGAAAGCTCAAAACACCCGGCTTACAAATGTCTATAGAATTTGAAAGCACTAGCCTCATTCACACCGTCAGTTGGAGATAAACAAGAGCTGCTCCATTTCCATGAGTCTTACGACTCGCTCTTCCAAGATAAACGCATCTCGGTATTGAATCTACTGGAAAAGTTCCCCTCTATCTCATTGCCCATCGCATCATTTATCTCTATGCTTCCATCTTTGCGTGTTCGCACGTACTCCATCTCCACGGCTCCGTCATTCAAGCCCTATCATTGTTCGCTCACCTTCTCCGTTGTCAACGAGCCAGCATGGAGCGGCAGTGGCCAGCATCTGGGAGTCGGATCAAACCATCTTGCCTCGCTCACGGTAGGGTCCATTATATACATATCGCCACGACAAGCGAAAGAAAGTTTCCATCTGCCGGAAGACCAGTCAAAAACTCCGATTATCATGATATGCGCCGGGAGCGGCCTAGCCCCCTTCCGCAGCTTCATCCAAGACCGAATGGTCTGGTTGCGACAAGGAAAACCGCTCGCAGAGGCGCTCTTGTTCTTTGGATGTCGTGGTTTCCAAATGGATGATCTTTACAGCGAGGAGTTAGCCGAGTTTGAATCTGCGGGCGTGGTCCAGGTTCGGAGCGCGTACAGCAAGGCTCCGGATCACAACCGGGCCAAAGGATGTCGGTATGTGCAACACCGACTGGTTGCGGAAATTGAAGCTATCCAGAATGTGTGGGCTCGGAATGCTATAGTCTATGTCTGCGGGTCTGGGAAAATGGCCACGGAGGTCAGGGCTGCGTTAGAGAATATGCTGGGGAACTTGCCTGAGGAGCGATATGTTGCGGAGATCTTTTAGATGAGCATTTTGCTTTGCATTTTCTGATATTCTATCTATTCTTTGCTATCTTTGTATTTTTTTTTCAAGTCTGCATGGGTTCTAATGCGAGCTCCTCAAAGAGTCCATGTTGATAGCTTTCTATCTGTTCTATCACGTCCACGACCAGTCATCAAATTATGAACTTGACCACGAATGATTTATCTGGTTTATACAATATAACCACCCTATATCAAGGTTCTAAGAATAACAGAGGTTAGTTCTGGAGCGGTTCGGTCTTCGGTGTCACTCCACAGCAACCCTAATTGGATGTTGAACAAGCTTATCTTTTCTATTCTGATGCAGCGCCAGCTTGACAAGGATTTAAATATTGAACGAGGAATTGGTTTTGATTTAATGGTCCATGAATACTGAATTCTGGCAAGAAATGCGCTTGCTAACTAAAGGATCTGGACTCAAAGAGCGGGTCTGAAACAAAGGTCTCTCCCGTTGCTCCATCTGCAAAGCAAGCTTCGGGGATAAGAGAGCCAAAGAGAGTACGAAGATCATACCCACCGAGGGCCGGGTTATCATCGGGAGCATGCCCCATATTTTCCGGTGTGATAGGGTAGCATAAGAAGTCGTTTCGTCCGTCCCATTCGGCGAAATATTCGTGGTCCAGGTTGCCTTCTCGCTGTCCGTTCTAGAATCACGATTAGCGCCATTATCCATGACCAGTTTCTGATCTTCACTTCATGTTGTATTTTCCGTACCAAATTATTCCCTGTTTCAGTCGCATCATCACTGACACGCTCTGCCATAGCACCTGTGGCCTGACGGAGAGACATGGTCGATTGTAGGTGGCTCCGGGTTTCGATGTCTCGCACATATTGTCGTGCAATATGGGAAAATTCACCGACAAGTGAAGATGGCATCACTCCCCTTGATTTATACTCTTGTAAACTAAAATGTCCAGCTGCAACTTCAAGGAGCGCGAGATTATCTCTCGTTTCCGCATGTCTCGGATTGTGCACCACGAAATCGAATAGAATGAACATAGCCACAAGCGGCATAATAGAGAGGATACTAGTGGCGGCAAGGTTAGCATGTCGTTCACTTTTTTGCGTACCAGGATAAAACTAGGGCCGAGCCCTCTGGCGTATGGTTTTCTTACAAGATAGGTGTATGTGGTGCTGTGTCCACAAACTGAATCAACTCAATGACCATCCTTGCTGCCATCATTAGGGTCCTCTTATTCTCTTCCGTCCTAGGAGAGGTCTCATTTGCACTCAGATACAAGGTGAGTCTGGCCAACGCAATGACCAGACTGTAATATCTCAAATGGGTATAAATCGCGGGCATTTTCGTGCCAGAGTTTGAAAAAGTATCAAAATGAGGGTGTAGGCCCGGCCTAAAGCTTTCGGGGATTGCTAATCTCCAGCTTTCAAGGCGGCCTTGGATCTGGTCGATGGCAGAGTAATAGGATTCCTGCGATTTCATGGTAGCGCTTACCGAGAACAGGGAAACATAAGCTTGAGAAAGAATGCGACTGAAGCGGATAGCGGATAGGAACCAGTTGAAGTCTCCGTAGATGGCCTCGGGTATATCTGGTACAGGACACCCAATGTCATAGTCTGCGATGATCTATTGAACAATCAATTTCTTGCCCGACCCTTTCAGAAGCCTTCTCTTGTAGTGAAGAGGGACAAAGAGAACAAAGAACAAGGAAAACCCAAGTTTACTCACAGAGTTCACTTGACTGTGAAAGCACATGTGCTTTTCCATGTTGTAAATAACCCAAAAAGTGCGCCGACAAGTCGCAGTATACGTGCCCTCTTCATTCCAGACTGCCTTGTGATAACGAAGCCCTTGAGCCATGCGAGCAGCTTCTGTGATCAAAACTTCGTCGATTTGGAGACAACATGTGTTCATGGCGAAAATCGACTATAAACTCTCAGTAAGTTCATTGTATACACATTGGTCAAGCAGATAAAGGAACCAGGAGCCTACCATGGCTACGAGAGCCTTTTTTTGTCTGTTAGCATTTTGTTGATGCTATTATTTGAACCAGAAAAGGCTTACCTGAAGCCCTGTCAACTGCTCACGGGGTAATAAAATTTCCGCAATTAGTCCAAGGGCGACCTGGAAGTGCTTCCAGGCTTCTCCCTTTCCTGGCTCCCAGGTGCCACCGTCATGATACTGACAGCCCAAAGCAAGCACTGTGTGATAAAGAGCAGCGAAAGCTGGGTTAGCTTTGAGGAGTTCCTGAACATTCGGTCCCAATGCCCTTTCTTTGAAGTCTCGCTGGTTCAGGAAGGGGTACATTGAGTGCAGATTTTGGAAGTATGCTTTACTTTACATATTAGCATAAAGGTGAGCAGCCGAGTAAGGAAGAACTAACCATCGACATATGAGGCTGCAACGTCTCGCGGGATCTCTTCTACTCTAGAGGGTTTCATGAACGTGACTGGTGATATTGTTGAGCCGCTGCCACTCCGGACTAGCAGACGTGTTTTGATGATACTTTCCAGGGCTTCGATAAGCCGGCGTAGGGCGTCGTTTCCGAGAAGCTCCGAGAGCGTATTGATCTTTTTCTCGGAAAAGAATGCGAGACTTGAACTGCACGCTAGATACAAGGAAACGAAAAGAGCTAGATTAGTTTTTTCTGCAGCTACCGTGATATCAGCCAGTCTTACCATCTTGTTCCTTTGTCTTCATCTGCTGTCAGCATCACTCGATCATCTACACAGAAGTTGGTAAGTACGAACGCGTAGTACAGCAAAGTCATCTCGCAGTATCCCATTCACGGAATTATCAGCCAGTAAGTGATCTATGAAGCAAAAGGCGACCGGTTGTGATCGATTGGATGGCTCAGTAGAGCCAATAACGCTATTGTCATGCGATTTTGGTCGTTGACTTGGCCATTCTGGGGGTTGGTCTACTCATATCATCAGTCAATTCTGGGTCTGGCCATTGTGAAACAATATCATTCAGCCATTTCACATACGCATAGTCTCAGAGGGTTGGTGTGGTTTGAGTCTGCGCTTGATTTGCTTAAACTCGCAAATCTCCCCGCGCTTCTAGAGAGAACAGAAACGTCAGATCTGATTCAGTGGGATATAATATTTAATGCGATCAGTATCTCACCGAGCAATGGGTGCATTTAGAAACGCCGCCAGGCACCACTGATGAACCACTAGTAAGAAGATCTGGATCAAAGTTGCCGGGAGATCTACATACTGATGCACCGGACCTTTCGGTTCCGGCATTGGTCACAGGACTTGCACGTTTTGGATCGTACAGGGGTTGGTTCTTCTATCTCCATGGCTTATGTCGGTTCGGAGGCTGAGTTGTGAGCCAGATCGAGGTCGGTCGATGGTACCGACACTAGGCTACATTGGGTTTAAGGACTGGTTAAAGTTCGGCATTAGTAATCCCCCAATGTCCAAACTATATTTCATCACTTCAATGACCTCTTCACCTCTCTAAGCCCACCCCTTTCACATCCATAAATTGGTTATTTCTATGCCTAAAGTTTCACTGCCTTGGGAGAATCCGCATACCTTGCTCATCCATGATCGATTTGGTGGGTTCTCGAGGCTCGGTGTTCCGCGTGGTCAGAGCGCCCATTTCGGTGCTCGGCGAATGGAACAAACTATCATAGGTGACTGAATGAACTTGTTAAATTCAATCTCACTGTCCATAGTGCTTTCTCTTCTTCTCCAAATTCGCAAATCAGTAGAGTCTGTACTTGTGTTACATTTTATTACAGTCACAGTAAGTGTCCTCCACTGTTCAAAGATCTTAAGGTCTCCATATCTGGAGCTCTAGCGAGACAGCTTTCAGTCTTGCAGCATAGTTTAATTAACTCTTGTGGCTCTATAAAACATAAGATTATTTGTTTTAAGCTGTCTTGGTTATGTTTAACTGGTGCTAACAACCATATTTATCCCGAAAGCGACCCGGTTGGTCCTATTAAGTTACATGTTCAAACTCCTCAAAAATTTTGACACTCGTGCAGATGGCCCATCTTGGAAACACTGAGGATATGTGTACATATTATTTCTGCTCATATTTTGTCTTTGTTACCGTCGTTGCTCTTGGCCCATAACCAGGGGACATCACCCTCCCTATTGAAAGCAACTGTCCCAATTGCAATATGGATTTTCATCTTGAGATCAAACATATTGGTGGTAAGTTGCTCTCACCTTCACGCGCTAAATTAATCTAGGCCGGCGACTGATTGATGATTCCTTTTGGGTGATTCAATCATGAGTCAAGGTTCAGGGACAAGCTCTACCTTGGAGAGGACATGAACTGGAGCCCTCGAAATCTATTTGAGAATGTTTTGGATAATTGGCCACAGAATGCCCTAATTTTTCCCAATATCTCAGAAATAAAGCGTACATACGTTTGAGAGCAAGATGAGATTGGTACCCGAAGACTTGGATCCTTGAGTTTCCGACGAAACAGCTGAAGACCCGACCCAAGAAACCATAGCCTAATAAGCTGGGCAAGGCCAATCTGGAAGTGCCCGTATAATGCTATGCCAATGAAGTCTGTGGAAACTGCGGAACTACCTCAACAGATGTCGACCGTACATGTACAGCTAACGACAATGCACAGTGTATCGCCTCCTTAGGGTCACAATTTGTGTAAATTGTCACTGATAAAGTATGCATGATTCCTAAACAAAATTCTCTAAAACGAGTATGTCATTCTATGTTTTTGTGTTTTTTTTTTTTTTTTTTGTTTTTTCTTATTATATTGCTTTGGGATAACTTTCCTCGCCTCTTTTATGACGTCTTTTTTCCTCATTCTCGAATGCGTTGGTATATACCTTATCGGAAAATGGAGGTTAATTATATAGACTGAAAGCACCTATAAATCATTTCCTAGCATTTAAATCAAATATGTCATCATCGGTACTTATGCGCACTCAAAAAACACACGTTATGTACTTCCCATAAGTACATGGTCTGACTTGCAGGTGGATTACCAACAGCCCCACTTCGGTTTTAAGATAGATCCCGAGACCCCTAACTCCAACTTCAAGGTACATAAGCTGAATAATAATTGGCATTCATACACACGTCGGTCTTCGGGCTTGCAGAATTTGAAAGCGCGGGTGAAATTTGTCACGAACAGAATTTTCCATGCCATAGTAGGGGTGGAGATATATAAAGGTATGGGTCGCACAGGCTGTACCTGCATAAGCATCTCCACAACTTTATTACTCTACCCAACTCTCGATACTCAATATTCTAAGCCCATCACCCATCAAAATGTCAACAATCCTCGTTACAGGTGCCACTGGCAAGCAAGGTGGCTCACTGATCAAAAATCTTCTCAGCAAGAATGCGCCTTTCCAAATTCTCGCTGTCACTCGCAACATTCAGTCACCCTCTGCGCAAAAGTTGCTACAACAATCGTCTAAGATTAGTCTTGTACAAGGTGATTTGAATCATCCCGCAGAGTTGTTTAAAAAAGCAAGCAGCTTGAGTGAAGGGCCTATCTGGGGTGTTTTCAGTGTGCAGGTATGACCGACTTGTTCTTTCTGTATCCATTTCTTCTAGAAAATAGCATGCTAATAAGATATTGTTTTCAGGTCGCAATCGGCAATGGCTCTTCAGAAGAACCCCAAGGAAAGTCACTTATCGACGAGTCAATCAAAAACGGCGTAAAGCACTTCGTCTACAGCTCAGTCGATCGAGGCGGTGCAAAGTCATCAGAAAACCCAACTAAAATCCCGCACTTCATCCATAAACACAACATCGAAAAACATCTACTAGCAAATTCCGATGGAAAAATGGACTGGACGATCCTTCGCCCGACAGCCTTCTACGAAAACCTCACACCAGACTTCCTCGGCAAGATCTTTGCAACATCCTACGAAATGGTGATTAAGGACGCACCACTGCAGATGGTCGGTGTAAGCGATATCGGCGCAGTTGCGGCAGAAGTCTTTATGAATGCGAATGCATACAAGGGACGTGCTATCGCGCTTGCCGGTGATGAATTGACATATGCTCAGGTTAAGAATATTTTTGAGAAGAGGACGGGTCAGACATTGCCTACTACATTCAAGCCACTTACTGCACTGTTTATGGCTATGGTTAAGGACATGGGGTATATGTTTAAGTGGTTCCATGATGAGGGATATGGGGCTGATGTGGACGAGGTTAAGAGGATTCATCCTGATGTTAAGGATTTTGAGACTTGGTTGACTACTGAGAGTGCTTTTGTGAAGAAGTAGATTGGATTATTATTTGGTTTACTTTGACTGAGTTGGGGTTTTGATCAGAGGAGGATTTAATATTAATATAGACATCTCCAACTAGCAAATTCATGAATGTTTGACAGAATAGACCAGCTCAGCGGAGTAGAACAAGCATCATAATATCGAGAGCCAAAACAGGTCTCTGAAAGAATAGATAGAAGACTTTGGCCCACATCGCTAAACAAAGGGGACAATAATGCACGACATGATGGCTGACTCTAGAGTATGTTCAATACCAGAATGCGCTCAACAAACTACGAACCCGTTCGATTCGACTGCCAAACATTCTAATCAAATGTCCCCTCCCTCAGCGACTCAGACTCCCCATTCCAAGCAAACGCCTTTCCATGAACACGACCTCTCCCATCAAGATCAATAACACAATCCTGGAGCCCATAAGCACCGGTCTCATAAGCATCCTCATAAGCAATTATACTATCACGCTCCTCACTCGTTCGAACCTCAAAGACCATGCCATGAATGACGTTGTCCGCCGATCCACGCACTAAAGCCCGGTATTTCCCCCACATCTTGCACTCCCAGCCGAGGATTTTTGCCGAGTGGAGTTCGTGCCAGCCCGGTTCTTGCAGGATCTTGGCGAGCGTTGGTTGATCCATAGGGCTACCGCAAAAAAAAGTTGTATTCCATTTTGATGTTGATGGTGATTTATTTTGTGGTTGGTTTGTTTGAATGAGAAGTACGGTAGGATTTAGGTTTAGGACAAGTTATTGGTAAGTGACTCAGAATAGGACCAAACCTCAGGCCTGATGCTTAGACCGGCATCATGATGGGCGATGATACAACGGGAGGCTTGTCAGTGAGTCAAAGTGTATCTGGCAAAGTATACTGAGGAAACCATGTATGGGCTGTTCCTGACACCAAGCTTACCGATCCTCAGAATAACCCTGGAAATTGTACCTTTCCGGAGATGATAAGTCATCCCACGTGTATGAACGACCTATCTGAAATCCCGATGCTAAAATTATGGGTAAAATATTCTAGACTTATTACCTGAGACGTCACGGATAAAAGACTGATAAGCAACCCACGGTAACTGTCAAGAAACAAGATTGCACTGTCGATCGCTAAAAAAATCTCATTGCCGATCGCTCAGATGGCCGATAGCCGCATGGTTGCCACCTGGGTTTTGTCCAGCCACCCGAGATCATATGTATTTGCCTCCAACGAAAATAGAACGAAAATAGAAACACGATTCACGAACAGGTGAGGGAAAGCGAGAACCTGCCATTTGCCAACTGCCACCTGCCACCGATCAGAGTACGTACGCGGCTTCGTAAGATGGCGCTCCCCACTTCCCCAAAAGAGTCTAAGTGATCGTCGTTGGAATGAGGTCACTGGGAATGAACCCTTGTCGAGGGTAGCCGTGTTGCTACAGCTAATAGTGCAGTATGCTTGACATGTCTTAGTGTGAAAGTGCGGAGAGAATGTGCATGCATGTCATAAGGTGTGGCCAAGCCCAAGTATACGTATGCAGAAGTAGTCGTAATCGGTGGCTGAAACAGAAATAGGAAAGCCAAAAGGACAGTGGGTCCATAATAAAATGGAGACTGGTCCCTGAACGTTAACATTTTATACTTAAACAGTCCCCAGACCGTGTTCTATTCTCCGTTCTGTGTTCTATACTCTCACACATCCTCCCAATCAGGCCCAGGCCTCCTACACTCGTTCACACCACAAGCAACAACAACAACTACCACACCCCCACTAAAATGGTGCCCTCCTCTCTGCGCCTCTGCCTCCTGGCCGCAACCCTCTTCCTGATCAACATGACAACGGCCCTCCCCCTCATGAGCCGCGACATCGAATGGTCCTTCACACTATTCCCCACCTCCTCCTGCAACGCAACTGGCGACCCGCACGCTGGCTCAGGCAGCACAGGCTGTCGCGCAGACTTGAACAGCGTCGCCTCCGCTTACACCCTCTACTCCGTCGCCGAGGGCTGTCGCATCGAATTTTTCGATAACACCATGTGCGACGAGACCGAGCTCTCCGATGTCGCTGGTCAGGTCAATTCCACCAACACATGCCACATGGCCGGTCCCCGGCGTCGGTATGGTTCTTACCAGGTGACCTGCGAGTGAATGTACACTGTTCATAGTGTCATTTTTGATCTCGGGCTGGTCCCAGGATCAATTGCGCGATTTCGATTTCGATATCGATATTTTCCTGACTTTTTCGGATTGGTATTACGTGGGACATTGAATGATCCTGCGGGCGCGGAACTTAGATAGAATTCTTAATGATACCCTTTAGACAAATGAATGAATTCACGATCTACCTCCTATCCTGCATCTTATCCATGCTATGGTACGCGCTCAGCGCTGGCCTGTCTGATGTTGATCAGTGGTCCGTGTGTTCAGGGATACGCGATGCACTCACCGGACTGAGAGGGTCTATGCGGGCAGGAGATGGCGCGATAGGGGCTTGGATTGTGTTGGACGCGTATACATGGACATTCCCCTCACTTCCTTCACCCCGATCTGAAGAAAGTTAAGTTACAGATCGAGTTTACGTGTACTTGTCTGCACGATCCCCCCTGTAAGCTTACTGCAGGGTCGGCTTTGTGAAACGGCGACACGCAAGGGCGGCCAACCTAACACATTGGGACTGGGGGATTGGTCTCCCCTGACGATAGGCATAACGCTGAATTTGCTAGGGTTCCCGCACTTAATTTGAATCGGGCTAGGGTGGGTTGTGTTTTATTGCTTCATTTGTGGGTTGGTCCTTGCTTTCTGTGGTTTCTTTGCGAAGGGTGTCCAGCCTTACGGTACTGTATCGGAAAGGCTTGCGGAGGATTATCCAATAGCGGTAGGTCAAGGTGTGTATACCGTGTCGCGAGGTACTAGACACTGACAGGAAGTCTGGGAGATAGTATACCATTTATGTATTATTCTGGGCCTACTCTGGTCCCATTTTGTCAGCTCATTTTTTGCCCCTTTCCGAGTGCTTGGGCTAATCATGTTGATCGCCTTGTAGTGGGAAAGGAGTTGTGGCCCATGCATCCAGCTCTCATTCATCTCTTGTGCAAATAGAGCGATATATTTAGTCGTTCGTCTGCCAAAATTTGTACTGATGCATAATCGACGTGATTAAGCTCACTGTATACATCCCAAGCTCTTGACCAATTCCCACTTAATCATTTTACCCGATTGGCGTCTTTGTATGATCGGATATGTACACAATGTTCACACTATGGACCTGATCTCACGGATATACACTGCAGAAACCTAAAGCGATCCGGCAGTAGACTTATCCTTCTAGAAAATTTACGTTGAACTCTCATTTGTTCAAAGTTATCAGATCAACTAGTTTCTCGGGGATAAGCTAGGGATTTTCCTAAAATGGAATACCCCGAACTACATCGCCGGAAACGGTTCGAGCATAGCAATGTCGTGGCATCACTATTTCTATGGGCCTGTCGCAATTTCTTCACATATTCATCATCAGCTCAATATGGTTGCCAAACTTGAGGAATGGGAGGGCGACGAAATGCCCACGGCACCCGTCTCGTTCTTCCATCCATCTTTGAAGGAGACGCGACGACGGGTATTCTACCAATGGGCGCGCATCCGTGAGTAAGGTCAATGCAGAGAATGCAAGGGATACTAACCTCAATGTAGTCTCCATCCTCTGTATCTTTGTCTTTGTCGTTCTGTCTCTATTCTGGGGATCCCAATACAGCACCGAAGACAAGTACACAGCATTGAATGTCTTTGTCGTTGACTTTGACGGTCAAGTCGATCCCTACCGCAGCAATGACACCATCATCGGTCCTACAGTGACAAACGTCGCCAAGAAGATCCTCGCATCTGACAACCTCCACCTCGGCTATGAGATCAAATCCCCGGCAGACTTCAGCAATGACCCTTGGGCAGTCCGACAAGCGATCTACGACGAACACGCCTTCGCTGCCGTTATCATCAAACCAAATGCAACAGCTCTCCTCCGTGCCGCCGTATCGAGCGGCAACAACAGCTACGACCCCTTCGGCGCAATCGAGGCAGTCATCATCTCTGCCCGCGACCAGAACACCTACTACTCCTACATCAACACCGACTTGGCAATTCTCCAGAATATGGTTCTGGCGGAGTTTGGCCCACGGTGGGCCCGGCACCTAATCTCCCAATCGTCCACCAATCTATCAACCGTCCCCGCACAAGCGATCAACCCAGGAATCGGCTTCACAAACGTCGACTTGCGCCCCTTCGCGCCGGCCGTTGCCGCACCAGCTGTGACAATCGGCCTGATCTACCTGATCATTATTGCATTCTTCAACTTTCCATTCCTGATGGCAATCCATGCGCAGTTTATGAAGCCGGATGGTCACCCGCCGTTGAAGGCTGCGCACTGGATTGTCTGGCGTATACTCTCAGCGATCGTGGCGTATTTCTTCCTCTCGCTGTTTTACTCGCTTGTTTCTCTTGCTTTCCACATTCCTTTCAGTAACCAGGCAGCTCCGGATACGCTACCTGCCAATAATGCGAATGCATATGGTCGTGGCTCGTTCGTTGTCTTTTGGATGTTGAATTGGGTTGGGATGGCGGCTTTGGGATTGCCATGTGAGAATATGGCTATGGTTCTGGGCTTCCCGTGGAGTTCGTTCTTCCTTATCTTTTGGGTTATCACCAATGTTGCTACTGGGTTCTATCCTATTCAGTTGGCGAATGACTTCTATCGCTGGGGTTTGGCTTGGCCTTTGCATCACAGTAAGTTTTTGTCCGTTGGTTTTATTGGAGTTCGGCTGACTTTGAATACAGTTGTTGAGGCGTTGCGTACAATCTTGTTTGGTACTCATTCGCGTATCGGATTGAACTTTGGTGTTCTTTTCGCTTGGGTGGCTGCTTCTTTAGCCTTTTATCCCGTTGCGACTTGGATCACGGGGTGGAAGATGAGGCGTGGGCTTTGAAGTTGCACAAATTTGTTGATTGAATTGAGTAATTATATACCCGTGTACGGGTCAAAAGTTTAGTAAAATGCAATCTTTACATCCACAACTAATCCTGCACATGATGTGGCAAGTCAGTGTTCTATACGTCCTTCCATCTTGTTTTGGATACGTCTATGGGGAAATATTAAAATCCACAGCAAAGGTACAGAGGATGTCCCAAATTTATCCTTCAAATCACAATTGACGCCCGGAATACAATGTGTAACCGTAAATGGTGGAACAGTACAGCCGGTCTGATGTCTGAATGACATATTTCATTGCTAAGTTGCAGGGTGTTCCCAAGTTTATTTCCCTGCTGATTCAGACATTGGGTGTGACAAGACTGTAGCCGAGACCAAAGATTACTCCGAAAGAAACATCAGCACACGATCACATTGTCATGCTCCGGCATCAACATCCGAGCGCCGTAGAGTCTTGGGGTGCCTGACATTCAGGGACAACCCAAAGTGAAAAAAACCGTCACCGATTTATTTGCTGTTCCCCATGTGCTTGATCCTGACTCTCTCATTCGCTGATTCAAATTGAAACGCCCATCCCCCAAATGTACCTACTCAGCCCTACAGATTAGCTGCAGATGCCGGGTACCAGCAGGGCAGACCTGTTCGAGCTGTAGCCGTCATGCGCATGCCAGTGACCGTCTCCACTCTTTTATCGCTTTCTTCTTCTGTCATTGTGATTCATCTCTTATCTCGCATACAATCTTCTAGATCTCAAGCTTCATCACGATGGCCGCTCCTGGTGAAACCGTCGCAATGGCAAGTGATGCCTTCAACGAGCAAGCTCGAGCAGAAGAAGCCCGCGAGCGTCGTCACCAAGCCCTGGCCAAGATCGACGCGGCCCCTGTCGGCTTGCAGCACATCCGTGCCGTGATCGTCGCCGGTGTTGGGTTCTTCACTGACAGCTATGACATCTTCGCCATCAACCTGGTTGTCGGCATGCTCGGTGTTGTCTATTGGCAGGGCGAGCACAAAGGCAAGATCCCCTCTGTTTCCGACACTGCCATCAAGGTGTCGACTTCCGGTGGAACTGTTATCGGTCAGTTGTTCTTCGGTTGGCTTGCTGATCGGATTGGTCGCAAGCGTATGTATGGCATTGAGTTGATGATTATCATCATGGCTACTCTTGCTCAAGCTTTATCTTCTGCCTCTGTTGCTGTCTCTATCACTGGTTTGCTTGTGTTCTGGCGTGTCATCATGGGCATTGGTATCGGTGGAGATTATCCCCTTTCTTCCGTTATTACCTCTGAGTAAGTTGTCCATCTTTCAGGCAGAAGATATGCGACTAACCCGATGACAGGTTTGCGACTACCAAATGGCGTGGTGCCATGATGGGTGCTGTTTTCGCCATGCAAGGATTCGGACAATTTGCTGCTGCTATCATTGCTTTGATCGTCACTGCTGGCTTCAAAGAGTCCCTCGAGTCTGCCGAAGATGTTGGTCATTGCACTGGTGTCTGTCAGCTGGCAGTTGACAAGATGTGGCGAGTGATCATCGGCTTCGGAGCAGTTCCTGCCTGTTTCGCCCTTTACTACCGTCTAACCATTCCCGAGACCCCCCGTTTCACGTTCGATGTCCAGCGTGATCTTCTTAAGGCTGATGAGGATGTCAATGCCTATCTTAAGGGCCAAAGTGAAGGCCATCCCGACGAGATTGATCGTGCCCGCGTCTTGCACGGTAATACGTTTGCGCCTTCTCAGCCTGGCTGGAGAGGCTTTGTCGACCATTTCAGTCAATGGCAGCATGGCAAGGTCCTTCTCGGTACCGCTGGATCGTGGTTCTTCCTTGATGTTGGTAAGTTTGACAAATTGGTTGTAGATTTGTAGATTCGACACACGCTAACACTTCCCAGCTTTCTATGGTCTTGGTCTCAATAATTCCATTATCCTGTCGGCCATTGGCTGGACTGGAGGCAAGGATGTCTACGAAGTATTCTACCGCAATGCGGTCGGAAACTTGATCCTTATTTGTGCAGGCGCCATCCCAGGCTACTGGGTCACTGTTGCAACTGTCGACACCATCGGCCGCAAGCCCATTCAACTCATTGGATTCGGAATGCTCACAATCCTGTTCATTATCATTGGATTTGCTTACGACAAGTTGATTCACACTCACAATGGTCTCCTCGCCCTGTATGTCATTGCCCAGTTCTTCTTCAACTTCGGACCCAACGCCACTACATTCATCGTGCCTGGCGAATGCTTCCCGACCCGCTACCGATCCACCTCGCACGGTATCAGCGCTGCAACTGGCAAAATCGGGGCAATCATCGCCCAGTGTGTCTTCGGTCCCCTCATCCACCACGGTGCGAAGAAACCCGACGACTCGCCTTGGCTCAATCACGTTATGCAGATCTTCTCTTTGTTCATGCTGTGTGGCTTTGCTACTTCTTGGTTGATCCCCGAGACTAAGCGCCAGACTCTGGAGGTTCTCTCTGGCGAGCCCAAGAGTTCTGCTCCTGTCAGTCCCTACGTGTTAGCCAAGGATGATGGCAAGGATGACCTTCAGACTCCTCATGCAGTCACAACGGCTATTCACACTGATTAAAGGTGTAGGCGGTGAATACGCTAGATGGTGACTCGGTGCCCATTTGCCTAGTTACGGCTCTCGGATATGTTCCCTAGTTTCTTTGTGACCTGCAGTTCAGCACGTCAAGTTTATTGACTTCTAATCATTTGTCTTGGGCTGGAATTTGCCAAATTCACAAACTTTTCCTGCTGCTTCTCAGCGGAAACTATCGCGAATACAACCTGTTGCTGATTACTTCTTGCAAATCATGTACATTTCCTTTACCTTAGTTATAGTTTAGAAGGGTTATGTAACATACCGGCTCATCTTTACGTATTGTCTCCTTCGGAGGATTATGAAGCTGTAATCTTGTCCCAAGAAATGAGAAAATTTGAACTTTTAGCTTTTGATGTTTCACGTGCATTTTACTCTCAGTGAGGAAAGTGAGTAGCTTTTGTCTCTTTCCCGCCAACATACATCTTCTCAGGTTCCAAGGTCTTGATCCTTTCCCTACATCTTTGTTTATTAATTCGACTTCCTCGGGACTCGTTACCTGATCTCATTTCAAATTACGAATGGCACGTGTATGTATTCCACAGATCCAACGCGAGCAAGAAATTATTGCTGCGCACAAGTCTCACCACATGCAAGACATGTCCAACACCGCCAGCATGCCACCAGATCCAGAGGCTTTTACTACAGCGAGCGAGTCCACAGTGAGTGAAGTATCTGAGTTGGTCAATCAAGCTCTCACCAAGCAGGTCAACTATGAAGAAACCAACACCGAGATCTCACCTTCCCTGGTCATGGTTTCTACCCATACAGCAGCAACGACTGACGGAAAGCCAAACGGCGCTACCCAACTCTCAAGCGTGACAACCTTAATCGCAACCGAGCGAGAAGACCTCATCGCAGCACTGAAACTCATTGCAGAATCCATCGCCCAGCAACGCCAAGTCGCCGCTCGGTCAATTATTCACCACTGGTTCATCTGGATATCAATGGGAACAATCTTCGCAGCCATCACCTTCCTCATGTACAACGATCCATCAGATTGCGGCCGCATCATCTTGACCTGCACCGGAGCCCTGATGGTTGCTCTCCTCCTCACAAGAAACTCCGTAGCCGGATACCTCGATCTAGCCGAAAACACAGGAACATGGAAATGGCTCTACGGTCCAGATGAGAGTGCCAACATTCGGCGCGCAGAAAAGTGGCGCAACTATGTCCTGCTGAAGAAACACCAAGTTGAGTTTGAACGGGCCTATGATATCGTTGTCGCCGTTCAATACCAGGATGCCATCATTGCCACTCTTGTCATGAGAATCTTGTGTTGTAACCAGCCAGACTCGGCGTCGGATATGAAGAGTAAAGCAGCCGAGCGACGACCGATGGGACAAAATCATGCTGCTTTCATCCGTGCTTTGACTGTCGCCTATCGGTACAGGTATCTCGGTCTTGGTGGAGCTCTTCTTCGCCTTGCCGTCATGATGCGGGAAGAGAATGACTGGAAATCGATTGAGTTCGCGGATCGTCATGCCATGTCACCGCAAGTTCTTCCCAGGCATTTCAATTTCTCTTCAGGCGGGCTGGCCCAGGCGTGGATTGATCGTCTGCGAAATATGGTTTCTGAACAGCAGAAGGGCTCTGGTGGATTTCCTTGGATCCTCGATGAGGATCATACTACCTGCGATGGAAAGTTGCCAAAGCGCCTGCAGCTTGATGCTCAATTTGAGAGATTGAGAATAACTCAGATTGCGGGGGAGATGTTGTCGTCCGAAACCAAATATCCCAGTGAACACTATTGAATACTTCAAGGGATCTAGGAGAACACTGCTTATTTGGCTTGTGGGTGGGAGCGTGGCCGCTCAGTAGGAATGGAAAATGTTTCCACGATTCGAAAGTTTATCAAGTTCTCGCTCTCTTCTTCATTTTATTATCTCCATACAAATTCACTGCTTTCAAGATGACTTGTCTATTTCTATTAAAGCCGATCCGTACACCTGGGGACCCTTGAAGAAAAGAATCCTGATCCGCAAGAATCAAGGAAAGCTGCCAAAGCGGCGAGGATGAGTTCGAGCACAAGATAGGTTGTTCAGAATATGAGACCACCTCGTTTTCCGATCGAAGACCCTAGTGATAGCTGGCAGGATATTTGTGGAAGAAAGTTTTGAAGATGCGCATAGCCATCACCAGACATCTTGAGAGCATACAACAATGCTGTTCAAGTCAACTTATCCATCTCCTCTTTCGTATCAAGTGGACCTTCTGCTATGGGCGCAATAACAATTCCGTCTTTCGTCGTTGCAATAGACATGGAGCCAATACTAAGTAGCATTACAAGAGCAATTTCACCAAATAACAGTAGGCCAGGTTAGGGCCCTGTATATTCAGTTTTAGCGGGCCGAATATATATACTCAGGTCGGAGACTTTCGGTGATCTACAACCACGCAAATACGAACTTCGCATCTCCGAATCAAGTTCAGGTATCAAATGGAAACTGCTTTATACGAGAAACATACCGATTTATCTTCCCAAAGACGGCAGAGTAACATCGAATCGCCGCCGTAAACTCATTTATCCGGAAGAACCCGGGATAACAATTCACGCCCGCAAATGGAACTTCAAATCCCAAGCATCAGTTTACAACACCCTTTTGACCCAGAAGCCATCAAAAGAACATCATATACCAACCCGACATGTCCATCCAAAACATTGGCCGCCGCACACCAGGCGTCCTACCTGCCGTGTTCGGCGCGCAAGGAGTATTCCTCCTAGCAAACGCAATCTACACAATGGCCTGCCCAACCGCGGCATCAAGTCTCCCAAATTCACCCCTAGGTGGGATTCCAGATCATACAGTCGAGGCAATGGGGTAAAAGATCCACATAGCAGCCTAACCTAACCTATACAAGCCCGGATTGATTGGAAACCAACGCCCTTCATAGTCTGACATCTCTTGCTTTGGGAACATTCTACACCATCGCAGCATACCAGTGAAATATCCCTATTATGGTTGCTTCGCTACCTGGTAGGTTTTTCGGTGCTTTGGTCTTTTATAGGAATGGTGGGGCCTGGCGGAAGGTTGCTGTTTGGGAGGCATCTATGGGGGTTTTGACGGGTCTTGCGCTTGTTTGGGAGTTGTATCTATAGGTTATGGGACTAGAAGAAAAGGTCAGTACCATAACTATTTATTTTTATGATATTGAATCTGATGAGATTATTCCACTCTATGGGCGTTTATGCGAGCAACCAAACTGGGCAATTCCACATACTAGTCGCTGTGAACGCCAAGCAAACATGCCATAGCACTGGAGCTTAACATTTACCCTCAGCGTCCTACACTGTAAGTGTCATGCATCGGCGTGGATACCACCAACGTAATCCAATCATTACAAAAAGCCAACAAGAACGAAAAGAACGTGTAAGCACTGCACGCCAAGAGGCGCCATTAAACCCGGACATCAACCGCGACCGACCAATCTCCGACCCTCAAGCCGAGATAACCCCCGGACCGGCTTTTCTGGCTCAATCCTGGGGAACTGGAGAAGCAGACCCGCGACCCTGAGCATACTGTACATGTAAAAGGGCCTTTCCTTTTATCCACTGCCGAGAACACCATCGGATAACCGGCTAATCCGGTGCTGACGTTGCTGAATGGCAAGGCTTGCCGGCAATAGTCAGACCCGTCCAAAGCCGATTCGCGTAGGCTTGGACTTTGCTGCGGGAGGGGCAGTGTGGCGTGTGGATAGGGCCAGGGGTGTATCAGGCTAAATCGGGTGAATTCAGCTCGAGGCTTGGGGTGGGGATTCGGGGGTGTTTATTGGTTGGGCTGGTTAAATCGGGTATCTCGGTTTGTGGCTTGAGACGAAGCGTTATGAGTGACGCTGTGTGCACATCTAATTATATTCAATCTCATCAGTAATTCAGGCAATATAGTATAGCAAACGAAAAGTGCTAAGTGAGGCATCTCCAGATTTCGAAACGTGCGGGGTCCGGGGTCTCCATATGGAGACTGTGGGGCTCATCCTTCTGTGAGGTAATGTCAAGAGAACACCCGCTGTTGAGCTGATTGAATGGTCTAATGAAGCAAGTCAAATAGAATGTTGTGTTGAATGTTGGCTGAATCGCAAGCTTTTGTTAGTATGGTATACTTCAAGCCACATCGTGTGTAGATGTACATCTATTTAGCCAGCCGTGCCTCGGCCTCTAACTATCCACGGCTAAATCCCCGACTTGCATACGCACGGCCCATCGATATTGCAATGATTGAGCCGTCTCATAGCCAGGCGAATGGCCGGGCCACGCGCCAGAACGAACGCGCCACGAAGCTTAGTCGTCAAATGGGCTGATACCTCAATCCTGTTTTCCCCATGGGGCTAAGGGCCCGGGGGATGAGCGAGCTCATTATCCGTAGTACCCGGTCGAATAAATAACATGCAGATCCCCATGCAGAGAGCGTGCAGGCATTTCCTTTTGCTTCTTTATCGCATTCGATCTCGATCTGAGCTCGCTTTCCCACCTGGCGTGGTTATCTTTTCATTTCGTATAACTTTGTCGGCCATTTGATTCATCATGGCTGTCCTTCCTCAGGGCGAGTCGGCCATCTCGGCCAAGCGCGCTGAGCTGTCTGGAAAGACAGGTTTCAAGGGTCTCATCAGTAACAAGAAGACTACCTGTATTGGACTTTTCGCGTCGCTGGGTGGTTTGGTGTATGGATGTAAGTAGAGGATGTCTTTGCGCCAGATTGGCGATAGTATCTGACCGTGATATAGACAACCAGGGAATGTTCGCCCAGGTCTTGACGATGAAGTCATTCCAGATTGCTGTACGTCAATTGTCGGTTTCAAACCCTGGCATATGCTGACAGACTTTTCTCGTACAGACTCAGAACTATGCTGCCCAGACTGGCATCGAACAGGGAATGCTGACATCTATCCTGGAACTTGGTGCCTGGGTCGGAACTCTTTTCAATGGATATCTCGCCGACGCGCTGGGTCGTCGTGTCACAGTTCTCGTCGCCGTGGCGGTATTCTGTGTTGGTGTTATTGTTCAAGCCTGCACAGAAAACAAGGACTTTGTGCTGGGTGGTCGATTCGTGACTGGTTTGGGTGTTGGTAGCTTGAGTATGATTGTACCGCTGTACAATGCCGAGCTAGTAAGTAAACCTCAGGACTCCTGGAATCGTGAGAAAGCTGACAGCTGGAAGGCACCACCGGAAATCCGAGGATCCCTCGTCGCCGTGCAGCAACTTGCCATCACCTTTGGAATCATGATCAGCTTCTGGGTATGTATAATGACAGCCTCACTCGTGAGATCTTTAGTGCTGACGTCTCTAGATCGGTTACGGAACGAATTATATTGGTGGAACCGGTGAAACACAATCAAATGCTGCATGGCTGATTCCAGTCTGCATCCAGATCCTCCCCGCTGTCGTCCTGGCTGCTGGTATGATGATGTTCATGCCCCAGTCCCCGCGTCACCTGATGAATACCGGCCGTGACGAAGAATGTCTGACGACCCTGGCTCGCTTGCGTGGCACCTCCGAGGATGACCTTCTTGTTCGCATTGAACATCTTGAGATTAAAAGTTTGTATCTGTTTGAAAAGGAGGTTGCTGCTGAGAAGTACCCCAACTATCAAGATGGGTCCTTCTCTAGTCGTTTCAAGATTGGTTTCTATGACTATATGTCTTTGGTCACCAACAAGTCGCTCTTCAAGCGTACTGCTACTGCTGTATGTATGCACTCGCACATGGGTATACCTTGACTCTTGCTGATGATCTCATAGTGCATGATCATGGTGTTTCAACAATGGAATGGTAGGACAGCCCAAGCTCATTCTTATCTTGGAACTTCTTACTGATGTCGCATTCTTTAGGTATCAACGCTATCAACTATTACGCGTAAGTTTACAATGGTCGCAAGATGGGATGGGCATACTCAATCCCGCACTCTCTGGAGACTGACAGTGCTAACATCATGAAGACCCTATATCTTCAAAGACATGGGTCTAGGAGGCAACACCATTTCACTTCTTGCAACTGGCGTGGTCGGCATCGTGGAATTCCTGTTCACAATTCCTGCCGTCCTTTGGGTTGATCAGATTGGACGTAAGAAGATCCTCATCGCTGGCGCGATCGGAATGGCTTCGTGTCACTTCATTGTCGCAGGTATCATTGGAGCCTACCAGCACACATTCGACGATCATAAAGCAGCTGGCTGGGTTGCGATCGTCTTCGTCTGGATCTTCGTCATCAACTTTGCGTATTCCTGGGGTATGTGTGGATCTCTCCGCTGCGGTGACACCTTGCTGACCGTCATCTCACCACAGGACCTGTCGCGTGGATTGTTACCTCTGAGGTATTCCCGCTTAGCATGCGTGCCAAGGGTGTTAGTCTTGGTGGAAGTAGTAACTGGGTAAGTTGCACAACGTATGCACATCTGGTCTCGGCAACTAACGCTGTACCCCACAGTTGAACAACTTTGCGGTTGGTACCGCTACATCTCCCTTCCTAGAGAAGAGTAACTTTGGTGCATTCATTTTCTTTGGATGTATCACTAGTATTGCGGTGGTGTACGTCATTTTCTTGGTCCCCGAGACCAAGGGTCGCACCCTTGAGGAGATGGACGAATTGTTCGGGACGACTGGTATGGCGGCTGCCGATAATGAACGCAAGGTTCGGATCGAGAGGGATATTGGCCTCCTTGCTCTTGTAGGCGTGGAGCCTGCAGACGAGAAGCGTGAACTTGTGGAGAATAGGGCGGAGTTCTCAAACCATGAGGAAACTGTTGTCGCCGACTTGAAGAATTAAGCGGTCTAATTTGAGTACGGGGAAGCCAAGTCAATCCCTTAGTAGGGCTGGGCTGATCGACGTGTTCGCCGAACCGAGAACCGAACGCTGTCAGGAGTTGAGGATCGATAGCAAGGTCGACATGATACCCGCATAAATATCTGTGCTATATATCTGAGCTCCCAATCTTAATTGTCTATACTTTATACGAACCACCCCTAGACTATTACCTTGTGCGTGATACATATCACATGCGATCGTACAATGATATGTCAGACAAAGAAATGCTGCTAGGCAAACCTTTTCCGGGGCCACTTTCTATGTATAGCTGTGGAGACGGGGATCCGAAACACCAGTCACATCGATCGTCAGGCACTATTGTCTTACCTGACCCTGCGATAGATTAACTCTGGATCCTGGCAGTTTGTTTGTTCCGATTCTTTTCATTCAAGCCCTCCCATCATACCATTCTCTCTTACTCCTACTTAAACCCAGCTCCTCCCCAAATCAAAGCCTCGTCTCCACTACATCTACCTCCACAACAACATGTCCACCACCACAACCTCAGTCAGCGCAACCAACACCGCCAGCTGTGGCGGCAGCGTCTGGCAAATCCCCACAACAGACTACGCTTGCGCCGCCATCATCAGCGGCAACATGACCGATGCCATGGACCAGTGCTGCAAGGACGCTTCCCCCAAGAAGTACGACAACGACTGCGGCATCTACTGTCTGGCCCAAGGCCAGGACATCGGTTCCCTTCAATCCTGCATCTCCAGCAAGAGCGGTAACTACCATGACGTCTTTTGTAATACCTCCCGCCAGAACGCGACCGCCACTGCTGCTGCCACCAAAACTTCTACCTCCACTGGCACCCAGACCGGCACTTTGACCTCGACTTCCACTCACAACGCGGCTGTTGCCAAGCAGCCTGTATCCATGTCTGGAATTGGTCTTGTTGCTTTGATCTTCGGGTCGACTTTCATGGCTGCTTTCTCTTAAGTTGCTCTTTGAGCTTGGATGGCTTTGGATGATATGACTTGTATGATGATTTTTCAGGAGCGGGTCTGCGACCGAATATTGTTGTGTACTTGGCCTCACTTCTTGGTGTAAAATTAAACATTGCGCATACATAATCAATTGTTACTGGGATATCGGTGCTGTTTTGCACTTGGCCTTATTCGATTTCCACTACGAAGTTTTTCAAGGCGTCGGCCAATGAGCGCTTTGCATATTTCCAGGGGTGATCTTCTTGAACCCGGGGAATGCTTGTATAGCCTGCAGCTCAGAAAACCTTTAAAAGTTTGGTGTCCATTTTTTTTTCTCCATTAACATGGGCTCCCTTGTACAATACGTCCCGTAGTGGTGCCATCACCTATGCTCTTTCGTTCTGGAAATATAATTGCCGATACGGACTAATCAGTACCGTGATTTTCCCTGTCAATCTTTATCATCAGGCTCTTGTAAGATTGGATGCGGTCACAAAGAAGGTAATCAAAACGCTAGCTTGACATGCATTATCGGCAGGTGGTAAGCCCTGTTGCTTTATCAAACATCTAGACCAGCCAGTGCATCTCTTATGATGACTTTCACCTGCGCAGGGCCATCGATCTCCATCATTCAATGTCCATGAGCGACAACTCAATCCACGAAATTTAGGAGTCACTGCAGACCACGAGAATTCCCACACAATTTCCATGATCAATACAAAGAGCCTTACGAACGGAGCCTAGATTGGGTACACGCATCAATGAAGGAGTGTAGGTGGTCACACCAATTTCGGGACGTACTGGAACTAATTATAGAGCAGGAGTCTAGATCTACCAACTCGCCTCAAAGATTCTAAGTAAGCTTGGTATCAGCTGAATCCAACAATGTAGCCCATGAAATCACTCATGTGTATCCATATGCCAAACCTGTCACTGTTGAAGCTCAGCGAAGGCAAAGGAACAAGTCAAGAATCATGTGACGTCATACATCCCCACTGTGCTTACAGATCACACCGCTCGGCTTTGTGAACCCCTCCGGGTCTTTGAAGCCCAAATTTTACATCTAAACAAACGGGAACTTATATCAAAATAATGGCTACACAAACTATCATTGCAACCGGCACATCGTCGGGCCTTGTAAGGATCCAGATCAACAAGTTATCGCCCAATGACTAATCCAATTCAACAGGGATTTGAAGCTATCAAACAGCTTCTGGAACAGAAAGAGCAATCTTATAACTTCATTCTCGGTGCACGGGACACCGCGGGAACTCAGGCTGCCTATGATGCCTTGAAGTTCGACAGTTCAAAGCACTGTGTTGCTATTTTGCCCCTCAATCTTTCCGACTTGCGTAGTGTGCAATCATTCGCGAAGCAGGCTTTGAGCCAGTTGGGCCAGAAGAAGCTTGACGCTCTGTTCCTTGTTGCTGGTATGCTGAACAGTGCTGATGGACCTGGTCCTCATGGTTCGCAGTGGTGTGAATCATATGTGGTTAACCACTTGGGTATGTCACTCTTCAATCTACCTCCAGTGTTTGTTTCAGCAGCCAGAGCTCTTGCTAACTCATCTTTGACAAAATACAGCTCAGCACTACTTGCTTCACCTGCTGGCTGATACACTGGCAGCTTCAAAGTCGCGCATCACCGTCGTATCTTCCGGTGCTATCCGTGGTGTGCGAGGAAATGACCCTGGTAAGTGACGCCTAGCATCATCAGTAGCCCTCAGCCGAGAGCACATATTGACGATGGAATTTTTGCTTCAGCCACACTCGATGTAGACCTGAAAGCAGGCTCCGGCGCAAGCGCACGAGTAGTCTACAGTGCCTCAAAGTTCGCCCAGCTTCTGGGCGCCCACTACTGGCGTCGCCAGCTCCCAACCTGCACGGTTGTCGCTGTTTCGCCCGGTCTGATTCCCAACACTAAGCTTGCACAGCACCCAAGCCTAGGATTGTCCATGGACATGCCCGATGCCAAGAGCGTGCCCGAGGGTAAGATGATGCGGATTCGAATTGCTTCCAGAGTCAGATAGCTAATGGTACCCAGGTGCCCAAAACATTCTCCGCGCTCTACTTGCTAAGGATTTGCCTAGTGACCCCCAGCAGATCTTCTTGACCAGCTGGGGTGAGTGGTGGCCTACCGATGTTTATGCCACCAGTCTTGATACCACTTTGCAGGATAAGTGGTGTTTGAGTAAGGCGGATATCGAGAAGTCTGAGCCTGTGTTCCAGCAATAAAGATGTATCAAAGACATATGATATGTACAAAAACATGAATATATGTGCAGTTGGTCCATGTGGAGCCATGAAATAATCCAGCCACCGATACAAAAACCATGATTCAGCTTTGAGGCTTATCCCATTTTTCCGTCATACCTTATCCCAACGAATCAACTGATTTTGGTACGGAAGATCTGCACTCGTCGGATCTCCTGACTTCCGGTTGGGGTAATTCTCCGGTGACAACTCCGCATGTACATGTAAAACAACATAAACCCCACAAACCAAGGTAACCTCAAAAGAAATGACGCGAGGTACCTAGTTATAAGTAACGCATCCTTCAGTTTATGATTTAGAGAGACAAGGCCGGAAATAAGAATGTTGCTGAACATCCTACCTCTGGCAATGCTGCCCTTCGGCATCAATGCCGCCATATTGAAGTCCCGACTTGACAATGGGGTAGCAGATAAACCACCAATGGGGTAGATAATTAATTCAATAAATCGAAGTTGATATGACTAACACCACTGCAGATGGAACACCTATAACCACTACTCTTGTTCCCCAAACGAGACAATTGTCCGCTCAAACGCGAAAGCCTTGGTTGATCTCGGCTTGGAAAAACTTGGCTACCGCTACGTGACAACGGATTGCGGATGGACTGTCGCCGATCGCCTAGCAAATGGATCATTAACTTGGAACGAAACGCTGTTTCCAAGTGGATTCCCTGCGCTTGGGGAGTATATCCATGATTTGGGGTTGTTGTTTGGTGTTTATGAGGACGCGGGTATCAAGACTTGCAATACGGGAATTGATCAGGCGGGCAGTCTGGGTCTGTATCCTCTGAAAGGATTTTAAAGTTCATGGGCGTCGCTAATAGTGGTGCACAGATCACGAGAAGCAAGATGCTGCGACTTTCATATCCTGGAATGTCGACTCGCTGAAATGTAAAGACCACAAGACATTCTCAAATTGCTTCCAAGGGACTAATCTGAGACAGATGACAACTGCTATTCCGACGAAACCACTGGATACCCCAACACGAATTATGCGCCGACTGTCTCACCACGGCTCCGTTACACAAACATGTCCGACGCATTAGCAGCCCAGAGCCGCAAAGTCCTATTCCAAATCTGCGAATGGGGCCTCGACTTTCCCGCACTCTGGGCCCCATCACTAGGCCATACATGGCGTATCGGCAACGACATCATTCCGGCATGGCGAAGTATCTTCCGAACACTCAACCAAGCAGTACCGCAGACATCATTCGCAGGGCGTGGCCAATGGCCCGACCTCGACATGTTGGAAGTCGGCAACAGCATTTTCACAACGCCCGAGGAGCAAACTCACTTCTCAATGTGGGCTATTCTGAAAAGCCCGCTTGTGATTGGAGCTGCATTGAAGGATGATTTGACTGAGATTAGCGAGGCGTCTCTTTCCATTCTATCGAATAAGGATGTCATTGCCTTTAATCAGGATTCTCTGGGTCAGAGTGCCAGTCTTCGGCGTCGTTGGACTGAGCAGGAATATGAGGTTTGGAGCGGACCATTGTCTGAAGGCAGAACTGTTGTGGCCTTAATTAACTGGGCTGATGAAGCGCGGAATTTGACTTTGAATCTCCCAGATGTCGGTCTTCAGTCTGCAGGCACTGTCAAGAATATCTGGAAAGGTAAGACTAGCAGCAATGTGAAAACGTCCTACACGAGCTCTGTTGAAGCTCACGGTGTGATGCTCCTGGAGCTGGGGGATACAAATCAAGCGGGCGTGTACTCGAGCAAGAAATTCGGAGCTCAGAAAGGGTGAGTACCTCCTTCACACTGAAAGCACAATTTTGAAACCGCTTTATCAGCATCGTTTACTGAATTTAGTAACTACAGGAACGAGCTTACGTTCGATTCGATCTACGCAAATACGACAAGCGCCAATCATAGCATCTCTATCGTGTTCTCTAAAGCAGCAACTGCGACTGGAAGCCTTCAAGTACAGTCATCTTCGGGTTCAAAGTCAATCAAAATCCCAGTTGCCGAATCCGCTGAAAGCGTCACTTCCACCATATCTCTGGTGTCAGGATCATCGAACAAGATTACAATTCAATCCACAGTCTCAATCGATTCCATTCGTATCGAAGCTCTATCGAGCTTCTACTATCCTTGCACTTCATTCACTTTGAGCGGTTCCGCAGCATTTGCGACATGCGATAATGGCTTTTGTCTTCCAGTGGGGTCCAAAATTGGATACCTCGACGCCAAGTCTACTGCCAGTGCCACGATTCAAGCAACTGTATCCACCGCCAGTACAGTGTTGAAGTATATCGAAGTCGACTTCATCAACAATGACATTGCTCTGGCGACAAGTTGGGGCTTTGGATCGAACTCGAGAAACATGACAATCACGCTGAACGGTGGAGATCCAGTTCGGCTTGAGGTTCCTTTAACTGGTCGCCACAGTGAGCTGTTTGGACCGGGGTTGGGTTGGTGGGATAGTTCGACACTCGGTATCGTGATTGACGGTTGGAAGGATGGTAATAATGCAGTGGTGATTGGAAGTGAGGTCGCTGGTGATGTGTCCCAGTCTTATGGTGCAGACTTCGTTGGTCTTCGGCTGTATAACTGATCACCCTGTTCGGGGTTCTTTGTATTTTGCGTGATCAAGGAATTGCGAACTGGGTACAGCAGCAGAACAGGCAAATCAGCCCTATTTATCTTCTGAATAACAGCTTCACAAGTTTTTTGATGTCCTCGATATTATTTGACAATTATGAGTTGTCCGGGACAAGAGAAAATAGACACAGTAAGACATAAAAAACGAGATGAAAGAAAAGTTGGAAAGGCGAGGATAGAGTAAGGCAAATCTCATTTTTGAAGCAACATGTTTGCTAAGACCCATGCACATACTTCTCGACATTCCATGGTAGAACAGTTTCTACGATTACTTCCAAAGGCGCCCATTTGAACACATCCCCAAAGCTGCATCTGCAGGTTGATCAATGATATCTCCGATGACATGAGATGCAAAAAGAGAGCAATCTCTTATACTTCGTTAAAGTATCTTGAGCAAGATTCTATGTAAGCGTGAGGCCTAAATCTAGTACTAATTTCTGGGGTGAACACTCAAAACTTTGTGGTCTTGCGTCCGTCCTTTTGCTTGTCTTCTCACCTCTGCAGTATATGACGAGAAACTGCAGCCCGTGTGACCAAGGATGCATGTAGGTCGCCGCACTTCTCCAGATTCGTCATTATATTAATGGTTTTCGCTGTCTCTTGTTTGGTCTCACAGATCTGGATGTTCTGCACCACGGACCAGATCAAGTAGGTGACCATGACTGAACGTCTGCAATATGAATTTCACAAATAAGCTATTGAGGGTGTCATTGCAGATTAGTATGTGATTAATTGCGGTCTCTGATAGAGGCGATAGAAATATACCAGGTCTGGGTCCTTGACCAGATGCTTTGCTGTCATCTCATACTGCTTCGTAATGATCGTTATACCACAAGCCGCCTGGAATTCAGTAACTTAGTGGTACATGTTCGTCCGCTGAAAGGGAATTATCTTGATAGATACTCAGCAATTTTTACCTTCATATTTCCCACGGGGCGTCCGCCATGGACTAAACCTAGTCCCATGGGAGTGGGTATGGTGGTACTAAACCTCCGTGGGAAATCCAACGGAATTAAAATACGTAATGAAATGGGGACGGCTCGATGTCAGTCTAGCATAGCAGACAGGTCGATATCATAAAAGGAAGGCCTCGAAACACTCCCAGGCCATGCGCTTAGCTCTCGAGGACTTCTGTGGCATTCACCCTGCTATTATTTCATGTAGAATAAATTTGATGAACCAAAGTGGTGTTTATTCTTTGCTATCCCGCTGTCTTGGTTCTAGCAATAAGAAGACTGAATACTTGCCAAGACATGCGAGACTCGAAATTTCTAATGCATTCTATATCTCCCTGGTTCTACATCAAACTTCCAGGATGTGACAACAATTGGATCTAGAAAGGTGACAGCCTCTGGTTTGATCGGTGGCAACAGCTTTTGGCTCTCGATTCAATGCCAGAATTAGTTGAAATCATTTCATGGAATGACTACGGTGAATCCCATCATATTGGAACGATATATGGCAAGTCAATGGCCGCATTCGAGATCGGTGATTCCCTCTACAACTACGCATTGGATTATCCACATGACGACTAGCATGATTGATGTGTACGAAAATGGGAAGGCAACCATGTCAGATGACATTGTTGTCTTCTGGTATCGCCCCAGCCCAGTGTCCGCCTGCAGTCCAGCAGGGACAACAGTGAACACCGCCTCTCAATTATAAATTGGATTTGAACCGGCTAATGCCTTCGAAGACAGGATCTATGTCATGGCGATGTTTGAGAACAGCAATTCTGCGGTCTCTGGTAATAATGAATACTTCGTGTAGGATTCTCAACCGCAAACTGATAATTGAAGGAGACGGTGAATTTCGGGCTAGTCTCTGGTTTGGTATCGTTGCTGCAAACCTTGACGCGGTTCAGGTCAATCCGATCACAGGGGATATAACTGTTGCTCCTGCCTCGGGTTTGGAGATATCTTCTAGATGTGAAGAGGATTTAATCAAGTTCAATGCGTGGGTAGGAAGCGTCTCAAGGGGCTTAATGGGTGGCACATATCACACTACAACTGACCTGGCAGACCAGGTCTGCATCAAAGGCAAGGACGCCTACAAATTTAACGATCTCTTCTACATTATTATAAGAATGCATTCGGGGTTCTATAATCTTGGAACCGCGAAAATATGAGATATGAGATGCTGTGCGGGGTTCCAATTTTGAAACCAGAACCGCATCATGCCGAGACCTACTAGCGATATAGATCGGTGTCTTAAGGCTTGTCAAGGCCAACGAGGTTGTTTAAGCCTGGTCTTTCTCTCAATGAGGGAAAGACTCTATTTAAGTGATAATTCTTCCCCTGATCTATACTTTACGTGGTCTAATGCTGATCACCAGATTCTTGCCTGATGTTTCAGATGTCTAGTCTGGATGCGCCGTGAATCTCAACATTAAACAATAGATAATATATAGACCAGCCAATATACTATACTACGGCCTTATCACAACTAATTATACAACAAGTCAGATATTCAGCCAAGAAGAATTATTCATAGTGTTTAATTTTCACATTTGATCAAAGAACCGGGAATTCAGCATGCCGATTAATTATCCTCCGTGAGAAGTTGCCTGCTGATTCTGTGTTCAGTTGGAGCATTCAACTTTTCAGGTTTATTTTTAAGATCAGAAGCCTATTCTGCAAGCCATTGCAAAACTCTCTCGAGCAATTTGAGCCCCTCGGTTGGCTCGTTTATTCCCAATTTCTCTGCAGAGGAATTTCTGTTATGCTTCTTGTCTTCTTCTAATATTAGTTTCCTAGCCAGCTCATGAGAAATTTCAGGATGCGCTTGGAATGTGAGAACATTGTTTGCATCATTGACGAAGCACTCTCCATTGTCGGCGAGGGAAATGAAGCTGGGTGGCGGGGTGTGAACCTCATCGCTGTGAAGCTCTATTGCTCTCTATTAAATGTTTAGTACTGGAAATTAAATTCATGAATGCGGACCAGACGTACGTAGGACCCAGAGGCCGCGGCAAATGGAAAGAACTTCCTGCCGGCCTCTGTGAGGTGAATATCTTCAATCGCAGTCTGTTCACATCAGAATCAGTCCGATCAACGTTTTGGTCATCCACATACAATTTGTCCAGTGGGAACGGGTCGAACTTGACCACCGAATGCCCTGGATACTGCTTGATGGCCCCAGCAAACACCGAGTATCTTGGTCTTAGGAGAATCTCGCACTGTGATTCGAACATACTCCAGTACCTCCAAAACCCAGGGCTCCGAGCAATCGGAATCTATCTTACCACCACTCAAAACTATCAGGTTGTATTTCGACGTATCAGGGAACTTGCGCTCCACAATGGGGTCGTAAAAATCAATCTCCGATGTCGGGGCAATCGATGAAAATGCTTCTTTGAAGCACTCTTGCACCACTGACTGGAAGTCTGTGCCATCCGGCGGGGTGTTGATTAGAACAGCAATCTTTAGATTGGTTTTTGAGCCCATATTTGAGTTGATGAACAGTATATCTGACGTGGGAGAATAATTGACCAGTAATTTTATTTCCCAAAATGGAAATGGAAGGGACAAGGGCTGAAGAATAGAGATAATATGGTCTCAAACAATCTGCTCAGGTGGCCAACTTCGGTGTCATAATATGCTCGATTTGATCCGTCAACAACACCAACACCATGAGAGATATTACTCCCAAGGCGAGAATGTTCTGTAAGCGCCAAAACCTTGGCAAAAGTGGATTGACGCTATACTTACCTATGTAACCAATAGTAATCAATATCATGCGGGAGCGACCCGTTCCCGGGTCGCCACCCATTTCCGGGTAATTATACGTCCCCACTAGTCCGTAGGGTCTACCATAAATAGCCTAGTTTAATACGTGTAATGAATTGCTATATGGCGTATGCTTACCTGCTACTGCAGGATCTCGGTGGGGCAGGTAAGACGAAAGATAGAAAGAAGGCCTTGCAGGCAAAGAGGAAACAAGGTGAGATGGTAGGGATGGTGTAGATGAAAATTACATGCATGCACAACAACCTAGCAAGCACATGGCCCTGACTAATTGAGGCTGAACTGATTGCGGGTTCCAGGGTCGACTTCTCGGGTCGGCTTGGCATATCTGCCAGATCCCTAAGCTTCGAGACTTGAGCCGACACATTCGCAATACATTTGTATCTGCGGGGATTTCACTCGGCAATTTGCACAGCGATTTGTGGGTTTCTGCAAGATATTCCTGTGACTTTACTCAATAACAGCGTCAATTTTCACGTACAAAACCATGATTGGTCAACCCCTTGATTTTGGGGGCCTAAACTTGAACTTTTGCCTTCGTCACCGGTGTGTGGCGTGCACGCAGGAGTTGGCCGCCGGGTGGGCTACAAATTTTCCGGGATATTCAACATCATTCCAACCATTATCACCACTACAACGCCATGTTCTCTCTATTTAGATCACTTGTTTTGAGATACATTTATTAAGAAATTTTGGGATTAGTGATATAGGGAATTCACGTCTTCTGATTTGTATTTAACGTTCGAATTATCATGGTAAGCGGATCCTTTGGGTATCTCGGAACGGCTTTCGAGTATATCCGAGCGTTGTCCGCAGCGTTCCTTTACGATCGACGAAAGAGCCAGTCAGACGCCGTGCCCAAGTGGCTTCACCTATCACCCACCTGTGGACCCTAATTTTCCGTACACCGCATTGTCGACAGACAACGTAGGCTGCTGCGCCTCTGTCATACCAACGTTGGCCAGGGACTGGCTGGAATCATCCAGCTGGACTCCATTTGTAGGGGCCAAATATGAATCGGGGCTAAATTCGATCAGATGATTCGCCATAGGCATACGATCACTGAAATATACACCAGCGTAAAGCCTGACTTGCACTAGGGCTGACGTCTTCTGAGACAGTGGACGGGCAAGGCGGAAACTGGGACATCAGTAAACCTCCAGGAAATCATATATAAGATCCCTACCGCACGTACGGTAGACTTCGAATAATAGGTCAATTCTCTAACGGAGTCACTCTCTCTCTTGTGACAGATAGGGGCTTAGCTACGGCCAGTTGTGCGCGAGTCTTTGTTCTGCGTCTTACCTTTGCCTCTTCTCTTCGTCTGGATCTACGCGTATATATAACTTCTCCTGGAGTCAAAATGCGTTTGCAGGTTGTCACTGCTGTGGCCATCTGGGCTGTTGTCTCGGCCTGTCAGAGCCTTCCTGGCACTCGAACAATTTGGTCTCGCGATACCGACTATAAAGAGCTCAGCGAGAAGCTATCCCCCTCCGCCAAGGCTTACTATCCTGGTTCGGATGATTTCGAGCAGGCTAACACTCGATGGTCGAATTTGGAAGTCCCCACTGTGAACATTGTCATCGTTCCTGGCACTGAGCACGATGTCGTCGAGACAGTAAGTTTCTATACTTTGTTTATTTATATCTCTTTCTCCTTTTTTAGTTCCATTATCTTACTCCTGGGCACATGAACAACGCATCTTGGTCCTACCAATGCAAACGAGTTACAAAAAAATAGTCAGCTAATATCACTGCATAGGTGAAATTCGCCAACAAGAAAGGATTGCCTTTCCTGGCTTGGAATAGTGCCCATGGAGCCATCACCACCCTGGGACAAATGGACAGCGGGATCGAGATCTACTTGGACCAGCTCAGTGGTGTCAAGATCGCCGAGGATGGCAAAACTGCTACCATTGCTGGTGGAACCAAGTCTAAGCTGATAACTGACACCCTGTGGGCTGCTGGAAAGCAGACTGGTAGGTTAAAGTCGACCCTATAGAACATGAACACAATGCTAATTCAATGTAAATAGTCACTGGTGCTTGCGAATGTGTCGGCTACATTGGACCCGCATTGGGTGGTGGCCACGGCTGGCTTCAGGGCCGCCACGGTACTATTGGTGACCAATTTGAATCTGCGAATATCGTGCTTGCCAACGGCACTCTTGCCACCATCGACTCCAGCTCGGACCTTTGGTGGGCGATCAAGGGTGCCGGCCACAACTTCGGCATTGTCACCTCTGTCACCTCCAAGATCTATGACATAGAGCACAAGGATTGGGCCATTGAGATTCTCACATTCAGCGGCTCAAAGGTCTCAGATCTCTACGAGGCTGTCAACACTCATCTCCTCAAGAACGGCACCCAGCCCACTGATCTCATCAACTGGTCCTACTGGGTTAACATTCCCTCTGCAGATGCTAATAACGTGAGTCTACCCTCTCGCTTATTATTTTTTTCCTGCCAATCTAATAATTACCTGCAGCCCGTCATCCAAATTCTCATTATCCAAGAAGGAGTAAAGACCGTCGACTCCAGCTATACTGCTCCCTTCCACTCCCTGAACCCCATTACCAAAGAAGTTCACAACGGCAGCTACACCGATCTCGCAAAATGGGTCGGTATCACCACGACTGATGGACCCTGCCAGAAGAACGGAGCCATGAACCCGCGGTTCCCCATTTACCTCGAGACATACAACGTCAACGCGCAGAAGAAAGCCTTCGAGACATTCTCCGAGGCTATCCGCGGCGATTCTATCTTCAACGGTTCCTTGTTCACCTTCGATGGATACTCCATACAAGGTGTGAGGGCCATCGACGAAAAGAGCACCGCTTTTGCCTTCCGTGATCAAAACGTCCTCACCGCGCCTTTGATCACCTACATGCCTGACGGCCCCGAGCTGGATGAGAAGGCCGCCAAGCTGGGCAACCAGCTCCGACAGATTCTGCACGAAGGTACTGGACGCGAACATATCCCTGCCTATGTTAACTATGCCAATGGCGATGAGGGCCCAGAGCAGTGGTATGGCAGTGAGACCTGGAGACAGAGCAAGTTGCAGAGTTTGAAGCAGAAGTATGATCCTCATGGGATGTTCAGCTTCTATGGGCCCATTGCTTAAATGAGAGGGCGAGAAGTGTTCAGTACGGTTTTCTCTTGTGATATACCCCGCTCCTAGATATCCTTGGTGTTCGGTGGTTTTTTTTATTTTCGTATCGTGAAAAATGTGCTTTAAATCAGATATAGCAGAATGAGTTCTCCAGAAGTATATATTATTGAATTTCTCCAATTTACCACTCACGGCCCGAGACAGGCTAGTGCCATATTCTGTGTCGGTAATATCGCTGCTGGTATGAATTTTGAGCTCTTCAGCTTAGATAAATTCGAATATGTACAGGGTTTCGTCGATCGATCGATCGATTTTCATACAAAGGAAAGGATTACGTAAGTTTTAGAATTATCGCATCATCAAATAACTGTTCATGTCCCAGATATATCGATACAACGCTACTTTATATCCTGTTGCGAGTGTTCCCCTTCCATGAATGCAATCTTAAGTATCTGTTACTAAGGACACTGCCCTTTCATATATTGAAGCTATGTAACCCACTGAGCTAGGATGATTTAAGCTCCAAGCTTAATACCGGTGACATCCTCGCAGGCCTTGACAACAATTTCCTGGAGATCCTCGTGAGTTGTCTCTGGAAGAGGCTCACCAATTTGCTTCTTAGGTACAAAGTAGACACCGGTGAGACTCTGATCGTAATCACCTTCGGCCAGCATAACGTATGTCTCAACACCATCCTCCAGCTTATCGGTAGCGCCTGCACCTCCAAGCTTAGTAGGAACATATCCAGGGTGGACAGAGGTGACTGAAGTGCCCTTGAACCGTTTTGATACCGCATTCGCAAGAAGCATAACATGGAGCTTCGAATCGCAGTATGCGGGGAAGTCCTGGAACTCCTTCTCCCCGCGCTCTAACCAGAAGATATCCTTTAGGTTTGTCTTGGCTTCCCGATGGAGGATAGAGCCGATGAAGATTAGACGCTTAGGTTGTTTGAGGAGACATGTGAGAATGTAGGGAGCGAGAACATTCACGAAAGGCATAGCTGGCACGCCAGACTCTGTCTTGCGGAAGGGGCCGTAAAGCAGTCCGGCATTAAGAATGATAGCGTCGAAGGTGCCAATCTCGTTGGCTTCCTCGGCCAATTTGCGCGTCTCGGCCACGCTTGTCAAGTCCGCAACGAGCACACCAGCAGCCCCAGGGCATGTGATCTTGACATCCTCTGCGCGCTCTTGGTTTCGCGCATGAAGATAGACGGTGTGTTTACGCTCAACGAGCTGACGGGCAGCCTCAAGGCCAAAGCCATCGGTGGAACCCGTGATCAGGATGCGGGCCATTTCGCAGAAGCTGGCACAGTTGAACTGAGAAAGGTGGTATAAAGATGTGTTATCCCGAAGGCACGAGGATAGCCAGATGAGTTTCAAGAGTCTCGGAAAGCTGATAACTTGCTCAAAAACAGTCCTGTGGAAAAATGGAGGATTTCCTTAGCTTGGGGAATCGGAGAAAGGTCGGAGAAAGGGACGAAAGATGGACACGCCGAAGGATTGAGGTGTGATGTCTAGTGTGGATCTTTCCCCAGGCCGGAAGCACACCGAACTTCTTTGTTGAGACGGGTCATTCCGGATCAGTGAGAGGCCGCCAAGACTAAGACACCAACACCTGTTTTCTTTTTGCTTGAATCTCGTCAAGTAATTTACTCACTAGTTCGTACTAATACATACTGTAATTCGGTGGTATCCATCGAGTGGGGGCCATGTAATTGGATTTCGCTGAGGGTTTCATCTCTTTCTCACTTGAACTTGAAATTTCTTTACGGTAATTAAAATCTGATCAACTTTGACTTCATACATGGTCGACAAAAGAGGGTCGCCGGTTTGCTAGTGCGCCCGAGAATGATTCAGCACCCCCATCTACCTGATGACCGTGAGGCCCTCAACGACATTACTTGGCTCATCCCCTACATATTCTGCACTTGCTATAGTATATAAACTACACTCTCTAGAACTCAATTGGCCATGCCCGTACTAGTCCGTACTGTGACGACCACGTCCCGACAGATATTACTAATACGCTTATAAAAGTGGGCCAATGTGCATAGAGTTTCAAGGTTATGTCTCACTCATCGGGCGTCTCATCGGGCACCTCATCGGTCGTCTCATACCCCTTTGCCAGCTCGAACCTTGGAAATCAAGGTCCTCCCGGCATGTGGGGCGACGTATGCATGTCAGCAATGATCGTCCCCAAGGTCGTGGATCGCGGAACGGCATCTCTGCGCCAGTAAGCTTCCTCAGTGGTGCCAAGTATACGGTCTCGACTCGGTTTCAGATGGAAGAACTAAGTGCGGTTCAGCTGCATACCCTACTGCAGTGAGATTCTGCAGGACGACCTCTTGAAGCGATCGTGGCGGCGTTCGGTAAGCAGATAGAGAGGCTGTTATGTCAGACTTTACATAATATGAGAGAGTAAGGTCATTTGTCTACGTAATGAAGAGTATTGGCAGTCAGCGATGTTCTCGCGGCCCGGCACGGAGTACCGGAGTAAAGCTAGCCGGGGTTCGTGATTACGTCTGGCCGTACGAGAATATACGGTTTTTCTTTCCATTTGATGGACCCTTGTCTCAACATGATCACCATGGCGCCGACGTCGGAAGTTCTGGAAATCCCTGCGCAGGGCAGCAACTAAGCCACGATTCAGGCAGCCAGATGCGTTGTAGGGGTATTATGACGCAAACATAAAAGTGTCGACAGCCCTAAGTAAACCTTCCGTGTAATTTTATCTTCAACCACATGGGGTTCTCAAAATACCTTTATTTATAGCAACATTTTCATTATCATCCTAAGAGTCATCACCTGCAATGGGTTCCATTACACACACGCCTCAACGTGGAAAGTTCCGCTACCTGAGCCGAGGGGCTAAGCCAACTCTAAGCAAAGAAGCGTATCTACTTCCACCTCTTTCCGAGTTTGGTGATGTTCTTACATTACCTCTCACGGACATGAAACCATCTCTAGATCTTGGAGATGAGTCCCCATACAAGCTCTCAGTTCACGGGTTTACTGCTCGCCGACATCACTCGGCCCTGCATGCAGCTCCATACGAAAGAAAAAGTTGGAATGATGAGCATCTACTTCGCCAAATCTATTTTCCAGAAGTACAAGAACTTGTTCAAAAAGTGACGGGATGCAAGAAGGTGGTGGTATCCGCAGCAGTGATTCGGAACGAACTGTACACCGAAGGCGATCCAGCTCCTACTACACAAACAGAAGCAAACGGACAAACCACGCACGAAAATGAAACATCTGAGCTATTTCCACCTATTGTTGGAAATTCGCCGACAGACGGTATATGTCCTGCGCCGAAAGCGCATCTTGATCTTACCCCGAAGGGTGCAAGGTACCACATTCGAAAGTACCATCGCCAAGTTACTTCAGCGGCCGAGCAAGTGATTGAAGCGGAGAATCGGTTGCTTGAAACCGGTGTGCAATGGGATGACCTCAAGGACTGCTATCGAGGAAAGGAAGGAGATGATGGGATTCCCCGATTCGCACTTTTCTCGATATGGAGACCCCTGAGGCCAGTCCATCGTGACCCTCTTGCTTTAGCATCCTGTGCTTCCTTCCCCGAATCTGATTATGTGCTTTCTGAGCAGCTTGAGCCCATGGATCACCAGATTCCTGCTCATCTGTCGCGCATAATTGATCCCAACTCCCCTTACTTGAACGTCGACAATGAACGACAAGTCCAAGATGGAACATGCCAGACTTATGGCTATCTGGCTTATGGGCCACGGGACAAGGAAAAAAAGGCGCATGACTGGCACTTCATTTCAGAGCAACAACCTTCCGACGTCTTGATAATTCAACTGTTTGACAACGAGATGGAGGCGCGTGCAAGGGCACCACAAGAAGGGGGCAATAAGATGTCGAACCTGGGAGTTGGGGGAGCCATTCATAGTGCATTTGAGTTGGACAGTCAGGATACAAACGATGAAGCGCGGGAAAGTATCGAAGTACGATGTGCAGCATTTTGGTGAAGAATTCCGAGATGTAAATCTGGTTGTCTGTTTTGGTCCGTATTTAGTGTGTTAAATCTGAATAAGAGTTTTCGACGGTGCAGCGTTGGAATAATAAACAGTCAGCTTGCTTTCTCACTTTGAGTTGGCGTATTTCATCAATTAGTCTCAAGCCAGTAAGAGCCGAGCGACCTACTACTCTGATAGGGTACTTTCAAACCAAGCGTCATGTGTATCGAATTTTTGATGAACCCACGCTTACTGCATTGCTTCCAGTATCTCCTCGGGCAGTTTACTTTGCTCAATACCCCTTTGTTTCAAGAGTGTAGTACCAAGTCAACATTATTCTATCCGAATGACTAGAAACTTCAAAAATGAACTTGTTTCTTTTTTCTTTCTTTTTTTGTTTCTTGCTTTCTTCCCTTACTATTCAAATAACCAGAGTTTTCTAACAAGTCACTATAGATATGTGATACCCCCCTCAATTCGGCAGGGCACGGGCTGGCTTGACTTTGAAGCGCTGCCCTAGAACAATAAACTGGGCAACGGTGATTGTGCGGCGGAGAGCCATGGGCTCCTGTTTGTTGAAGGCTTTTTCAACAGCTTCTTCCGTAGCATTCCAGTCTATAAAGCCCAGGCTTTCCACGTTCTCCTTAGTGACCAGTTGCTTAATCTTTTGGTGCAGGGGTCCCCCCGGCCAGAATTTTCTCGGGCCCATGTAGGCTTTCTTGCTGATTTTGTAGATCTCATCGGTAACGTAAGGCCTCACAGCTTCCCGAAGAATGTACTTTTCACTGAAGGACTTTTCTTCCGGAAGGTACTTCAGCTTCAGGCTCGGTGGCACATTGTTAACATATTCGGTCAGATGATGATCAAGGAAGGGGCAACGGCTTTCAACTTGATTGACCATGTCAATGTTATCCCCGTTATAGCGCAGGATGAAATGGGGCATAAATGACTTCGTGAATAGGTATTGAGCAGTGTGAAGGGCGTGCCAGCGCTTTGTTATATTGTCGCGGACACGCCCATCAAACCCTTCAATGAGACTAGTTTCCGGTAGATCATTACCGTAAGAGGCCGTCCAATTGGAGAATGGCAGGCTGCCGACTCTCGCGATGGTGCTAGTGACATGGCTGTTGTTCAGCATGCGCTTTGTCGCATCTGGAACAGTCTCACTGTACTCGCCAAAAATACCGTATTTGACTTGTTTTGCAGCCATAGCCAGTGCTTCCTGACGGTCGGTTTCGGTCAGTTGTAGTGCTGGCCATGAATGATCGGGCTCGCTAAGCGAATCGGCCCGGAACGCATCGTAGCCCGCAAAATGCTCATCAGAACCCTCCCCTGCAATAATATTAGCGATGCGACGTCGACGAACAAGATAATGCTCCTGTTGGAAAATACTACGCACCAGTGATCACGACCTTGATACCCTGGGCATGTACCGCTTCTGCCAGTGCCAGCCGACCCATTCCATTGAGGTCGGGGAGAGGGATTTCACTGTGCCAAACGGCGTCCTCGAAGCGTGACACGAGTGCCTCTTCGTCCATTTTGACGAGATGAATATCGACACCCAGCCATTTCGCTGTGCGACGAGCAATTGCTGGAGCTTATCAGCAATGGAGCACTGAATATTGTGTGGTGGGGTAGACATACCTGACTCATCTGCGCCGCTATCCTCATCAAACTGAACGGTAAAGCACTTCATGTTCGACGGGACTGAGTTAGCCTCGTTACCTAACTTTGTCCCCTGTTTCATGAGATCAGCCACCATTCCAGCAACGGATGATGAGTCTATTCCGCCACTGAGGTAGATAGCTACGGGAACATCCGCCTTCAGTCGAATTCTCACAGCCTCCAGAAGGCGCTTTCGTACTCCTTGCACAATTTCCTCTTCCGATCGCCCATCATGAGAGAACTAGACAAAGTTGATCGTCAGTGAAGGTTTCTGGGAAAGGTGTTGAGATCCTTACTTTATCGGGATACTCAAGATCCCAGTACGCCTTTTGTTCTTCTTTCTCGTTGGGGCGACTAATCAGATAATGTCCCGGGAGAACCTTTCATGTTTTAGAAGAGGCCCATCAATTGGCAGACATGTGGTCGAAAGAAACTTACTCTGTGAACGCCTTTAAAGAAAGTGCGAGATTCAATTCTCCAGCTCTGGTCTCGCAATGTTCGAACACACCATTCAGGTTGTAATCCAAATGCCAAGAAAGACTTGATCTCTGTTGCCACCAGTAACTTGCCTTTCACCACTGTATAATAGAGTGATTTGATTCCATATCGGTCTCTACCTGCTATGAGTAACTGCCGGTTCGCATCCCAGAGCACAAAGGCAAACTCGCCCCTCAAATGAGAAAGAAAAGAGAGGCCATAGTGTTTGTACAAGGCAATAACGATTTCACAGTCACTGGTGCCTGCAAACTGGAATTCGCTTGCTAACTGATCGCGATAAAACTCGTGGTCATACAGTTCACCATTCACAACGGCGTGGATGCTGTTGTCTTGGTCGTGAAATGGTTGGTTTCCACTGGGGCTGAGATCGATGATTGACAATCGAACATGACCAAGGCCTATTGAGAAGATTTGAGTATCTATCCATGTCTAACCATTAGTAGAGAATGATGTGACCTACCAACTTTGTGATCGTCACTTAACCAACGCCCACGAGCATCTGGCCCACGATGGCCAATAATATCCAGACTATGCTCCAATTCATCTACCACATGGCGGCCTTGGGCGTTGGGCTGCTCAAATGAGCTATCCTTGCCAGGGTGACACAGAAATGCACTTATTCCACACATAGTTAACAAGATTGAGATGAATGAAAGCAAGACCCATGACTGAAGGGTAACCTTGGAAATTGGCCTTTTATCATACGTGTAAATTTCACTTGGAGATCTGTTGAATTGGTCTGGTATTTACTAGTATCGTCACTGTTTTAATTTACTGGAGGTCGTATTACCAGCGGGGTGGCGGCCCGCACCCCCGATGTCGGCCCGCTTCGGGGGGCGCCGTCGCCGAGCCGAAACCCTAAACTCATTGCGAAACTACAACCCCGCAACTTGGATGCGGCCAGGATTGCATAGAGATTTTAAGGGGGCGTGTGTCTGCATGTCGCTACTTGATTGGTGGAATCTTTCGATTGGTCCCATATAGATCTTAACGCCAAAGTGCGAAATTATGAGTACCACCCTCACTTTGCATCAGTTCACATTTTTACTATGGACAGTGTTCTTCACTTATTCCTCGCTAACTGATACAATTAGCATGAGTATGCGTGCAAAAAACTAGATATAAGTTATAAAATACATTCGAAGCTCGAGTCTATATGGCAAGAATCAGTAATTTTTGAGGCTGATACCAGTTCTCGTTGTATATTGCGTTGACGCACGAAGACCATGGAAGCCTGAAACCTTGGAAAATTACTGTCCAGCAAGTGATACTAGTTGTTACAAGCGGCTTAGTATACCGGGCCCTGAGGCTGAAGCATGCATGCTTCTGATCTTCTTGGCGCGTCGTAATGCACCATGGCATATTGATGGCAATCAGCTCGGATACATTCAAAAAGATTTCCGTAATAACACAAAGCTCCGCTGGCATAATCCTTCAAACGCTAAGAGAGTTTCTCCGAACGCAAGGCGGCATATTAAACACCTCATCGAGTGGGGACATGGCCCAGTAAGATCATACAGCGACAAATCATCGCATGACAAAATCGCATCATTTACCGCGGACACCGTCCGGCTTGGCTTCACGTATGACTAGCGGATCTTGAAGGTGCCTAGATCGGGCACCCTGGCTATAATCCATGTCCAAGATCTTCACAAGATTCCGGTGTAGTATGCATGTCTCAGAACGCAAGCACTCCAAATAACGGAGGCAGTGCATTTGCCTATACCGGAAAGCACAGAATCAGTGCATGTTGCGGAATTGCCACTCATCTAGTGCTTATGGGGGGCGTTTGTATCAATTCCCTGGCTACGGAGCAAGAATCAGCCGGGAAAGGAAATAGGGTTGAGTAAGCTCATAAACAGCTGTGGGCATCAAGGATCGATGCCAATTCTTCACGCACTTGTATAGATCTTTCAACTTTTTTTGTTGGTGATCAATAAATTTCCATTGCAAAAATCACTCTACATGGCTGCCCCATCCATATCGCCGTTTTTTACCCCACAGATTGGGGTTCAGCGGGACTTCCAAGACGGCGAAACCCAAATAGCCACTGTCGATGCTCCATGTACAGGTCTAAGTAACACATATCTTGCCAGTTGGCTACAAGAGGAGCAGAAAAATCACTTGGAACTTCTTCAGGCTGCATGGTCAATTTCGCTTCGGTCTTATACTGGCTCTAACGACGTCTTGTTTAGCTGCCTGAATTTGAAAGAGTATGTATTCCGAGATAGCCTCCGTGAGCTGTGACTAACGACTAGTAAATGAAGAATCTGCTACTGCCATGTTTCGCCCTCAGATTCAGTGCGAAGTCTCTTCCATATACGCCGCGTGGAGCTACACGAGGGAAATAGCACGGCTGGTCTCGGAGCCAACTCTGTTGTCTATGTTGTTGAAGAAAATGAAGAAAAATCCGATAATGCGAGACTCGATGACCTCCAAAAGGTAATTATTTGTTCCGCAGTAAGCGAACAGAAGTCTTTGATACTGACATCTTCGACATAGTTCGATCTCGCGATCTATTTCTCGCAAGGGACGGAGAAAAATTGCCCTGTCATTGGAATTCACCACAAGCCCTCGGTCATAACAACTCATTTGGCTACAATGATTGCAGCAACAGTGGCAAAGGCCGTCGAGGAAATCGTTATTCACGTTGATTCTCTGATTGAGGCCCTTGATATATGTAGTGATGCGGACATCAACTGCATTTCTCAATGGAACAGCACATCAGACGATGGAACACCATTGGCGCAGTGCGTACATCATATCATCTCCCAGAGATGTGCTGTCCAGCAGGAATCAATTGCGGTGTCAGCTTGGGATGGAAAACTTACTTACGCAGAGTTGGATAGCCTGTCCTCAGGTCTGGCAATACAGCTTCAACGCCTTGGGGTTCGCCCAGAAACTTTCGTCCCCCTTATTTTTGACAAATCAAAATGGGCAGTGATTGCCCTGTTAAGTGTCCTGAAAGCTGGCGGCGCTTATTTCTTTCTCAATTCTTGCAATCCAATCCAATACAACCTTGGCCTATGCTCGTCTCTTTCTCCAGAGATTGTGCTTTGCTCGCCAAATCATAGCACACTTGCCAAATTCATCGCTGACAAGGTCGTCGAAGTCGGAGATGAGCCCTGTGAACTTCTGAAGTCATTACCTGTCGATAAAAAAACCTCACTATTTACGAAGGAAACATGCCCATCAAACGCCATGTACATCACGTTCACTTCTGGGACTACAGGTGTGCCGAAAGGCATAACAACGGAGCATTCTGCATTTTACTCAATGGCCATGGCCAATGGTAAAGCGCTTCAAGTCAGTCCTGCGACGAGGATGTTACAATTTGCATCGTACACGTTCGATGTGAGCAATCGTGATATGTTAATCACACTCATGTTTGGCGGATGCATCTGCATCCCTTCTGAGGTCGATCGTCTCAATGACCTCTCTGGGTTCATAAATCGCCAATCTGTCAACTTGGCAAGCCTGACGCCGTCTTTGGCAAGTACCTTAACTCCTGCTTTATGCCCTAGCCTTCAAGGCTTGGTCCTAGGAGGAGAGCCTATGAACGATGGCCACATTTCTGCATGGGCCAAACATGTGCGACTTTTCAATGCCTATGGGGTGAGCGAGAGTACCGGAATAGCAGCTTTGTCTTCTGATGTCCAAGCGGACTGTTCACCATGTAACATAGGCTTTGGGTCGGGATCAACTCTATGGGTCGTCGCGATTGACCAACCCGACAAACTAGCACCAATTGGCGCCCCTGGAGAATTGGTCATTGAGGGTCCATCTGTCGCACGTGGCTATTTAGGCGACAGTAGGCGAACTGCGAAACAGTTTACGTCAACGCCAAAGTGGAAGAAAAGGATATGTGAGCAATTCGGCCCGAGTCATTCGTCGAAGCGGGTCTTTCACACAGGCGATTTGGTGCGTTACAATCTTGACGGGTCTTTGAATTTCCTGGGAAGGAATGATCATCAAGTGAAAATAAACGGACAGCGAATTGAATTGACAGCAATTGAGCATCACATTGCAGCATGTCTTCCAGTTGCGAAGTCCGGCTTTCTTCATATTGCCGTCGTTACTGTCAAGAATGAGGTGAATGGCTCCGTTAAGCTTCTCGCCTTTCTGGGCGTTGACACGTCTAGAGGATCAGATAGCCCGTCTCAACTGGTGTCAAAGAAGTTGAAAGACATGGAAACCCTGAAAGCAGCCCTCAAACAACATCTTCTACATTGCTTGCCCACATTCATGGTTCCAGTGGATTTCATATTTCTGCATAGCATGCCACTCACAACATCAGGCAAAATAAATCGTCTTCTTCTGCAGGAAGCGGCTGCACATGCGCTTCTCGATGACCAGAAGAGGAATATTAATGCATCTGATTCAAATGGCAACCAAGTGGCAACCACGCCACAACAGAGAGTCCTTATCCAATCTTGGGCCAAGGCTCTAGGTATTGAAGCTATAAGCATCACACACGATGACTGCTTCTTTCAGCGTGGTGGAGACTCCATTGCAGCGATTAAACTGGCTGCCAGCCTTCGTCAGCAACAAATTATCATATCGGTGTCTGATATCTTCAAATTTTCGACTTTGTCAGAAATGGAGTCAGTGCTAGTCAAAGACCACAAGCCCTTGAAAACAGCAACGCCTGCCCCCTTTTCATTGATAGACAACTCCCAAACCGTTCTCGATGCGATTGTGAAAGAGCTTGGCACGGATATTGACCAGATCGAGGATGTATACCCATGCACGCACATGCAACAAGGGCTAATAGCCCTGACTGCTCAACACGCCAAGGCATACATTGGCAGCTATACCTGGCAGTTGGCCGAAATTCTTGATGTGAAGAAATTCAAGGAAGCATGGAAGGCAGCTTGGCTTCACAATCCAATCCTTCGGACCAGAATTGTGCATTTACCAGATGGTATCTTCCAGGTCGTCATGAAGACTGATATGCCGTGGAATACCGTTACTGATATCACTGGGCGTGGATATGGGAGAGAACTGGGAGCCATTGACATCCATAGCGGCCCTCTTATCCAGATGTATCTCACTGAAGAAGCTTTCCGGCTGGATATTCATCATTCTTTGTTTGACGAATGGTCCCTTGGCCTCATCATGGGACAAGTTCAGCGTGCATACGCCGGGGGAAGACTTCATATGCAACCATTCACTCCATTCGTTCACCACCTTCTCCATGAGCCTGATACTGCCAAGGAGGAATTTTGGCGTCAGGAATTCTCTGATCTCCAGGCGGAGCATTTCCCAGCTATTGCTTCCAGGCCACTCAACGTTGCACATCCGACCGAGAAGGTAGTTCTTGAACATGCTCTGCAGCTTACGACCGGATTCTCCACCAAGTTTACGATATCGTCCATTGTACGGCTTGCGTGGGCGATTGTCCTGTGGCACCAAACTGGTAACGAAGACGTGGTGTTTGGAGCCACTGTGAGTGGCCGCAACGCGAACATTGATGGAATCGATCAACTGAGCGGACCGACTTTGGCGACACTACCTGTGCGCATCAAACTTGCGACGAGCCAAATTGTTCAGGACGGCCTATCACAGGTTCAACGTCAATTTGTCAACATGATGGTTCATGAGCAAACTGGGTTGTCGCGCATTCGACAAGTCGGAAGAGAGGCTGCCGAGGCATGTAACTTCCAGAATCTACTCGTCGTGCAACCTTATGAGCAGCAAACCGAGTCTCTTATGTTCAAATCATCAGCGAACTCAGCCTTCCCTTCTGAAAATGCAAGATCTTTTGCCAGCTACCCAGTGGTGTTGATATGCCGTCCTGAAAAGAGTGGAATCTTAATGAAAGCAGCATTTGACCCTGCAATTTTGGCACCCGCCGACGGACATAGTATTCTCAAACAGATGTCGCATGTTATCCAGCAGCTTGCGACATCCGGCTCAACACGCATCGCAGATGTTAGCCTGGTACCTCCGGAAGATTTGGCTTTGTTGAGACGATGGAATCATTTGCTCCCGAATGGTGTGAACAGTTGCATTCATGACCGCATTCAAAAATTATGCAATGCCCAGCCCGATACACTTGCGATTCACTCCAACAATTTGGACTTGACGTATAGGCAGCTTGATAATTATTCCAGTCAATTCGCGCAGCATTTGATCGGCATGGGTGTCAAGCATGGTGACTTTGTACCTCTCTTCCTAGAGAGGTCGCCCTGGGTTCCAGTTATCATCCTTGCAGTTCTGAAGTCCGGGGCTGCTTTTGTGTTACTGGACCTTTCACATCCCATACAACGTTTGCGAACGATGTGTTCTATGATTGATGCCAAAATTGTGGTTACCTTTGAGGAGCATACCCACATGAGTAACAACCTTCTACTTCCAGTCATCGTCTTTGACCCCGAGGCCCATGTACAAAATCTAGGTGAACAGGCTACAGCGTTTGAGTCCAAGCCACTCATTACAGTCACAAGCCCGGATGCCCCTGCGTGCGTCGTGTTCAGCTCAGGCTCGACCGGGTTGCCTAAAGGCATTGTGCTTCCACATAGTGCGCTCACCACAAGCGCAGCTGTCATGCGTGAATATGGAATGCTTTCTCCTACCAGTCGCGTCTTCCATTTTGCCTCTTTTGCGTTCGACATAAGCATTGGCGAGATCCTGTTTACCCTCGCGGCAGGGGCATGTGTCTGCGTGCCACATGAAGAAGTGCGAAGGGGGAATCCAGGAAAAGCAGCAGCTGATCTCCAAGTAACCTGGGCACTTCTCACCCCCTCCGTGATTAATTTGTTCGACCCATCGGATGTGCCAACTCTTGAAGTCTTGGGGTCAGCTGGTGAACCTCTCACTCCACAAATTGTGGAGATGTGGGCTCACAGGGTGAAACTATATGGGATGTACGCACCGGCAGAATGTACCGTGATCTCACACATCGGGCGAATCTTACCCGACACTCATCACTCCAACATCGGTCGAAGCCATGGAGGAGTATCTTGGGTAGCTGATCCGTCTAATCACAACCGTCTGGTCCCTATTGGTACAGCCGGGGAGTTGATTGTAGAAGGTCCTACGGTTTCATCTGGGTATCTCAACGACCCAGAGAAGACAAATCAATCCTTCATTACAAGTCCGCCTTGGCTGGACGAGATCCGTCACCACTCCGGACGGATGTACAAAACGGGAGACCTCGTTAGACAGACTTCTGACGGCTCAATTGAGTTTGTCGGAAGGAAGGATGATCAGGTAAAGCTGCACGGGCAGAGACTTGAAGTGGGAGAAGTCGAACATTGCATAACCTCCTCATGCACAGCCATCAGAACCGCTGCTGTTGAGTGTATCAAAATTCGGGAACAAAATAATCGAGTCTCGCTAGTCGCATTTATCTGTCCACAAGCAGATGAAGACTGGGGGCAGTCTTTGAATGACCAGCCAGCGGAGGCCCATGGCTTGGAATTGATTGGTTCTACCAGCGATCACTTTTACTCGATTATCGAATCATTGGAAAAGTCTCTAAGAGAGCTACTTCCGGCATACATGGTGCCATCCTTCTTCATACCGCTTACCGATGTTCCTCTAAGCTTGTCGGGCAAAGTAAATCGGCGTCTTCTCCGGGACCAATCCACGAGCTGGCCGCTGAAGAGACTTCAACTATACCAATTGAGACGCAACACTATCCCCGCAGAAGAAATTCCCCTCACTGTGCATGGCCGGGAAGTTCAACAAATCGTTGGCCAGGCTCTCAATCTGGATCCGAAATCAATCCCCATAAATAGCAACTTCTTTGGCCTCGGGGGAGATTCGATCTCGGCTATGCAGGTCTCCATGCTTGCAAGACGAAGAGGAATACGCCTGACCGTAGCGGATATCTTCACGCAACAAACTCTCTCAGGAATAGCTTTGAAATGCACTACAGATAATGGAGATACCAGCATGATCGCTAAACGTCAGTCACTTGGTTGTGAGCTATCTGTTTCAGCCATGAAACGATCACAGTTTTGCGAAATTGCTCGTGACAAACTCCCCCGTCATTTACCACAAGAGATTGCCAATGACATTGTGGAAGCCATGCCCGCCACTGAATTCCAAACGATGACACTCCACAACTTCTACAGCCGATATCTCTGGATCTCACTACCTCATGAAGTTAATCAAGAACATTTATTGAATTCATGCGATCAGCTTGTCCAGAAACACTCCATTTTGCGCACTGTGTTTTACACAAACGATGACAAGTCACTTGTACAAATGACCTTGCGCAAGGTCCCCGTCAGCTTCGTTCATTATTCAAATATTCAACATTTGGACAGACACTGCGCAGATGATTCTTTGGCCATGGGCGTGCCTATCAATGGAGTGCCAGGATTCCAGGTACAGCTCTTGACCTTGAGAGACTCAAAGATGTATCTCATTCTGCGATTACCCCATGCACTATTCGATGGAGTTTCACTGGATGTCATTTGCAGCGATCTTAGTGCTGCATACAGCGGAGACCCGCTTCCACCTTGTGCTCAATTCTCAGACCACATTCGACATGTCTGGGATAAAAGGATACCCGAAACCTACAATGTGTGGAAAGAAGTACTGGGAGATGCCCCAATGACCAGCTTGAACAACAAAATCTTGCGCAATTGGGGCACCGCCGGCGAAATGGAGAACCCAAATATGGACACAAATTCGGAACAGCCAACAGTGGTGACGGCAATAGCAGAGACATTACCAATCTCTCCCTTGCCCAATATCACATTGGCAACATTGGTCAAACTGGCATGGGCAATCACTCTCTCTCGGTTGTTTACCTCAACCGAAGAAGAGGATGGACCATCGCACGATGTTGTTTTTGGCCAGGTCATACATGGTCGAGGACTTGGAATCTCCCACGAAGACCGCATCGTTGGCCCATGTCTCAACATTATCCCTGTGCGAGTACACTTGCCTCCACGATCGAATAAACTTGACCTCCTTGCTCAAGTCCAGCAGCAGCACATTCAAACCATGTCTGTTGAGAATCTTGAACTTGGCGAGATTGCGCGTAACTGCACATCATGGAAGGCTGGAACAAAATTCGGCAGCTTTATCAGATTCCAAAACTTCACCAACAATGACGACTCGACTTGTTCTTTTGATGGATCTACTCGTGAAACAGGTCTCTACAGCCTTCCGAATCGACCATCTAATACGGCCAATGTGCTTGTTGTCCCTCATGGGCCTACACTCACCATCACCATGACCATTTCCAATCAAGTATTGGATAGAGGATCTGCGGATTATGTCGCTGGATACTTCAGTGACGTGATCGGAAGCCTTGCAAGTGAAGAGACAGTCTGCGAATATCTCGTGTAATTATTTCATACATTTTCAAACTCTCTGCTGAAAAGACAACATACAAAATCGAGGAGATTTCGAGAGTTGGCTGAAAGGTCTTTGCACTGTCCATGTTATTGAGTGCCCAGCTTTTATTTCAATATAGCCTTCTGACCTGAACTTTTACCGCCGTTGTATTAGTAGCAATTTCACAAACATACAGTTTGCAAGATTTACCGCACGGGAGTATCAGGATTAGACTACCATGGAACTACGACGAAGAGAAATTAAGGCAAGAAGCATGGTCAAATATGATTATGTCTTCATAATACGGGAAATAGAACCTATATGCCTAAAACTGGTGTGCACGCACAACCGAAATCCTCATCCTGAAAGGAATCAATCATGACCTGACATCCAAAAAAAAATACACAGGAACAGCATGCAAAATCATCTATAACTCAAACACTCTAGGCAACCTTGTACATTTCACCAAAGTTAGGTGTACCCAAACCGGAAACAGGGTCCCAGCCCTTAGTAGCGTTCCAGCTGGCACCGGGTACAGAGGGTCCACCGTTGCTTGCGCCTCCAAAGCGGCTTTTGCCATCACAGCCGGTGCTACCGCCGTCCACGATATCATTGAGAGCGGCGCGGGCAGTGGAGTACAGCCAGGGGTTGAGGAAGCCCAGTGGGGCCTTGTTGTTCTTGATACGGCCGTCGTTGAGAAGAGCAATGACACCAGCAAAGGCAGGTGCCGAAGCGGAAGTACCGTCAACGCTGCTCAATGAGCCATGCTCAAAGATGGCGTAGTTCTGTCCTTGGGCTGCGACATCAGGGAATGCTCGGCCGTTGGGGTTGAACAGACCGGACCAGGTGTTACCCAGACCCGCAAGGTATGAGCTCACAGCCTCTTCCTGGTATTTGGGACGGTCCCAGAGATCAGAGAAACCGCCGGAAGAGAAATACACAGCCTTTTCGGGCGATATACCGGTGGTAGCTCCGACGGAGGTGACCCATGGGCAGGAAGCCGGGAACTGGGGTGGGAAGTGGGTTGCGTTTCTGCCGTCATTGGTTTGGCATGCGGCACCCACACCAGAGTCACCAGACGAGAAGATTACGGAGACACCACGGCTGCCGAGCTGGGAGTACAGGTTGCAAACGCTGCGTGCATACTTCTCGGGAACGCTCTGCAAGGCTGTTAGAAGGCAAGATAAATGTGGGAGAAATAAGACCATACCTGCTCATCCTCGCCGTAGGAGGTGGAGATAACCTGCGGCAAGTCCTTGTTGTCCAGCTTCAGCACACTCTGAAGGAAGTCCAGGTACGGCTCGTTGTTGTTGTCATTGGGGTCTGGCTGGTCAAGGTCGGGAACCAGCTCGCCACGACCGCCAGTGCTGAATTCGGTAACAGGGACAGGGGAGCTAACTCCGACGATGTACTGCAGGTCGAGGTTGGCCTCGCTGCTGTCACTGCTGCCACCTTGGACGTTGCCACCACCATTGAATTGAACTACGGAGAAATTCTGACCCTGGGCGTAAGTAGCGATGTTCTTCTCAAACATGGCCAGGTCAGAATACTGAGCATATTGCTCGAGATAGCTGGCAAAGCCAATCTTGTTGCCATTGTCTTTTGAGGCACTGTAGTTACCGATGTTATAGATGTCCTTGAGACACTGCGGGGTGATGATACTGTTGCAATCCGGGGAAGCAGATTGGGCAGCCATGCGGAAAGCCTCGTCGGTCTCCTTAGCCTGGCTGTGCAGAGTGTTTCGGTTGGCGCGAATCTGTCCAAAGCGTGTTGTGGGCTGGATCATGTTGACATGAGACATAAGAGAGTCCGGAACGGAGTACTCTAGCGTGCGGAGACGCTCAATATGTTTGGCATTGCTGACGTAGTACTGGAAGTTAGCTGCCAGCAGCTCGTTCGCAGTCTCTACGGTTGTATGAAAAGTCATCCAGTCCGCATCCTGCTCAATCTGAGTAATTCCAGCGCTCTCAAGCCATTCACGGATCGAGCCAGCAGACTCAGCGCTTGGTTGCAGCATGCGCTTCATTTCTTCATGGGTCTGGAAATGCTTTCCATAGCTGGGGTGGTCGGGAGTGGACATTTCCATGACGGCCTCCTCAAATCCAATAGCATTGCCCTGTGCCAAAGCAATCTGAAGCTTCAGTGGCTGGTTGGCACGCGGCGTGCGGGAATATCTCCATCCTATTTGGTGTCAGTTGGTTCACGTTGTCGATTTTGTTTCCAACTGGTGCATTGAAACTTACCCTGGGGCACAGCCCTCAGGCTTTCAAACACATCAGCTGCGGCAGAGGACGCAAAAAGCGAAATGACCGCGAGCGATAATGCCCGACGGTTCCAAAGGCGTGCAATCATTGTGACAAGAGCGAATGTGACTCCCTACCAAACACCGATCGGGACCTCCACGAAATGAATGTAGAAGAAACAAAGTATAAATACACGAGGAGATCGACTTCAAAGGAGGGGTAAGGTGAATTCTGTATTTATTATGGTTGCATTGGCGGGGGAGAATGAGCCAGGAATGTTAGAGATTTTGGACTCTAAGATTGGCAGAGCGATTGTTCACGACGATCGCGCGTCACTAATCCCTTGTCCTGCACAGTCACACACTTGTTCCTGTGGACCCTGTGGCGGATGTCCGTCGGGGATTATGGATGAGCGAGGTCGTTCTAAGTGGTTCCATGCTGGGATTTGATCTCGGACTCCTGCTGACTGCCGCACACTCACTTCTGCACCGACGGATACTCCGTTGCGCCCGAGGCAAATCATGACGCTGGTAAATAGTCAGTGATGTGATTGGTATGGAGATAATCTCTATCCCATTGTTACGGAGGCACCGGTGCTCCGACGATCGGCAGGGGCAGACCCACACACTTGACGCGAGGTCAACAATGCGAGGAGGCCCAGGGGTTCAGAGTAAGCTCCGTGAAGTGAAGGCCAGGCCCTCGATCAAATTGACTCTGGCCGACACGAAACCGTTGTCTCATCGCAACTAACAGCTCTTGGCTCTTTGGGCAGACAGATAATCTCTAATGCACCCCTGCCAAGCCATGGGCGGAGTTGGCATGGTGATCATGCACCATTGGAACAACAAATAGCCAATCAAGCTTTGAATCAAGTCCGCTGAGGATCAAGCCTCGACCTTTGTGGCGTTTGTTGTCCTGGAATCAATCTCAGAATTCAGATGCATCGCGCATACAAACAGTCATGCGTGTCATTCGTATCTTGGAAGGCTGGAGGCTGGAATTCCGATGCGGTTATGTGCCATCTCAGCCCAGCCCCTTTGACGGAAACTTGATGAGGCTGGGACGACTCGATCTACACTGGACATTGAAAGGCTGTCAATCCAGCCTTGCCTTTATGCTAGAAATGTCCTGGGTAAGAATGTGCCTGCCTCGTGGCTGTGACGAGTTTGGCAATGTATGCAGATGACAACTATCACGGGCGCGTATGACGGTTTCCATTCATTCCGAGTTGTATTGCAGTGGTTGATGCGCTGTCTTGGTCGAATAAGAATCTTGACTTGGACTGAAGTTACATCGACGTCGTTAGCAGAAATGGTCACGTTGCTGGATCTGTGACCGCCCGAAGTACATACAGTGGATTGTCTAGTTTTACAACAGAAGACATAGCATGTATGCATCTAGTGCCCCTAATAAAGTATTATATGATTTCTGGACGAAAGCCTCGAAGCAAGCTTACTGCAGTTCTCGTTGTTTTTATCCTACTTTGGCCTTTTTTTTTCCCCGCCTCAATTTTGTCCATTTTTCAGTCTCTCGGTTTGTGATTATTATTAAATGCTATTTTGTAAATGCTGGAACTTCAAAAGTCTTGCGATCCATGCCTGTACATTATAATTCGTTAATAGGATCGATCATGATAGGTTTGGTCAGAAGACAGTTTCTCTCAGTGTAAAGTGAAAATATGTATCCTCCCTACCGATATAGCGGTCATGGGACCATTCTCATCCACTCAGAAGGGGTTGGCAAAGATGGCAATGAACTATTTGTACAAAGATGTTGGTTGTTTTTGCGTGTATGCAACTGGTTGAGCGGGGCATTCTCAAGCTGGATGATGGGAAACAGACAGAGCGTCTTTGCCCTGAATTGAAACATATCAAGGTTTTGCAGCAAGGCGGTACTTTCGGAGAGAAAAAAACAGAAAACCTGGCAAAGGTTGGGAATATGGTGTAGGTGTCATTGTAACCCGGGTCTTTGATATGCATTAGTGACGAAAGCAGGTTGGCATTGACTGGGCAGGAATCGCACTAGAGCGTGCGAATGGCCTGACACTGAACACTTATATCCAAAAATATGTCTTCCTGCCTCTTGAAATAACGGATATGTCCATGATCCCGAGCCATGGAATGCGCTGAAGGATGGCATGTATGAGCAGTAGAAGCCCAGAATGCACTCTGAGAGCCCCATCTTCTTAGAGCACCTTAATTGTTGATCCCGAGAATGATGCCAAGGTCGCCAGTGTGTTCAACGTGGTGGCGCAGGAATGTTGTTAAGCCACAGAAATACTGCATTAAGTGTCCCTGGCATCATGATTAAATTTAAACCGACTTCTTCCTATACTAACCAAGCCTATCGCCCACTAGCATCGACTAGGTACTGAGATTAAACCTTCCCGCTTGTTTTCTTGTCCTTGCGTGTCGACGAGGCTGACACGGATCGTCCTAGGCGTGAGTCGCCATGGCTCTCCGGGCATTCAGTGACCTGGAGTTGGATAGCAGTGGCCTTTGTCCCATTGAATGCCTTGACACCGCTATGTTTAGCACGGTCGAAGAGGAGTTTGTCAAATCGCATTCCATGCATGTCCGCCGAATGCAAGCAAGTTTGTATCTAGATATTTGTTCAGTCAGTCGTGGACTTTCGCACGATATCGTAGTAGGCATTCATATGCTGAAGTTTTGCTATTATAACTAAATGAAGCTCCATTCTGCAATATGGTTAGTTGACGGTTTTTGCTCTTGCGAGATCAACTTGCTGACCTTGTGAAAGAATCCGTGGGTTTCAAATTTGTCATACACGTCGATGATTTTTAGCATCTCCCGCATAGATAGCAGTAAGCTCTCTTCAACGTGAAATCTGGAGTTATTTGCGTCCGCACTGAAACAGAATCCGACCACACCCACCGAGGAAAGATATCGGCTTCTAAGTGAACTGTAAAAATCCCTTCTCGCGCCAGTACCGATGTAGTATAGGACCCTCTAGACCACCGCCTACAACTAGCACAGTATACGCGTTTGAGATAGACGTGTTGCCGTACTCCACATATGGGAAGCTTTTTTGAATATATGGACGAGTGTATTCAGAAGTTCTAAATTAAAAAAGTTACATCCTCGATGTTTGTTACACAATTTGCTCAACACACCATCTTTTTGATATACAAGAACCGGCATACCAACATGCAGATCAGCGCCATCGGAAATTGAAACCCAGTCAATAGTTTAAATTTCGAACACCTACGTGAATTTTTCAGATTGCTGGTGAACTCCCCGCATCACTCCGTCTTTACCGTAGGGGACTTCAGTATTAGCTTGAGCAAGGCTTAGGGTTTACGTAGCCACATATATTAAGCTAACTCAAGAACGGTGCATATGTACATATTTAAAAGAAGCTCCAAATCTCTAGATCATTCGGAATCATTTCTGATCAACAACAGTGGGAGCCTGAACAACAGGCGGGTCTTCCGCACCAGGCTCATTAAGCTCCAGGTGATGAGCATAGACCATAGAAGCGATAGAATCCTCAGTCTGTAGGTAAGTCTTGCTACCCTTTATAAACCAGAACGCAAAGGCAATGACCAGCATGACTCCAAAGACCGCAATAGCGAAGTTCATATCACTAGGTGCAGGGTTGGGCGCACCGGGGAAGAGGAAGAAGATGGTTGTGATAACGCAGTAGATGATGCTGACCCAGTTTAACAGGGGGCCGATGCGGCCGAGCTGGAATGGGCCAGGTGGTAGCTTCTCGCGACCGGTTACCAACAATGCGAGGATAGGCATTGCGTAGGAGACTGTGAGGGCGATAGTACTGACACTCAGAATGGCTTCTAGAACTGTGTTGGCGAAGAGGTAGAGGATGCCGACGAGGCCGATGATGACTCCTTGGCCCCAGAGGGCTCGGGCAGGAACTTGCCAGACTGGGTCGACGTGACTGAAGTACTTGCTGAAGGGGACGCCGCCGTCACGGGCGAACCCCCAGGATAGACGAGAGGCAGTTGTGAGGACACTAATACCCTGGCCTAGTCCGTTGAAAATAAAGAGGGAAATGAGGACGGCTGCACCCTTGAGACCGACTGTTTCGAGCATAAGCTCCATGAATGGCAGGTCGGCGTTGACAACCTTGTCCACATCCTGGATACAGAACAGACAGACCACCATGAAGATGAATCCAGTCACGGCGCCGAAGAGGACGGCCATCCAGATGACGCGGGGTGCGTTTTTCCGTGGTGCAGGAATCTCCTCGACCATATGGATGACCGAGTCGAACGCGGTCAATCCATACGCAGCCTGCACCAAGCCGGTAAACCAGACCACGCCGTCGCTCCATCCAGTCTCGTTCTTCCAAGCTCCGAAGGCGAAAGAAGGTGGCTGGAAAGACAAACCATCCTTGGTACCGACGCAGATAAGAAGGGCCAAAGAAAGAACAATAAACAAGCCGAAGAACCACACTCCGACAAAATTATTAAGCCAAGGCAGGATCTTCTCCTTGCGACAACTCACAACATTGATGAGAGTAAGCACAAAGACAACACCGATATAAACGACAAAGTTAAGCCACCCCTTATCGGCACCATCCCACTCCGGATTAAACATAGTCTTCATGCCGAGCAAGAACTCGGTCATGAAGGCGACTTGCGACGCAGTCAAAGTCCACCATCCAAAGGTGTTGATCCACGCGCACATATAAGAAACAAAACGGCCAAGCGGTGTATTCCAAAGACGATACACCCAATAAGCCTGACCAAGAGCCGTTGGCATACTGCTAGTCAACTCGCCCAGCGAGAGGGCAACACAAAGGTTGCACACAGTGACCAGCACGAGGCCCCAGAGAATCGTGATAGCACCGCCATTGGTCAAACCGCTGCTGAGATCCTGGGCGAAAGTTGAATATGTTCCTGCACAAGCCAGTCAGCCCAATCCATCCATTCCGTACAGTACCCGAGGTGGCGAAGCGCAATTGGGCGCAAGCGAGAGGAAACGTACCAAGAACACAGAATGCCAGCGCAAGCATACTCCACATATCAAACTTGCGGGTCAGGGCCTGGGAATGACCCAGAGCAGCGAGATCCTGCGCATCTTGCACATTCTGATCCGTCAGAGGCGGCTTGAGGGGTTGCGAGTTGGACTCCAAATCCATCGGGAGCGAGTAATTCAGCCGGAGGCAATAAAGATCAATTGAATGGGCAAGCAAGTAAGGAACGCGCCCATTTTCTGCCGGACAGATATGAACGAGAAATAAGAGGGATATGCGAGGATATGGAATTCTATATAGGCTTGGGCGCTGGCGTATTTGGCGTTGGACCCCCTCACGGAATCAGGGTAAATACGGAGCATGTAGATAAAGCTGGGGAAAATTGATTAGGCCAATGAAGCGTTGTGCTGGGGTCCTGAGTCAACGGCTTGTATCAAAACCATTGGTCATGGACTGAGCGAGAGTTGATAATAGGAACGATCTTCGTGAGTCGAGTTTTCGTTGGGTTTTGCGGGGAGTGTGTGGTTCGCCTCGGTAGGACCTCCTGCAGTGGGCCTTGACTGGGCTCCACTGATAACAACTGGGGTAAGTGGTCTGTTCGACGTTTAACAGATGTACTGTAGGAATGTAGTAATGGAATTGTATTTGGGCTGAATGATACTTTGTGGCTGCAAATTGAGAGTGGCTTTGCCACATGGTGTTACTAGTATACGGGGTCCGACCGTACTGTCTATACCCTTCAACTTCTATTTAATGACATATCTGTCAATTGATATTTGTACTGACTATGAGACCATACCCATTCGTCGTCTGTTCCTTATCTCTTTCTCTAGCTTCTCTCGAAAGCAAAAGAGAAAAGGTGGGATCATGAGTGGCGAAGTGGCCCAAAACGGAAAGTCCATGCGTGATAGGCTGATAGGCGACTAGTCCGCGGCTCTATACTTAGGGGCGTCAGGGATGAGGTTAACCTCGTGTAAACCAACGCCATAATAGCATGGATGTCTGCATATCTCTATCTGCCGAGATATCAGTATGGATCGGTGTCCACTTGTGGAGTCAATAGCTGATTCCGATGCCGGCAACCACGCATATTCAAGAATAGCCAATTGCGGTGACATCAAGTGGACACAGCCATATGGATAAACTGTGGCTTCCTTGGTAGCATTCAGAGATTCCAAAAATCAATGAAGCAATGGCATTGATGATGACCCCCTCATCGAAAGAAAGGGGAAAGACGAAACGACAGACTCGCGATGAATGATGCATCACTCAGGCAGCAGGCTCAAGCTATTTCCAACAAACGGAAGTATTAGGATCCACTCAATTGAAAGTCTTCGTAACGAGAACTCGAAAAACGGGCTAAGTTAGCATCCGTCTCCTCATTTGGGTATCGTCGCAGACTGAGGCGTTGAATAGTAAGGCTGCGGCATTTGTATGCATATAGCTTGCGCTGCCCGCCATTGGCCTGCATCGCCGTGTCTCGGTGTTTCGGTCTCCTTCTCCTTCCTTTCATAGCGATAAGGTATGTCTAGGATCGGAGCTTGCGATCGAGCGGCTGACACCCCGCGAAATCCGGGGTATCCAGCCCGCATCTTTCTCGTGGCGCCTCTCTCGTAACCGTGGCCAACCGAAATTCCAGCATGCTTGCCTTTACTAGCATCTTCTAAAAGTCAATTCATCATCAGGTAAAAACGTGTCGAATAGTGCGCGGGGGACGGCTGATGACAAGGATAGTCAGGTACGATGCAGCAACCTATCCCCAAATGGGTATTTTGAGCCTGGTCGATCCTGATAGGACGAGAGAGCTTGAAGGATGGTTTCTCGAAGCATGCTAGCCTGTTTTCCTTGCTTTAGTGCGTCTGTGGTGATGTCTTTGAGTGGCTTGGTTAACGGGCGGACTTTTGTCCGCCGTTTGCCCCTGCATCGGTGGTACCCTGCATCGGTGGTAGGCAATCTCCGGGGATTTCAAGGTCCCAGCACCTTCACCGAAAATTATCAATCAAGGGATAACATGATAAGACATGATAAGATGACCAATATGTCAAGTTATTTCTTTCTCGCTTTCGTGGCTATCTTGCTGTTCACCTGTTTTCCCATGTTTTGATTCATCAGGCTGAGAATCCACCTGAGTCTGCAGACCATTTGCGGATTCTGAACTGGACCAGAGGTGAAAAGGCCATAAGGTGACATATAACAGAGATCAGAAACCTTTTCACACTCTCCGCCTTGAAATGATCTAGATGATCAACCCAAGGCACTCGAAAATGGGCAAAAAAGAGGCGAAAGATAGAGAAGCCAAATTCGGACACCAAGAATGCATCAAATGGTGCACTAAGTTCGAAAATCTCCTACAGAAATCGTCGCGTACTTCCTGGCGCGCTCCATGGACGGATTTGTGACCTGTTACATGCTTGAACGATAGAATGAAGTACATCCTGTGGTGATAACTGATTAGTATTCAGGTACAGAAAAAGACGGAAAGTGCCAGGAGAAACTTACATCTTCTGACCAGTACGCCAAACCCACCGAGTGAAACTATTCCAAATCACGATACGACAATACACCGGAAGAACAAGAGCGAAAAAATTGAGCAGGATGAATCATCCGAGTCTTGGCAATTATATTAATGCTTGAGCACTATCCAAGATGAATTCCCGAGCGTGTAGGGGAATCAAAAGAACACAGAACACTTTTGTTGTCAGGACCCGAAAATCATGCATTAGAGATGGGAGAGGACCACAATGAAGCCCAGTCACGACACCACATCCGAACGCCGACCAACACAAAAATAATAAGAAGAAGAAAAAGGGAACCAAATAACGCCGACCGGGAACTTGTTGCCCGATTCTAATAAAGATACACGTCACGGTCATGAGAACAAGTGTTGTTACTTGCGAGATACGACAACAAAACTGCCGTGGCATGATGGTGCATTGCGCACATGATCATGCTCGGGGGTGTTTGGGTTGGCGCCACATACCGCCCGGTAACATATTCTGCTTGAGCATGGCCAGCTCCTTGTGCAGGGCTTGGTTTTCCTGCTGGATGCCGTCGATGTAGGAGAGAGCGTTGGAGAGGATCTCTGATTTCTTGAGAGAGCCAGCTCCGACCTTGGGGGTGTGTTTTTGCACGCCGGCTGGGGAGATGGCTTGCTCTAGGGAGACGAATTTGGCGTTCATGTTTGTGCGGTAGCGCTTCTCGATGATGTTGTGGGCGGCGCGCTTGGCGGCGTTCCGCATCTGCGGGTCTTGGCTGCCTGAGGAGCGGTTCGAGTCTCGGGAGAAACTGCGGGTCTTGCGGCTCGATGTGGAGGTGGGCTTAGATGGTTGGGGTGTCTCAATATCCTGTGCTTTGATATCAGGGCTCGAGGACCATCTTGATGAGGTGCGGCTCTTCTGGGGTTGGGGCTGGTAGGTTGGGTCGCAGGCTTGGGTTGGTGATTGGATCTCAAAGGCGGAGGAGTCCATTGATGGGCGGGCGGCACTGGATGGCCATGATTGATCGTCACTCTCAACTTCCTAGACGGGGTCAGTCTTGTGGAACGATATAAGTTAATATCGGTTGAGACTTACTGATGAGAGCGAGCCGCTGTCTTCGGGCATCGGCATGGAGAAGCCGCTGATCTCCGGTGATCCAGCAAACGGATCAACAAAGAGATCCTTGGAGTCGAGATCGTTCATGCCATCGGCAAAGTCGAAGGGCATGGCCTCCATGTCATTGGGGTTGAGGGCAAAGAGGTCGATGGCACTATCGTAAGTCCAGTTGGCGGCGAGGGGGTCAGGTTTGAACAAATCGACTGGCCGAGACTGAGGACTGAGACTCAGTTGTTGGCTGAGGTAGGTCCCTTCATCCATAGAGAGATTAGGGATCTCATTGGATCGGTTGCAAGCCATGATGCACATCTTGAGGGATCATACGTTGATGAGCAAGTGGCGATGGGAGTATAGGTCGACGTTATATGAAAGGGAAAGATCGAAAGATCGAGGGGGAATTCAGATCAAATAAATCTAGAATGGATTACCAAGGAACAGAGTTGGGTTTCGGCCGCGTCGATTTATATATAAACAGGAATCCCCCTAAGACTGACGGGGGGGGGGAGACTCGGAACGAAACGTATTACGACTGTGTACTTCGCCGAAGCGAATTGGCCTGTGATGTCAACCCTTACCCTGTGCCATAACAGGCGTAGTTCCGGCAAGTCTGCCCGGTCAAGTCGAACCGAAATCACCCCAGGCCAGATCTCCAACGGCCGGATCCGACAGACCAAAGAGAAAAGTCTGCGTACGTGAAACCGTTGAAGAAATCCCAGTGCAGCGACGGGGCAGAACTCGAGTGGATACGGATCAGCGGGCTGGACCTTTGCCAAGCCCCTTCGGCCGAGTCTCGGAGCCGGATGTATATGCTGTTGCGTATTGTATTTGTACTTTTGTCGCCTTTTTTCGTGCAATATCTGGCTGCTTTACATGTAGTACATTTCAGCACGTCTGTTCTATTCTGCCCTACCTGGATATCTCACTTTATACTATACACTACGCCTGAGTTTACCTATACATACGTCTACTGAAGATTCTTGACAGACATCCTAACCAAACACTTGGATTATCTCTGGGCTTATTTCGAATTTAAAATTAATTCAAAGTAAGCTAGAGCTATCACATGCAAAGTTTTGCAAAAAAATAAACGCTACTCCTGAGTTGGGCGAGGTCCGAAATATATATTGGGCGCAGACGAGTGTATTATAGCCTTTGGGAGAGCCCCACGATCTTTGCAAATGATGTATTGAAATCAAATATTGAGAAGTGACTGTTACTTCATTTCCCACAGAATGGTACTAGCTGTCAGTCAGAAAGGCTCGTACGAGAAAAATGCCACCATACGTAGCATACTTTACAAGCTTGGTCCTGCACCCAAAATACTAATTCTTGTTCGACAAGGTAACTGAAAACCGTAGATCCCTCGAAGATCTGCTTGTCATTGGACAGGCTTCCGCAATATGCAGGACGGTTCATGGACATGATGGCGGGGTAGTGCCCGGGCTGCATTCTCAATCCATGACTCTAGCAGACAATTTCCGACGGGTCTAGATGATTCGGGCCTATTTGGATAGAAGAATTCTGGTGTTCCCAAGTGAGCCTGAGTGACAGGGAAAATTGCTGGATTGCTGAATGCTATGATATCACTGATTACTGAAAGAGCAAATGATGAACGCCTCTGATACTCATATATTTAGTCGTTTGCGAGGCAAATAGATACGAGACAAAGAAATTGAACTTCTCTTTGAAGCCTATTGACATGTCATGTTCATCACCCTTTCGCTGTCTCCATTATTGAAAGCTTTAGTCCAATTTTGGTGCTCATTTACCTAGCAAGGATAGAAATGATTATCTGCAGAACCCAGTAGTCGATAGCAAACAACTACTAGAGCTCATCGCGGAGCAAACAATCCGAGAGAGTTGTTTATACCTTGTAGCTAGGGACGACTGCGCCTATGCTGAAGTCTACGCAGATTCCTACTTCTAAACGTCGTAAAGCGGCAACGGCGCACATAAGAAGACCTCCGAAACGGGTATAGCCAAAACACAGATGTATCGTCTCGAAAGCAGTACATTTGCACATCTACATTCGGCTGTATACCTTTACTTGTTTTGCCCCCTGGCGGTAAAATCTATACCCTGTCCCAATAGTTTTGCTGATTGCCTGCCTCATTATATTTCGAAGATCTCCTGTAGCCCACCCTGTTCGGCACGTCAATCGCTGCAGAGCACCATTTGACAGCTGTAAGGTACTTTTGATGTCATAATATCGGTGCAATATATTTATTTCATCACACATGCTATATAGAACCGTTGAGGTATAGCATATCTGACCTATCGCCGCGATGTGATGCCACAACAGAAGATCCCAGGGGAACTAGTCAAAAGCCACAGTATAAAATGTCTACACAAACAAAGAAACATGATTCAGATGACACATCTCATTTGACAGCCCAAACACGACAGATCCAGGTATATCTGCACTGCGGCTTGTGGCGAAGTCTATGAGTAAGATGAAGATAGTACTTTTGCAATACAGGCCCCAGGATCTACAGTCATTGTCTGCTCCTCGACACTCAAGAAGATGCCTCCAAAATAGGAGCCCTACTGTGTCAAATGCCATCCATTACCCTAAATTGGCAAGACAATAAACAAAGTTGTATCATCAAAATTAGACGTGTACTAGTTCCCTCGACGGGCCGTTGAGTCGTCCAGTCGCAAAGCGCGTAATTCCTGATTATTTCCTTCCTAAAGGAGAGTTGCGGTGGGGTGACTCGGACCATCATTTTCCTTGGTCTGTTGCTATTCGAGATCCCGATGTCTACCGATTTCTGCGATAATACCCCGGTGCATATTCGAGATTTCGCTCTTTTTACGAATTCCATGCGGAACCCATTTCTCGACTTTGACGTCCGGTGAAAAAAACTCGTTATCTAAGTGTATGGCATGAGGTCCATCGATCTTATGATCCTCAATAATCTTGATCCCAGATCCGATTCCAGATTTCCGGTTCGTGATTCAGATCCAGGGGAGACGCTTCCCAAAAGATCTTGATTGATCTTTCAATTGCCGCATTGATCATTATTCCTCGTGTCTCGAAGACTTTGCTACCCTCCAACTAACATATTCACACAACCTTCATCCATCTCAAATTCCAAAATCTGGACCTGCCGATACCCTATTCCGAAACATCTAGACCGTTGACGCAGAGTTACTCTGCAGGTTAGCGGTTACCCCTGTGACATGCTTTGCTTCAAGATCCATGACGAAAGTCAGTCCACCCGGCAAGCCCAGATTCAGAGGTGGAGAAATAACGGGCGCTAAACCCGCCAGCTGCAAGAATACACGGATCTTGCCTCGGGTTGACTGCCGGCTTTCTTTCCCCGGATCATGGTTTCCGGCGACGGGACTTCATCGGTAGTTAGAGGTGGCTGTCTGCTACAGCAGCTAGCCCTATACGGTTGTGAAGAGCGGGAGGGGGCATAAAGTATGTTCATCTCTCGACGACTTAGTCTGTCTCACAGAAAGCTCACATTTGCGTGACTGCTGGAATCTCAGTATACTGTGATTAACTTCACATTCCAAAAAATCAAGTGGTATTCACATTCTACGTGCTTTGCAATCTTTTCACTGTTTTTGTTCCATCACACCCAACAATGCTTGTCGAGGACTGATAAATACCGCTATATCTCTCGACCGTTTCCCCCATTTCCTCGAATACAATCTGTGCAAGCTTGGAATTTTGGTGGAGAATCGCCCCATGAGAATTTTTGACTTCCATCATAGCTCCCATGGCACCTTCATATCCAGCGTCAACCACAATCCCCACACCGGATCTCCACGGTGATGATCGAGGGAAAATACTGCCCATACAATAATTCCGTGAAATCTGAACGGTATCGTTGAAACTAAGCAAGTAGGCGCCTGATTATAGTGTGATTGTGTGGTTGGTTTAGTTGAAAGGCAAACTAGAGGTTTTGTCCGCCTGGCGCCTAGTGTTATCAATTCGATGATAGCAGCCGAGGTCCATCTGGAAACTTGGCGTAACATGAAATTTATACCGCATGGCTATTGTTGTTGAGTGGCATGCTGGCTTGTAAGAAATGAACAAGCAGTGGTAGATTAAAGCCCCTATTCATGTCCACACCGCCTCCTGGGGAGCTTCGGGGTTCCACGCATGTTACCTCTTTCTTATGATGATGCCATATGGACCACGGACTACCAACTGAAAGACTTGTGTCGAGAGTAATCCTAGTTATTAATAAGTCTCGATGCATTGCGATGCAAGAGACCTAGCCGAATCATCTTAGCCATCTTGGGCTTAACGAACCGCCTACGGTACCCGCAAAATTGATCATTCAAATTTTCAAACTGTGATTTGCAATCTTAGCAGATTTTCAGGTGCTCATTTTCACCAAATCCGCAGAGCAGCACTATGAGCAACTTGTCGCCGGCAAGAACCTCTCCGGCGACGATGTCCAAGCCGCTCTTGACAACTTCGGCCTATCAAGCCCAAACAATTCTTCGGAACATGGAAAGGTGCCAATGTAAACACCGGCCACCCCACAGAGGACAAGCTCACTGGCATGAACTGGGCTGGCAAGAACTTCGGCTCGACAGAAGATGTTGGTCCCATCGAAATTTACAAAGAGGGCGGCGAATGAGCTTATAAGCGGACTGGGGACATGCCCGGGCAAGTTCAGAATTCGCACTTAAGAATTTTGGCGTCGCATATTTATTACCATCTTTGCCATGATGATGTGAAAATGCTGATGAATTGTCTTCCTGCAGCTCCGCCAAATCGAGTGGAAGGGTAAACTCTCTACTGCGATGGTATATGACGACAAACCTATCATTGAATACTTCCGTTTGGTTAAGGAAGGACATGATTGCTGGTGCTATGGAGGCAAAGACTGCCGCTGGTGGGATCTACTACTTTAATTTGTACAAGTAATCGTGGAATGTACTCGCTATTTCTTAGGATGTCATTGGCATGGCATTCTAAATGTCTCACTGTAATTCGTATAGAAGTAACATTTCGGTCAAAATCCGCAAGTATACATAATAGCTTCCCGATGAAACTAATGATGAAAATTATAAGATTGTTGCCTCTCTATGGTCATAGCCGCAACACTATAAGGGCTGTGTAGTTTTTGTTTCTGGGAGCAACAATTGAAAACAAACCTGGTGCCTGTTCTGTAAGTGGCTATTGATCTTCAAGCACCCGCCCGGTAAAATACTGTTGAGAGTCGGAATTAGGTCTCTCCTCAGTCGGTTCAGTTCACCGCTCTTACTGCACTAGGGCCGTGTTTCGATCGCGAATTCAGACCTAGAGGTCGTTCCGCAAAAGCTTCCAAGTGTGCACTCTGAAGCTAGTTTGCAGCCCAGTAGATGTACTCTGTAGCATGACGTCAGAAGCTTTCAATGAGATGAGGTTCAAAGAGAGTTTGCCCGCGAGATCTGACCCAAGATTACAACTTCCTTGTTGTTCTCAACAAGTTAATTGTTTTATTAATAGTATTATTGACAGAATACCGGGGAATTTCATCGACTAACCTGATTCCTCGGACCGCTAGAACCAGGAAATCAATAGCAGCAGAAGTTTCCCCGACATAACGGCGAACGAATTCTGGGCCAACGCCTGACAGTAAGGCAGGAATGAATCAATAATTATCCGGGTCAACAAATTAATAGTCACAAATACCAAACATTTTTCGGCAAACACGGAAGCTAAGAATAGGATTGAACTTCGAAAGGGAATCCCCCGAACTGATGCCCACTTAACTCTGAGGATCGTCAGTGGCTTACTCCCATAACGGGGGTCGACCCACCCCTGGTTAAACCGCGCCCGAATCCTGCCCCATAAATGCAGGGTATTCAGGGGTTTAAAGTAGCGGTCAGGCGCCTGTAATTAGTTATGTAGCTTCAATCTGGGGGTCGGAACAGACAGGCATCGACGTTGAAATTGTATCTTTCAGCCTGAGGGTTAGACAGAGCCCAGAAGTGCCCCTAATGCGATCTGCCGTGCAAAGTATGTATTCTGCCGCTATGAGGGGTTGCAAGACATGTTTCGGTCTCTTGAATTGAGCGACCAATAAGAGGAGTGAACCGAAGGATTTAAGGTAGCCACTTTATTTTTAAATGGAATAGGCTCCGATGTTGTGACCTCAACGAGGCCAAGCATGTCTTACATGCAGTTGGGACCAAGGTCCCTTTGTCTGGGGTATAAGAATCCCCAAGTTCCTCCAGCATAGCATAGTCTCTCTATTATTCACAATAAAATCAGTCATCTACATTCAAAATGAAGTTCTCCATCGCCGCCATCACCGGCTTCGTCAGCGCTATCAGCGCAGCCACCCTTCCCAATGCCTTCACTCTGGTCGCTGAGGGCGGCAAGACCGTTCTGACTGACGGCCGTATGTTTAATTCACACCCAAAAAATGAAAGCATGAATACTGACAGTGACAAATAGAGAACGCCTTTGTCGGCGCCAACACCACTGATCACGAGATTCTGATCCGTAAGTCCATCAGCCAACCCCACAATAAACAACATACTGACTCACCTCTTCAGTCCGCGGCGGCAGCCCCAACGGTCTGGTCTCCTTCACCTCCAAGAACGGTGTCCCTACCGCTTTCCAGAACCTCTACATCATTGAGGACTCCGTTGCTCCCCTCGGCATGACCATCCCCCACTCCGGTGCCATTCCCGAGGGCGGTAACATGACCGGATTCGGTGTCAATGACAAGGGCTTCTTCACCCACGGTGGCAAGGCCTGGTTCGCCGTTGACGGCTACGGCTCGAACCCCGTTAAGGAGATCTACTGGTACGCTGCTCACAACGCTGACTATCGCAGCGAGCAGCTCTACGTCAAGGAGCTCAAGAACTACTCCGCTTAAATTAGTGCTGCGGAGCGCTAGCTTGAGTTGACGGGTGCTTTGGTGAAAGTTACTCGTTTGTTTTGATGAGGTCTTGAAAAGGAGACTTCTTTCGCTCCTTTGTGTTTATTGCAATTGCACATACATGTATCATATATACCAATTCTAGCGACACCGACCCTGTAGAGTTCTGGAAACGTTTTACATTTCAGTCTAATCTAGTTGCATGATCCTTGCACTCCGTACCTGTATAACCATTTCACAAATTCAGAGCTCATTTCACCATTTCCTTAATGGTAGTTTCGAAACTTTCCGGCTCGCGGCCCAGAATCTCCCCAAGAGTGGGCGTCACGACAGCAGTTTCGCCCTGTCTGATAGCCTCCCAGGCAGTAGCCCACTCCCTCGAAAGATTGACCCCGTGGTAGGTATGGTAATCGGCGTTTTGAGGAAGAGCAGCATATTCATCCACAGATATCTCCCTAATCTTGATAGATTTCCCAATAGCCTGACCTAGTATATCGACAGTCTCAGCGAGAGAGATTTCGCGTGGCCCAGAAAGAAGGACGAGCTGGTTCGTATATTTGAAGTTGACGGGGTCGTTGGCATACGACACAATCAGCTTGGCAGTAGCTTCGCCCGACTCATCACGCTTTGCCCACGCGACACCAGGTCCACCCCCAGAGTGAGGAATTGCGATCTCGTCTGTGGGGTTCCGAAGATCGAACCAGGTTGTGTAAATCGGGAATGATTCAGAATAGATGCCTATACGAACGGATGTGTACGTAAAGTTCCCTGTGTGTGAAGCTAGGTACTTTTCAGTCTCTAGATGTGCGCCCATTACATGGGCAACACTCTTGTCGCTCAGATTGCCGGCGAATGCAAGGGACGAGTAGAAGATATGCTTGACACCACTCTTGGATGCGGCATCAATTGCACGTTGGTGTGACTAGTCTCTCGTTAGTGTCGTGGGCTCCTCTCGTTGAAAAAACGTTCGATTCACCTTCACTCGGTGCTTGATCTCAAAGGATGCATATGATATCAGCATCAAAATATCCACGCCTTCAAATGCTGTCTCAAAGGTAGGTGGCTCGTCATAATCTGCTCGGCGGATGATGGCACCCTCGTTCTTGAAATCATCTAACTTCTCGGGACGCCGAGCGATGAGAATAAGTTGAGATGCTGGGACGAGCTTCGCCAGGTGGTTCAAGATGCTCGTGCCGAGAGCACCAGATGCCGGAAAGATGCCGATCTTGGGACTCATTTTGGGTGGTGGACGAAAGGATATTACTGTAATGTTTGAATGGATTTCTTATTTCAATTGCGGAGGGTCTGCCGGGAATTCTACTCGGGTTATATATGTTACAACGGCAAAGCGGTACCCCCTGATTTGGGTAGGTGGGCCTGGTGTACCCGGCATCTTCATCGACCAGCTTAGAAATAGCAGTCGGTTTGCCGATTTGATCAAGTCCGAACTCCGAGACGAATTGGGATCATTTCAAATCAACAGTGCATTCCAAGGCCAACGTTGAACAAAGAAATGCACTTCGACCTCCTTACTTGGGCCCCATCATAACTACGTCATTCAATTATGTGCCCCACATCTGGTTGAGAGGCCAATCAAAATGTGGAAGTCAGGGAGATTACAAATGAGTACAGCGCAGATTCGCAAATGGTACAGGCTACTTCACAAGACTCAAGGCTACCAATGAGATAAGTATAAGAAGGAGATAGATCTTTCTAAAATCATTGAAAAAAGTGTAGAAGGACCATTCATAGACTAATAGAATTGAAAGCACTTCGAAAAGGTCAGAAGAGAGAAGTCACGCAGGCGAAACATACGTGAACGCTATACTTGCCTTGAGGCTTTCGAATCTGAAAGATTGAGACTTCATCAGTGACACTATACGCACGTAAGAGCTGGCGCACCCACACCGCCTTTTCACATACATGTAAGTTCGAAGCATGAGACCCGGCTTTTACTTTGTATTTTCTTTCAAACCGATTTCTGAGCCTTCATCTTTTGACGCCCATATTTGAGTCCAAGCTGCGTCCACTTTGCTTGCGAAATAGGTCAAAGAGGTCGAATTTGGATTAGCCTTCAGTCATTATCACACCGCTTCCCAGCCTAGATCCTGCTTCCGCAACATTCAAAAGGAGCTCAGTTGCTCAGAAGCGTCAGCAATTTCTGACGTTTGAAGCTAACCACTATGCGCTGAAAGTGGTGTATATGACTCTTCGGAAATTGATTTTTGTAACCGATTTGAAAGCTCCGTGACAATGGAGAAGCGGGCTTCAATATGCGTGGCGGTGATATAAATCGCTTTCGCAACGAAACGATGGCCTACGAGAGCCCACAGGCGGTTGATGTCTGTGACTGCGGCTTGATCCCAGAATACTATGGTTCTATCGGGAGAGTAGACCCATCGTGTCCCCAACCATGGCTCAAAGATTTCATGTATAACAAGCTCCACCCGAACACCATCGTAGTGGAATATCTGGCAGACCTTGAGCGGCTTAACTGCGTCAACTATACCCAAGAGTGATTTTCAAAGGCCATAGAGGCACTAGCTGAAGTACACGATGGCCTTGTTCTTCATAATGATATCTATCCCAGGAATATTCTCATCGTGCCTGGTGATCCAGAAAGAACTGTACTGTTCGATCTTGATGTCGCAATATTTTCCGAGACAAAAGAAGAACGTGAAAATCATCCATCTTACATGAAGAAGCTATCATATTCCACGGACTTGAGTGTTCTTAAGGGATTCGGAAGAGAACTGGTATGTCTTCGGTGTCTCTGAATTACCTTGTCCCAGTCCAACGTTGAGACTAGAAAAAAATATCAAAAAGAGGGGCTTCCGCCAAACATGAAGTTTTGCTGAACGTTTGAACGTCCTCAACTTAAACCAAGGGCAATGAAACCACATGGCAACTTCTATTTTCATAAGTTACCATGTAACGACTGTCCACGGAAAAACGGTGATTGTCTAACGTGTTGTATTCGTCAATCGTAATATAAACTATGAAAGAGGTGAGATATGTACATTCTAACGCCATTCTAAACCAAATTCATGCAATGCTTAATGAGGCACACCACCAGTGCCAAACAACTCCATCTTAATCCGGTCAGTGCTGACGCCCTGGCCCTTGAGATGCGACTCCATATCCGTCATGAACTTCTCAGGTCCACAGATAAAATACTGGGCCTTAGCATCATCAAGGAACAAGTCCTTCTTGTCAATCTTCTGAAGGTTCACCCGACCAGCATGGTGATAATCCACACCCTCCTTGTCCTCCGCGGAGGGATGACTTGTGAAGAAAGTAGCGTTCAAGTTAGGATACTCCTTCATGAGAGAAGCAATGTGCTCACTAAAAGCACGCGCACCTGATTTCCGCGCTCCGTGCACAAAGTGAAGCTTGCGATTTGAGGGGCAATTGGATGTCAAGGTGTTCAAAATCGAAGTCAAGGGAGTAAGACCCACACCAGCGGAGATCAAGACAACCGGATGAGCGGTGTCAGTCTCGGTAGCGGAAAGGAAGAAATCGCCATAGGGGTGCGAAACTTGGAGTGTATCTCCCTTGTTGAGGGTATCGTGCAGAACATTCGAGATATGACCGGGTTGAGTGACCGCAGCAGGATCAGCCGAGTTGACAAAAGTCTCCTTCTTCACACTGATACGGTAGTACTCCGATCGGGGTTTGTCACTGAGAGAGTACTGACGAGCCTGACTGTACTTGAGAGCCGGTACATATGTCTGAACAGAGATATACTGGCCAGGCTGGAAAGCTGGCAAAGGCTTGCCATCGACAGGAGCAAGATAGAAAGAAGTGATCTCGTCGGATTCCTTGACCTTGTCGACGATTTTGAAGTCGCGCCAGTCGGTCCAGCCCTCGCTTTGTTCGTAGAGCTGCTTCTCGCGGCCTATCATGATATCTGCGAGCTGCCAGTAGGCGGCACCCCATGCGTCGTGGATTTCTGGGGTTAAGGCTGCTCCAAGGACCTCGCCCATTGCTTCGAGGAGGTACTTGCCGACGATATTGTAGTCTTCGGGCTTGATGTAGAGTGAGGCATGCTTGTTGCAGATTAGCTCGACTGCGGCGCTGAGAGCGCTCAAATCATCGATATGCGAGGCGTAGGCGTAGAGTGCGCCGGCCAGGGCACGGGGCTGGTGGCCGTTGACTTGGTTGGAGGTGTTGAAGACGGTGTTCAATTCGGGATGGGCTTCGAGCATGTTGCGATAAAAAACAGTTGTGATGGTGTTTCCGTGCTCGACCAGCACGGGTACAGTTGCTTTGATTAGGGCAATCTGGTCCGCTGTCATTGGAGCGATGGAACCCATGGTGGATGAGTACCTTTTCGATGTGTAATCTTTAAAATGGAATGCAAGGAAGGAGAAATCCTTCTTCAATGGTTGATAAGAGTTTGATTAGCAATAAAATCGCGTTGATAGAATTTGCAAATAATAATCAGCTCCTCGTCGTTGGCTGTCAGCTATTTATACTATCCTCCCCACAGGGAGCAGTAATAAAACGTAAGTTTCGGTGATTGAAAAAAAACATCGACCGCAGAAACTCCGAGAATGTGCCTGGCATGATCTCTGGAACGGTGCGATTCGCACCGAAAAGATCAAACATCTCCGCGGAGAAGAGGATATTGCGGATGTTGCGCAAATAAAGGAATGTTTCACTCTGAAGATTTTTCCCGGCGGCCGCCACAGGAAATTTCTCGGATATTTTGGCATAGAAGACCATGTTCTAATTTATACTGTCAAGCTTCAAATTCATAAGCATGTTCACCGATACTTAATCAAAGACAATATGGTGCAAATAAGATGTTGTGGATCTGCTACCAGAGTGCCTATCATACAGATTCCCGCAACAGCATGTAGTTCGTCGCAGATAAGCCTCAGATGCCATCGCGATGTCTAAAGTTATTTAATGTCAATAACCTGCGAGAACAGGCATATAGTACAATTGTCACATCACTAACAGCCCATCACACGCCATCCGTCCGATCCCGGGGTGTCATGCCATAGACGAGAATTAGCCGGCGTCGATCGGCCACCCCGGGTTCCTCCAATAACACCCGCACGATTATTAGGCATCGGTCAACTTGCCGGAGCCGTCTTGGCAGTTCCGAGCATATCGAAATAGTGCAGTACATTATTTATCAAGTGACTAACAGACTCCTTAGAGCCTGGTCGTGCATATGAACACAGAACCATACTGAGTGCGTGGGGATTGAACCGTTCTGCAATCCCTTATCAATGCTCAACAATCATTATCAGTGCTCGAGAGTTGACGGGAACGATATCGAAACTTCGGAATGGAAGTGAAGCGAGTTCTTAGCAGATCCTATTCATCCTTTTGGGCCTCACACGAGTCAGTTAATCATATGTGCAATGAACCCTGGATCAACCTATAATCAATCAGTCTGATAGAACTATATGGACGGTGAACTCCGAGCTGCCAAACCCTAAATGAGCTCTATGAGTCGTTGATTCATTTGCCAAATTTTATACCAAGCGAAGGGTCCACCCAATGACAGCTGTCTGGAGAAGGCGGGGACAATCAATATCGATAATAAGTGGAAGAATCCATTGAATAATCGCGTGGTTCGCCCAAGGTCTAGACAGTCGACGTCACCGTTTTCGGAAGGCCGGGCGGCCCCGTCTCAGAAAGGTAGCTTGTTTACTCCGGACATGCTTGGACTGGCTCCACCGCACATGCTGACCTCACCATTCGACATCTATACGTCCATGGACCACCCAGCGCCACGACCCATTCAGTATGTAGGCCCTGGCCAAGAGGACTAATTGGTATGCAATAAGCGAGCTCAATGGCTGTGTTCCTCAGTTCCATTCCGATCGATGATACATGGACTGGCCTGGCAGGACTCGCGTAGCTTGTAGTGACGTCTGCGACATGCAATACTGGGAGAGTATATAGGTCTCGCGCGGGTAGAGCAGGTGGTTTGAAGACAAAGTTCCCGTTCTGACTGGACTTTCTGCCGAATCTTGTCATCTCAGCCGTTTTCTTTCTTTTGCTTCTCCCTCAATTGCATCTCCTTCGCGATGAGGTTTAAGAAGCGCTCATCCGCCGATGTCTCGACACTTGGGGGGCCGCCGGGTCCCGGCGGACGTGGTCAATTGCCTATGATTCAGTTGCCGGATAAGTTGCGGTACAACTTGCTGTGTGTGATGGGCGAGTTTGTGGGAACGTTCATGTTCCTGTTTTTCTCTTTTGCTGGTACTCAGGTCTCGAATACGCCTATGCCACCACCTGGATCACCGCCTAATACTTCGAACCTGCTGTACTCGGCGCTTTCCTTCGGTTTCTCGTTGACTGTCAATGTCTGGGCATTCTTCCGTGTAACGGGTGGTCTCTTTAATCCAGCGGTATGAAGCAGCATGAAAGGAAGAGTAATATAGAAGTTGCTGACAACAAACAGGTCACTCTCGCTCTTGTTATCACTGGTGGCATGCCGCCTTTGCGAGGGCTACTCGTTTTCCCGGCTCAATTGGTCGCCGGAATTGCGGCGGCAGGTGTGGTCAGCTGTCTATTTCCAGGGCCACTGAACTGTTCAACTCGCCTGGGCGGTGGAGCCTCCATCTCGCAGGGTCTCTTCATTGAGATGTTCCTGACCGCACAGCTGGTAATCGTCATTATCATGCTGGCAGTTGTGAAGCACAAGTCCACCTATTTGGCTCCAGTAGGAATCGGTCTGGCATTCTTCGTGGCGGAAATGATTGGTCAGTACTGTCTCTCCCCTAATCATAGAACGCCCACCTAACATCTATTCCAGGTGATTATTATACCGGAGGATCCTTGAACCCAGCGCGCTCCCTGGGACCAGATGTAATTAACCGCACATTCCCCGGATACCACTGGATCTACTGGGTTGGCCCTCTGCTCGGTTCCCTCCTCGCCTCCGGCTTCTATGGCATCCTCTGCTTCGTGCAGTGGCAGAACATCAACCCTGGTCAGGACTATAACGAGTGGGAGGTCCGGGCAAGAAAGGAGTCCATGGTTCCATCCGAGACTACCATGACCGACCAGGTTCACTCTGATAATGGTCATTCTCAACATCAGCGCGAGGCTAGTCGGGAGGTTCCTCCTGATCAGCAAGTCTAGTGGGGTTGTCAGCCACAGATCGTCATCCTGCCTTGCTGTAGCTTGTCGGCCTGCTGGTGATGTTAATCATTGATCATGAGGGATCAATTGTTGAACGGGCAATTTCACTGCTATGTAAATAGCTGAAAGGGACATTTATGTCTGATATTCATCCAAAATATGGCGAGCAGCGTTCACGTCTGTATTGTTTCTGTGTTCGAAGGTTCTTGAAGGAGGTAATTATCAATTTATGTTAAACATCACACGAAATCGAAATCCGAATTTCATTTTGAAAGAAGAAAAGTCACTTGAGTACAAAGGGGAAGTAAAGGTTTAGCCCTCCAAATTTGGGTCGCCGCATACATCCAGTGGCGCTGATTGGGAAATATTTCCCGCGCAACTGGCGTTACCAGTCAGTGGTCACAGCCTTGTCATTCTAGTCTAATTGAGCGGAGCATACTACGACGCATAAAAGTGTGCCCGAGATCTGACAGCAGGCTCCTGCCAAAATATTCAAAAAGCAATCGCAGAACAGCAGCCACCTGTTCAGTCCTCTTGCATGCCAAAGAATCGCGAAGTGGACCTGAATCCTCCATGCCACAAGTACCTAGGATTCCTCAACTGATTCGCCTATCCGACTGCATAACAGACCCTCCCTCTCCTCTTTCCTACAGGAGGAAATGCATCAATTATTAGCGGAGTCTCGGAAAGAGGGCGATAATTGGTCCATTCGAGCTTTGGCGCTAGAGGATGATTTACAAGATCCACATCTCCGGCCCTTGTTTGTGACTCGACTGCAGCTTGCTTGTGAACACATTTAAACAAATCAATTCCCATCATGTCGATTCTTGATCTACCAGATACAACCTGAATCACGTCTGCAATGGACACCAAAGCTCCCGACCCCGAGTCGGTCGCGTCGACTGACGCGTCCAGCACGAATCCCGCCGACGTGCAGCTGCTGGGTAAGAAACGGTAACTTCGTGTGTTGTTTTTGCGGGGAAGTCCGGTCGCGATCTTGAAAGCTGATGCTCTGCAAAGCCCGGATGGGCTACAAGCAGGAACTCCGCCGACATTATTCCACTCCGCAGGTGTTCGCAGTTGCGTTTAGTATCATGGGCTTAGTGCCCTCGATCGCATCGACGCTCTCATTTTCTCTACCTGCAGGTCCAGTCGGTATGGTTTGGGTATGGCATCAATCGCATATTCATTAGTGCGGTCAATTAACTGGATTTGGCGACACAGGGATGGTTCACAGCGAGTTCATTCATTTTCTTGGTCGGGCTGGCAATGGTATGTTCTGGTGTGGAACTGGATCTTCAGTCCAAGTATGAACTATGGAGCTCACACCCACCAGGCCGATCTTGCTTCTGCGATGCCTACAGCTGGCGGTCTTTATTTCTGGACTCATTACTTTGCTGGGACTAAATGGAAGAATCCGCTTAGCTTTCTGATCGGTTACAGCAACACACTAGGCCTAATTGGAGGCATGTGCTCCGTGGACTGTGAGGATGATCATTGCACGTACCCGTCGCTGTCGATCTCTTTACTTACTTTTGGTAAATGGTAGATACACTCGCGCTCATGATCCTCTCATGCGTATCAATCGCACGAGGGGACGGATGGTCTGCCTCTCGCGGCGTCATCTATGCTGTCTATATCGGACTGATTCTTCTTCACGGAATCTGCGCGTCCCTAGGTGGCCGCATAATGCCGAAGATCCAGACATGTTGCATCTACATAAACATTGCACTCGTCATTGCGACAGTCATCGCATTGCCAGTTGGAAAGGTCACTCGCGGCGGATCTCTCAACTCTGGTGAATTCGTCTACCGCCACATTGACAATGAAACAACCTGGCCGACCGGATGGGGATTTATGCTCGCATGGCTAGCTCCAATCTGGTCCATTGCGTCCTTCGATTCATGCGTGCACATGAGCGAGGAAGCTCTGCACGCTGCAAAAGCCGTACCACTGGGTATAATATGCTCGGCCGGCTCCGCATTCGTACTTGGATTCCTAGTTCTCTCTATCATCGCAGCATCAATGAATCCGGACGTGACTGCGACACTAACCACAGATTTCGGTCAGCCAATGGCTCAAATCTATTATGATGCGCTAGGCAAAGATGGTGCTTTGGTTTTCATGGCTATCTTATGCTTGACTCAATTCCTCATTGGGTTGAGCCTAATTGTTGCAGCTTCTCGGCAGGCATGGGCCTTTTCTCGCGACGGTGCACTCCCTTTCTCTGGTTTCTTCCGGCATATCAGTAACAGAATCAAATACCAGCCTGTCCGTATCATTTTCGGTTTAGTGGTTGCATGTCTTGTGTTGGGTTTGCTATGCTTGATCAACTCCGCTGCCACCAATGCGCTCTTCTCGCTATTTATTGCGAGTAATTATGTATCATGGGGCACGCCGATTCTTTGTCGCCTGGTCTGGGGCCAAGATCGCTTTCGTCCCGGTGAGTTCTATACCGGTCGCTTCAGCAAACCGATTGCCGGCGTGGCCGTTGTCTATCTCCTGTTCGGTGTTGTGCTATCTATGTTCCCAGCTGAGGGTCCCAATCCATCTGGTATGTCACGCCCCATGAACTGCCTGATTAAATGGCTAAATGTGTTAATAGCATCGGACATGAACTACACTATCGTCATCAATGGCTTTGTCTGGGCTGGTTGTATGATATACTACTTCCTCTTTGCCAGACATTGGTACACCGGACCGCAGATGACTGTCGATGAGAATGCTTCCACCAGTTCGGACAATACTATCGTTGCCCCGATGGCTTCTGTGTCAGAAGGAAATGTACCTCGCGATGGCAGTCGTAAGGAGGATTGAATGTATCTTGTCGTTTTTAGCTTTGACCTCTTAGTACGGCATGGTTTATACCCATTATATTCAAATCATCACAATAATCATTTAGCTCGCGTCTATGGGTTACTGGAGCCCATAGACAGCTGCATCTCATCGACATCCCCAGCCGGTCTTGACTTTTAGTGTATGGCATACACGTCCCGGCACCGGCATCGACGGGTGTCGGTAAGAATATCAAAGGTAACATGTATACGAGGCGTAGTCAAAGTTTCAATGCGATAAAATTTATTTGCAATGTACCAAATGTACGTTCGGGGGATATATGTATAAATTTACAAGAAAACGCCGGCATTAAGCTGCTTTTCCCAGATGTGAGCTAGCAAGTACGTAAAGAAACAGTCGGCAAAAGTCGTCAATAATCAAGAGCCGCCACCCAAGATGAAACCCGAAAAAAAAGATAGTCATCCAAGATCAATCTTTTACAGGGCAACCATGAAGCCCAGGACACCAGCCATACCGGCAGCGGCAGCGCCGATAGCAGTAGGGCGAGCGAAGGCACCGTTGTCAGATGTAGAAGAGGAGCCGGAAGCAGACTCGCTGGCGGAGGAGCCAGTGGAGGAAGAGTCGCTAGAAGAGCCGGTAGAGCTGGTCTCGCCAGTGGTGGTGGTCATGGTGGTAGATACGGTAGCAGTGGCTGAGCCCTCGGAGTTGGTCAGGGTGTGGCCAGTGACCCAGGTGGAAGCCTGGCTACGGGCATCGCTGGCTCGGCTCTGAGCATCGGAGGCAATGGTGCTGGCCTCGTTCTCGGCAGCCGTGGCGGCAGCGCCGGCAGCACCGGTCAGAGTTGAGACGGCGGCGGCACCACCAGTGTGGACAGCGTTGGCGATGGAGGTGGCTTCAGCTGCGGCGTCAGAGCCGATGGACTGGCCGTCGGCCTTGGCAGTTGAGTAGACACCCTCAGCTCCGGTGACGAGGTTGTTGATGTCGTCGCCAATTTCGGGGGTGGCCATGGCAGCGGTGGCCAGGAAGAGAGCAGAGACGACAGAGAACTTCATTGTGGATATGTGAGGAAATTTGCGATATAGATTGAATAGGGAGGTTCGAATTAAAAGTGGGTGAAGAATTGAGTTTGAGATTCAATGGATGATAGTCAATGGATGATAGTCAAATAATCTGGGGGAAAGCCACCCTTTATAAAAAATTTTGATGAAGGTGCAGCTCCTGTCCCAGGTTATTGATAGAAACAGCGGGGTGTAATTGTGACTAGTTGGCTAGGCAGCCGAATGAGGCAGTGGCAAGATGACCTCAGCCATGTGAAGAGCAATTCTCACGTCGATCGCAGGGTCCGCTCAGGGATAGGGGACCAGTGTCGAGCTAGGAAAATGCATCGGATGTCCCACCATGCAATTTTGGGTAAGCCCATCGTCATTTCGGGGCCCACTGAGTCATATGGGCGCAGCGATGGGGCTGTTTGGGGCCGTTTCATCGTCCCGGCCAGATCTGGCCTGCATAGTCTTGCATGAGCTTGTACTGTACCTGCTTTCCATGTGCCCGTATGCGATACAGCACAGCCAGCACAGATTTAGAAACCTTCACCTGTGGGTATTTGGCTGCCTTCCCGTCCCAACAACTCGCCGGAACCCCCGGCAGTCCCACAGAGCCCCCTGAGTATTTGGTGTCCACCGGGGAAAGACTCCACTGATCAGCTATGGACAATCAGCGTGAGTGGTCGAACACCTTCGAGTCTCTCCAATACGGTGGGTCATCTTAGTGTTGAGTGCATCGGGCTTGGCGTCCGTCATGATCGAAGTCAATAATTTGCTGTTCAGGAGACTTCCATACCATTGTAATTGCTCTTGTTTGAGAATGGCCAAGACCTGAGGTGATGCGTTATTGTTTTGGAAGTACCATTTACAAGGCCAAGGGACACTGACCAGTGTATCATGATTCGTTGTGGATTAAGCGACTGGGGAGGCGAAGCTCGGAATGCGTCGGACTGAGGCATGAGGCGCATGATCACGTGAATGTGGCAATGCACGATATAAAAAGAAACAGGGAACGGGCGTGAAAGGTACACGTCATGGAGTATACTTCCTACGTGTTAATTTCTATTGCTTGCTATGCATAATTGTGGTGCCTAGTTCATCGAGCTCAGGGTTGTATTCATGAAATATATCATTATTAATTAATCTAGTTCATTATACAACAAAATGCATATGTCCAAATGATGCAATAAAACGCCACGTCCAATATCAAGTCGTGAATTGGCCGTAAACCTGAATTATAGCTTCCCATCCACCCTTGTGGTTGGACTCACGCGGGTTGCTCTTATTATCAAGAACCATCACATCGGTCATACGCGTACTAATTGAGTACCAGACCAGGTTGATAGGATTGTTCGTCACCCGCATCATGTTCGATTGGCAATTGCCATTGCAGGGTTCATTATAGAGACCGTTCCAGTAGCCGTCGAAGAAGGCCCAGGCCGCTGAATTGTATAGCGCGACGTCTGATCCTCCATCCACGTTCGTGGCCAATGCCGTACGGCATTTCTGGTCTCCTGTCGCGCACCATGAGAAATCAGGGTCACCGTATTTTGGTTCAGCTGCCCATGGTGCTGGTGCAGCCTCGTACTCTCCCTGGCCCTGCATGTATGGAGTCTCTGTTTGCAGAAGGCCTGCGAAGACGTTCTGAGCATTGTGGAAGTTGTAGTTATACAACCAGTGATGCTCAGAACCAGTACCAGTGAGCCATGTACCTTTGGTTGCTTCGACAAGAATGCCACGGCCAGTTGAGATGATGGTGAGGAGTGACTCGCTGTCGAGATTATGATCGGCGGTCCAGCCCCAGAAGTTCTCGATGTATGCAGATGACGATTCAGTCAGGTGCATGACCATGAAGGCAGCCATACAGTTCTTGGGGTCCTGGGATGTGCAGGTGCCAGAGATGCTCGTGTCGGCTGTACCGCCAACGGTAGCCATGGTGTTCCACAGACCGACTTCACCTGGCTCGCTGCCTGCAGCGTTGATTTCAATTATCTTAGCACCTGGAAGGATCTCTCCGACGGAGAAACGCATATCTTGGATTTCAATAAGACCAACGTCACCTGGGTTGCCAAGCTTAACAACTGCTCTCGGGTTGCTAATGTCTTTGAAGTTGTCCCCGTATCCAGAGATGACGGCCCAAGCTTCCCCAACAATGCGAGTTCCGACTGGAACGAAGATCGTATCAGACACACGGTAAACACCGAAGGGGATGTAAGTCACTTTGCAGGACTCGGCGTTCTCAGCCAAAATAGCGTTCAGTGCTTTAGTATCATCGGTTTTACCGTCTCCCTTGACTGAGTATCCATGAACAGTCTTCACATTGACAATATCGGCAGATGCGTAGTCCTGGTAGGTAGGCTGTGCCTTGGTGAAGAACTTGTCACCAACAAGAAGCTGGGGAGAGCGCTCAGTACGCCACTCAACACCCGTCTCATATGTTGTGGGAACGACTGAGCCCCAGACCCACGTTTCCACGTGAGAAGTCGCAGCCAATGCTACTTTCCCTGAGGTATCAACTGCAATGGCATTCTCGCCACTGTGTCGGAAGTTCTGGATCAGGAATTGGCTGTTCTGGTTGCCGGAGTCATGAGATGAATCATAGAATCGGATAATAGGGCCGTTGTTCAAGGATAACGAGTCGAGAAGCACCAAGCTTCCCAAGCCATTGCCAGTCATATCAATTCCAGTGCCACAGCTATCAAAGCGGGCGCGTTGAAGAAGCACTGTCCAGCCACCAATCGCGTGGAATCCAGTCTTACACGCCTGGAAATAGATGTTTTTGAAGTTGACCTGCTGGTTCGAGTTTCTGATTCCAACAGCACCGCCAATGATGTCCTGTCCAACGTTAGCTTGCTTCCGACCTCAATCTCTAAAGCTTAACTTACCACATCAGTGACAGCAATAGTGGAACCAGCTTTTAAATCAATACCAGTGTGGCCGGTTGATTGCTGTGGCATGTGGATCTTGACGTTAGTCAATCCAGATCCTTGCGCAACTCCCCACTGGAGAGCGGTAAATCCACGGCTTGGATCAAGTTCAGTGGTATCCAAGATGACATTTTTGAGCAGCATTGCAAAGCTAGTCTCCGGTGCGCCAGCGTTCTCGTCATATCCCATAACCAGATGTCCGCCTTGGAAACCCGGAGCGGCCTTGAGAACCGGTGGGTTCAGCGGGTTTCCGACGATGATGGTTCCAACAGTCATTCTTAAAGTGCTGCCGAGCCTATACACGCCCCCGGGAAGATACACTTCAGCGGGATAGCGGGTAACACCATGGCCTTTGCGACTACCGCCCATGCCGTCGTCGTCGATTGCCTTTTGCAACTTGGAAGTTTGGTCTCCAGAGCCATCATTGACAACCGAATAGTCCATGACATTACGGTAGACCGGGTATCGCCTCGTCGAGTTAGCGTATGGAGCAATGCCTGCTCCCTGCTGATTGTGGTCTTGTTCATCAAGCCAGAAAGGTCCCGGAGACTTGGCCGCAGGGCTGGCGCATGTCTTTGTTGCAGGGGCAAAGACCGGTTTCATTGAAGAACTGAAGATGTTTTTAGCTTTGAATATACTCGTTGTCAAATTGTTTACATACGCAGCTGGCTCGGTGATATCATTCTTCGTCTGCGATGGTGTTGCTTCTGAAAAACTTGGCTCTACCAATGGCACACCGGTTGTTGAAGGCAGACTAGCTGTTGAAAATGCAGTGGTCGTTGAAGATACACTTGTTGGCGTTGTACTTTTCGCGGCCTTTGTCTTTGCGGCGCTGGATGTCGCTGATGAAACGCTAGTCTCTTTTGCCGGGATGGGCAACGGCGCCGATGAAGAATTTGGAACCCAATTAATAGGGGTCGTTGTGCTTGGTGGTTCACCAGTCAGTCCTGCTAACGAAGATGCCAAATTCCAGTCAAAGAAGGGAAATCCATCTGGTGGAGCAGCGATACGCGGCGACTCAGTCGCGTGAATCAAATGAAGAGGAACAATAGCACTAGAAGCAGTCAACGCAACAGCTGCAATTGCAGCGCAAGATGACAGACCCCGCATAATCAATTATTGGCCGTGATCTCGGCCCTGAACAATATGCGAAAGCAGTGACACGAAGAAGAAAAGAATGGATAAGAATTAGAAATACCTTTCAACAAATGTCGGACTAAACAACTGTCACCATGCACGACATGTTGTTATGCGCGGATCAGGTAATTTGTATCTGGAATGTTTATGCGGTTATGGCCGCATACTGGCTGGCCAGGTGAGAGAGAGCCACAACGTTGATCGGCGCCCCTTGCAAGTCCCGGGGGTTGGGAACCTATTGGAGAGTTAAACAAGTGAAGTGGCTATGTTAGCTGCAGGATCTTGTCATTTCCATCTTGCTTCTCATCTGATAGCAATGTGAATTCGAATTTTGCGAGTCAAGTGTCAGCTTGTAGATGTCGCTGTTGTGAATTTTCCGAACTCGGATCGGTAGCGCCCCGAACCTATGCCATCACCAATCCTCAGCCTCCACACCCTACCACGACTAATTACATTTGGTTTCGTTGTGCACATCTTCTGATACATTAATTTACATATAGACTTTTGGTAAATCGTTCTAATCACATTCAATCGTGGGTAGGTAAGAAATCGGTGGATTACAAGCCCCGTTGAATGAAGTACTCAAGATATATATCACTCAGTAGCCACAGCATACACCAGATCTTCCTTTCAGCTTTGTCATTACGTCGACCTGAAAAGCAGACATACTTTACAATTTAATTCCAAGCCTGATTATGGTTGGTTACAATTGAGCTAATGTGTCACTACATCATCTTCAACGCCAAGTGCCATATGTGACCCGGTGTTTAATGCAGCGCAACGACATCATAGCCCATCTCTGCGTAGATACTCATGGTAGTGGCTAATCACCGGCCCAAAAAGGCCCCCGTGTCCCCCCCTTGCATCGCCTAGACTCAGTGGTGTTATTGTTTTAGCAGCGTTCCGCGCCTGTCTCACATACCAACGGTAACGACGCAACGGAGAATATGCTTCCATGTTTAGATACGCCTGTTTAAACGATCGCGAAAGCCACGTCAGTAAACCCACCCGCTATAAGCCCTAAGTCACTAGTTGATGCACGCGTGAATTTTTCAACCTACTTACTTCCATTGGTTCGGTCTCCGAAATTTCAGGGATCAAAATTTGATAGGGTGATGTTTTACGTTCGGTCAGAGAGACCGGAGGAAATAAGAGTTTGTTCGGTGAAAGCAAATCTTACTTCGATTTACTCATGAATAGCGATGGTGTCCTAAGTCTACAGAGTAGTCCAGCTCAAAACCCAAACCTGATTCGATTTCTCGGCCTATTGAGAAGCGTACGTGTCGTGCAGTGTGACTGGTATACACAATCACCGTTTTTATAGTCTATCTCTCTAGATATCGCATGCAATTTACGTTCAAGTGAGAGTTTGCCAGTGAAAGCAGCACAACGCTAAAACTTCCATTTCTTCAAGGGCGGCGATAACTGTTCCCAATCCGTTCGTCATGAAGGCATTCCGCGCGATGTTTCCCTTGATAGTTGTTGGCTTAACAGGGCCATCTGGTATTGTTTGTAATGGAAGTCACTGAATATGTGTTCGTTAAGGATTTGTCTGACCCAGGGCTAGGTAATACATGTGTAATACATCTCTGTAGTACGCCATGCGTCTTGTCAGTTCCATTGAAAGCTGACACTGAATAAAAGCTCATTGATTCTATGCCAAGTCTATCAAAACAAGTCCATATCTGCGAATCAATGTCAGAAGTGGGGGGAGGGGCGTCGCGTTAGTAAGCTGAATTGGATTTATCGATAAATCCATGCATCTCACTGCAGGCGGAAAAGTTCCTCTGAATTGTCTCCATTCGTTGGCCAAGACCTTCTAAATTCACTCAGGCAACACTTTGATTCAAAATGGGCTCAAGTCTGGACTGGCCGCTGCATCCGATCTATTCACCAGCGCAGCTCAGCCGGTATTTTGATAAACTCAATCTTCCTTCCAATCTGCGACGCGAAGTATGGGATATGACATTATTGGCACTGAACGGGAATACAAACACCAACAATGCAGTCGCATTGTCGCAAATGGAAGCATTGCAACGTTATCAACTGGCGTCCGTGCCCTTCGAGAACGTCGATCTGCATTACTCGTTCCACCGTAGTATCTCCACCGATACCCAGACTGTGCTCGAGAAAATCGTTGATTCAACTTCTCATAGAGGCGGATACTGCATGGAGAACAACATCCTATTTGGAGCGGTATTGCAAAGCATGGGATACAGAATCACCTCAGTTGGAGGCCGAGTGAATGAAGCCGTACAGCCAATGTCTGGATCGAAGAACTGGAAAGGTCCCAAATATGACGGATGGTACGAGTCTCTTTCTTGTTCTTATATTGTAGAAGGCACAACGCTTTTGAACCTTTGCCTGTCACTAACCATCAAAATACAGGAACCACATGGTCAACATTGTTACTATCGAAGGTCAGAAGTACCTGGTAGACGTAGGATTCGGCTCGAACGGGCCGCACAAGCCTATTCCTCTAATCCAGAATTATGAATTTCACAATACAGGTGACTTGCATGGACGCCTCATTCATGGACCGATCACCCAACATGGGCGAACTGGACAACAACCACTTTGGCAATATGACATTCGCGTGGGGGACAGCTCATGGATACCTGCATATTGCTTTACAGAGATGGAATTCTATCCAGAAGACTTCAAGATGATGAACTACTTCATGAGCACGAACCGCGCAAGCTGGTTCACGTTTCATGTCGTATGCGTTCGGATGTTGCTAGATGATGAGGGAAAGAAAGTTGTGGGTGATCTGACTCTGTTCAATAATACGATGAAAAGACGCCTGGGGGCAACATCGGAGGTGTTACAAACCTTCAACTCTGATGAGGAACGCGTCGCAGCTCTCGAGAAATATTTCAAGATTACTCTTTCGCGAGCGGATAGGGAAAGTATTCGACATACAAGCTCAGAGATCTTATAAGGAAGGAACTTGCTAGATCTTCTGTATGCTGTCTCTTTCACTGGCAAAACATAGATAATAAACCGGGTTCAATCTGACAACTAAATACCGTCCGAACATCTATCGGAGCCATCGGTTTCGCTCAAGAAGATTGCCCAATCAAAAACAGTGACCCAAAGTCTTTTTATAGTCCCATGGTTACATTTTCTGAACAGATCATCCGAGTCGCTTAAAAATGGGCAAAAAAAAAGGGCGAAGGAAGAGAGGCTAGATGGGAGCACAAATGATGTATGAAATAGCGCCCTCACTCCGGGAAATTTGTAATGACCTAATTCAATACTTCATAGCACTTTGAACAGACTTATGATCCTTGTTGTAGTAATCACAACATGCTGTCCTCACCTCAGTGTTCTCCTTCTTACTTCATCCACTAAACATTCATGGTGAGCACATCGGTATAGCCACAGCGAATCAAAACCATATCTTCGGGGTTCTCAACGCAAGTCCACTCAGTCCCAGACTTGAGCAAGGCCTGTCCCTTCTCAGCGATCGGGCCATCAACCCGCTCAAGCTCCAAGGTAAAGCCGTGGAAATCGACAGCGCCATCGGGGAATCGAATATAGTATTGACCGTTGTTGCATCGGGCGCTTTGCTTGGGCGAGGATCCGTAGCTCCTGTAATCCGGTAGATGCCAATTAGCCTTCGAGTATGTCAGGTGATCATGTTCTCTGTATTGATCTTACCAGATCAAGTTGCAGTCGGTGGGAGTGTCATCTGGGTAGTTCGGGTCGATGACCATGAAATGCATAGTAGCAGAGGAATAGGTGGTTGCCGAGGCTCTAAAATCGCTAATCGAGATCGAGTTCTCGCGCTTGGCGTTGGCTGGAGCGGCGAACACCGAGCTGGCGGCGAGGAGAAGAGACGCAATGGTGAACTTCATGATGTCGGATGAACTGAGTAATTGGATTTCTGAGATATAGTTGAAAGTAGTCTTCGAGCTGTGTTGGATGATGCCCCAGAGTTGCGAAGACACGCGCTTTTATGCCCTTGGTATACTGCCATTGCTGTACTTCTTAGGCATCCAACATCTGAAACATCTCAACCACGGTGAAACTAACTTAGTCAACAATCATTTCTGTGATAGACAATTGGTAGTCAGTAATCGGGGCTGAGAACACAAATGAAACATTGCGGTGAGTTCGACGTATCCCAGTCAACTCTTAGCCCTGGATACGTATCTAAGGCAAATTAAGTGTATAGGGATTGGATGTGATGGAAGATTCTATTTCCAGACCTTAATACTGTAGATGTCTCCTATAAGGCCTCCCAGTCACCAGACCTTTTGTGCTGACAGGCTTAGAACCCGAATGTAGATCATTGCTTTGTATGGAGAGTACCTTTGCTGAAAAAGCAAACTTCGATGGACGCACCCCAAAATAGCACTCTGAGATGGACTCTCCCACTTTTTAATCTCTCTGGTGTTATAATCAAGCGGGGCGATCGTGATACTTGCTTTACTTGTAGGTAGTTCATCTCGACAACATTTGAACGTGCGGGGTGGGCACTGTTCAATGACCCCTCGCGTGGGAGGGAAGATTCTTTTCTGTGTTAGCCGAGACAGAAAGTCGACTACGCGAGAGATCTAATCTCTGAGTGTATGGTCATCGGGTTCGCAGGTCCTGTGGACTTGACTGTTGATATACTTGACTACCAACATTTGCCGCATGAACCGCCGTCTGCCGCCTAAAAATTCTACCAATGCAGGCACCTCGGAGCAGCGCGTTGCCGAAATGAGATTAAGTGTGCGAGAAGCTCAAAATTGTTGATCTCTGCCTACTGTAGGGAGATGGTTCCTTGGCGCCTTTCTTGGCCTCATCTTAACCGAAGGCGTTGCCGGCGCCAAGATCAAAAGATCAGTTGCCACAATGATAAGATTGGATTTTCGTGGCACCCAATCCAAGGTAGAGTGATATTCGAAAATTTACATCAAAGGTTTGACCTATATGACATGTGGATTGATCCGAACCCTTGAAGCGGTAACGGACTTATTGGTAAATTGACGCATGTCGAACACCTCTAACTTGTTTTAATTTGTTGTCCGCCAAGCGGACCAAGACTTGTTTGATTAGCGACATCGGATTTATTTGCGCAATCCCCGATGGTGCAGCTTAGTTCCGAAACTTGGAGGTCTCGAGCACCGGATCCTTTCGGTTGTCTGTTTCTAGTATGCTGGCTGCTCTGATGTTGTCGGTTGGAGTGACCTACAGCCGTGGCTTCCGAATTTGATAATCAAAGCTAAGTAGTGAAGGTGTTATCAGAAGAGTGTCGGATGTTGCCGTCTCCTTGGGGCAGCTTACGGATGCCCTGTGGGGCCAAACTTTCGTAGCACACTAGAGCCCCTTGAATCATTGCTGATTGGATCAGAATGTCCGCTGGATATTATCAGATCATCTGATAGGAGCTGGTTCAATCTCGCTCTGGTATGCGGAAAGACCCTGAAAATTTCCGTACGTAACCTCCTCAACTGTCCTGTGCATCGTCGTCGGGTCTTGGAAACTAACTTTTTGATCCATCCTTGCTGGCCGAGAACATTTTATCAATCAGAATTTGACTTTCTGTTGATATTATGGAAAAGGCGACTGCTGTTGACCAGGTCACAGCGACCAGTGGCATTAATCGTGATGCCGAAAGAGCGATGGAGTTGAACGAGGGTGTCAATCACCCCTCTGATGATAAGGCCAGTCTTTCTGATGCAGACTTAGCCGAGTTTCAGGGTGGTGTCCAGCGAGTGAGAGCAATCACTGCCTCATGGGACAAAAAGACACTCATTCTCATGTTCATTCTGTAAGTCTAAGCTTTGGCTTCCGAAAATCCCTACTTGATCTTCCATCTAGCCAAAATCTAATCTCATCTGATAACACAGACTCTACCTCGTGTCATTCGTAGATGCGATGTTGTCCTCTGTCCAGAGTTCTCTGAACCCCTATATTACTTCTTCATTCGACAGTCACGGCCTGCTCCCGGTTGTCAGCGTGGTTTCCACCATTCTGGGCGGTTCTTCCAAATTGACTCTGGCCAAGATCATTGACATCTGGGGTCGTGTGGAAGGATTCTTGTTCATGCTCCTCATAATCGTTATCGGTCTGATCATGAAGGCTACATGTACAAGCATGGAGATGTATACCGCCGCACATACTCTATACTGGGTCGGCCACATCGGTCTTACTTACGTCGTTGAGATCATGTTGGCCGATATGACCACTCTCAGGAACCGTATGATTATGCTCGGTATCAACGGCACGCCCGGTATTGCTACCACCTTTGCCGGCCCGAAGGTCGCAGCTCTGTTCTATGCTAACCTCAACTTCCGCTGGGCGTTCGGAGCCTTCTGTATCATCCTAGTTGGAGTTTGTATTCCTGTAGCCGTTGTGATGCTATGGATGCAGCGCAAGGCCGAGAAAAACGGCATGTTGGAAAAAGAGCATTCCGGGCGCTCGTGGTGGCAATCGATTGCCTATTACTTTGTTCAATTTGATGGTGCGTATCACGTATCTCATGTCAAATTCGAGCTCATGCTAATAAATAAACCAAACTTTAGTGATTGGAATCATCTTGATCACTGCAGCGTTTTCTCTGATTCTCCTCCCCTTCAGCATCAATTCTTATGCCCCCAAGGGCTGGGCCAGTGGATATATCATTACCATGGAAGTTATCGGTGTGGTTTGTATTCCCGCATTCTACGTTTGGGAGCGATACTTCTCGCCGGTGCAGTTCCTCCCTTGGAAGTACCTGAAGGAGCCAACAATCATTGGCTCATCGCTCCTGTACGGTGTTATGTTCATCTCAACCTTGTACGTGCTTCCTCTCTCAGAAACCTCGATACATGCCAGAGAAACAGCAACATACTAACAACGAAATAGTACATGGAATACATACTTCAGTTCTTATCTCCAAGTTGTCAACAGACTGGACATCACCACAGCCAATTACGTGCTGAATGCTTACTCCCTGACATCCTTCATCTTCAGTCCTATCTTCGGCCTGTAGGTACCGTCAATCCATGTTCCTTCGATCAGACACTAATATCACCAGGGTGATTCGCTACACTGGAGAATTCCGATGGACAGCAATGGCAGGAATTCCAATCTTCCTCCTTGGTACCGCCCTCTTGATCCCCTACCGCCAACCAGGAACCGACGTCGGCACCCTCACAATGACACAAATTCTCGTCGGATTGGGCTCCTGTATGTTCACTGTCTGTGGGCAGATCGCCATTATGGCTACTGTAACTCACCAGGAAGTGGCGGTTGTAATGGCCATCTGGGGCCTGTTCGGTTCGATCGGTGCAGCCGTCGGTTCTGCAATTGCCGGTGGAATGTGGAACAACATGTTGGAGGGCGAACTTTACAACCGTCTCCCGGCCGACAGCAAGAGCAAGGCCGCGAGCATCTACCACGACTTGGTGACACAGATGTCGTATGCAGACGGAACTCCCGAGCACACTGCTATTGTTGGTGCCTACGGTGATGTCCAGAGAAAGATGGTTATTGTTGGAGTTTGTATCACTCCTCTTTGCATTCTTTGCACTTGGTTCTGGCGCAATGTCAATGTCAAGAAGCTGTTCAAGGAGCAGACTTCTGGAACCATCTGGTAGAGGCAAACTCGCACATAAAAAGGTATAATGGATGGCGGTGATGGATAGATTTAGATGTTTGTTTTTGGTTTTTGTTTTTTTCTGCGTATGATTTGAAAGACGGTTATGGTGAATAATTGACATGTTTGTCAGTTTGTATAGTCATGGTTTACTGCCTTCGTTTATGAATGCTACCGATTCCATCATTCTTTACCAAGGTTTTTGTGGCAACACAATAGCGCCAACAAGTCTGTATGCAGCGCCACTGTTACAGCGTTGATTTTTTTTGACATGAGACCTTCAAAGTGAGTCTATAGTTGCATAAATCGTTTTTGCTCTATTTTGCTGCGGCCAAGGGGCTTTTTGTTAGGCCCGCAGGCATATTGATGGGAACACTCTGCCTCGTCTAATCGAGCGCGATGATCAGTATTTCAAAATGATGCTTGCCCAATACACTGAAGACTGAAGGAGCTCCCTTTGGCTTTGCTGGCCGATGAATTCCATGATGCAGCCCGAGGAGCCCTACATGTAACTTTACCTTACTGTAACCTCGGATTATACTTACACTTGCCTCTCTTTTTTCACATCTTTATTGTCCACTGTCAATTTTTGATTGTTGATACTGACGGGCTAATTATGTAGGAGAGCGTAAGTACCTGCCATTCCTTGTTCTAAATGAATACAAGAATGTGATATTTAACGGACTGTTGGAATTTCCTTATGCTCTCAACTTCAAATTCGCTCAGCCAAAGCAAAAATTAGCCTAGAGACTGATTATAAAATCTGTGACAGACATGCTGTCGTTATCATCCACACTGATGAACTATTGTCCAAGGTGTAGTCTCCTGAAATATCCTTTACACTCTGCCAAGAAGACCTTGAGAAGTTGTAGTCTTGGTCGCAAGAGTAAGAAAGCCGCCCAAAACACACATCGCTCCACTGAAAATTGAAATCTCTGAAAATCCTCCATACTTGTTGAGCAGCGCACCGTTGACCGGAGGCCCAATCAAGGAAGCAAGAGAAGCAACACCCATTCCTGTGCCCAAGTATGTTCCAATAGTCCGAGGATCCGGGATAACAATTGAGAAAGCAGCAGTAGCTCCAGAGATGATTGTCCCCGACCAAAATCCGAAAGCAATTGAATATACAATTAGAGCCGGGGTTGATTTAGCCTGGTTCATGCAGAAAATGATAATTCCGGTGAGGATACCGCCCATGCTGAGAACGTTCAATCGACCGAATTTATCTGCTAGAACACCCGGGATGACACGGCCAAAGGTCGAAGCAGCGTTGAGAATTGCAAGTAGGTAGGAGGCAAGAGTTGTATCCACTCCTCTTGATACTGCATATGTTGGGATGTAAAACAGCGGAGTGAAAAATCCGAGGAACATGAAGAATATTGCTGCAACAAGCAGAGAGAACTTGGGTGTTTTGAAAGCTGATGCTATGAAGAACTTCGTCTTGCGTGGTTGAAGACGAGATTTGACAGCAAGGCATGAGAAGGCTAGGAGCGGAGTAACCACGAACCCGATGATTCGAACTGACCATCCGAAACCAAGGGAAGTACTGTTCAGCATCTTTGACAGGGCGATAGGAATCACCACACCGCCAATGGAGGATCCAGAGACAGCTGCCCCTAAGGCAGCGGCGATGTTCTTGTCAAAGTGCTGAATGACTGCTGCCATTGCTGGAAATTGCAGAAGACCCATAGATGTGCCCAGGAGAATGCCTTGGGCGAGCATAAACTGCCAGTATTGCTTGCATAGGCTTGTCATCACCATTGCAAAGAGATACATGATTGCGGCTGGCCGGATGACCTTCTTTCGTGTTAGTAACTGATCCTTCCTGGAAATTGAAGAACATACCCAAGCTCCATATCGATCAAACAATGGTCCTCCAAGAGCACCTGCTGCAAATTGGAGAAAGGCTGCCAGTGATCCGATCCATGCAACCTTATCTGCCGACTCGTCTTTCAATTGGTGGGAAAGATAGTATTGCTCAAAGATGCCGAATGAGTTCGCGAACCCTAATGTCGAGAAGAAGATGCAAGCGGTTCCTGCTGTGATAAGCCATGCCCGGAAACCACCATCTGGTGCCTTGTCCATTCCGTTTTTCTTTTTGCTTAGTGTTGAATGGGTGATATCATCCACAACTTTCTTGGTTGTCTCGATATCGGATGGATTAGGAGACATCGTGCGTATGTATGGGCTGAAGTCGATAAAGATGAAGGAAGTTGATCTAAAGATGGTATTGTGAACACTTGATTGATGTTTCAGGACTAATTATTGAACCGGGAGGGAATGATTCATCTTTATAACCCCCAAATATTATAAAACCCGATTCTCTAAATTGTATAGATCTCGCTATCGGAGACGGAGAATTGCAGACGAGACGGACCAAAAGCGCAATTGCCGAGCATGTAAGACGGAGAATCCGCGGGTGGGCAGAACGAGTCATTTTTAGCCCCTGCTGATTTTTCACCGATAAATTCATTCTGGATTTTCGTCTCTACTCTATTTGACATGATTCAATCATAGCGGGGAACACGAATCCAGCTGCACTGGTCGCAATGTCAACGACCGGGCCGAATTGTCGGCGAAGAAGGCCGCCCGTGTAAGTGCCAAGCCACGACTCATAGTCCACATACTAACATGGTGAAAAGGGCCTGTACGCTTTGCAGGCGGAGAAAAATCAAATGCAACAGAGAAGCACCTTGCAGCAATTGTTTGCGAGCCAAGAACAAGAACTGCATTTATGAGAATTCGGCCCAACCGCTTCGGCGGCTTGGTGATGAACCAACATTCCAGCTGAATTCAGTCCAAGGAGATCATCAACGCAAATCAGTATCTTCCTGGCAGTCTTCAGCTCTGTCGCAAGAACATACACCTCCGACTGGGTCATCAGAGCCAGCAGTCAGTTCGATCGCAGCTTCAACTCCATTCAGCAACTCTTCTACTCGAGAGGTTGAGTCCCTACAGAGTAAGGTCAGGGAACTTGAGGAGCAATTATCCAAGGCAACGGGAACTCCTACACAGTCTACTGCTCCTACACCAACTTCTGACATTCAAATCACGACTTCTCAACTAGCTGGCACTTTCCGAGTCCATAACGAGCACCTTACTTCTAACCAAGGACATAGCCAAGCTATCAGCCGCACCTTTTGGCACAAAAAACGACTGTACGGCCAGAGTCATTGGATCGGTGGCATATCTCTGGTAAATCGCTCTTATTGTTTCAACCCTGACTCCCCGGCTAATCGATGACTAGCTTCGTGAACTGGCTGAGTCAATAGAGCCGTACCTTTTAAATGAGGGATCCAAAGCTGTTTCTGGACTACAGAAATGTAAATATTTAGGCAAGATGATCAAATCACAGCGTGATCCCCGATGGCCAGTACCGATTACGCCAGATCTGCCTGCAAGAGATGTTTGTGACACTCTTGTTGATTGTTACCTCCAAACGACGGAAAGGATCTACAGGGTCGTGCATATCCCGACCTTCAGAAGAGATTATGCAAAAATCTGGTCATCCGAGACCCAACCTGATTCGATGTTTCTGGTTCAGCTCAAGCTGGTGCTCGCTATTGGAACGACAACCCATGATGATGACTTTTCGCTACGCTCTTGGGCTACACAAGCGGTTTTTGAGGCTCAAACATGGGCCTCCGAGCCAGAATACAAGGCTCGACTTGGCATTCCTTTCTTGCAGATCCAGATCTTGTTACTGATAGCCCGGGAGCTCATTGGTGTGGACGGAAGAATGGTCTGGGTGTCAGCTGGAGCATTGATCCGAACGGCTATGTACATGGGGATGCATCGAGACCCGGCATGTATTCCAAAGATGTCAAAATATGCGCTTGAGATGCGCAGAAGATTATGGAACACCATTCTGGAAGTTTGTCTACAGTCCAGTATGGAGTCCGGGGGTGTTCCACTCCTATCTCTGGATGACTTCGACACAGAGACACCGGGAAACTTTGAGGACGAGCAGCTTGAAGTAGAGGACTCGACCCCTCACCCAGAGAGCAAATTCACATCGGTATCAATTGCTATTGCTTTCCGAAAGATGTTCCCGATACGTCTTGCGATCGCAAAATTCCTGAACGATGTACGTTCCCAAGGCTCTTATGAAGAAGCACTTCTCCTTGATGCGCGACTCAGATCTTGTTACAAAGGATTGTGTGGGACCCTTCGCGGACACATCTCGAGGTCCGCCCAAGATTCAATTTCGAGGTTTGAGCTTCTTGTACTGGATTTCATTATGCGTCGCTATATCCTCTCCATTCACATCCCTTTCTTCGGCCCGTCCATGCGCGAAACGGCCTACGCCTTTTCCCGGAATGTTGTCGTTGAGACCGCACTCAAACTATTCACCTCCACCCGCGGACCACAGTCACCTGGCCAAACCGAGTTCTCCCGGCTGGTGATAAATGGTTCTGGATTCTTTCGCACAGCACCCGTGCACGCGTGTTTCCTGATATCAGTAGAATTAAAAACACGAATAGAGGAAGAAGAGGGTTTGGGTCTCTTGAATATACGGCCTCATCTGCTTGCAGTTTTGCATGACGCGAAAGCCTTGAACTTGCGTTGCATAGAAGTGGGAGAGACCAACATCAAGGGCTACTTATTCATGTGTCTCGCGGTAGCACAAATTGATGCTCTAATGCGAGACGCCCCAAAAGAGGAGATCCCATTGTTACTCATAAAAGCTGCTGAAGACGCGGAAGAGATTTGCTTGCCAATTCTCGAGCGTCTTGCAGCAAAAGGTCAAAATGAGAAAACCGGGGAAGGGTTGGATTCTTCCACAAACCAGCTTCCTGAAATGGTAGGAGACTGGGACTTTATGGTGAGCATAGATCCTTTTCATTAAATTTTTGCCTCGCTGACTCTGGTAGATGGCTGATGAAGATTTTCGGTTTCCGGATCTCGAACCCGCGAGCTGGATGATGAGTGGGATTCCCTATGGGATACCCTAAGTACCCACGACACTTTCGAATCAGATGTCCCGTTTTCAGGTGACAGAAAAAAGCACTATTAGCCGCATATTTTATTATCTAGGCGACCAGCCGAGATATGAGGTCTGCGATCTCACCCCGACGCGTCTCGTCATGCTTTATCCATGTGGAACAGAATTCCGATGAGGCGACATGGAGATCGAAAATCGACCCACGAGTAGCAAAGATGGCTTTAATTTCCGTTTGATGAGATATTTGAAGTAATACCTGCCATCAAAAAGGAAACGTCTGCCGACCATGGCTCGCCTCTCAACGGAGGCATGCTGTGACATACCCCGGACACGTTTCCGTGAGCTCATACCGAGCCACCGCACTAGCAAAATTAGACAGCGTCAAATCTCACCGAGCAACATTGACTGAGCGGAAACCGAACCTTTGTTATTTGCTTAGATAGCCCGTGTCTTGATGTTGCCGAAACACTGAACGCATTCATCTTCATGTCGGCAGCCTCTTTTGTCAGCAGTTTCGAAGATGATGTGGATCCAGACGAAACAAATTCACCAGACGACTGGCAAGATGCATCACAGATCAGTCCGCAGCAAGAAGAGCCACAACTTCATGTCCGATTTCGATCCAATGGACCAGGACAAGAAATACGGCGTGTTCCGCCAGATGCAAACCCACAAGAAGAATGGGATCATTCTCAACGGCAGGGGGAAGCTCACAGGCCGACCGCTCCATATGCGCACGAATCGCAAGATATCGCCGACAACCCACCGCAAGATCGTGCTACTGAATCCGGCCAGCCCCAGGGTGCCCCAGGTCTCGAAATCATAGATCACGCAGCCAAAGCAGAGAAAGAGAAGCAAGAGAAAGAAGATTCCGAGGGCCCTAAACCGAAAACCCTCAAACAGAGATGGCGATATGCAACACAAACCCTCCGAATGAAAGCTGGCATGTTGGGAGATCGAATGGGTCGGCCAACTTCGGAGGGCGACGATCTCTCATCGGGGAAATATAGACCCGACTGGGCAACTGGAGGCGCCGCTGCCTTATCAGATTTCACAGACGACAAACACAAGTCGGATGAAGAAAAGTTGAAACAACAAGCAGCCAGCAGCTCCGAGGCTCACCGTCTTGTGCGAGATTTGACCCAGGATCATTCCCAAAAGCGTCGCAAAGGACGTGGAAGGCCATATCCGTATGCTGGTAGCCACTTTCAAGAGGAAGAAAACCCAACAGGGGCGGATGCGAGTTTGCGATATAGGTCCGGGGGTGGTGGCATCCTGTCGCAGTTGCTAAAGTTGAATGGTGGACAGCAACCTGGCCAACAGCGAGATGCCGGACAGGTGTCTCGGACATCAACCGATTTTTCGACTGGAACATCAACGAGTACAGCATCCGGGACCCCACAAAAAGGTAAACCACCAAAGTGGTACAAAAGACCCGCAAACACCTCGACGTCGACGTTGATCGGTGGTGGCGAAGGAGCTTACAGTGGCGCAAGTACTCCTGTTTCCAGTGAAGTCCTATCAGCAGCCTCCAAGCGACGTGGCCAGGAAGGAGGCGGCGACAAGCCGGGCCCGAACATGCGACTCGAAGATGAGATCCGAGTTACAGTCCACATCGCTGAGATCATCTGTCGCCAGCGATACATCATGCAGCTCTGCCGATGTTTGATGACTTTCGGGGCGCCCACTCATCGACTGGAAGAATATATGCAAATGACTGCCAAGGTGCTTGAAGTCGACAGCCAGTTTCTGTATCTCCCAGGTTGCATGATCATGTCATTCGATGATCCATCTACCCGCACGACAGAAGTGAAACTAGTCCGTGTAAACCAGGGCATTGATCTCGCTCGTCTATCAGACTCTCACCTCATCTACAAGAATGTGATTCATGATGTGGTCGGTATTGAGGAAGCAGTCCAAGAACTGGACGGTATCATGCAGAAAGATCCTCGTTATCCGAAATGGATAATCGTGCTGGTTTATGGCGTAGCCACGGCAACTGTCGGACCTTTTGCCTTTAACGCCAGGCCAATTGACATGCCAATAATTTTCCTCAATGGTCTTCTCGTCGGACTGATGCAACATGTCGCTGCACCTCGGTCTGTACTATATGCCAACGTTTTTGAAGTCACATCCACTGTCGTGACATCCTTCCTGGCTCGAGCCTTCGGCAGCATCCCACGTGCTATCATAGATGGCAAGCGAGAATATCTCTTCTGTTTTTCCGCCATTGCACAAGCTTCCATCGCATTGATCCTACCTGGGTTCCTAGTACTCTGTGCTAGTCTCGAACTTCAATCCCATCAAATCATCGCCGGGTCAATCCGGATGGTGTACGCGCTGCTATTTTCCTTGTTTATTGGCTATGGAATCACCGTTGGTACAACTGTCTACGGCCTAATAGACAACGGCGCCGTGTCAGATACATCATGTCCTAAAGATGGGGCTTTCAAGAACCCCTATGTTCAACGGTTTCCTTTTGTGACCATTATGACCGTCTGGCTTTTAATCATCAACCAAGGCAAATGGAAGCAGCTCCCACCAATGACAATCATCGCTTTATCAGGGTATATCAGCAATTACTTCTGTACGAAGAAGCTCGGATCCAATTCGCAAGTTGCGAATACAGTTGGCGCATTCACCATCGGAATCATGGGAAATTTATACAGTCGCTTCTGGCATGGCCACGCTGCTACTGCTATTCTTCCCGGTATCTTCATTCTCGTCCCGTCTGGGCTCGCCGCGACGGGATCCCTCATTACAGGCGTTCAATCAGCCGATGAAATTCGCAAAAATATCTCCCAGCATGGTGCCGCTAGCTCCGCTCCTGGTGCAGGCCTTTCATCCAGTAGCTCTGTTTTCAGCTTGGGCTTTGGAATGATTCAGGTTGCGATTGGTATTACCATTGGCTTGTTTATATCTGCATTGATCGTTTATCCATATGGCAAGCCTCGTAGTGGGCTGTTCAGTTTCTAGACTGTTAGTCTTTTATGCAAGTTGTCAATCCTTCATTTCTGTATCTACCTGCTTGAAGGGGTAGTATATCCGATCTCTCTCAAAACAAGTACAGAATGTTACAAATGAAAAGTCCTTTTTCAATTCCTCCAATTTCGAGCCTTTGGATACGATGGCCAATCGGGCAAGCCAAGTACGCCACCAACACTGCGAAATACCCAGCCCATTGCTATTAACTCACAGATTCTTGCTATGTCTCAAAGCTTCGTGTTAATGCAACCTGATGCAGAGATAAAGCCTGTCGGGTCCGATTGATCAGATGAATGGCAATAGACCGGTGGTCTACCGCATTTTGAAACCATGCAAAACGACATTCGGCAAAATTTACCTTTCAACAAGCACAGCCTGCTGCCAGTAGTGGCAGAGGCTATCGGAAACGTTGGTAGACAGCTCTAGATCTGTCTACAAGAGGCCAATTACAAAGTCGGATTCGGACCAGAGACATCGAGCCCACAATACTGATCTAGAACGTGCTACTTACGGATGATGCAGGCATTTGGGAATTGCCGTCTTCTATTTTTCACCATGCTACTAATTTAGGCACAGTTGGGGCACCAGTATCATTCCATGTATCGGTATCTTTTCTTTCGTAGTTGTAGACCACAACACAGATGGGACTAACCCACATTGGGACATAGGGATTCTCCCCTCCACTAAACTATCGTAAACATTGCTTCTGAGACATTGTGCTCTACTGAGGGTTAGCAAGCATAGTTGATGATTAAGATGCAGAGTCCGCTAAGGAATGGCTTCCCAACAGTGAGTATGCAATTATTCGGGTGTCTAGCCCCGTGCCAATAACAATAGGACAGTCCAAGTTCTCAGTTATGACAATTCCCCCAAAGCCCATCTCAAAACTCTGCAAAGGGCTTAAAATACCCAGGTCCCCCTCCCCATCACCAGAATGCCCTAAATCTGAAACCCTGCATGCATCCCTAATTCGCCAAGTCCGCCAAGAGCAAACAACACCGAATCGACCACAACGGCAGAAACAGTCAATAATCACCTAACGCCAGCGTCAGGACATGAGCGATCAATCACATCCTGCGATTTCGAGTCTCAGATCTCGTACCGTCGCAAAAGTAATTCTAGAAGCCAATCCACTAACTCTATACTTCATACCCAAAAGTCACAAGCCAGCCACGGGTTCCTTGGCGATCACCCGCATGTCTGCACGTCGATACGAAGAGGCTGAGGCTTCAATTCTTGGTACGTGAGGGGGTGAAAGTTAAGTTTGCGCAGGATGTTACCCTATGCTATTTCCTCTCGTGTTGAAGCAGGGGTTTATGCCCTTGTTCTCGTATTTGCTGGTGCTAGTACTAAACGTTTCGTACCAGGATTCTTGGCTGTCACCTACATGTCGGGGATAATCCGGGGCATTGCTATACTGGGTTTAGGGTTGGAATGTTTGTTACGCTTCACGGGGAAACACGAGGTTTGGAGTACTCTGAATGGCGGATGGTGCATTTTCGGGCGCTTTCAGGGCTGAGATGTTGTGCAAAGGAATTGTAACCATGCCTCTATGTGGCTTGGTATTAGCTATGGGTGCTGACAGGAGGTACACCGAGAAACCTGGACTGGGATTGAACACACGGAAAGATGCTGAGAGGGTGACAACCTATCTGTGTCAATCGAAGTATAAATATCCATTCAAATCCCTTCAAACGAGGACTATTCATCAGCTCAAGATCTCTTTCATACCAATCTACATACCCAACTACAACCGCAACCGCAATTACAACTACCACCCGAATCCAAGAACCAAAATGAAGGCCAACATCCTCATTGTCCTAGCAACCTTGACTGCCAGTATCCTGGCAACGCCAACAGCCAATGGGGAAGCCAGCGAAATTTTCGAACGCTCCGGTAGCTGCTACCATCCCAGCTCGTGCAGCCGCTCCTGGGCGGGAAAGTGCGAAGATTACTGTGGAAAGCGCGGATTCTCGCACATGACCGGCGATGGCTGTGGATGGCTTGCTAAGAAGTGTTGTTGCAGCAAGTAAATGGTATCCACACTGAATTGCCCTTGAAAGTCAATCCACCCTCGGAAAGGAGCAGGAAGTGAAGGGGGATGAGCTTTCAACCATGGGCAAAAGGAACGGAGAGAGGGGGGTCTATGCTTGTATCTCAAAACTCTATGACATAAAGACGAGAAATGGAAAAGAGAAATGAACTGAAATAGCGAACTGGAAGTCCGTCGGGTATGTAGCCATAGGTTCGCGTCATGGGCATAGCTTCAGCTGTAGCTGAGATGCTTATAGAGCATCTTTGGTTCTCAAGTAAGCGTTATATATGTGATTTCAAGCAGTCTTTTGCTGCTCCTATCTCCACTGATTCAACCAAATATCGACCTATTTCAACCTCAATGCAAGATTTAATGGGTGCTTTCATCATATTGGTATCCTCGTCTGGGCCCTCTACGTCGACCTGATATGAATCATTGACTGAATTGCCTTGGAGACCAAACAAGGGGCCCTGTCACCCTTTGTGAACGCCGCAAAGCTGGTCCGAGTGCTGGTTTTTGCTCTCTTTGGGTTGGAATGCGTCTCAATTCGTATCATGTATAGCTTATTCAAGTGCTGAGATCTGCGAAAAAAAAGGAATTTCTATATATAGCCTTCACTTTACCAGGCATCTGATGGTTCTTCTGCCAGTGCAGAGTTGGAAGGGTGTAATCACGACAGGGATTATGAGTCTTCTCAGACCCGCTCCTGGACATAATCTAATTAGTTCAACCAAGGCACCTGAAAATGTTCAAAAAACAGGCAAAAAACAAAGAGAGGTCAGGTAGTGGCCCAAACACTTCATAGAATAGTAAGGTCGCTTTCAGGCCTTCGTAAAGAGACTTTACAATACATCATTGCACTAGTACTCTGAACGCGTTTGTGACCATTTTATATCTCGCTGTCCTACAACACTTCCCGATAAGTTTTGCTCCTCCTCTTCAGCTAGAAAGAAAGAAGGTTCTTGTCAACATGGTCTCTTGTGATAAGGTAGACATTTTTTATATCCTAGGTATCTCCAATGCGAACTAGATGGCTATGTACCTATTCCCAGTTAGTATATCCGTTTTATAATATTTGAAGTCCTTGATGACTTACCCAATATTCACTCCCCATAGCAAGAAAAAAGCCCATACTGCTGGTTTGCATATTGCATAGCAGAGACTGAAAGATATGTGCTGCTCTCCTCGTATGTTCAAGTGTTTAAATTCATTGCTGTATTCCATGAAGTGATATGCTCTGAGATCTATGATCTATGAAGATTGAAGATGTTGAGCAATAACTTGACCATAAGCACGTGTTTCAGATTCTGACGTTTGTGTTACCACAGTTGAGTTTACCTCAAAGAGGATGAATGTCACAATGTTCAATTTTTTTGTTCTCATTCACTCACTTTCGACAAGTCGATCAATTGCATCGAGGTTTGTGTGTAGCTGGTGTGAACTTTGTGAGTCCTTGAACTTGAAATGCTCCGTAAAGGAGAAGAAGAAGAAGAGGAAGAGGAGGCGGAAGGAAAGAGATATATAAGGATGATGAATTCTCTAGGAATGGAAGCAAATTAGATAGGTCCGGGTAAAGGAGAAGCAAACAGCAAATAAACAGGGAAGGCCTGAAACCACCGACATGAATATCCTGACAAAGCCCACTCCTCCTAGGAGTTTCAATCCATTGTTCTTATTCAATATCATTTATCGGGTTACAACGAACTCAATATGATTACCCGGTGTTAGAAGTCACATGAGTATACCCAAAAGTAAATATCCAACGTATGAATTGAAAATTAAGTAAAGAAATGCCAAAGTGAGACTGAAGCATACCATATCTATGATGAAAATAAAAAAGAGAGAGACCGAAGTCTCACAATGCAATGAAGCAAACCACATCAACATGATGAAAAGGCCCCGCCAGCGACCAGCCGCCAGCATGTTTCAACACTCAACCTCAACAGCCAGGAGGGAGACAAACAAATGACGAGAACCAATCCCGGCTCATGATTAAAAAAATATTATATTAGACATGGTCTATCATATCAGCTTGAGGCTTTGCAGTCGTAGCCTTCATCTGATCTTGCCAAACGGCGAAGCCAAGTAATTCAAGGAGATGGCGTTCACGATATGTGAACATGCGGACGCCGGTAGTCTGCAAAAAATGTTTTGCGTATGTGAGGAGGAGTTCGTGATGAGATGTTGAGAGGGTGTAGAGGGTATCGAGGGAAATGATGATTTGGTCTGGTGATTCAGAGAGGACGGGAACCTCAGCCAGGAGGTGGCGAGTCTTTTTGTCGTGGGACAGAGAGTCACAGTATGAGTCCAGCATGCGTTCGCGGGCGATAAACTTTAGGATGGAGTCCAAGGAGTTGAGCTGGACGATTGCTTGGGGGAGGGATGTTTCGGGTTCCGCGAGACCTTTTTGCATGAGGACCACGTATTCCAGGTCTTCGATCAAGGGAGTAAGCTGTATATTTGCTGGGGAGGAATATCCCAAGATGGGACGGTCGTATCCAAGCTTTTTGCGCCAAAAGTAGTTGCACAAGATAAGGGAGATGATACATGGGATCAGAACGATGTATCCCCACCAACGCTCGGCAGTGACCATAGAAGCAGCGCCAGCAACAAGACCATTCAGTCCGTTGATAGTAGCATGCCACTGGAAGCGACGGAAACGGGTATGTAGACGACGACGAATATCACCACTTGGCTCGCGAGCATAGACAGCAGCATCATGCATACGGAAACGATGAATCAAACAGCCAGACCAGATAGCATTGAAAAGACCGAATAATGCAGCAAGCCCATTTCCAATATAGCCAGAGAGGAGGTTACTGGCCTTGTACACACGAGGATTCGCACCGCCAATAGCCATAAGGGTGCCAACCCCAACAAGCACAGCCCCAAAACCCATAAGCACATCCATAACAATGCGATCGACAATCTCGGTCCCAAGCTCACGAAACCCAACACTAATCCGGCAATCGATCAATTGAGCCAGCTCGGCATTTTTATCATGATACTGGCGCATCCGCTGCAAATGAGCCCGCTCCGCCCGGAGGAGTTTAACATTCCGCCAACTGAGACGATAATCTTGGATGGCAACGAACATCATGCCTAGAGCAAGTGTACCTCCAATACCCATAAGCACGGCAGCGAATTTCGGCACGGGGATGTCATTCCAGACATTTGCGGCGAAGTCGCCTGCATTTGCTAGCTCGAGGTATCCCACGCTTGCCAGTAGGCTGTTTCTGAATTGGGACTGGTGTAGTAGACGGAAGCGGCCTCTTCGTCGGACTAGGTTTACCTGGTAGCGGCTTGCTTCGAGGGATTCTTGCCAGGTGATGTCACTGGCTTCGCGGATCAGTTTTGGGACAACGGGTGGTGGGGATTCGGATTGTGAGAGGGAGTCTAGTTCCATTGCCCTGGCTTTGTCAGGAGCTAATTGGGAGAGGCTGGTTGATGTTGGGGTTATGAGGGTGTCGGAGGAGTCGGTTGGGATTGTCATTTTAAGAGTTTGAAGATGACCGTGGGATGGGGTTCACATGTCGATACTCATGTCTAGGCTTTGTACAACCGGTTGACGAGGAGGGAGGAACGTAGATGGGGGAGGAGGTGAAATAAGTAGAGACAGGGGAGTAAGAAGGTAAAGAGAAAAGAAGCCACGCAAGCGGAAGACCGGGGTACCAATAAAAGCCAAGGCGCCCCTGTGGAGCCAGCCCTGTAGGGCTGAAGATCTACGCACTTTTTGGTTATACGCACAACTGGGAAATTGCGCCCCACGAATTATTGCTATGTTTGTTTTACTGGTCTCTATACATAGATCCTAGATAGGCAGCAATAATAGTCTCAAACTGCGGTCTAATAATACATTTGGATCTATGCCTCTTTTGACTGCTTCAAATCATCCCCTGCTTTAGATGTGAGAGCTCGAATCAGCTTGACGCCTGTGTCTGCCGCCATATCGCGGGACTGTCCACTCCAGAACTCGGCCTCACGGTCGGATCCGCGAAGGACAGCATCTTCAGGCACCTCTTTCGTAGGAGAGGGTGTGCCGTCGGGGGAAGGCTCCTTTTCAGTGGAGCCGTATACATTTACCCGCTCGTTAAAACGCACGCGCTGGCGAGTTCGGCCATTGGGTGAGCCCCGAGAGCCAGAGCTAGGCGATCCAGATCTCGCCAAGCTCGCAGCGAAATAGCTCTGGCGAACAGCGTACCGACGTGCCTCTTCCCGTCGGATGGTATCAGAGAAGATCTTCTCGAGGGCCACGGAGGCTGTGAAACGCATACCCAGATACGCTTGCTCTGCGATGAAAACGGTTAACAGCAATGATGACAGACGCACCTCGTGGATCGGCCCCCGGTAGACGTGTACAATCGCTGCAGTCGAGAGAGTGCCCAGCCATGCCATGAAATCTAGGCCCAGCAGACAGGGACCAATGGAGTCCGCTCGGATTGGGGGCGGGCGCTGGCATTCCAGGGTAAGCTTGAAGAAGTCACCTCGCAATTCGAGCCAATTGTTCAACAAGAAGCCCAATGGGACAAGTGGCCAGGCGACTCCGAACAATGCTAGATATCCGAATTGCACACACATTTCAAGGATATCTTCTTCGACGTGGTACTCTTCCGCGTCAGCCTCACTACGCAGCCGGGTCAGGAAGGCCGCCTCATCTGGCGGGTCGATCAACAAAAGATCGGTGGCCTTGGAATAACTTCGCTTGCGCCCGAATTCTGCCTTGCGGTCGCGGTAGTTGCGCCATTTCTGCCATAAGATATGCTTCACGTATGGCAGAACAATCTCCTCGCCAAAGCTCAAAACCTGCGCGGTCATCGAAAGATAGATAACCTCCTGCTGGAAACGGCTTGTGTCTACTTCAAACTCTTTCTGTCCACTGAGCAGGTCGGCCTTGTACCCTGTCATTCGGAGGATGTCCAAGTGTGGGACAATCGAGCTGCCAAATGGAACGTAGACGTAGGCCGTCAGTATCGTCGGTAGGAAGGACGTGATAAAATTCATCACAAAAGTCTTCTGAGTTTGCGCAAGATCGTATTGGTCCTGCGTTCGGTAGTTCTCGTAATCGGTCAGGCGAGTCGCGATGTTGGTGAGGAACGAGGTGATAGCAGGTAATGAGAGCGAGAAGAGAATGGTCGGCACGAATTCGAGATAGCTCTTGAATGGGCCATCATACACCTCAGAGATAAACACTTCCGATGCAAAAGATGCGACAATCAAGGCTCCAAGGGCCACACTCGCGACTGACGCGAATGGAACCAAGAGCAATTGTCGCGAGAACTGCTTCCAGCCTGGGAAGACGTGTTTGATTTGTCCACTGATGGGATCTTTGACCTCCTTCTCCCAGACGTACTGCTTCCGGTTGACCTTTAATCTGCCAACACCCTTGACATCCCATCGTTGACTCAAATCGGCCTCGCGGACCTTCCAGTACTCGACGAATATAATGCACCAGGCGCATAGCACAGTTCCGTAAACGATGGAATACGGTCCCAAGTATGCCCATCCAACAATGCCTAGCGCCGCGGGTACGACGAGGAATAGCGAATAGCAGTGAATGAATGCGTAGTAGAAAGCGACCTGTAAATAGTCAGCCTGGCTCCGATACGGCTACTTCGGATTGAAGAGAAAGCGAATGTTACCTTTTCGCCAAAGAGAGCACGAATCGCATCCAGATCTTGAATTGTCAAGACAGTCTTCCGACTCCATTTCCGCAGCATGTCCCTACAGGCCTCTTGATCATGCAATGGGAAGGAGGCAGTGACCCGTTCCCATTTCCCGAAACCTGGCGTGATCCCAGCACCACCGATCTTCTTTTGCCAGGTGACAGCGTGGTAAACCGAGCGGATTTCCTCGGAAGGGGTTTCGGCGTCCGCAATTGCCGTCTCATCGCCATCCGGTAACGTGTGTGTAATTCCGAACAGCCAATCTTTAATTCTGCAATGCCATCAGCCATAATCTCAAACACCTCGCATGCATTCAAGACAGATTTTCTCACCTCGACTGGTGTACTAAATTCCCTAGGTGGTCCCGCGGTACCCGAATACACACCAATAGGGCAGAGCCGTGGCCGTGGCGTACCTGGACCCGAAGACCAGCTTCACTCAAATCGTGGATGAGGGTTCGGAACTCGGTGATGGCTTGTGCTTGGTCTGAGGTTGTTAAGCCAAGAATACCCAGGTAAAGCAAGCTTTATTTAACTCACCGATCTCGCCAAACTCATACTGCAGCACCCAATCGACGCCCAGGTTGTCATATTCATCATCTTCGTCCTTCTGCCCCGCGAGCCAAGACATGGTAGTTGGAGGGGGAGGGAGGTGTGAAGGAGGAAGAAGTGTGGGGGAAAGTGAGGTCAGAGTAATCGGCTGCTATAATTACCCACAGGTACAGCTTTCAGGGCTATTTTCGATTATCCCCGCCGATCCTAAAGTTCCCAGTATTGCCAGGTAACTCCATGTTGGTTCCCTCCTTTCCCCTTCCCCTTCCCCTTTGTTTCTTTCTTTCTTCACCCCTGAGCATACTCAATTATCAGGTTAAACAATCATGATCGCTGTTATGGAAAATGCCCGGCATACGCAGCCCCGATCCTTGTTCCAAGGCGCGTCACTAGGCTCCACGGGCCAAGCTTCAGCCCTACGGGGCAGGTTTTCCTAAACCCCCGATTTGCCACCCTTGACAGGCAGCAACTTTGAGATCTCTACAATGATCACCAGACCTCCTTACTTGCAAGATTTACTACTCCCTATCGCACCGATCGGCTCAAGTTCCCAATTCGCGACCGTGCAGGAAATGAGGCTGGCTCAAACTGCAGATTTCAAAGGCTACAGGGCTGTCTCCACTACCGACGTGTTCGCCACATCGGATTGGTGGGAATGGGCACTTGGCCTTGCTTTACAGGGCTGCATGCAGGCGAGGCGAGGGCGGGGGACTGGAGGGGGATTGGCTTTGTCGGTGAAAGACACGAGTAATCGTTTGACATTGTTTGATCCGATTCAAGATCCACCCTTTGTCGCTTACAAGGGCAAAAATAGGAGGAGGTACTTGGCAGGAGAAATGTTGAGGCCGAAATGCTGCTGCCTGACATGGGCGCCAAGAAAATCATCTTTTTGATTGCATTTTTTATGAAATGCTCGGCGGGAGACTAATCTCTTTTCATTTATTGGGCTCCAGTTGTGCGGTCAGAGGCAATTCTTGCATATTCATGCCAAGAGTGGAGGGAATTGGATCCATGACGGCAATTGTCGTTGTCCCAACCAATTGGCTCAGGCATCAGCATTTATAAAGGTCGGACTGCCACTGTCGATACTCTAAATGGTCTAGCCCAAGATTTGGGGCATTACCCGTGCATTTGGCTGGATATCCGGCGCTTCCATAGTCGCTTCTATATATGGGGAGCCGCGCTGCGACCGTCTTCATTCATGAATTGCAATGAACTGACCAATACTGACGTCAATTGATTTTGACTGTACATGTTAATATACTCCATTCTCATTCTCAATTCTTGACTATCCTACTTGACTGAACCGGTCATCCTCGTCCTTGGCGTCTTGGCTCTATGCTGGAGTCAGCCATCGAGATTATGGCTCGTCGATTCCTTCGCGAGCAGAATATCACCCTCGGCCTGAGCCTTGTGCTCTTTGTTTTCATGTTCTTACCCACTTTTCTCATTCTCGTGGCGGTCATCCTCTTCTTTGGGCTGGCTTGGCCAAAACTTCGCGGGTCAAATACCCTAGACCGCGAACAAGGGGTTAAAGATCGGCAATCGGAGGCTAAACAAGTATCATGATGGTATCGTATGATCTGCATCTGTGGTGATGATGACCCAGTTGACTGACTGTTCTGTAGGTGTCACACGGTGTCTAGGTTTATACTGAGCGTTATCACGGAGTTTCGGGGGCACTCGCAACAAAATCCTGTTCTTGTTTCGCGTTCATGGCCTTGACCAAATTTCCGCTCTGGTTTATGCATGTTTTATTGTAACATTAATGAAACTCTCCGTGTCTTCAATGCTTTTGGGTTCTTGTGGTGTGGTTCTATAAAGAAGATCTCCAGCACGATCTTGATCTACTCTACATAATGCCAACCAAGATTAGCCCCAGATTATGCAAGGATGTGTCATATATTCCATTCTAAGCCAAACCTGGGGACCTTGTAAAATGTCGATGCCTAACTCGGAACGGGCGTTCCGGGACCGAACTATGATATCTTCTGGGCAGCGGTCGAATCCGCTCACTGTTGAGTCATTGGCCACAAATTTTCAACCCCAGTCCACTTACTAGTTGGGACTAACGGGTAGGGCTGAGAAGTATTTTACGTGTGTTGGGTCACATCGCTCTCTCCTGCGGCATTTCCCACTTCCTTCCTCCACATCCTGGACCTCCCTATGACCATCACCAGGTACCCCCCTATCACAACTCTCCTCGAGATTCACTCCAGGAGAATTAGAATGGGCTGAGCATATTACATTCCTTCATCCATGAAAGTGCGAACACAAGGGAACGCATCCCTGTCCACAAAGTCGCCTTCCCATGGCACCAGATCACCGGTCTAGCCACCGAACACCAACAACCCTATCTCACTCATACAGATAGCAAAGATGGAATCTCCAAATGAAAAGAGGGAGATTATGGACCAGTCCGCTCCTGACCGGTTTAGCTTCTTCTCGTCTCAGACGAAAGAAGTCACCACCTCGTCGACCTGGGACGCTCTCTTCCCAGGTGGAAATCTTGACCATATGACCCAGGAGAAGCACAAGGGTCGTCCAGATCCCAATCAGCCGATCTGGTGGATTGATATCCGTGATGCCACCGAGGAAGATGTTGATGTCGTTGCCCAGGCGTTGTCCATTCATCCCTTGACGGCGGAGGACATCGCCATCCGCGAGCCTCGGGAGAAAGTCGACGTCTTCAAGAACTACTATCTAATCTCATTTCAAACATTGGTAGCCAACGCAACTAAGCAAGAACGGCCTGGCATTCCGGTTTCTGCGGCGCTGTACATTATCGTCTTCCAGTATGGCGTCGTCACTTTCTCACCTAGTGGTTCTGGCCATGTCACTCGGGCTCGTGATCGTATTTGCAAGATGCACGATCCATCCATTCTGACAAGTGACTGGGTCTGTTATGCAATGATGTACGTCACCCTTCCAACCCAACCCCATAATACACAAACTCCAAATGGAATACGGACTAAGATCCACTAGCGACGACATAATCGACAGCTTCGAACCCATGACCCGGGCCGCAGAAGCCGAATCAGAAGCAATCGAAGACCAAGTTTTCATCGCACGCATCGACGACGCAAAAGAACTAATCCCACAAGTCGACTCCCTGCGCAAGAGAATAACCCATATCATCCGCTGTCTGCACGGCAAAGTCGACGTCCTCAGTGGCTTCGTCAAGCGCTGCCAGTCACCCGACAAGCACCCAGTATTCCCAGACGGGGATCTGCTCCTCTATCTCGGCGACGTGCAAGACCATCTCGTCACGACCTTGTCCACTCTTGGGCATATCGATGAGATCATTGGTCGATCACAGGCGAATTGTCTGGCACAGCTGAGTGCTACGAACCTGCGACTTAGTTTGACTATTAATTCGGGATTGAGTAAGGTTACGCTTCTCGCTACAATTTTCGTGCCTTGTCACCTTGTTACCGGAATGTGGGGGATGAATGTTGAGGTTCCGGGGCAGGAGGATCATGGGCTTGGGTGGTTCTTTGGAATTATTGGTTGCTTTGCTGCGTTCATGGTTGTTTGTGTGGCTATGGCTTGGAGGTATAAACTTTTGTAGATGGTTGTTGATTGTTGGATGGCGATAATTCATGAGGTGGGTTTGTGGGAAAGAGTATCGGTTTAGAACATATTCATTCGCATGATTATATTATTTTGATCCTATTTACTTGCTGTCTAGCTGTACGATTTACTTCAATTGTATCTTATTCTCGATTATCATTTATGTGCTTTTTTGTATTTCTTGGAATGTCCGTATTTAATAACGGAGGTCTGTCTACGCCTTTTTTTTATTCTGTCTCACTTGGTGGCTAGCAAGTTTTCTCTTGGCTGCACACTCTTCTCTTTCCACTTCACTGCTCACGGAAATTCATGTACGCCCATAGAGTTGGTGTGATTAGCATTGTCACTTAGGAAATCGAATATATAGGAATCTACTACTGTTCTTCTTGGCCAGAATAAGACATAAGCTGAGAAGACTGGGCATACCTATCCGTCTGTCTGACGTAAAAGTCAAAGTTGATTTCCCCAACCAACTTCTTAACGTTCCTAGAACAAAGTCAGCAACAATCATAGCCGAAAATACTGGAGAAGAACTTACCCGATCAGATCCTTCAAACTGAAGCTCACAACTGACCTCAAAACCTCCATCGAAATGAACGCCGAAAAAGCTGGATCCTCGATATGCCGAATGCTGAGCAACTCCCCATCAATCATCTGCATCTGACGGGCAAGTGGGAAAGAACCCGGTGTAGACAAGTACGGCGGCAACGGCTGACCATTCGAAATAGCCGCAGACAGATGACACAACAAGGAGGTGATACGATGAGAATTGAAACCATCCGATTTCAACGCTATCTCAGCCAGCCTCCCCATCCACTGATCATCATCATCCGGGCCAGACTCCGAATTCTCGGAATCGACAACAACTAGCGCCTCGAGGTTCTGCGTCGTATGCGCCATGAGTGATATACTTGTCAGAATCCGCTAGATCTCAGCGATAATACTATCATATGTCTCCTTCGGGAATTTGCCACCGATAGGCGGCTCGAAGGTACTGAAATGGCTGTGGGCGCGGAGACCGGTGAGGAGCATCATTTCCTCTTTAAAGAGTTTGTGGCGGGAAGATTGGAGGTTGTTTGCAGGTGAGGATTTGTCTTGAATTGATCCTAGTTCGTTGCTGAGCCATAGTTCGATGGTGGAGTGCATGCAGCTGTAGAATTCTGCCAGGACGAAGAGGCTTCGGCCAAGTAATTTGCGGAGTTGCGATTTTGCTGTTATTGGGTATGGGAATATTACCCAGAAGAAGGAGATTGCGCAGCCTGCTGCTACTGCTGCTAATTTGTACGGGCCGAAGAGGTAGATTGGGTAGTAGGGTTGGCCGTTTGAGGTTGCTTCTGGGAAGCCGAGTTTTCGGACCTTGAAAATTTAGTTCTCGATTCATCTGTGGTAGGTAGGGGTGTATGTACCTGTAGCTCGTAGCCGACGATCACGTTCAAGGTGACTATGGAGATGACGCAGGCGCCAAAGTATTGCGGTACTTTGATGTAGAAGTAGTACTGCCGCAGTTAGTATTGCATTTCGTTGTGGCTAAGGTGCATATGCATACATACCCCGAAAACATTTGCGAGGTATAGGAAGACAATCACACCAGCCGTGTTGCCATCAACGATGTAACAAACAATCAAACTCAGAACAAGGGAAATAGTCGTCGCAACAATCCGAGCAACAAACCCAAACATGGTCTGTCCACTTGTGGGATTCATGCCGATGACGATGACAATCATAGGCCAAATACATCTCTGCCGAATGAAGAAGTCCTGAGTCTGATGCAAGAAAGCAAGAATCCCAACAGAAAATGAAGCAGCAGCAACGCGGAACCCAAATGCGCTTTGATCGGACTTGATGACGTGGGAAATGGTACGTAATATTATACTTCCTTTTTCCCAGATATTTTCGGGCAGGAGGTGTTCGGGATCTGGAAACCGTGTAGGTTGGGTGTGGTGGATAGTTGAAGGATCGACATTCGACGACTGTCTGCTAGCTGCTGGCGTCTCGGGATCTTTCTTGTCGGGGCTCAGGGACAACCATGCTAAGACGGACTTTTGTATAGGGAAGATGAGTTGGCTATGTTTTATAGTTCCGTCGGTGTGCTTGCTATTGGCGAACTGCACCAACTGCAGCGTCGCACTCAACATGTCATCTTGTAGATGGCCCATGTACAGGATCATGAAAAATTCCTGTCGAACATCTGGATCAGACGCGATGAAGCGCGATCCTGCCTCGGTGGAAGCGCCGGCAGCATGTTTCGCAGCAGCCGAAAATGCCTCAAGTGATGCCAGGGCCTGAGGTAAGTGTTTTCGACGAGAGTAATAGCGGTGCAACTCTTGTTCGAATCGCGCAGGAAAATCAGGCTGCAGTGGTGACAGAGTTTGACCCCTTGCTTCTTCATCATGCGGTTTTTTTTTGCTTGTTCAAATGCTTAGGCTTGACAAGCTCCAATGACAACAAAAAGTAGTGGAGACCGTGCTGCACAAGCTCCGAAGATTCGACGATCCGTTCGTGGAGTGTTTCAACTACCTTTTGAATCTCAGAGTGTTTTAATGTCCCTTCTGCTAGATCGTCAATATCGTCGGCTTCCTCGTCCCGCGTCTCATTCTTGACTATTGACTCTAGGATCTCCGGCAGCATCGACATTCCAGACAAGGGAAGAAGAAGGCTCCGGAAGAGATGCGCGATGGCACCCAGGTCCTCCGTGGACAGCTTACCCCATGCGACTTCATTCTTGGAATAGAAAAGATCGGCGTGAAGTTTGCTGTGCAACCCATTGAGTTTGGCCATTGCCCCCTGCAAATTCTTCTCTTTGGCTTGCAGATTGTCTTTATCATCGTTCTGCCCATCCCGTATACTTCTGTGGGTCCGTGCTCGTCGAAGGAGACCTCGTTTTTTGAATAAGCGTGTCTCTGAGCTCCCTTCGACGAATGATATCTGAGCTTGAAGGACTGCTTCAACTGATGCTGCGTAGCCCTTGAAATCATGGAACATGTCGCCCCTGCTGGTGATGGGATATATAAGCAGCGAAACACCAGTGGCAATAGCAAATCCAATCATGAACCCCTTCAGCAGCCGGGCTATGAAATCCAAGCCTGCGGCCAGCGTGGTGAATGTTCCCGCACGGGTAATCGTAACAGAAGCAAAGATAGAAAAGGCGACCATGGGATCCTGAAGCTCCATAGGTTTTAGAGCACGAAGGGCATTTGCGCCCCTAATAGTAGTTTTAGCATCATCGACATTCTAAAAAGACACACTTTCCATACCAGATCATGACAATGAGCCATATCGCAGCTACCGCGCAGGCATCACTGCTGAAATCATCTCTCGTACCGGGAGCAGTGTTGCGTTCTCTTCCTTTCACAGCACAGAAAACAGCAAGACAACATGGTGAGGCTGAGACGCAAACTGATATTAAGTCGAAGAACATGATTTTGGTGAATTTGGCGCGAGGCATGAGTCCCTGCGACAGGACCGATATCAAGGCTGAGAGGTAGCCGATCGTTGTCGTGATATTGGAGATTTCATCGCTTTAGTAGCTGTACTAATTTAGTATGAGGGTCATACTATCAGTTAGGAAACGTGAATGGCGATGGCGATGGTCGGTGCCAATGCGCCTTTCAACATCATGAGCATGGTGCGAGTGTCCAGCTCTAACTTGGACCACCATGCTGAAGGACTTATTTGACTATGACTGGCTTAGCATACGTGTTTCATGAGAAGAGTGAGCTTTGTTTACTTGGGTATCCCAGGCCGAGATGGCTTGGGCTTCTTTTCAGCCGTCGTCATTCTGCTCATCCGACAGCCCGCTACCCGGCATTCAGATATATATACCCAAAAGAAATTTTCACTTGAGGCAACAAGCAAAAGACACAGAGCCAGACATATAGAGAACAAAAAGGAGGAAGTAAAATTTCAAGGTCGATCAATTACACTATCGGATGCGTCTGCATGCGGATCGGGTTGCCGTTGGACCCGTGCCGAGTCAAGTGCCAACAACGAAAAAACAAATGAGCTTCAAGATCAGATCTTTAGATCGATTTCAAGATTACTTAATATAATTGAAGAAAATCGGCATCGTGTTGCGGCATTGCCTCCTACGAAGTCAGATACGCGCTTATTCGGATCGATCCGGAGATAGCAGGTAATGTGAATTCGAGTGTAGATTCAATATTGTATTCTGCACAGTTCAATTATTGGTTGTAGGTAGTTAATTTATACACTATGGCTACGGTTGATATGGGACTTGTGGCTGTCAAGAAGCGGAGTAGATATTTTCCGCCTAAGATCGCTTTTCGATCGCTCTGCCATGGGGGATGTTGACCTTTTCCGCAGTCAATTGTCAGGGAAAGATTCGCCATACTCGACCGACTGAGTTTTCTTAATCGATTTTATAACGGTTTCTATAACGGATTATATGACTGAAAATATTATCTTCGGTCCTCTGATTCAGAATCAGGAGAATGGCCCATACTGCCACAGATCAAGGTTTAGCAAATACAAGTGATGACATATTCATGCCTTTGTTGAAGCCATAAACCATATCCCATTCTCTCATGCAAGAAGTCACGATACACAACTTCATGTCCCACGCTGCAAATTCATGCAGCCATTGTGAGAGGCCTGTGTGGCTCGCCATAACAAAACCGATATCATTAGGATTGCATCTTGCTGGGTAGATGTAGGGCTGTTCCAGGAATAGAACATGAAGCCTGAATTTACGGCACACAGTCTCAATGGCGATAGTTTACTCCGTACTATGTCAGAGTCCAGAACCAACTGTGGCGACTGTGACACAGCCACAAGCCACAATTTGGTGCGGAGTTGTGGGGCTTCCAAGGATGTGGCCACGGATGTGCTTCCCAATGAGCGGGCGCAGCAGAGTGAAGCGAGAAGCAAAATGAAGCGAGATTTTCGTATTTTCGTATGCACATCGATGAATTTGCAGACTAAATGCAAATATGACCTCATTGAGACTTAATGAGGCACGACAGATACACGGTCTCAAAGGGCTGTCGCAACCATTTTATCACTGGTCCCCCGTCGGGGGCAGGGGATGGATTGCTTGAGATCCCAATTTCCTTCTCTGCGGGAATTTTGACACTCTTCCGGCTCGGACTCGGGATGAAATGCACCGGAGTAACGCAGTTGTGACAGGTCTCGAGCGATTCCTGATAGGCAAAACAAGAGCCCATAATGGTCTCGACGGGGATGGCAGTCAGCACGTCGATCGCAGCGAGCGTTAACCAATAATGCCGGGTTGGATGTCGGACACTGTCCTTAGTGGAGCTAAATTCACAGCCTATCAACCTTGGCAACCTTATAGGGAGAATCATTGAGAACGCGTCATTGGCCATGCTGTCTGACTGGGGTGGCTTTTCATTGATGCGAGCCCTGCGTTGACATCATGCGAGGGGGTGACGAGAATGTCAATTCTGGTTATAGGCGTGTATTCGTCAACACATTCTTTATCAAGATCACCAAGGATCCACCATGGAGACCAAGACACAATGAAACATCGTGTGTGGCGCGCTTGTTGGGCAAAAGTGGGAAATGTCCGCGCCAAGATGCCAAGCTCATAAATAAGTTTGGCCCCCCCTAATCCACTGACAGCTCTCTCTCTCCTTCAATCACTCACCTTCTCTCAAAGGCTTCTTTGCCTTCTTTCATCAGTGTTTTGTCCCTGTAATACATGCGTAAGTGATGCTGTCTAGCTATACTATCTTGGCTCCACTCGAACTAATCGTCCCCGCTTCTATAGACCGGATTCACTCGTGGGCGAAAGCTCACGCGTCTTCTCGCGGCCTGACAGATCAGTCCTCCCAACAGGCCGCCGAACCTACCGAAAAACCTCCTCCTGAAAATGGACAAGTGAATGTCCCCGTGGAGGACCCTACTACAGGGTCCGACACAGAACCAAACTCAAAGCCGGGTCTTCTGATTCGTATGCGAAATGGATCCGGCCGGTTTTACAACCACACCAAGGATGCTCTGTGCCACAGTTGGGTAAATGTGCTGCTGATCTTCGTGCCGGTCGGCATCGCCGTCGAGGCCGTGGGCCTCAACCCAGCCATCATCTTTGCAATGAATGCTGTGGCTATCATCCCTCTGGCAGGACTGCTCAGTCATGCTACAGAGAGTGTCGCCAGCCGTCTTGGTGATACAATCGGAGCTCTGATCAACGTGACCTTCGGAAACGCAGTAGAATTGATCATCTTCATTATCGCCCTGGTCAAGAATGAAATTCGCATCGTCCAAGCTTCCCTGCTTGGTTCTATTCTGGCAAACTTGCTGTTGATCATGGGCATGGCGTTCTTGTCTGGTGGTCTCCGCTTCCAGGAACAGATCTACAACAGCACTGTGACCCAAATGAGTGCTTGTCTTCTCAGTTTGAGTGTGATGAGTCTTCTCTTGCCAACTGCTTTCCACGCATCGTGGTCAGACAGCGGTGATGCCGACCACGAGACCCTCAAGGTCAGCCGAGGCACTAGTGTTGTTCTGCTATTGGTGTATATTCTGTACATTGTCTTCCAGCTGAAGTCCCATTCATATCTCTACGCTAGTATTCCTCAGGCTATCATTGACGAGGAATCCCACCCCGGTGTGCTTGCAGAGTTCATGAATAGCTCTTCGGAATCTTCGTCTAGCTCCAGTGATGAATCAGATGACACTACGACGTCATGGACTACCGCCAAGCGTATCAAGAGGGCCATGAAATATCGCAGACATCGTAAGTCGAGCACCAGCTCCAAGGGTACCACCTCTCGCGAGTCATTCAAGAAAAAGGCAATGGCATCCACCTCCAATGAAAACCAAAGCTCCATTGGCAACTCGATTGCCAGCAACGAACATGCTCTTGACATTGGCGACGAAGCCCACTATGATGCCGACAACGACGTGCAGGAATCTGCCATTCGCTCTCGTGACTTTGGTATCGCTCTTGACCGCATGGATAGCGGAGGAAGCCAAAAGTCCAAGCGTGACCGCAAGAAGCGCAGGGCACTCAAGGAACAGCGCAAGGCCGAGAGGAAAGCCGAGCGGAAAGCGCAGAAAGAAGCCTCCCACAGTAATTCCACGGAGCCCCAGCGGACCATGAAGGACTTCTCGTCTGCTCCTACGTTTGCTGGCGTTGAAGGCGTTGGAGAGGATCCTCAAAAGCGTCGTTCTCCCTTCGGTCCGATCCCCTCTCTGCTTTCCAACACTGTTTTCAGCTCTCAGTCGCCGGCCATGTCCCCTCGTACTGGGCCTGTCCGCCCTGGTCTGTCTCGCAGTAACTCGCTTCCTGCTCACATCAACCGTCCTCCGCCGGCCGGCAACGCGGTTCAATTTGCCCGTGGTGCCTCTCGTCTCACTGATCCGGTTGAAGCTCCCGCGCCGGACGCAACAGCCAAGCCTCAGGAACCTGAAATGTCCAGGACTGCAGCCGTCGTCATGCTTCTGTTGTCTACCGGCTTGGTTGCTGTTTGTGCTGAGTTCTTGGTTGATGCTATTCCCGAGATGATTGCCAGCTCTAATGTCAGCGAGGCCTTTATTGGTCTCATTATTCTGCCGATCGTGGGCAATGCAGCTGAACACGTTACCGCTGTCAGTGTCGCAACCAAGAACAAGATGGACTTGTCAATCGGTGTTTCGGTTGGTAGCAGTATTCAAATTGGTAAGTCTTCCATGACTCTATCACAAGCTGTCCTAACCTGTTTCAGCTATCTTCGTCACTCCCCTGGTCGTTATACTTGGATGGTGTATGGACAAAGACATGTCTCTCTACTTCACCCTGTTTGAGACCATCTGTCTGTTTGTCACTACCTTTGTGGTCAACTTCCTTGTTCTGGATGGCCGAAGCAACTACCTCGAAGGTGTGTTGCTGGTGGCCGCTTATATCATTATTGCGTAAGTCTCGATGTTTTCTTCTGGATGAGCTATCACTAACAACTTCTTAGCCTGTCTGCTTTCTTCTACCCAGACAGTGATGCCGCTAGTACAATCGCCGGCTAGGCTACATAGTTAAGCCTGTCTATTGGCTTGCGCTCGCCGTGCGTCCATTCTCTAAGGCAGCGCGCCAAGTCCATAGTTTATGATCGAATTTGGAAGTCGCGCCCGCATGGTTGATAGTTCCCACGGGTATTTCGCTCGCAATTCTACATTTTATGAGGTTACCATTACAATACACTCATTTGGAGGACAGGTGGCTAGCGCCCCTACCTACCGCATGCATTTTATCTCCGACATTTGAAACGATTGTAACCCCCGAATTTCGGAGAATATAATTCCCCTCTCTAGCCACGTGTGTAATCATTAGTGGCTGTGTCATCTGGACTAAGCCACCTAGTGGCTGGGTATACATTAGCGCGGAGTATCTGCATCTTCTTCTGTTCTCTTCCCTGACTTCTCCACTGTAGGTGGGGTGCAATCAGTTGGCCCCTATTCTCTCCCCTATTCTATGGGAAATCTCCAGGGGTTAGGGGATCTCTTTGTCCAACAGTCGATGTTCAGGAACCAAAATAGAGAGTGGAGTAGCCAGTCAGGAGTTGATCACCTTCAACCTCAAATGCAACTGACATGTACTAAGTGACACACAACACTTGGCATACTGACATACTGACACTTTAGATCATTCGTCCAGCTGAACAGCCCTGCAAGGCGCGAAATTCCCAATCTGACCACTGGTTACAAGCCACTCATGGGGCTCTTGATATCGCATCTGCCTAGAGGGATTAAATGCCGTCAACCACAGCGCTAACTGACATGCGGTGGGTACATCTGTCTCGGTCCTTTCGGTTCTTGGCGGAACTGTTGATGTCTACAAATAAATTGTTTAATTGATTTCTTTCGCTTCCCCATAAAATGGCCTCACCTCCCACCTTCACTTCTTCTTTCTCCTTCTCCTCTCCCCCCCCCCTCTCGATCTCTCCTCTAACCCTCACCCAATTCATCATGTCGTACGCCCCGCCTTACGGAGACCCTTACGGCCGCCCACCCGCGGACCCTTACGGTCGTCCCCCATCAGACACTCCCTACCAACAACCCTACGCGCCCTACGGCGCACCACCCGCAGATCCGTATGCCCGACCCCCGTCAGACAGACCGCCCTACGAACGCGGCCCCTACAGTGCACCTCCACCAGGCGCTCGTCCCCCACAGAACCCCCCACCTCCACTTCCAGCCGGCTGGCACCAGGAATGGGAGCCAAGCACCCGCCGCGCCTTCTGGGTAGAGGACGCCACTGGCCGTTCCCAGTGGGAGACACCATATTCTCAGCCTGCCTATTCGGGCTACAATGATGGTTCTCGCAGTGTTCCTCCTCCCGAGCCTCAGGGTGGCTACTATGCGCCGCCTCCCGGTCCCCCTCCTGTCAACTATGATAGCCGTCCTCCTGGCGGTGGCTATTATGATCAGCAGCAGCAGGTCGAGCCTGAGAAGAAGAGTAGCAATGCTGGCAAGTACCTTGCTGTGGGTGCTGCTGGTCTTGCTGTTGGTGGTCTTGCTGGTGCTTATCTTGAACATGAGCATGGTATGTTCATATTTTCTTTTGTTTCACAATTGATATTATCACTTTGGCTTTTATTCGAACTTCATGCTGACTTCTTTCTCCAGATGAGGATGAGGAGCGCTCCGACCTCGAGGAGGCATATGAGGATGGTCGTCGTGATGAGGCCTATGAGGAGGACTACGGCAGCGACTAAGGGTTTCCAGTTGCAAATTGACAATTTCTTGAGCGAGCCTTATCCTTTGTTTCATTCTTTACCACTACTTCATTGCTAGGACTGCATTTCGCGAAGGCGATCAATAGGGTTTACATCGATATTGCATATGCTATTGCATTCCTTCAAAACAACACTTTATCCAAACTAAGCTTTACCTCGTACCCAGCAGATCCCAAAACCTATGACTTCCAGCACAAAATCTCCCCGTGCAGCAATCCAAACCAAGCGTCCTTATCCTCAACGAATCCCCTCCAACCCTGCGCAATAGCCTCCAAATCACTAGCCTTTGCAAACCCCTCCTCAACAATCCTCTGGGCAAACCCAGACTCCCTAGCCCGCCCCTCCATACTCCCACCCCAATACTCCCGCTCCTGATCACTTCCAAAACACCAAGCCCCAGCACCCCTCTTAACATCCCCCCTCTCATAACCGGCCTCCAAAGCCCAACAATGAATCATCCGTCCAGGATGCGGATGTCCCCCACTAGCCCTCTGCATCCGCTCGGTAACATCCCTCCACAACTTAATCCCCTCATTCTCAGGATACCAACTCAACTCCGCAGACTCACGACAAGAAACCATACCCCCAGTTTTAACAACCCTCTTCATCTCCCGCAATGCAAGTACAGGGTCAGCGATATGTTGTAGGACCTGATGCGCATGCACGATGTCGAAGACGTTATCTTCAAAGGGCAGGGAGTGGATATCCCCTTCCTGGAAGGTTATGTTCGTTACACCTTCTGCGCTGGCCAGGGCGCGTGCTGAAGGGAGTGGGTCCGAGACGTATTCTACGCCTGTGACGGATCCCTCTGGGACGAGTTTTGCTAGGGAGACGCTTATTGACCCTGGCCCGCAGCCTATGTCGAGGATTCTGTCGGTTGGCTTGATGTATGGGATGAGATGGGGCGCTGAATTTTGGGCTGTGCGCCAGCTGTGGGTTTGGAGGACTTTGCTAGAGTGGTCTGTCGTGTAGACTTGGGGCATGGTTGTGGTTGCTGATGGTGGTGGGGGTTGGCTTAATATAGTTGCTTGGGTAAAGTTGGTTTGGCTTACAGGTTTGCTCTGGCCAAAGTAAATATCCAATGGGTGTTGTCGTGTTGTAGAAAAGTTGGATTGGAGCTGGTCTGAGCATTTTTATAGTTGCGGGAGCAATTGGGTTTGGTTCGGAGTTCCGAGGTGGCGATCTTTTCCCTCTATGTCGACGTAGAGCTCCATGAATATCAGCATTTCCAAAAAAGATTATATATCTTGTTTATTTTAGTTGCTTTTTTATCTTTCCTTACAGTCGATAATCTGCATACGGTCATCGTAAGATAATCAATACTATTTATTGTACGTGCTAGCATGCGCGATATTCGGCAGATTTGAGCTGCAACGTGTTCGACGAACAGTTATTGTTATGTAACTCCAATACGAGGTCTCTTCCTTGCTTTGTTTTGCCTACTATGATACATACCTAGGTCATTGTTAGCAGTATATCTATCATTGCTCTCATCGATTATCATGAGGTCATGTGTCATCACATGACCGCCATAAATAAAGGACTAGAATCACCACCTTCTCTTCCGTGCTCCTCTATCTACACCTACAAGATTGACATATATATTTAACTATCATGATTTCTGGGATGCAGCTCTGAGACATAACTGATCTTAGAGACGGTTCGGATGAGGCTAACTTCGGCGCGCTGAAGTGATATAAAAAAGCGTTCACTTCCACGGGAACCTCAAGAGTATATATGCACAATCTAGGTAATCGCGCATGAATGAAGCAAAACTCCCTAATTCGCGGCCGCGAAGAAGGGGGTTAGCTCCTCCTCGGAAGAAGACTTGCTCTCAGTGTGAGAGATCGAAAGTGAGATGTGATCTAAAAAAGCCTACTTGCTCACGTTGCAAGACTCGGCAAACAAATTGTGAATATCCGGCTGGGGTGTATGTGTCAGTTGACACGACATTCGACAAGACTTTATCATCGGATATTCCACCCGCGTCAGTAGCTACTGACATTCAACGCCCTCCTTCCACATCGACGGGTTCTTCGTCGCAAGTTGCACTGAAGCGCACTGACGACTCTTCTTTGATTGAAACACATTCCTTTCACAGCCTCTACAACTCATCTGACATTGCCCCGTTTTCAGTCAAGATGGAGAACCATAGCGAACTGATTGAGCTACCGATCGCCCCACCAGCTGATTGGAACAAGCCAGACTTGGATTTCGAGAACCAAGATCTCATCCCAATGCCCACTGCCGATGATATTGCGACACGCTGGACACGTCCTTACCTGACCATGTCAACTGAGTCAGCCCCAAAGGATCTCATGCCCTTTACCATCGACTCTATCAAGCGCCATCTCAAATTCACGATTTCGAAGCTCAATTCCTACGTCGCCCCTCACTACATTCATTATGGACAGTTATCGAGCGGTATCAAAGAACCATTGGTCAAGTGCTTCCGCCTTGTTCGCCTCCTTAACCACGCCAAAGAGGACGTCCACGCTATTCAGCGCGAAATCCACCAAGAGATGAAGAATATCTACGATCAGGTACATTAATCCCAGAGGGTATCCAGAACAAGCTAATACCTGTTAGGGACCACAGCCAGGTGAAATGGATCGCCTGTGTACTTTCCAGGTGTATCTCACCTACATGATTGCACTTTATCTCTCCCCTTTCGATATCTACGCCATGTCCCAGCACGAAGAAGGTGAATTCGAATCCCATGTCAGACTCCAGGAGATAGCTTGTATCTGTGCCCGGACTGGAATCACATCGGAGGCCGAGGAGTCCAACACCCGACCTACCTGGGAATCTTGGATCCTGACCTCTGCCAAGCGCCGGACTCTTTTCACAATGTATCTCTTCACCAACATCTACAACTGGAAAAAGGGAATCCCGAACTACGTGGCGGAAGAACTGCGCGGCGCTTTTGTCCCAGATGGTACTGCCCTATGGCGACGACACGATCGCACAGCCTGGGAACAGGAATATAATGCTCATTTGCTTCGCTGGTCAGATGGAAAACTTGCGATTTCAGAACTTTGGCGTGATGCCGAGACCGGCTCGGCGACTCGACGGGACAGAGTCGACCGGTGGTTGGAGAAAGCCGACGAGTTTGGTCGGGAACTCTTTTCAATTTGCGCCCAGATTCATGGGTACTAGATCGGCGTTTCACTCAGCATGGGAACATGGACGGTGAATAATTGCGTTGCGGACTTCAATTCGGGTGGTACTGGATGGCATATGGCTTTTTTTTGATCTTCATTTCGTGATCGGCGTTGCTTTAGTGCGTATACATAGCAATCTCATGTTGAGGATGTTTGGAAGGAAGGACTTCGTCTTTTAGAACCTGAAGAAAAGAACTACATCGAGAGGCAGTGGATGTTGAGCTCAGGGAGAGGCATTCAGGGCTTCTCGTTCGGAACGCGGATGTATACACCATGGAATGGATTAAGAGGTTGAGGAAGATAAAGAGTAAGCAGATGAATGTTGAACTACTTTCTTGGACCGTTGCCGGGAAAGTCTTGGTAACTACAGAGCAGTCTGTTGCTAGTCTTGAAAGCGTGAATCAATCATCGAACGTCACTAATGTTTCTGCCTATAGTAAAGAGAAATAATTGAATGCAAAGATAGATCAGTGTTCGTATGCTGCAGATCTCCCACTAGATCTGTATTGGCGGAATTATCATCCTCATTAATCCAATGCATCACTTCTGTTTCCTCGCCTGAGCCAATTGCTCATCCGCATCATCAAGAATAGCCTTCAAAGGCTCCCTAGAAGCCATCCGCTCAATCCACTCCTTAGCATGAGGGAACTCTTCCGCATTGAATCCTTCCTCAGCAAGGGCAATGTGAGCACCACGCTGCCAAGGAATGAAAGCAATATCAACATAAGACATCTTATTCCCAACCAGCCACGGCCCATCACCGAGGTTCTCCTTGTGAGCTTCCTTCTCCTTGGCAAGCCACTGGTCTAGTACACCAGTGACACGCTTAGCCTCATTGACATATCGTTCGACGGCACTGTCGATCCTTTCAGAGTGGTACATCTTGAAAAAGAAAGCTTGGCCGTAATAGGGTCCCTGACCAGAAATCTGGAAGTGGAGGAATGAGCGGGCGAGCTCGGCTTCGGCGCTGCGGGGCGTGAAGCTCAGCTTGCGGGGCTCTTGGGTGTCATAGCGTTCAATTAGATATTCGATGATGGCGCCACTTTCCCAGATTGTCAGGTCGGTGTTTGGGTCGTGGATTGAGGGTAGACGTCCGTTGGGGTTGATGGCTACATATTCTGGGCCTTTGACGTTCGCGAAGCCGACCGGGACGCTTTCAAAGGGAAGTTCGAGGACTGTGAGAATGAGGCCGACCTTGAGAGGGTTTGGGCCGAGAATGCCTCCGTAGAGCTTGATGGGTTTGAGAGTTGAGGACATTGTTAGGTCTTGTTTTGTGCTTTGATGATGTGCTTGAGTGTTACGATGATGCTATCTGGAAATGATGTTGCTTTATACTTCGTTGCTTCTCCACTTTAGCCTTTCGTGTCGGTCCTATTGTGTTCCAATGCCATTATTAATCCGGGGCTTGGAGCATCGGCTGATTACTCAAGCTGACCAAATGTTTCCAAGGAAAAAGTACGATTTCCCCATTATAGCTTCGTCCGCGAACTCTCGGCCGTGGTTCGCCCGTGATTCGTCCGCATTTGCAAGGCTCAGCTTATTCATCTGGGGGCGGCTCGGTCTTTACGGGGGCCGAGTTACGAGGGCCCCCACTTGCTCCTCCCAACACTCGATCTATAAACAAGTTGGTTAAAATGGGATTGGTGAGATAGAATGAGACGCGCATGACTTCAATTGGCTATCTCAACTCTTTTTGTCATGGATTTGGAAACAATTCTTGTGCTAGGCGCAACTGGTAGGCCTCACCACCACAAGACAAGACCGGTCTAATTACTCAGGCGCTTCTGGTCTTGCCTTCATTGAAGAATCGCAGGCTCTCCGATCAGCTTTATTCAATACACGTCCAATCACAACATCCATAACTTAAGGATCCAAGCATCGGCGAGATCATAATAGAAATTATATGCAGTGCAGTATTACATCTTTTTTTCAGTCCATCGGGTCTTTAGCCTTATCATGGGTATCAAACCCCAACGACGACAAGTCCCACATCACAAATGTGAGTGTCGATTGTTGTTTGCCTTATGATACCCAGAAAAACGAATTCCTTTACATGCTGACATCTTACTCCATATGTCCTGTCAACATGATAAGTCGGTCTCCTACATTCCCGGTGCCCTAATCACGGCCTGTTCATCTGAATATGCTCATTTCAAATCCAAATTCAATTCAATTCAATTCAATTCAATTCAATTCAATTCAATCCAATCCAATCCAGTCCAATCCAATTGAATTCAACCCCATGATCAAAGTTTAAGTACACGCAACAAAGTTGTTTCCACTAGCACCAGTGTGGGTAATAACTCCAGCCAGCTGGTCGTTATTGTTAAAGACAACACGGTCCGCACCGGGTGAACCACCAGAGTAGACCTTTCCACTGCTCAAAATGGGGAACTCGTAGTATGTTCCCGAGACAGGGAAATCGAAGCCCTCATAGTTGTGATAGACGTGTGGGTACGAGTTCTCGGTGCTGCCGGCAGAGTACAGGTTGTATCCGGCGTTGCGGGCGGCGGAGACGGCGCTGCTGGTGTAGCAGACGGAACCGCAGGTTGAGGCGCAGGCACGGGCTTCAGCATCTAGTGGTGCCGCGAGGGTGCTGGAGACGAAGACGGCCGCGAGGGCGAAGAGCTGTTTCGGTGTTAGTTTGTTTTCTCCTGGGAGATTCGTGTTGGGGTGGTACCTTTGTGTACTGCATCTTGGGATTGGGTAGACTTGGTGATTGGAGGGAGATGAATTGAGATGCTCGGCTGGTTCTTGGATTCTTCGTCTCTGCTGGAGTTCAATCTTCTGGGGATACAGCCTTTTTATATAGACCCGCCGGCGGAGCAGGAGACATCTCCGATACATCAATCAATCCAATATCGAAGCGAAGCATCATCTTCATGCACTGCTACATTCCCCAAATTGAAACATGGACAGCCTCATTGGTGAAGAAGTCATGCATAACAATTCCTCCGCCCGGTTAATTGAATCCATACCAAGTTAGGAATCACCGCCGATCTGCAGAACCGTCGGTATAAAACCCGGAACAAAGAAACCTAACATCCTTGATTGGCCGAACCAACACGACGTGAAGAATTGCACGGTGATAGGGTTTCTGCAATTCCTCGCGCGCTATCCGAATAGCGATCGACACGTTTCCGGGCGCTATGTAGTTAGTTAGACCCTGACTAGACTCATGCAGCTCAGATTAGCGCAGGGGGCTCCCTTCTCTTTATCCGGCCAATAGGAGCCCTATCTGTTGCCCACGATGTTGATCTAACGGCCAGTTCTTCCGTGGCTGTTGTGGGGTGAAGTATCGGGTTGTCGGCATCTGCGAGGAATCGGGTTTCGAGTATGTAAATTGAGATTCTAGAGCTTCGCGTAGGGGGTTTGACTCCACAAGACGTGAATCCTTTCCGCTTTCTCGGTCGCATTGTTTCTGCTTGGCATAAAGTGTTTTCCCCTCACTTTTGCTCCGACGGTTTCCGTGCTGATCGAAGTATATCATTTGGGACTCGGGAGTGCCCGATGGATGCCAAGTGGACTTCATGGCTCTGAACACCACTTACTCTGTATTGCTTTTGGTGGTTGGACTTGCTATCGTGCTTATCACATGGCCTCGGTAAAGTTGGAAATCAATTTGCAAAATTGAATATTGCCATTCGGGTATTGTTCACGGCAAGGGATAGCTTCTGTTCACCCAATGACTATCGAATAAATGTGAGCCCACCAGCTCTTCGCTGGTTTTGGAGTCTCAGTCTCCTCAGAATCTGCAAGTCCTCTCCTCCCAGTCCAGATATCCATCTCCTCCAATCTGACAAGCTTGGTCTTGTTCCAAAACTTGTAAACAATGACGAACAGCACAAACACTGGAAGCAGGATATAGTTGATCACAAAGTCGGTTGAGCTGAAAGGATTGAGGAAGCACGTGTAGCCTTGGAAGAAAATCAGAAAAACATTGGCTGCCAGCGAAAGGTATGTTCCCCAGGGGTAAAAGATCGCTTGGTATGGGAGTCTTGATGGGTCTTGCCCTTGGACGACGAGAGCTTGACGGAAGCGGATATGGGCAATTCCGATCACTGACCAGACGATGAAAGTAGCCACTATAAAGAGTCTTTGATTAGCGTGAGTCAATTGGGGTGGTGAATGGCTGCTTACCTCCTGAGAGTGTAATCAAGGCCGAGTAAACTTTTCCAGCACTCGATGACTGTCCTAAGAACACAATGCAAGCAAAGACGTTGGTAAATATCAATCCAGCCCATGGCACCCCCAGCTTATTGGTACGACCGATGAACCGCGGCGCCTTTCCATTTCGGGACATGAAGAGCAGTGTTCGCGATGCCACATATAGGGAACTGTTGCCTGCCGAGATGACACTGATCACGATGAGGGCATTGATGAGATGGGCAGCCGGTAAAATGCCGGCATCTTGCAACGAAATCGTCAACGGAGAGCTGGCCGTCTTGGAGGTAGACCCTAAAAGCCTGTCGTCGTTCCATGGGATGAGGATTCCGATAAAAAATATAGTTCCTAGTTATGGATCAGCGGATGTCACATTTGCGTCGTCCATCACGTATACTTACCAATATAGAAAATCAAGATACGCCAGAATACCTGCTTTATTGCCTTTGGGACCGCTTTCGCCGGATTCTCTGACTCACCAGCGGTGATGCCAACCCTAACTCATCATCAGCTTCATCGCACGGCCCATCGTTGCGACACTCGGGAACCCACATTTCAGTCCCAGCGTATAGTGTCCCCGCAACCACAAACGTCTTCGCCACGCCATTGATCGAATCCGCAAATGCCCCGGGATCATGCCAGTATGTAAAACCGATGGTGCGAGGTCCAACTCCACCAGTGCTGATACAAATCGCGAGAATGAAGAAAACGATCAAGGCCAACACTTTGATACTGCAGAGTATTAGTTAGCACAATCCGCACCTCCCATTCAAATATCCGGCAACTCACAGTGACAACCAGAACTCCATTTCTCCGTATGCCAGAATCCCAAGATTAGACAGCGTAAGGAACATAACCCAGAAGATCAGAATCCATGCCCATTGAGGTACAGTATCGGTCCAATACCCAATAACAAGCGAGATGGCATTGTATTCGTTCGCAAGGACCTGACAGCATTCAACATCAGCATGCGATCACATCCATACCTCTCACAACAACCAATCCATACAGTAACCCATAAATACCAGTATGCCCAACCCAACGCAAACGCAAGCGAATCATCAATGAACCGTTCCGCATATTCAGTGAAAGACCCGGTAACAGGAATGAGAGTCGCCATCTCGCCCAGGGATTGCCTATACACACCCATCAGCATCAGCATCGATGATCCCCATCTGAGTATCAAGTATGCTTTAACCAACGTACATGACGAAGAAGACAATAGTGCCGACAAGTGAAAAGCTGATAAGAGCTCCGGCGGGCCCACCCTCATGCAGCGCATTGCCCGAACTGACTAGTAACCCGGGGCCGATGATGCCTATGAAGAGGTCAATCAATGCGTCCAGAAAAATAAATTGCGGTCGCATGTGGGCGCATGTCATACCTCCGATCGCGATCATCTGCAAGTGTCGGGATTTAAGCTGCCGCTTCAATGGCGCTGAGAGGGGGTCGTTTGCTGTTTCTTCATCTTGTCGGTTGCTCTCATTTCCTGTTTGAGAGCTGATGCTGTTGCTGGTGTCATCTTTGAGCGGACCTCTGTACGTGACGGATGTGTCGCCTTTGTCGATCATTTGTGGGTGGTTTGTCCTATACTCAAAGGACGATGTTCACTTTGGAGGATAGTATCAGAGGGATGAAGGAAGTCTCTTTTTTTTCTTTTTTCGCTGTCACTGGCTTTCCTAGCGGGGCTTGGAATTGAAGGTATTCGGGATTGTCATTTGCTGGTGATGTCGTGATAAGCTGCGGGCGCATCGTTATCGGGTGGAGCTCATTTGGCTCTGACGATCTTTGGAGATAACGGAGTCGGGGGAAAGGTGTTGTCCGAGTATGGAATTGGAGTTGAGATCTATTGGAAGAAATGATGGTGCATATTTTGGCGGAGGGCTTCTACGCGACCGCGTTTGTATAGACTCGTGACCAAAGCTGGCAGAAACCAGACATCATGTACCGCGGGACATTTATTCGGAGAACAAGTCATTGCAACGAATACAACCAGCTACAATTATGGTACTTGTCCCTGCCGCCTATCTATGTGTCTGTATTTGTACCTGATTGTACCTAGATGGGTGCACGGACTACGCCACGTGGGGCTGAAAATAAGGTTATCAACTATGAAACTGACATTCATGAAGTACATTATATTGGGGATTTAATCAAAACAAACAGACGTCGTGGGATGAAGTGGCTCAGATCAGGAACAAGTGCTCTTCAGAGTGTGTCAGATCGCATTGGTTATCATCATCGTCTCCCACGGTCTTCAGGGAATCAACGAGTGGTGCAGAGGAATTGGATACAAGACGGGTGAGAAAGTAACAGCTTATGGGGTGGGCTCTGAATCACAAGGCTGTGTCTTCAGAGATTGTCAGGCCTTGGTTAATCATCATAAAATCCCAATCCTCGAGGGACCAACGGAGGGGTGAGTGAGTTTGGATAACAGAAGGGGTGTAAGACGCACGATGGGGTAGGTGGACCCAGAGTATTGGAAACTTGTGTCTTCCGAATGAGTCAGAAAGAAAAAACTACCTCATCATAATGTCCACGGTCTTCAAGAGGATCAAGGGAGTGGTCAAGGGGATTGGGGAAATGTGAGAAGGGCGTGCAACAAGCAGGCACAATGGGGTAGATTGGCTCATTCAATCTTCAAATCTCTTCAAAGTGAGTCAGCAGCTCTCTTTGTATCTTCAAGGCCGTAGAATTCAAGAGTGTCAACAGAGTGGTGAATTGGGAACTGTAGGGGATGGGATAAACTGGCATGATAGGGTAGATGGTCTCAGAATGGCGTTAAGGTTTATCTTTCATAGTGGTTCAGTATGAAGAACAAGTCTTCATGGTACCCACGGTCTTGAAGAGGACCAACCGATTTGTCAAGTGATTTGGGAACATGGGAAACGAGTGCAGTGAGGAGTGGGGATCAACAATGGGGAAGTATAAGCAGTAACTGGGAACGAGGTGGGCATTGGTTGCGAACAAAAGAACCGCTCAGAGTGTAGTGTCAAGTCAAGTCCTCAGAGCAGTCAAGCTTGTAGGTCATGTTGTATCTTCATCGAGGTATCATCAGCATTGGACAAACAGATATCGTGGAGGTTGCAGAATGGAGAATTGGAATGAAGCAAACGAGGGCTGTGGGATAACTTGTCTCAGATTGGTGGTAGTGAGGTTGTCATCAAGATGATCAGCTCTGTTCTCTTTGGTCATCATCGACCCCACAACCCTCGAATGAATCAATGATCCAAGTACAAAAATGGCCAGAGAAAGACCAAGCAAGAAAAAAAGAGAAAAAAGTGTTACATGAGTAAGAGAACACAAGAAGAGCTGAGCTCAAAGTAAGACAAAAAGCTGCATCATAGGAAAGAAGGAAGAAAAGGAAAGACAAAATTCCTCAACAGAAATAAGAATACAAATGAGAAGACAGCAGTAGGCAAGAATGGGGCAAGGAAATACAAAATAAAGTGACCGACAAAATCCCTTCGAGCCCAGTTGATACAAAAGCCAGCATGATACGAGAGATGAGTGAGCAAAGGAAAAACAAAAGGGTTCAAGATATGCAATGAAATGAAGCACAAGTAAAACAAAACCCAGCAACACAGGAAAGAGAAATACAAAGGAAACAAGAAATAACAGAAAGAAAAGAGAGAAAGGAAAAAAAGAAAGAGGAGCAGGAGAGGAAGAAGAAGAAACAAAAGAAGAACGATGTCACGCATCATGAAAAATTAAAGAAAAAAGGGCAGAGAACATGAAAGTTTGCAACAAGGCATGGGGAGAGAGAATAGAGGAAGAAGGGGAAGAAGAAGAGGAAGAAACTTATAGACGTGAGGACGGAGGATGTGAACTTACGCTCAAATAACGAGCTCTCATTGGCTTAAATCAAATGATGCAGCCCGGAAAGAGCAAAAAGAGAAGTGACGGGGTAGTCAAGTGAGGGCTGAGTGGCTTGGAAGTATTGATTTGGGTGTTAGGGGCCTCAGTTGGGACGGGATGGTCGTCAAACAAGATGTTTATCAGCCTCTCTTGCATGCAAATTGAGGATAAAGTAGCTCAAATTGCAGAGTATGATTAAAAGTAACATGAAGATTGCAAATTCAACGTTTTACGTGTATATTCGATAATTTACGTGGTTGGTTCATAGAATAACATTTCTCAGTTGATGAGGCATCACGCACTTCCGCGCTAATATCTTCGAGTATACATCCAACCTCCGCTTCGAAATTTCAAACGTACATTTTGCAAGAGGCACATGACTCGACCGGGTCTTTCTTGGAGATTTCAACCTGACAATTTAATTTTTACCTTGGCAGCTTGACCCTCGAAGACCAATCAACAAGTATCGCCAGATCGTCTACAGCGGTGGGACAACTTGTCGATGAAGTTCTGTCCCCATTTCGCACTGAAAATGAGTCAGCAACTAACAATCGCTGGAAATCGAATCTCCATACCTCGTGTTCGTGTTGATGAAGTCCCGGAGATGCTCATACTTCATTTTACGTTCCTCTGGACTCAAGTTGATCGCAGCGAAGATCGCTTCGGACATTTCAGTGGTATTGGCGGGGTGGAATGAAATACTACCGGCGGACATAAACGACGCAGCGCCGGCGAACTCTGAGAGTACGAGAACGCCATGACGCTCTTTTTGGCAGGCGACGTACTCGAATGAGACGAGGTTCATTCCGTCTCGTGTCGACGTAAGAAGACATACATCGGCTATAGAATACAATGCTGCGAGCTCAGTGAACGGTACAGAGCGATGCATGTATAGCAGTGGAGTACCCTCAGGGGTGGCTGGACGGTCAGTATGATTCCAATCGCAAGACAAATCACTAACCATGCTTGCCGTTGATTTTTCCAGCCATAGTACACAATTCTCTCTCGAGCTCCTGATACTCCTTTACGTCCTCGCGGCTTGGCACGGCAACTTGGATAAGAATGACTTTATTTTCCAGTTCGGGGTGGTCATCAAGGAAAGCGTCAAAGCCTTTCAATTTTTGCGTGAGACCCTTGATGTGATCGAGTCTGTCGACGCCAACAATGACCTTGACACCTTTGTACCGTTCTTTCAAAGTGTGGATACGTTCCTGGACGTCCGGCTGTGCCAGGGTCTCTGTGAATTTCTGGGGGTCGATACCGACAATGAATTTGTCCGTACAGACGAGGCGATTCTTGTACTGGATCTGATTTCCAATCTCGGTACGTGCACCGCTGGTGAGGTATGAGAATGTGTTGTCACATTGGTGCGGGGAGGTTAGGGCTGACACTCACAGAAGACTGGCGCAGGTGTCGATGAAGTTCTGCTTATACTCGTCGGTGTGGAACCCAATCAAATCGCACGATAAGAGACCTTCGATAAGGTGCTTTCGAACAGGGAGGTTTCTCCAAAAGTCTCCTGCTGGAAAGGGCGTGTGGAGGGAGAACCCAATGGCACAGGTTTTGCCCTGTTCTTGCAGGCGATTACGGAGAAGCTCTGGCAACAACATGAGGTGATAGTCGTGAACCCAGATCAGGGTTCCACATTCTGCGGCATCTGCAATCGCATCGGCGAACAGTTCGTTCACTCGTCTATATGCTTGCCATGGGGTGTCATCGAAGCTTACACCGGATTGGTAATGGAGGATTGGCCAGAGAATACGGTCTGCAGGTCAGCGATATTCCAATGGCATGAACAGAAATCTTACTCGAGAATCCGTTATAGTGCTCGTGTGCTAACGTCTTGTCCAAGAATATAGGGATCGCATTATGCTCTTTCAAGCTTTTTGTCACTTCCTCCCTGTCTGCCGGATCTTTGAGTTCAATACCGGGCCAGCCGAACCATTGGAATTGAGTGGACTTTGTCAGGCCTGAGAGAGAGGTGACAAGACCGCCACTGGAGAGAGATGATTCAAATCCCCCTTCTACTCGCTTGATGGACAGCGGAAGGCGATTCGAAACGATGATGATGTTCCGCTTAGGATCGCTGGTTGGCCCCATACCGGTATGCCGAATGGGATTCTATACGTTGAGAATAATTGTTGGGAAATAGCAATTAGAAGTTATATAAAAGTAGGTACCAAGGGATATATCACTATTGAAAAGCTCAAAGGCAAGATGTTGCCTGCAGTTACATCTTGCCCCAGCTATGGCAAATGGCAAATTTGCGTCAGTATGAATATGTTGCGGCCGATTTTGTCCACGTTTCTTTGATGATAGGTTGGATCAAGTTAATAACACTTCTGCTTTAAGAAAAATTTCGGTTGAATCGCATTCCTCGGCTTCCAGTCTGATTGACGGGTTACATACATCGGGAAGATCACCCCCCTCAACTACCGATTCGTTTCTGCCTACGTCCCATGAGCCATAGGCTTTCTTCACACCTCGGAATTTCTGTGATCTAGATGAATACTTTGTGGCGCTCAGAAACGGGCAATTCAGCGGCGAGAAAGAGACCAAAGGCGAAAACAATGTATGAAACCCACATCCACGGTTCAAGGCACTATGGACACAATTATGAGCTCTGGTATATTGACGAAGAGTGAGGTTGAACTGGAAATCTTTTTTATTCTTTGATATATACTGATGAATTGTTGAAATGCTTATTTTATCTCATAGATGTCGTCATGGCCATGTCAGGGCATTCAAAGCCCTAAACTCCCGTCGTTTCCAGTTGTTTCTCCGAATAGCCTCTTTGCCTCTGCAAAAACTTTACGGCAATGAAACAACTCAATCCTGCTGCATATGCACATCCGGCAAAAGCAATCAACCCCCAATACTCTCCCTCACAGCGGTGGATGATTTCACCAGCAATCGGAACCCCAGTCAATGCCCTAATCAGAATATTAGCCATACAACCCAAAAAGACATCAAAATCAGAGGTGGAAACTTACCCAAAGGCAACAATGGTATACACAGTTGTATAGTACCTCCCATAATTCTCAACAGGACACAATTCTCCCACGCAAACGGGGACAAGGCTGATGTTACTCCCGCTCGCAAATCCAAACACAACAGAGAAGATAATAACAGCAACAACGTTCCCGTTTGCAGGCATCCAAATACCCAACACAGCAATTAAACAAAGAATGTTTGTCGATATTAAAGTGTTCATGCGACCAATGCGATCAGCCACGATACCCGGAAGCCAACGACCAGGGAACGAACCGGCATTCAAAAAGACAACCATAAGATACGACAACTTGGGAGAAATACCACTCGCAATCGAATACGAAGCAATATACTCAAGCGGAATGAAAAACCCCCATTCAATAAAGAAAACCCCAATAGTCGTCAAAGCAAGCACAGGATCCTTCAAGATAGTAAGATCAGGAAGAAAAGTCTTCAACGAAGGCTTAGACGAAACCTTTGGCGGGAAATTTGCCTTCACAAGCAAACAACCAGGAATAAGGAGAATCAGCGTAATAAGCCCGACAACCCGACTAGCCCAAGCAAAGCCAATCTTCGGCGCAAGATTCTCCAAAACCAAAGGAAAGATGACGCCCCCAATACTCCCACCAGCCAGCGCAAGCCCGGTCGCCGCACCACGCCTTTTAATAAAGAAATGCCCAATACTTGCAACCGGAACAATAAAAATAAACGAGGTCCCCATTCCACCCAGGATCCCAATAACAACCAGGAAATGCCAATACTCATAGCAAAAGCCCATGCAGACGAAGGCAACCACGAGCAAACTGGATCCAAACCACATGAGCATGCGCGGACCCTTTATATCGAAGATCGGGCCGATTTGGATACCGCAGAAGAAGACGAGGAAGTTGTAGATGCCGAATATCCAGCCGATTTGGCCTTCACTTATGTGGGACAGTTGGTGTGTGGAGATCCAGGCTTGATAAATGCCTATGCTGTTCATCAGCCCTAGGCCGCCCATTATCGCACTGAAACTGCCTAGCACGACGAGGTTGCCTGTTAGGCCTCCTTCTGGGCAGGAGGCTTGGCTGGGGATTTTTGGTTCATGGTGCATTCTTTGAGTTGGGTCTGTTTGGTGTCGGTGTATAGGTAGGTAGATGTGCAGGTGGATGTATAGGTGTATAGACAAGGGCTATGCCAAATGATAGAATGAATGAAGGAAACGTACAAGTTGCTTTTGGAAATATCTCTATGACTACTAAATGCCTGGATATAACGCCGTCTTTAACTGTTCTAAATAGTGGGTTACGATTAATTTTCAGTAAAACCTTTCCTTGCTCGGCCATTTTGAATGCATCAAAGGCGTGGTTGGCACTTGACGTGCAGTGGACCGGACTCACAAATCGCCGAGGACAAAGATCGGAACCGGGAGTTTGTTGTCAGAGGACATGCAGACCCGTTAACGGATGGGCAAATCAGCGTCGTGCTATACTTTGTTCTGTAGGTGGTGCATCGGAGTATACTCGGGTCGCCCCGTGGCAAAGGCGATCGATGGGTTTTGGCCGCCGATGGCCGGTGGCCGAACCGTCGGCGAATGTTGGGCGGCTCGGCATCGGCGAACGTGATGATATTGAAATGAGTCAAGTATGCATTCGACAATATTTGAATGCATGTGAATAGATGATCGGCCAAATGGAAATGGGACAGGAAAATTTTTGGAGTGGCTCATTGGGGCTGTTCGCCGAGCTTCGTGTTGGATATATATTTGATGCTAAGATGTTTCATACGAGATTTTAGCTAGTAAAGCTGTGTAGAATAATGACAGGACAGAGGCTCATATAGCTCTTTCAAATATCAAATTGAGGAAATACAAGAAAGGAAATACCCATGACAATGGTATACAGTCCATGAACCAAAACAAAACCAACCAACCCCCGAACCCAGCAATCCCTGCTGGTTATGCTACCGAAACCCAACAATGTAAAACAAGACGCCAGACCAAGACCCAGAACTAGATGCTAAGCTGTGGTCTATGCAAACCTGCGCTTGGTGGGACTCGGCGTCCGAAGGTGCTGCTCACGATCACGACTGCGCTCGGTGACAAAGTCCATGGACTTGGTATTCTCAAGCAGCATTGGCGGGTCCTGCTTCTCGCCGTAGTTCATCTCCTGGTTTTGCCGAGGGTCTTGGCCGTAGTAGCCAAAGGCGGGGTTATGGTGTAGCTGTGGATGCATGGGTTGTTGTTGTTGTGGGGGGTGCTGTGCGTAGTGCTGTTGTTGTAGACGGTGTCTGAAGGAGCGGAATGACCAGTTGCTGACAACTGTGACTGTTGAAATTGTAGCTAGGAAGAACAGCTAGATATCTGGTCAGCGTAATCCACGCACTCATGGGAGAACGGTACTCACAATCGCCTTCCAGCTGATAGGATCAATGAAGCTATTGATGATGATGGCCATCGTATGCGCCGAGACCTTGGCACGGCCAACCTTCGCCGGGTCTCGATTCATGCAGCGCTCCCAGTTCTCGCAGATTGTCTCAAGAGCCGGGGCCCGACTAGGTCGGCCGCAGTCATTGTCCACGTAGCTCTTCGTGCATACCGCCATGTCGGCCAGAATGGTATCGGACATTTCCTGCGCCGCCTGCTCGAATTCACCACGGATCGCCGACACAAACCCGAACACGACGTACACGGCCAGAGAGAACAGCGACAAGTTGACCACGAGCTGGGCCCACCATGACAAGATGGCGGGGACATTCGGGTGTGCCTCGAGCATGCTGAAAAATTCGGACCAGGTTGACACCCGCGAGCCTTGCAGCTCTGTCTCTTGTTGCTTTCCTTTCTTCACGACTTTCCCGGCCTTGTTTTCCCTGCTGTTGGGCTGGTCTAGCTCGCTCTCTTCGTCGCTTTCGATTCGTACTGTTCGGCCTAGTTCCTGGTCCCTTCTCCGACGCTTCTGTACCCTATTCTGAATAGCGTTGGAGTGGTGGGTCAATCGGGGGATTCCCCCTCGCCCTGGACTGGACCGGCCAAGGAAGCTGAAATGTGAGCTTGCCTTCCCTGTTTTGGAGGGCTGATCGGGTGTATCTTCATTGTCTGCGCATTCAGGTGATGACATGTTCTCCGGGCCAGAAGAGAAATCGATGTCGAATTTCCGCGGTGTCGTGAAAGCAGGTTGGCCGAATTTGGCCTTGGGGGAGAGAGGTGCGGACTGTCGGGGCTGAGTGAAGAGGAAGGGCTGGGAGTTTGGTTGGCGGAGAGCAGGTAGCTGTGGTTTCCCGGGAGAATCGAATACACTGTGTGTTCCTGGGGGCTTGTCAGAGGGATTGATCTGTGAGATGACATCGCTCGAACCATCCCCGGTGTAATACGAACGTTTCTTGTCGTGTGTCCCTAGATTGAAGGGAGAGTTGGGATCGACGGGGCCTCTGGATTGCCATTCAAAGTCCATTGGACTTTCGGCCGTTCGCCTGTCCATGTTTGCGACCAGTGTGGGAGTGGGTGAGGTTGAAGAGCGGGAAGTTTTTGTTTGGGGTAAACATGCAGCCGCAACCTTGGCAACCCTATACAATGAACAGGTCAAGTGAGAATTCTGTTTATTTTGATGGATTTTTTTAATTGCCGTACAAAGGAAACCCCAGATTTCTCAGCTGATTAAAAGCCAGATTAAAATGAACTCGTAACAGGTCAAACTATACGGAGGACCACGAAAGAACTACGCAAACCGAAGACAGTAAAGATCCTGCATGAGGTGACCAGCACCAATAGAAATATTAAACAGACATCTATTCATCCATCTGCCACTGATAATCCAAAGCCTCAAACCGACTCTTCTTATTCCTCGCCGCAAACCACTCCTTCTCAAACCCAGTAGAGCGATCCACCCCATCCCACCGATGCCCCGGCCGGATACCATACCGATTCGGCTGAAAGGCACCACGATACAAGGGTTTCCCAGAAACACTAGACCCAGCCGCAGGCTGCGATGTAAGAAACTCCGCCGCAGGATCATTCCAGCGCTCCCGCGCCCGCAGCTCATCATTCATATTATCATCATCAATTGTCCGCGCCACAGGCATAGACTTGACATCTTGAAGCTCCTGTCGGCGCTCTTCCCGCTGCTGCCGCTGAACATCACCCATGAGCGCCTCACGCGCTTGTTCCTCTTTCTCGCGCTTTTCCTCCTCGGCGCGACGAGCTTCAGCGCGTTTCATTGCGACGTTGATGATTCGACCGGACGCGTCACGGTAGATTGTTTCTTGGGTCTTTTCGTTTGAAGCGGTCGGATCACGGTAGAGCGCTTCTTCGGCTTTGCGCCGTTTTTCTTGTGCTTTTACCATCGCCGCGGTCTGCGCTGCTGTTTGGAGACCGCCCCGTGCACCCGATTCCATTCGTGCGCCGCCTTCATCCTCTCCTTCCCCTTCAATTGTTGGACCGTCATCTTTCTCCGCGTCTTGTTGGGCTGTTCGTTCAGCTGCAGCTGAGGCGAGGATTGCGTCTGCAGCTGCTTGTTCGCTTGCTTCGCCTGGTGCGGGTCCGCCGATTGTTTTCCAGCTTGATTGCTTTGCGCGACGAAACTCGGCGCTTTTCGCGGATCGATCGATGTAGGGATTGTCTTCGTCGTCTTCCTTGCTTTTGCCTAGTGAGGCGCGGATGTCGGGCGGGTCATCGTCTGCGATGATGAGGCCTGAGCCGGCTGTGTCGACTGCTTTTGTCTTCTTGCGCTTCTTCTTTGGGCGCTCTGTTGCCGGGTCGGCTGTGAGGTAGTTTTTTGCTAGGTATTCGGCGAGTGACCCGGGCATGATCTTGGTGTTGTGTATGCGGGTGTAAAGTGTAGGCTGAGCTCAGTGATTTATCGATTGATACCCGGAGGAATGTTTCGCCGAACTGTATGCTGCCTAGCGCCGTTGATGCACTATCATGCACTATCTCGTGATATAAAGTCGAGGCTGTGACAAGAGACCTTGGCAATATTTTTTGAATGCTCATAATTTCTCTTCAAGAACATAATGCCCCGCTCAGAAGAAGCGGAATGGTGGGCTAATGCAGTTTACGAGGCTATCCAAGAAGTCCCCCAGGGCAAAGTCACAAGCTACGGGCATATCGCACGTCTACTTGGCGAACGTACGGACTAACCTCCGGAAAATGCATGGATATACTGACACCATCTGCTTGAAATAGCCCAACGCCCTCGCCAAGTCGGAGTATGTCTAAAGTCCCTCCCAGCGGCAGAGTCCGGTCAACATTTCAACTCAAGCAATGTACCCTGGCAGCGGGTAATCAATTCGAAAGGAATGATATCACACCGGTATGTTCTCTTCGATTGCAATTTTAGTGCCTTACCTCAATCCAATTTCGGGCACTTAGCCACGCTTCAAACACATGTGAATGTCCAACCCCGTTTGAACCACCGACTGACGACAACACAGCGGACCGGGCAGTGCAGCCCGCCAAGCAGAAGCCCTCGCAGAAGAAGGCGTGGAAACGACTACAGACAGCATGGGCGAGATATATGTTGATTTCTCGCGATATGGGTGGTTCCCAGACCATCTCCCCAGCGAGGAATCATGACAACGCGAGAGATTGGGCATTCATGCATTGTTACTGAACCCGTGAACAGTATGATACTATTCGAAGCGACATGCATACATCTTTGAATTTCATTGGCTCTTCGACATTACTGTAGATGGAAGGAAATGATGTAAATGAGGAACGAATATCGAATCCGTAGATTGGGACTTGGCTATAATCTAGAATTGAATGACATCGTGGAGAATAACACGCTAATGAGGTCGCCTATCCATAGTCTGAATGATAAGGTGGAGAGGAGAGTCTATAGGGGAGATATGAGTGAGGGAAGGTCAGACGGGAAGGGAAGGTCAAAAGCGCGGAGGGGGCATGAGTATACGAAAACAAGCGCATCCAACCGACTACCAAGAAACCCAAAAGACAAAAGAAAGAAGAAAAAAGAAGAGAAGAGAAGAGAAAGCACATAGAACCAACCAGCATCAATCCGTAAATGGAAAGGAAAAAAGATCGTTAAAACTCACATCATTGCCATAAGGGCATGTCCGCAGAAAATCAGAGAAGTTTCCATCTAGACTAAAGAAATGGGGAGACATATCATCGCTGCTTCTTGACCTCAGTAGCCCAGCCTTCAATGCCCTCTCCACGGGTTCCAGGGGTAATGCCTAGATCAATCCCATCCATCCCTGGTGTATCCTTCATCCATTCGTGAGACGACATTCCACCGGCATTGGCTCGTTTCTCTGGTGAGAGGTCCAGCATGGGTAGTAGGAGTTCACTGATGCGCATGCTTTCTTCCATCGAGTAGTGGTATTTTTCTCTGAGGACATCGGGCAGAGCCCAGTGGCGGAGTCGGTGGATGTTGCGCAGCTCGCCCTTGCGATTGAAGATATCTTGGGACCATTTACCGGACAGACAGAGAGCTTTGGGGAAGGGACCGAGAAGTTCGATGATTTGCGCGATGTGGTCGTCATCTTTGCCATACTTGGTTCCTGATTGTGGGTCGAACAAGTAGTCTCCGGTAATCAATTCGAAGACCTGGAGAGTTAGATATGTCGTTTGGATGATAGAGGGGGAGACTTACCATGCATGCCATGCTCCACACGTCGGTACTCGCACCCCATTTAGAACCCAGGATGACCTCCGGGGAACGGTATTGGCGGGTTTGAATATCGTTGGTGAAGTGGTGGCCGACCCAGCATGCGTTGCCTAGGTCAGCGATTTTGACGGAGATGATGTTGATATCGATTTCTTCTTCGACGGACTTGGAAGAGCCTTTATCAAGGGAAATGCCAGACACTTCTCGCTCCAGAAGATCACTGTAATTGTTAGACAGGCTAGAGAGACGGTGCGGGAGGACGTACGCGGTCTTCTCGCGCTGATACTGCTTCTCATCTTCTTCCTTGACGCCGAGCAGCTCTTTCATTGACGGGGTATCTGCGGGTACTGATATATGTGAGTAAATGCGCGTGGGTATAAGATCGGGCGCAAGAAGCGCAAGTGGCGTGGGTACTGACCTGTGTTTTCGTTGACGATCTGGCTGAGACTGCTATGAGAGTTCGACGAACTATGTTTGAAATCAAAGCTGCCAAAGCTGGTGTTGAGAGGACTAGGCAACGGCTGGCTGCCAGTGATCAAGGTGCGCCGCCGTCTACGACCATTCCTGTTGTCCTCTTTGGCCTCCTTCTTCGCTTCCTCCTTGACATGCGCCTTGACAATCTGCTCGACGTCACCGATCTCGATCAACACGTTCTCCGGCTTGAGATCTGTGTGGATGATTCCACACTCGCGATGCATATAATCTAAGCCCAACAGCACCTGCTTTGTGATTTGCTTGACGAGCGGCATCGGGATACCACGATGGTTCCAGCGCTTGATCAATCCCAGCAAGTTCTCGCCAAGGACCTCAAAAACCATACAGACATGGACACCGTTCGGTCCCTTGTGTTCAAACGAGTCCAGCAGACTAACGACGTGCTTCCGACCGGGGTGAGATGGTTTCGCTTGGACGATTCGGTTAAGGAGCTTGATCTCATCGATCGCAGTTTCGGTGTAGTGTGCAGCCGACCGAACGACCTTCAGCGCGACGTGTTTTCCGGTCGTAGTATCTCTTGATAGCCAAACCGTGGAGAAATGGCCCCAACCGAGCTTGCGCACCACCACATAGCGGCCATTGTTGTATGCTTCGCCCACTGCGACCGGGTGGTATCCGCCCTTGCAGTAATCTTCAGAGTCTTCTTCCTCGGCAGTGGCCTCGAGTTCCTCGCCCGATGAGGCAGACGAAGATCGCGATCCAGATTTGGAGTTGGGAGCGGCACCGGTGCTGGCAGAGTTAGCATGGGCCAGGCCATCATGAAAACATCACATACGATTCGGTGGGGGTTCCTTCATTGGTGACGATGGGCTTCAAATCAGTGCCCTTTCTCCTTTTCTTGCCGCCATTGCCATTGGCAGCTGAAGCAGCGACACTGGCCATTTGTTTGCCCTTGTTGAGCATTGCTTTGGTAAGATCGACTCCCTCCATGGTGTGGAGATTTGAGAGGGAGAGGCGGGGCACGGCTGGCTCTAGGCGGTGGATGGCCTACACCGTCAGTATAGATGTGAGAACTGTGAATAGTTGACAATAGTTGACGATGTTGAGGTATTTGACAGTGCACAGCTGACAGTTGCGATGGTTGACCCGTTCACGTTGATGTTGATGTTGACGTTGACAGTCGACAGTCCACAATCGACAGGACGTGGGAGATGACGTCCTGAGCAATCCAGTCGTTACCTATTAGGTATCGATCGCAAGATGATTGATATCAAAAAGGGAACAAGAGCAGATGAAAGTCAAGATGTCTCGGAAGTAACTCTCTTCCGCAAGCAGCCAAGTGGTGGCGAATACGCATCGAGTAGAAAATAAATAGCCTAGAGCGTGGTGACGAGGGACATCATCACTATGTATTATATCTGAGTCTGAGTTAGCGGTTGGATCATTTCTATTAACTATAACTACACTACAACTACTAGTACAGAGACAGATACCTGCCCAGTTATGCCTGACCTTTGCGTCTCCTGATGTCACAGACCTTCTAGCCTCCGAGGCATCTCCAACTTCAACTTGACAACCACCATGGGCCCCTTCGATCGTCGCCCACTCCCCGACTACTTCATCGCCTCACCACTGGTAGCTCTGCTCTATCCAGTTCATCAAACTCTCCTCCGTCTTCGTGGTTCACCTCGTCTCCCTCCGCCAGACGCCCGTCCGATCCGAGTGGTTTGCATCTCAGACACCCACACTCTAGAATGGCCCGACATACCTGATGGAGACCTGCTCATCCACGCCGGCGACCTCAGCAATGATGGCTCAGCGCGCGAGATCCAAGCCAACGTCGACTGGCTCCGAAGCCTACCACACCCACACAAGATCGCCATCTGCGGCAACCACGACAGCTACTTCGACGTACGCTCCCGCCTAGAAGAAGACAAGGAAGACTCAACCGCCCCCTTCGCCGCAGTCTCCTCATCAACAGCCTCAATCCACTCCCTCAACGATCCCAGTGCCTCCCACATCGACTGGGGCGACATCCACTACCTCCAACACTCCGCCGTAACCCTCACCTTCCCAGGCGGCTCGTCCACAGCAGCAACCTCGACCACACCTCTCACAAGCACGCGCCCACGCTCCCTAACAATTTACGGCGCGCCCCAAATTCCTGCGATAGTCCCCTTCGGCCCGGAACATGCCTTCACCTACCCACCCCAACACGACGCCTGGTCCGGCACCATTCCCCAAGAAACAGACATCCTCGTCACCCACACCCCACCCCAATCCCACCTCGACCTCTCCCCCATCTTCTCAACCGGCTGTCCAAACCTCCTCGCGGAATCCTGGCGCGTGCGCCCCACCCTGCACGTCTTCGGACACGTCCACGAATCCTCGGGCCAGGAACCCATCTTCTGGGACGAGGCCCAGCGCGCCTGGGAACGACTCTGTGCGTCACGCCGCCCGCGCGCAAAGCATAGTCGCTTGGCTTCATTCGCTGGGTTCCTGCGTGATCTGTTCGATCTGTCTGGGTGGGCGGATGCGGCGCGAGTCGTGGTCTATGGTATCCTTGGAGTCGTCTGGGCTCATGTCTGGGGTGGGGAGAGTCGCGGTGGAGGGTGGATGGTGAATGCTGCTTGTATGTATAGCAGTAGTGGGAAGTTGGGGAACCCACCTAGGGTTTTTAATCTTTGAGCTTTGTTCAGCGTGCATAGTGTGTGGTCTGTTTATTATCACACCACACAGACCATCTAATGCTTGGGCTATTTACTGGGACTTTGGAATTATGCTTAGCATCTATTGCAAGCGACGAAGCTACACCAACCAGATCCCCGGGGGACGGAGTTTAGTATAGCAAATAACTGTAATTCAAAAGTATATAATCAAAACAATGGCAACTACAGCAATATCCAAAGCTTTCGTAAGAACCCCGCGGCAATGACATAACACAGATATTCAGTCCAAGCTCACAGCCACAAATGAATAGAGATTCCACCACACCAGCCCACCACCAAAGTAACCTGATTGGCAGATAATCACCCCCCAACCGACCAATTTCCGCGTAACTCTCCCCAAACCTGTGCAAGTCAAGTAGCACTACAGTAGCACCACAGTAGCGCAGGGTATATACCCACCCCAAGCAATGGTTCGCAAATAGATAGCGTGTGGATAGTCCTTCGGTATTGGCGCCGAGATTTGACTTTCAAAGGAGGGGAGGGGCTGTGCAGGCTATATAAAGTGACTGTGTCCCTCGCGATCTTCTTGATCTTCCTTCCTACAGCCCTATCAACTCTATTCTATTCCTTCCATCCGATTCTACTTCATCGCATCTTCATCATGGATTTCCTTAAGAAGGCTGCTGAGAAGGCTACCGGTGGTGAGCACCAGCAGGAGAACCACAACAACCAGCAGAACGATGACTATGTTGACAAGGGTATGTACATGTCCAGTAATGAGTGTGGCGGCTGGCTGTACAGTGGATCTGTTCTGTGGATGGTGCTAATATGATATCATATTTCAGCCTTTGCTGCCGGTGTGAGCAAGTCTGGTTACAACATCGACCGCAGCATGCAGGAGAAGATTACTGACGCTGGTCGTGAGGCATATGAGAAGGCTACTGGGTATGTTTTGTCCTTTTTTTTTTTTTTTTCCTTCTCACTGTTGCTTGTGATTTTTGAGTTGCCTGCTAACTCGTATGTCGCTGTAGCAACAAGGTTTCTGAGAAGATCTCCAACTAGATTATACTATGACTTAGGTATACAAGTCACAAGCTGAATCTATATGAATGATTGATATGCCAACACTTCTATTCCCATGAACATGCACGTGAATGCTGTAGTGACTAGCGCGGGGCAGAGAGGGGGTCTAGAATGGATGCGCACGCCTCACAGTCAAATGGGTGATTACGATCGACGATAGTCAAGCCTATCTGGGTGAACCAAGCCGACGGAAGAAGAATTGACTGATCGGACTCGATCGATGGCCACGATCCTATGACGGGAGGTATCTCACACATCGGCTTTTATTGCTGAATGATAGGACTACATTTATGAGCGGAATGAAGATTTCAAGATGTGGATCTTGGCCACCCGTGGATTACTGCAGAGTAGTTGAATATCGCCACATGGTGTACATAGAGCATTGGAAAGACCAAACTTCTTCCGTTTCGATCTCTGATACATATTCGTCAGTGTTTCAGGTACGAACCGCCGGAAGACATCCAAAACATGGACGAGAGCGAGACGCAATGGAAACGGTTGGTTGACCAAGTGGAGTGATAGGGGCACCCGAGATCTTCTTTGTGCCGGGTCCTCGACTAACCCTAAATCGCCTAACTTGCAACCAGTAACTGGCTTACCCAGAACCTGTTCTCATGGAAACAATCGGCCATTTTACCCCTACATCCTGACGTGCCGGGCTGTACTGCCGCCCCATCACCGTACTAGTGGAAAATATCGTAAAAGAGAATGTGCTGTCGAGTAGACTGTATAGGATAAGATCAGATTCGACCCACACCCGGCGTAAAATTGAGACTGTGCTCAAGCTTTTTGAGCAGGGTTCGGTGTTTACTAGCTGGGCTCAATGCCCAGCTAAAAGATCGTGATCGCCAATATCACGTACATTGCACATTCTGCACTCTCAACCATGTGGCGCCAATTCACACTTGGGATAGCCCTTGCGGCCGTCCCCTTTGGCCGCGCGTTGTCGCCGCGCACGGATATCAACGATGCCTATGACTTTGTAATCGTCGGTGGTGGACAGGCTGGTCTTGTACTTGGTGGTCGACTGTCCGAGGATACCAATCACACTGTCCTGGTCCTTGAAGCCGGTGGTGACGGCGATGAATATCGTGAGCGTATTGGTGTGTCTCGCTTTTCATCTGTTATATGATGGGTTGACTAACGCGGTAAAGATACGCCTGCGTACTCGTACTTTGATTCTCTCTGGACGACTCCGCTGAACTGGATGTTTTACACTCATCCTCAGCCGAATGCTTACAACCGTGAAATCTACTGGCCTCGTGGCAAGACCCTTGGAGGTTTGTTCTCCTTCGACATTCTCCGCAAAGTCAGATGTTAAATTTTGTACAGGAAGTTCTGCCATTAACGGGCTGTATATGACCCGTCCTGGCAAAGAGGAAATCAATGCCTGGCAAGACATGCTCGACGACATGGACGGCAACGAGAACTGGTCCTGGGACTCGTTCTACACCGCCATGAAGAAGAGTGAGACCTTCTCAACTCCCACCGACGATGTGGTCAAAGAGGCGGGAATTACATGGAATGCCTCGACACATGGCGCTGACGGTCCAATCCACATGAGTTACCCTGGCTAGTACGTGTCCACCCCTCCATGTGTTCGTTCCATGCTAACTTCCCCCAGCACATTCCCCGAAGTCGGCTACTGGTCGACATCGCTGGACAACCTGGGCATTGCCATTTCCGAGAACATGTACGGAGGCGACGTCTTCGGTGCTGAAGTGTCGACTTCCTGCATCAACCCGTCCAACTGGACGCGCTCTTACAGTCGGACTGGGTATCTCGACCCGCTGCCTGATAGGGGTAACTACGATGTTCTGGCCAACGCCCATGTGACACGCCTTGTGTTCGACAAGTCCTCTTCTTCGGACAATCTCACTGCCAGTGCTGTCGAGTACACCATGGATAATGGCACGACAACTTTATCCGTCAAGGTGAACAAGGAAGTCATCCTAGCCAGTGGCTCAATCGGCAGCCCAGCAGTCCTCCTCTACAGTGGGATCGGACCGAAGGATGTCCTCTCTGACGCCGGTGTTGACCTCGTGTCTGAATTGCCCGGAGTGGGACAGCACCTGCAAGATCATTTTGTAAGTGAAACTACTCCATCCCCTGACCAGCATGAACTAACTAACCCCAACAGAGTGCCACAGTGACATTCAGCACAGACGCCGACACAGCAGGCTCGATCTACTACGACAACGGCGCAGACAAAGACTCAACCCTCTTCAAATCATACATCGACTCGGCAATCGCCTACGTAAACGCAACAGGCCTCTACGGCGACAATGTCTCCACCGAAGAAACAAGCATCCTCTCCCACCTAAACACCTATAAACCAAACACAACCTACTCCGACAGCGTGATAGCAGGCTACGAAACAATCTACAACACAACCGCCAAAACAATCTTCAGCAGTCCCATCGGCCAGATCGAGCTGCTATTCATGAACAGCGATGCAAATGGCGATATCGGTATCTCTGCTGCGCTCCAACATCCCTACAGCCATGGACGGATTTATATCAATTCCTCTGATCCGATGAATTACCCGGTTATCGATCCTAATTATCTGGCTAATCCAGCTGGTACGTACAATCACCCTCACCTGCCTTACCCCCCTGACAGCATCAAAAACTAACTCCCAACCAAAGACATGGAAATCCTCCTCCAAGGCCTGAAACTCGCCCGCCAACTAGGCCAAACCAGCCCCCTAAGTGGCAGTCTAACAAACGAAACCTCCCCGGGAATCTCTATCCAAAGCGACGCCGACTGGACAGACTGGATCCGCAACAAAGCAAGCACAGAATTCCACCCATCCTCCTCATGCGCCATGCTCCCACGAGAAAAGGGCGGCGTGGTAGACGCCAAGCTGCGCGTCTACGGATTATCAAATGTGCGCGTTGCGGACGCTTCCGTTCCCCCGATTGCGCTTTCGACACATCTTATGGCGAGCACATATGGTGTTGCGGAGCTTGCTAGTGTGCTTATTCGGGATTTCTGGAATGGGCTTGGTGATGGCGATGCAAGTGATGATCAGGTTGTTTCGCCTGCTTTTAGTGGGAATAGGACTTCTACTGTTTCGACTGTCTCGACTGCTGCAGCTGCGCAGACTACGAAGAAGAATGGGGCCGGGAGCATTGGTGGTGCTGATCCTGGTGGTTGGTTGATGGGTGTTGCTTTGCATGTTTTTGCTTTGGCGGTTTTTGTCTAGAGTTTTTATATCTGCATACTGCATTACTGCACTACTGCATGGTGTCGGTTGCTTATCTTCTTGTCGATGCTGGCTTGTTGTCGGCTTTAGCCTTTGTGGACATTTCATATGGCGCTTTGGGTTTTGTTGGTGGTGGATTTTATTACTCGGTGGATTATGGTATTGTTGTTATTTAGAACAGAATGGCTGTATCTAATATCTAGATGAATTACGATTTGATATCTGATTGTTTTTGGTATATGAGTCCAAAATTGTGTATATCCCAATTATATCCCAATATACAATATTCAGGAGGCATATGACCTAAATGCTTTCAACTCAATACAGTCGTACTATGCTGTTCAAGTTGGTTTGTCTGCGATAGTAGGGCATTTAATGCTTAGGCGTGTTGGTGGTCCTTTCGGGATGCCTACAAGGCTGCGTCAAAATTGCTCGAACGCCTGCAATTCTAATCGTTGATCTTTGTACATGCTCTTTGTTATGTTTGTATATCTCTCTACAGCATAATTGACTTGCTTTGGCATATAAAGTGTCCATCATGTTAGACCGAAGGGTGGATATATATTTCGAATAGGGCTGCGGTCACAACATGTGTATCCGCCAACCCGTCGACACCATCATAATTTGAATCTATTTTCCGTGTACATGATTCAACAGCAACATTCGTATACACTGCATGGGTATATAGATAAGATTTATATAAACAACAAAAGCCACCCGAACAAAGATCTACAACTTAGGCTTCTCATTAAACCTCGGCGCCTCAAGAGGATCATAAGCCCCAAGCCCAAGAGTATCAGAAGGCACGAAACCAGAATGCCCACCAAGCAGACCACGCGTATCAAGCAGTGAAGGATTCAAGTCTTCAACACGCGCAGCGCCAATCAACCGCATGTTCATCTCCATCTCATCCTTAAGCAATTGCATAGCGCGATCAACACCCTCAAGGCCATAGGCCGACATAGCAAACAAGAACGGACGTCCAATACCAACACCCTTCGCACCAAGACAGAGTGCCTTGAGGATATCAGTTGCGCGACGCACACCGCCGTCAACGTAGACCTCGATGCGTTTTTCCCAGCCGCGCTCACGGAGAGCGGGCATCACCTCGGCTAGGACTTCAATGCCTGAACGGGCCGTTTCCAGCTGGCGGCCGCCGTGGTTGGAGAGGACGACACCGTCGCAGCCGGCCTCGACGGCGCGGAGGACGTCCTCGACGCACTGCACGCCCTTCAGCACGATGGGCATTTTGGTGATGGATTTGAACCAGGGAATATCCTTCCAGGAGAGGGCTGGGTCGATGAAGGAGGAGATGGCGCGGGCGGCGCCTTGCGAGCGGTCGATATTGTCGCCGCCGGATTGTACGTTTGAGCCTGGGTCGGAGAACTTGGAGCGCATGTCTTTCTCGCGGCGGCCGAGCTGGGGTGCGTCGACTGTGATGAAGAGGCCCTTGCAGCCGCGCTTTTCGGCGTGCTCGACGATCTTGCGGGTGATTTCGCGGTCCTTGTTTACATATAGTTGCAGCCATTGAACTTGATCGCCTTGCTTTGCGTCGACGATTTCGTCAAAGGAGCACGAGGCTAGTGTGGGGATCATTTGGACGACGTCGTGGGCGTGGGCTGCTTTTGTGAGAACCACTTCGCCTTCTGGGTGGCCTAGTTTGCCTAGGGCTGTGGCTGTTACGTAAAAGGGGATGGAGCATTTCGTGCCCAGCATGGTTGTGCTCATGTCGATGTTTTCTACGTCCACGAGGATGCGGGGGCGGAACCAGATCTTGTGGAATGCAGCGTGATTCTCGCGCATTGTCTGCGGGGGTCAGCTGGATGGCTTGGAGATGGGGATTTTGGGACGTACAATTTCATCGTCAGCTCCGCTGGAGTAGTATGCCCAGGCGGTCTTCTTCATGACCCTGCGTGCAACTGCTTCAAAGTCCATCAGGTTGTAGCATGCTGCGAGGGAAGGCATTCGGCTGATGCGCTCCTGGCGATCGGCCTCCTCGGGATCAAAGGCCTTTTCCTCCTGCTCGACGGTCGACATGTCGACTTCGCCGAGGTGTTTTGAGTGGTCCAAGAACTTGTCCAGGGTATCGGGTGGGTGGATAGGGTCGAACTCTTCGGTCGCATCTTTGCCCGCATACTTGAGGATGATCTTTTGGCCACCAGGGTGTTCTGGGTGTGTTAGTGGATGGCTGCGCTGCAGGAGCGATGTACATACCAGGGAGGAATTCTGTTACATCGTACGCCTTGCCATGGACGATCACCCAGCACGAGTCCTTGGAGTTGTGCTCGGCAACCGAGGCACCTGTGAGTTTGCCTGCCATGTTTGAAATTGGAATTGAATGAATCAGGCTATTGCATAGAGGAAGAAAGATGTATTAAAGGGAAAGAGAAGTTGCATTGAAAAGGATGTCCACTGGACCTCGGGCTAAAGGAGTCCGGGGACGAAAAGTTGCGGGGAGGCTTCTCGGCCGACTCGGTCATTGGCGCACTGTCCAACAGCTGCAAATGTATTAATCAGTCAAGTTAACAGGGTACTTTGATCTGGCAGTTAGCAATTTGGCATATTGGAAAAAATGCTAAAGTCTTCACCAGAGCAATATTTAGACTGATCGGCAAGTAAGAGCCTCGGCTCATACAGGCACGTTCTAGCCAGTAGTAATGAAGACATTACGTCTCCATCTCCGGACATATTTACCCCGGGGTCAATCGGTGTTGACTGCATTCAGCTTCTAGAAAGATGTAAATAGAACGATCGCATTCCTGGAAGAAAGAAGGGGGTTGGAATGTTAGGCAGGGAAGGAAAGGCGAAAGGCGAGGCATGTTGGCCTGAACTCTAAGGCATGATATGTGTTTATATCACGTGATCAGATCATGATCATCCGACACAATCAGATGGATCATCCATGTCAAATATCTTCAAGATTATATTAACTCGAGCCAAGCAACATTGGCATCCAAGTGTATTGTAAATGGTGGATCAGATAGCAGGGAGACCAAGCAACCTTGGCAAACGCCACCGTCGATCCCACATAAAGCTTCTCGAAACCAGTTTTGTGGTCGAACGGCAGAGAAGAAGGACAAAACACAGTTTAAATTGGCCCTCCGCGAGGGAAAATCATATCGGCATCTAAACAGGTACCTATACACTCACCATTCAGCCATCAATAGCCCCCTCATGACAAGTCCCTGGAGATGCCGGCGCTTCCGAACTTCCACCTTCACCCACATCTCCGCGCCTCCGCCTCTCCAGCACGAGCCCCTTTGCCTCATGGCCACTGACGTATGGGGTTACTCTAACCGCACATCCAAGCATCCTGGATAAACGTGACACTGCAAATTCAAACAATGCCATTAGATCTGGAACGCGAGTGAGATCTGGGAACCGATCGATAGATAGCTGTGGCCATAATTGAGATCAAAATTCAGACATACTAGTACCTAGGAACCACGCTTATCTGGGTAGCCTATCTCACCCCTCACCGCATATTGAAGATTTCTTTGAACCACGGCAACTGCACCCAGCGCTCGTTGCCTATGCTTCGCCCCCAAGTATCTTTGCCCGAATGATGTGTACTGCCCCAAAGGATGTCCCAAACGCCATTCCCAAAGGGTCTGCATGACGTTTTTTGGGATCGACCGACACGGGCGAGACGGGCGAGCTGCATGTTGGTATCAACGGACATGCACAGTGACATCGTTTGGACTACAACACCTGCAGTAAGCAAATTGAACCCCTCCTCTAGGCCTCCCAGACGGTCTCTGACCCGAGATATCGAGATGAAAGCCGCATCTCTCCGATGATAGCCCCCGGGTCTGCTGAATTGTGGGAATATTGGACGCGCAATTCGGAGATCTTTTGTTACGATAGTCCTACGGTAAAGTATTCTGCCCTGCCCTCTTACCATGTGAATTCTCGTCCTTCCGAGCGTATAGTGGAAAATTATATAGTACATCGAGCCACCACTCGGAGAAAAAAGAAATTAGAATAATTCAGCTGCCTGGTAGCGATTCTCACCATCTATTTCGAGAAAACTTCGAATGCGCCGCGATGTGGTTCAACTACATCATAGCGGAGTCCGCCCGAAAAATCTCTTTTCATATTGAATCGATTTTTTTTTTGAGACATGACGTGGGGCGGGATCAGTATTCCGATTTTTTTGATACATTTAATGTGTCACCTCATTCGTTGGGTTGGGCTGAAAGTCGACCTAAGATTTATAAAAGAAAGAAGAGAAAGAATTGTGGTTGAGGATAAATCTTGGCATGCATTAGAGCATAATTTGATTGTTTTCGGCATGATGCATACTTCAGCACAGGGCTTAGGGGGAACGGCTGAACAGAAAACGTTTGTATAAACTACCTATAGCCTACCTGGGTAATCCCCGCGCTGGTTATTGCGTAAGAAAAAAGGAGGGGAGAAGACGCGGAGAAAGGGAAAAAGCAAGGAGAGCACTATTCAAGTTGTTTATGCACATTCTATACGAGGAAAGACTGCATGCCGATCAACACGGTCGAGGCTATCCCTTTTAGCGTGACGCTAGTGGTCCACGCATTCGCTCTTTTGATGCACTCGGGACAAGAACGGCTTCCCGAGTCCGTTTTTGCTTGTACCGCCGAGAAGACTTGGCGGGCTCCGTTGCATACGATCCTGAGTCTTAGCCGTAAGGTCGTAGTTACCACCTACGTAGGGAAGTTGAAATTTCAAGGAATTCAAAGAATTCTTGGTAGATCAGGAATTTGACTACTATTGACTAATAATCGGTTTTCGGCTAGGTTTCCTTTTTCGTGTCGCGTGTAGCAGCAAGGTCGGCAATATGCTCGCCCTTGCCGCTTGCCCTATGTATTCCAAACTTCTACTATGAGAGGAGAAAAAAGCAAAAATCTTTTTATTTTTCGGTGTATTCCAACAGTCTACCAACTATCCGCGTCCACTTAAGAAACCAATCATAAACTTCTCTATCTACGCGACCCTCTAAAAATTTCCTCCTCTCCAGTGATATTCGCCAACTGATGTCATCAGGGACGCAAACTACCGCTGCACCGTGGTGGGTCGGTTGGAAATGCTTAACACGCCATTATTGATGCATCCGGCAGGCTTGACTCCACCCTCACCTATGATTCGGTCGACCATCTGCGCCTTGGGTGGAGTGGATTCGGGTGACGGTGTCGGCTTCGTTCTTCGTACATGTGTACCTTCTCACGGGGAAAGTCCACTATGGATTGATGCCCCACGATGCATCTCCTTGCCACTTTCGTCCATTGCGAGACATTCAAATATCTCCCTCCCCCCCGGGTTTCTCCTTTTTTTCTTCTCCGCGTGTCTCCTCTATCTCCCGTCTTTGCCACTTCCACGTGAAGCAGTAGTCCTCAATTCTTAGGACTTGTATAGCCATTTGACTTATCTATCTCTTCACATCTTTCATCATGGCGCCGAAATATGCTGGCATGTCCGGCAGGCCCCTGTCGTTGACGGTGTCGACCATCGCTACCATGGGTTTCCTGCTATTCGGTTATGATCGTATGTTGGTCCGTTCTATATCAGATGCATACAGATGCTAACTATAGACAGAGGGTGTCATGTCTGGTATCATTGACTCCGCGGCTTTCGCCAGATTCCTTCCCATCACAGCTGGCAACTCCGTCATGCAGGCTCTGGTTACTGCCGTGTATGAGTTGGGTTGTCTGGTTGGTGCTATGTTCGCTTTGTTCACTGGTGACTGGCTGGGTCGTCGTCTTATGATCATGTGCGGTGGCTTCGTTATGATTATTGGTGTTATTATCCAGGTTGCGGCTGTGGATGGTCACGGTGCTACTGCCCAGTTCTTCGTCGGCCGTATCATCACTGGTATCGGTAACGGAATGAACACGTCGACCATCCCTACCTACCAGGCTGAGTGCTCTCGCAGCACCAACCGTGGTCTGCTCATCTGTATCGAGGGTGGTACCATCGCCATTGGTACTATGATTGCCTACTGGATTGACTTCGGTGCTTCTTACGGTCCTGATGACCTTGTCTGGCGTTTCCCTATTGCCTTCCAGATCGTCTTCGGTGTTATTATCATCGTTGGAATGTTCTACCTCCCCGACTCTCCTCGTTACCTCATCTCCAAGGGTAAGGTCCACGAGGGTGAATATGTCCTGGCTGCTCTTGGTGGCTACGAGATCGATGCCCACGAGACCCAGATCCAGAAGCAGCTTGTCATCGAGTCCATCGAGGCTGCCGGTGTTGCTGACGGCGCTGGATACTCTGACCTCCTCACGGGTGGCAAGACCCAGCACTTCCGCCGCATGCTTATCGGTTCCTCTTCTCAGATCGCCCAGCAGCTGTCTGGTTGCAATGCTGTCATCTACTACCTGCCCGTTCTCCTGAGACAGTCCCTCGGCGAGGAGGAGCGCATGTCCATGATCATCGGTGGTGTTAACATGATCGTCTACGCCATCTTCGCTACCTTCTCCTGGTTCTTCATTGAGAAGATTGGTCGCCGCAAGCTCTTCATTGGTGGTATGACCGGACAGATGGTTTCCATGATCATCGTCTTCGGCTGTCTGATCCCTGGTGGTCCAGGCCCCTCCAAGGGAGCCGTCTTTGGTCTCTTCCTGTATATTGCCTTTTTCGGTGCTTCCATCCTGCCCCTGCCCTGGTTGTACCCAGCCGAGATCTCGCCCCTGCGCACTCGTGCCAAGGCCAACGCCGTCTCGACCTGCTCTAACTGGCTTTTCAACTTCACTGTTGTCATGATCACTCCCGTCATGGTTGCCAACATCAAGTGGGGAACCTACCTGTTCTTCGCCGTCATGAATGCCATCTTCATTCCCCCCATGATCTTGTTCTACCCCGAGACCGCTGGTCGCAGTCTGGAGGAGATCGATATCATCTTCGCCAAGGGCTACTGCGAGAACATGAGCTACGTCAAGGCTTCCAAGGAACTCCCCAAGCTCACTGATGAGGAGATCGAAGCCAAGGCTCTCGAGTACGGCTTCGAGTCCAGCCAGCGCTCCGGTGATGTCGAGAAGAGCGGCGAGAAGCCTTTTACCCGCAGCGACTCCAGCGATGGTGTTGGCAACGGTCACCAGGAGACCTACACCGAGACTCGCTCTTAAGCGGATGCCCCCAATGCGTGACAGCGCTGTGCGCTGCCATTTCTACATGTTATGGTTGTGCCGTTCTCCTTCCATCTAACCCATGGTTCGGGTAACACCAGATTCACATCCTTTTCTTTTTCTCTATTTTCTACTATTTCCTTTTGATCTTATATACCCATTGTTTCTGGCTTGGAGGATGAACACCCTGGCCCTGATTGCCAGTGGCTAATCCTGTCTGCATTGGCAAGTGCAGAGCTATTGTTGATGATTTCATGTCTTTGTTATGACCTAACCTGATTCGGTCGGCATGAGAATTATCGGGATTCATGTATATGTGCTTGTATGAATATCATTATGGATCCACTATGCTACACTTCATTGTAACACTTTCGCTGTAACATGTAGATCGTAAACAATATATTAACATTTATTTTGTCTCATTTGACAGCTATAAGGAAAGTCCCTGCATGTGTCAAACGGTCCGAGTTTAAAAAGTGACTCATGCAAGGCAGTGCTTCCTCGCATGAGGCTCAGATCTCATCTCCAGCAAGGAGCAACCACTCACAGCGCAGAAACCCAAACTAAACCCAAACTATACAGGTCGCAGTCAAATCAGTGCAACTATTTTGGACAACTTCCAAGACATATACTCCCAGCTGACCGATCGGCTGATCCCGCCCGAACCAAGTTTATCCCTCCTTATCTCTTTCCTTTTCACCTCACCAAACCCACTTCACTCTTGAATCGCGCATGCAATACCATGCTCATAGAGCCACCAAATCCCCTTAATGCGCCATGAGTTCAAGTCTCGAGGCCAAGATCGTCGTTCTCGGCGCGCAAGGTCCGTCCCCTGCCCTTTCCTTTCACGATGAGATGTGGAGATGGATCTGCCTACTTGCATACTACTGGTATACCAGACATCTTGTCTGAAATACATTCCCCCATTATACACATCTACACCATCTACACCATGGATATAATACTGACCCAAGCTAGGGGTAGGCAAAACCTCCCTCGTGGAGCGCTATGTCCGAAACACCTTTAACCCCGCAACAGCCTCAACAGTCGGCGCGTCCTTCGTCACCAAGCGCGTCCTGGATCATACATCTGATACCATCGTCCGTCTCCAGATCTGGGATACAGCAGGACAGGAGCGCTTCCGCAGTATCTCACGGCTTTATTATCGGGGTGCGCACGCGTGTCTGCTATGCTATGATGTCAGTGCTTTTTTTTGGTTCCCCACTTTTGACAGAGACCCTTTGTTGCATGTTCCCTGCATCCAAACTATGCCACTAATATAACGTGCCTGTACAAACCCAACACGGGACAACTGGAGCTAATAAAAGTCTCTCGGATAGATAACAGACGAATCAAGCTTCGAAGAAATGGCCGGCTGGCTCCGCGAATTGCGCAAAAACATCGGCACCGGTGAAGACAATTCAGACCCGCTAGTCATCCATGTCGTCGGCACGAAATCCGATATAGTGACCATAGACCCTTCTCGCCGACGCATCCCTTTCGAACGGACGATCGCATACGTAGCCGAACAGCTCTATCCCACGCAGGTATCTACACCACCAGCTACAGCGACGAGTGGCGGTATGAGCATGGGGTTGGGGTTCAGCACGAGTGTTTTTGGAGGGAATGGAGGAAAGGACAATGCCAACAATACAAATACCACTCTCAATACGAATGTGAATGGGAGTGGTGGTGGCGGGATCTCATCGACAGCCCTTCAGAGCCCTGACTCGAAACGCAGTTCGGCGTTCTGGGGACAGGAAATTGGGTGGGATTGTTGTCATGAGATTAGTGCCAAGGATGGGGAGGGAATTGATGAGGTTTTTCGCGTTATTACGCGGAAATTGGTGGAGCAGAGAAATAAGCGGGATACGGAGCTTGCGCTTTCTATTGCTGGCACGCCTTTGGCTACTGGTGGGCCTGGTGGTTCTATTGGGCCGTTTAGTCCGGGGTTTGTGGAGGGGACGGGGAGTTTTAGGTTGGGGGTTGGGGATAAGAGGAAGAGTTGGCTTGGTCTTGCTTCGCCTTCTGCTGGTCTTGGGAGTGGAGGGTTGAATGGGAGTGGGACTGGGGAGGAGGTGCAGATTATGCGAAATGCTAAGGGGAAAGGGAGATGTTGTTGACTCTTTGATATAATCTGATTTGAGTGCTAATATACTGATATTGGTGTGGATTGGTGTTTGGGTTGTGGTACTTGATCTGTTTTCGGATCTATGCTGCATTGGCGTTTTGAGGGTTTGTGTGATTAACGGTGGGTGATCGTGTTTGGGTGGTTTGTTTAATATTTTGTTTGTCTATTTCCCCTGCTACTCACGTTAATATTTCGGACAGTGTGAATGAAGTTAATGACTCTCATGCTACAGTGCTGTCGTATACCGGTAGCATCTCTTTGTTGACGGCTAATTGATCTTCTGCTTCAATCCCTGCCCTCATGGCATTCAAAATTTTTTGATTTGGCAAAATGAGACATAAGTAGATCCTTGGCCCTATCATGGTGAGGCAATGTAGTCTCCCGCCCTATAAGGCTATGTAGACATTCTTCGACAATGTCGCTCTAGGCAAAGATCTAGAACACCGATCTCTTGAATGAATCACCCTAGAGCAGTATATTATAACAAGTATATAACAGTATCGGACTAAGAGCACTGTCTTGAGCTCATCTAGTTATAAAGTAATAGACATCATTGTTTACCGACATAATGGAAGATCTATAGATCGGTGGATCCAGTGGAGCCGATCCGGGGTATACTGCAGATCCCACTTTGTACAGTTATTTCAATGTATCCGAGCTTCAAGTCATGTTCGTTATCATTATGTCCATGTTTGTCTCTCCGACTTCGGTGATAACACCAATCACCTCCCCTGCACCCGAGGATAGCTGTGATAGGCCTCAATGCCTATTGCTCAGCCTCAACCCCTCATCTCGCTTGCCGGGACATTTACTTCCCAATCACTTAGCGAAAGTTACCCTAGTACGGTAAGTATAGGTACTGAAGCATGGTGAAGACCGTGCTTTTTCTAGCAGATTACTCTGACCCCCGATACCAAAGAAAAGATAGGCACCGTATTTCAATCCGGCCTGCTGACGCCCACGCCCTCAAGCTAGGCCATGCCGTTCTTGCTTCTTCTTCTCTTTCTTTCCCATATTCCTTGTCTTTTCTGGGCTTTTTTTCCAACATTGGCTAGCATATACGCATCTATCGGCTTTCATTTCTTCCGTAACACGGACGGCGACTCTTGGTAAAACTCAGCCTATCCACCCCTCCCCCGTCCCAGTTACCATGTCGGGGGTGGAGGTAGTTGCAGTCGTTGCCTGTGTGGCAGCCGGTATACCTACCCTCCTCTCCCATAATCTCCACCCAAGCTAACAAACAAAGTGGTATCGGCCTACAACGATGGCAGCCGAATGTTCACGGCAATCCGCAAAAAATGGCACGAGCGCCGCCGCCAGCCAGACCAGTCATCCCGGGATCTGGAATGGTCACTAGCGCGAGGCCACCACGAGATCGTTTCTCAATATAAAAGACATCACCAAGAACTAGGTCGACTCTACGAAGAAGGGGACTCGATCGCCCGCGAGCAGATGAAGGATATCATCATCACCTTACAAGGTGCATTGCTGCGACATCTTCGCGAAGCGCAGGAACAAGGCTCTAGTCTGGATCTGATGGCGCTGCAGGTCGAGTCTGAGCAGGGTCGGGTGCGGACGCTTGTAATTCTGGGAGATCTTTATCAGCGTCTGGCAAGGGCGTCGTCTATTCCACCTACCATATCCATGACCGTTGATCCTATGTATGGGAGGGGTCATATGTATAACGGAGGATATTTTCCTCATACTCCGGATCGATTCTCGCTAGCTCCGAACAGGGAAATGATGTATCTGTCTGGTGGGTATCCGGTTTCGCCGGGGCCTTTTCTGTTCGAGGGGCTGTCTGCGTCGCCTCCAAATACGCAGGGCACGTCTGGAGTTTTTGACACTAGTCTGTCATCGAGAAGACGGTCGTCGGGGTTTGGATCGGCTATAGGAAGTATTTTCTCTCGATCTCCGCGCTCGAGTAGATCGTCTTTCACATCATCTGCGCCTGAGCCTGGGTTTCATAACCACCCAGGCTTCTGCCATACTGTCTCGCCATCCACACCAGAGCCAGTATTGGATCGAGTACCAGAGCCAGTTTCAGAAACCCCAGCGCGGTCACCACAAAGACCCAATCTCCGCCTGAGCCCAGTCGAAGACGACAATCTTTGGGGAAGCCAATGGAAAGAGATAATAAACTCAGACGACGACGAGATGAGCCATACATACCACCCGCAGCTAAAAGTTGAAGCATCAAACCACCACCTCTCCCCAACAACAGCAAACATCATATCAATACACCAACACCAACATCAACACCGCCACTCCCTCCCACCCCCATCCATAGCCTCAACCGACTCCACCCCCTCAAACCCAAGCACAACCTCAGCATCCTCACAAACAACCCTCCCCCAACCCGCAACCCGACCTCCAGCCCAACCCCCAGGCCAGCGATGGTCTCCAAGCAAAACAAACAACTACCTAGGGTTCTGCAAAGGCGCCTGGAAAGTCCACACAGGTTTCCGCGGCTTCAAAATCCACACCGAACCCGGCAGCGGCTACTACACACAAGTCTCTTGGCTCCGCTGCGTAAAATGCGCCTTTGAAGGACCCATGGCTACAAAATGCAGTAGCAATAACCCCCAATTCGACGATAGTGTGCGCGTTCATGGGCCCACGGGTATCCGGTACCGCTGGGAGTTCCTGGCTAAGTCGCATGTTCCTTGTAAACGTGATTCTGCGGTAGTGTTTTCGCCTGTTACGCCAAGAGGTGCGTTTTGTTGTATGTTTTGCTGTGTGGAGGTGAGAGGGTCTACCGGTGTGTATGGGAATTTGGATACCTTTATGGCGCATCTTGGGAAGGCGCATCGTTCTGTTGGGGAGAGTGCGTTGGCGCTTTTACCGACTAGTACTAAGTGTGTTTTTGGGAGGGTTGCGGGTGATCGGGAGTATTTTGATGTTAATGTTCCTTAGAACTTGTGGATAGGGGAGGGGATGGGGTTAGTGCAGGCTATCATTCCCGTTCTTCTATTCGGGTTAGGCTTGGTCTGGTTTGGTTGATCTGGAGTCTGGACTTGGATTGGCGTTCATACCCTTTGTACTGGCGGGAAGTCGGTGTTCGGTGTGTGTATATACTTTCGTACGTTCTAGAGCGGATACAACTCCTGGGTTCGTCTTGAATGTTTGGGTCAGTTATCCCTGGTTCGGTTCTGATACTAGCTTCTTTCAGCTAATATGGCGCTGGCTATGTGGAGATTATGTGTTCTTCATGTGTTCAGAGTCTCGTCTATCAGTTGGTGTATCAACCCAGGGTAGTGACATCAGCGTCCACCAATCCACGCGAATATAGATTAGCCGCATCCCCTGCATACAGCATGACGAAGCAAAGAAACATGGAGGCCCTTGCAGTGGAGAAATATCCAGAGGCCAAGATAGGGGTCGGCGATGCCGATCACTGATTTAGTTCAGACGGGGCCCGTGGATCCGTTTGAGGTTAAGGGTCTCTCTGTCTGGCAGAATGGCCGAGGAATCGTGAGACTGGCTAGCTGCAGTTGACTAGTCATGCACTGGGATATACCCCTGAGGGGAAACCCTGCAGCAGACAAGCCTTGCCCAAGTCACTTTGTCACATTAATCACAGTGTAAAGATACCTGGCCTAAAGCAGTCAGTCCACCAATCAGCGATCACCACTGATAACTCATGACGCTAACCACAAATTAAGAAAGTGTGACCCTCGACGCAGTCCCTTTTTTTTTTAGGTTGTTCTCAGTGGTCTTTGCCAGATACACTTTCGTCTTACATCGACATCTATCGCATCTCTCCATTGATCGACATCCCTTCGTCCCTAATCTCGCGACGCGTGATCCCGAAAAATACCCCGGCCTCCACATGGGGCGGTGCTGATTACTTTAAGATTGCGCGGGTTTAGACTCTAGTCCGGTGGCCTCTTCATTTCTTGGACTTTTTTCTCCCTCTCCTCTTACCCTATACACACCCCTCCCTCCGTCCCGAGGACCGCGTTATGCCATGAGGCTGTCACTACGCATCGGTGCGGCTCTCGCCCTCATCATCATTACCATTGTGCTCGTGAACCGCAGTTTAAAACCCGAAGCTCAATCCCTTAAAGATCTATGGCGATTTGATACCGCCGCATTCCGAGCAGCCCTAAAGCCCAAACAACCCGAAGAGCACCCAGCTGCTCACCGCAAATGGCGGGTCGCATCGGATAACAAGCCCTCTTTGGTCTACCAGACCACTCAGATCGAGGTGCCGAATCAAGGTGCCTTGGTCATGGCCAAGTTGAAAGGCGAAGATACTTCATGGGCCTCGGGTGAATTGTCAGAGTAAGTGTCGCGCGTTGTGTGTGTCCGCGGAACAAATTGAGTTGACTGACGGGTTTCTTCAGATGGCGCAGCGTTATCTATACCGTCGACGATACCAATGCCCCGACGCATACCCCCAAGAACAAGGGCAAGGAGTCCCTCGCCTACCTTAAATACCTGGTCGACCACTACGACGACCTTCCCGAGACTGTTGTCTTCCTCCACGCCCACCGCGACGGTCTCCCTGCCGGATGGCACATTGACACCATGGAATATAGCAACGTGGATTCGGTTCGTGCGTTGCAGAAGGAGTTCGTTCAACAGCAGGGATTCGTTAATCTGCGATGCCAATTGTCACCTGGATGCCCCGACGCTATCCAGCCCTTCCGCAACCCCCCGAAGCTTGACAACCCCGGTGAACCACACTACGCGACAGCCTGGAAGTCGTTGTTCCCCGACGAGAAGATTCCTGAAGTTATTGCCGCGCCTTGCTGTTCCCAATTTGCCGTTTCCCGGGGCCAGATTCTCCAGCGCCCTCGTTCTGACTACCAGCGCATGTACGACTGGGTCATGAACAACGACTTGCCTGATGACGCGACCGCCAACATTATGGAATACACCTGGCACATTATTTTCGGCAGAGATCCCGTCTTGTGAGTACTCCCCGAGGCACAAACTCTTTTTATATACTAATGTAATCCCAGCTGTCCCGACCTCTTCCAATGCTACGGCGACGTCTACGGCGAGGAAATTATCTGGTAGATCAATCCTCAATCCACACCCTTTAAGAGCAAATAGCTCTTCTGTATCAACGACAACCCTTCTTCTCTTAGCCAGCACTTGCTGGATTCCCTGACCAGAGGGACAACAATGGCAGCTGGGAACGCGAACAGTGCCAATGCCACATGATGAATCGTTTCGATGTCTATTTTCTGTCGGTGGAATGTACATGCTCTTGAGGTTATGCCGACATTGGCTTTGAATTCAGACATCAGCGAACTTTCTGCTTTATCTTGCTCGGTTTCATTGTCTCAGCGAGACATGCTTTTTTTTTCATGCCGCGGCGCATTTGTATATTTTACTCTTCTGCTTATTTTTGGATTCTAACTATTCTTTCAAGCTGACCTTCTCTCTCCAATTCGTACTCGTTGATACTGGTAGATGATAATCTATGCTATGCATCGTTTGTCTTCCCCTGCGCAACCATACTCCTCGAAACCTCGTCCCACCGGTACATTGCCCCTTCCCCAACATTATAATGATAATAATTATTAGTCCCAGCAGGAACAACAGCTCTCCGAAACGTAATATTAATCCGTCCCCTCGTCATCTCCCCAGCCTTTCCCTTTCGCTTAGGAATACTATGCAACCAATTGGCTTGCGTAGCGCCCCGCATAACAACCATATCCCCCGAATTAAGACTCATCTTAATCTGCTCCTGTGGTCGTATGAATGTCCGAGACCCCCCGGTATTGCCATTGGCCTTCTGAACAGGGGCGTATGGTTTATGCTTCATCACAAAATCCCTCTCGCCACCTAGCGAGAGCGAAGCGATGTTCGGTTCAACGCCGAGAAATCGTTCGTCGTCGGAGTGGAAGGCTATACTATCTTCCCCTGATGCGTAGTAGTTCACTAGGCAGAAATTGTAACTTTCGCTTTCTTTCATGTGGTTTGCTTTTTCGATTTGTTGTCGGAGGATGTCGAGGCAGGGTGGGATTGGGCGTGGCGTTTGTTTGTATTTGTGATTTGGGGGTGCGTGGGATGTATTTGTTTCTTGGAGGGTTAGGTTCAGATTGTTGCTGGCATTGGTATCCGAGTCTGGATGCGGCTCTGGATTGGTATTGGAATCTGCATTTTTGGTGTCTTCAACAAATAGCCCCGTCTCATCTACCCCGAAAACAGTCGTGAAACGAGGTGTATTTATCTGTGTTTCGACATCTCCTCTTCGCGCTTGATATTGGACGCGGTAGAAGGGTAGTTCTCGGCGGAGGAATTTGAAGAGTTCGTTTGCTGTTTCTTTTGGTATGTAGGGTCGGTAATGGAGGAGGTCCAGCTCTGGTTGGTTTTTTTGTTCGTGTGGTGATCGGGCTGGGGTCGCGTGTTCTAGGCCGACTTTTATGTGGGTTGGGAGGTTTGCTATTGGGATTGGGTAGCTTGGGTGTGTGCTTGGGGGAATTTGGTCTTCGGAAGCTGTGGGTTGCGGCGCTGGTGTGGTTTTGAGGATTGCTTGGTTTTCCTGGGTTTTGGGTCGCTTTGGTGTTGATGCTGGATTTGATGGTGGATTGGTTGGTTTGAAGAATGCGTCAAGGGTTCGTTTAGCCATTGTTGCTTGGGATTAAGAAGTGATTGAGAAAGAATAGTTGTGAATTGGGACGCGACGCGATCTGGAAAGAGCAGGTGATGTCATTCTGCATGGCTTCGATCTATACAATTTCCCGATTTGGCTTGGCGTGATGAGTTTGACTTGCTCAGTGTACATAGCTGACAACGTTATAAACAGGCCAATCTACTGCAGTACACCCTCTGTCTCCGCAATCCTCACCACATATTTAACCGCAGAGGCCTTACCAGCCTCCAAATCCCTGAGTGCGCCTTCAACACCAGCCAGTCCACCCTTCCGCACTTCATACGGGTGTCCAGAGAACCAGCCCTGCGCCAAACCCCGTCCAATAAACTGGAAGAAGGCAGCTCCAAATTCCTTATCGCCAAGTGTCTTTCCCTCAGCAGGAGGCATATGAACAGACCCAACCATGGTGCGACGGATCGTAATACCATCAGCAGCCTCGTTACTCTCGGTAGGCAACACGGTAGTAATAACTCCAGGCTTGGTCAAAGCAGCACCCAAGTTGGCATAGCTCCCCTTTTCAGACACAGCATCGTAGGCGTAGTGCACGGGCGCACCATTCGCAGCAGCTCTGATCTTCGAGCGGATGGCCTCGTCGCCTTCACGGTAGTCGACGATGGTGTCTCCCTTTGACGGTTCGAGGAGACCCTGCACGAATGGCGCGGCCTTGCCTGCCACGGCAATGATTGGGTGGATGTTGGATAATTTGGCGAATTGGATGGCAAATGCGCCTACTGCGCTGGCGCCGCCGTAGATAACCAGTGGGGTGGGTTCCTCGGCTGGGCTCCAGGGCAATGGGAGCTTGAGCTCTTGGTATAGACCCAATGCTGCAGTCATACCCGCGAGAGGGATGGTGGCAGCCTCTGTTCAGGTGGTTAGTTGAATGCTTAAGCAAACCCAGTCTGGAACTCGATCTCGTCATACCTTCGAAGCTGGTGTTCTCGGTGACATGGAAGGTAGTATGCTCCCAGGCAATGGCGTATTCGGCATAGCTTCCATATGGACTCAACATCTCATGGAAAGCGGCTACTTTGTCGCCCTTACGGAACTTCTGGACTCCTTCACCGACGGCCTCGACGTAGCCGGCGATATCGTCGCCTTGGTTTATGACATTGTCAGGTTGCCATTTGGGAAGCTTCCAATCCTTGGGGTTTGTGCCGGATACTACAACTTTAATGAGGACTTGGCCCGGCTTGGGAGTTGGGATGTCAACATCGCGGATTGTGACCGCGACGGTCTTGTCGATGATGGCTTCTTTCATTGCGTGGTTGTAATGGGTGTTAATTGAGGGAAGCTCAGTCTAAATAGACCATTGCTTGTTCTCTTAACTTCCAAGGTTGTCCCACTCTTGATTTGTAAGGGACAATTATTAATGAGGTTATGCCGTAGCTTCCGTGCATAAATGAAGTCATTGGGTTGTGGGGTTTGGCTTTACTTGGACTGTGCACTTCCATGACTCGTGTTGATCTTCACTGTTATTCTAAAGTCTTCTTTCGCAAACTGTCCTCAAAAACATAGATTTCATTGTATTAGCTCGGATTATTTACCAGGTCATCACCCCGGACCTCGCCACAAGTTTCCCAGTCGATGAATCTCTCTCACCCTCAACAACCATCTTCAAGAAGTCCCCACCAACACTAGGATGTTTCGCCCCCATAGCCTTGGCTTTCTCTGGAATTCCTCCCAGATTGGTAGCTAGGATACCCGGCCCAACAGCCCAGACTTTGACACCATCAGCCTGTAGCTTGTGATTCCAATCGAGCATCAGCATGTTCAGAGCAGTCTTGCTACAACGATATCCGATAGTCTCGAAGTCGATTTGCTTAGGCCATCCTGCTGGCTGAGGAGGTGTCGGGAAGTATGATTCACTGGCTTGGTTGATAGCGGATAGACCAGAGACGAAGATCAGGCGGGGGTCTGGTGATTTCAGGAGAAGGGGTATGAATGTTGCTGTCATTACATTCGTGCCTGCCACGTTGACATCGTATGCTTTATTGAAGCATTCACGAAGAGAGACCTTGCCGGATATGTACTCGATATCAAATGTTGCTCCTATCTAGTGTTAGCGTGTGCCTCTACTTCGGCTGCGCAAGGTAGGAGCATTCAATACTTACCAGCATTATTGATCAGGACATCTATGCGACCATGTCTTGTCTCAACCTGCTTGTACGCAGTCTCAATAGACTCATCGCTAGTAAGATCGACTTGCACTGGTTCAACAGTGTTGGTTGCGCTAGGACATTCGCTGCGGAGAGTTTCGATAGCGATCTTGGCCTTATCTAGGGATCGACTACCCATTAAGATATGGTATGACTTGTCAGATCCGAGGAGAGCTTTGACAGTCTCATAGCCGATTCCACCATTTCCTCCCGTCACAGTTACAATCTTTCGTAGTGCCATTGTGTTGTGTTGTTTAATGTTCAAAATGTTGCTGCCTCTCTCTTCTTAACGCCTTTTGACTATCCAGCGGAAGTATTGAAAGCCATTTCCAAATACCGATACCGCCGGTGGTGGCTGTAAGTTGGCTGTATACTGCCACGGAGATAAGCGTGGCTTCGCGGAGTTAGGTTGTTTTGCCCCCAAGCACTCGGGGTTTGGCCTTTGGAATATTCGGACTTAATGAATGTCATTTAATGTACAGAGGAAATATTTGGAATTTCGGTCAGTAATGCGTTCTGGCAGACGAATAGCTATAGAAGGGAATCGAAACTCTGTATTTAATTGACAGTCCTGTTGTTAACGTTAACAGATCCATGTATAAACATATTCATAAGACTTTGCTACAAACCTGCTATGTGACTTTGGCGTTTAATATGGCAGAAAAACACTCATTCCGCATGCATATGCGCTTAGGTGGGTAATAATACTATGACGGGCACTTCAAGGGGCACATATATGGCTACGAGAGTCTAGCAAGACACTCCACGTCACGTCGCAGCATGAACCTAGAATCTATCATATCACCAGTGTGAGACCTATATTTTGTATCATCTTTGTTTTACTGAGAAGGGCATACGTTAGATCTCGCATTTAATGCACTCCACCCTTTAGGACCTGTCAGACGACTGATACCCTTAGAACGCGTATCTGCACAGTGTGTAGATTGAAGGCTCAGTAGGAGACAAAACGAGTAGTGAAATTGATACATTTGGGGGGAACCAGATGCCTGCGTTATCTAGTCCCTTTGGTAGCAGCAAATTCTATCTCGGTTGAGCCTCATCGTGAAGAACCCACCACGCGGCTAACCTCTTCACCAAGACCAAGCCTGGAAATAAACACTTCAATATTGATCTAACATGGTGCCAACATCTTTAAGCGAAGATTGCGCTTTCCATATGCTCCTTTATGTACCTGAATTGAGACGTATTCAGGTTCAGGCCTTGTTTGTCGTGCCTTCCCTATTCATTCGCCTCTTTTTCCCCAGCCATCCTTTTTGTCCTCCATCTCTCACCCCAGGGCTGTTTAATTCTCGGTTCCTCAACCCTTAACCAACTATCCCTATCGGTTACTAAGCGACAAGATGCCCCGATCACTGGGACACACCTTGCTGAGTACAGTGGCGAATGAACTTTGCCGGCTGACGGACTCTACGACGTCTTGCAAATCAAAAACGCCATTCGTAGTCTTCGTGCGACACCGATGGGAATCACTCCTACAGATGCTAGACATGTTTGAAAGAAATAGAGTCTTGCTGGCGGCTCGTTCAGCATGTCGTGAACTCAGGGAACTGCGAATTGGATCAATAAAGTCTAGAAAAAAGGGATTGAGTGAATCGAAAGTAGTGTCTCTACCCCCGAACAACCATTCCCGCTCCTGCGTCTTCCTCTAGGTGAGTCTAGTCTTTGCTTTAAGCCTCTGTGGGAGTCTTATATGTCGGGGGCTTTGCTGGATACTTATACCCAATTCGTTACTGATTACTTATGATTAACAATGAGCAATTGTTAAGAGCATAGAAATTCGAGAGTGATACTTTGCGGAATTCTGGCAGTGGCGAAGACTAGAAGAGACTCGGCCTCCCGCTGGCCGCCCGCCGGCATCCCACTGACATCATGACGAGTTACACTATGCCCCTTTCATTGTTCTTTGCTCCGTTTTATCATGAAAAACCCCAGCTACAATAAGCTATTCCTCCTGAAACTTAATTAACGTCTGCCAAAAAGCCAAACACAACGCGCCCTAAGGTGTATTTCAGACCATCCTCAGACCGTAAAAGTGGTGGGATGCCGGTGGGAGACCGGTGAGATGCCAAAGAGTCACTTTCCAACCGAAAACACCCACACAAAGCTCGGCAAAGCCTGCTAGTCTTAACTCCATTGGGCTATATTGGAAACAGAAGCTACAAGGGCAATATTATTATCCGATGGAAGGGTTCGGCACCGACATTGAGTTCCTCCAAAGTCCTTCGGGCGCTTTTGGATATTCATACGCCGACACATTCAGGTGTCAATATCCTGGTTGCAAAGCCAGCTACCGGCGCAAAGAGCATCTGACCCGCCATGAAGCATCAAAGCATGCCCAACAGCAGGAGTTTGTGTGTTCGACCTGTGGTCGCGAATTTGGAAGAAGGTATCCACGTGCTTACAATGGCCTCATGCGGCATCAACTCTAACCTCAGAATCTTGAATTTAGTGATACACTTCGACGACATGTCCAGAAGCAGCACAAAATAACGGAGCCCCTAAATCGTGCACGTCGAGCGTGTGTGAGTTGCCATGCGGCAAAGACTCGATGCGAAGGGGGCATCCCCTGTGAGGAGTGTGTCCGCCGCAAGATGCAATGTTCTTTTCCAAACAATCCTGGGGCTGAAAAAAGGGGACATCACAGCTCATCGAGCTCTCCATTCTCAACTCCGAACCATGACCAGTTAGAGTCAAATCATTGTGAGAAGAAGAGAGAATCTATTGATCGCTATTTCGAGATTTTTCACCCACGTTGGCCTTTTATCCATAAAGGATCTTTCAATATACACCGGGAAACACCCTTACTTCTACAAGCAATGGTGGTGATAGGTATGTGGGCATCTGGAGAACAGTCTGCGCAATCTGCGGCTGTGGAGCTTCATGAAAAACTTGATTCTGCTATTCGAGAGCAAAAGGTACCTAGAGTCTTCAATGTATAAAATAAATGACTTGCTCACATGGAAATTATAGGAGAAATGGGATGCCTCAGAGGTCGACGGGGCGTGCAGTACCTGTTTGTGGCCAATCGCCACATACCAGGCTATCCTACTACATGTTATTTTCGCTGTCATTCTGAAGGCTGGAGGTGCTGTCAATCTCAATCTCAAAGCTTCTATATCTGCTGCAAGTCTGGATCTACTTCAATCTCTCGTTGGAAGCTGTCGAAAACTGGGCATGTTCTCTTACCCGGACATGCTTGGCAGGTACAAGGAAGCTGACCTGCCCTCATTTGTCTGGGTGGGGATTGAGGAAGTCAAGCGATTTGATATAGCACTGTATAAACTTGGTACGAAGCTAAACATTTCTGGCTCGGAAGGCAGAGATTTGCTTACTGCAAGTGAGCTTGAGTTCCCCCTCCCAAGCAATGATCTCTTGTGGCATTCAACTGAAAGACATGAATGGGAAGCTTATGCAAAGGAGGAGAATATGGTTTCTTTGAAAGACGATCTTCACGCAAAGTGGATTTCAAATTTTGCGGATATGTTGGAATCCTTTGGTCTATAAACAGGTCGACCTGAGCGCTGGCGGGATACCGGTGGGAGACCGATGAGTGGGAGGCCGACGTGGATAAAATGCATTTATTAATCATAGATAATCAGCATTCCTGAATCTATAAATTTGGCCACAAACCCACGGATCCTTGGAATTATTCTCAAAAGAATCTCCCAATTTATCTTTACTGCAAGTAGTACGATGGCTCTCCCACAGACCTACAAGGCCTTCCGCCACAGCAAGGGCAACACACCCACAACACTTGAAATGGTCACAGAAGAGCTTCCATCTTCGTTGAAACCAACTGAAGTACTCATTCGCATTCATGCTGTATCTCTGAACTACAGAGATGCAGCAATTATGCACGGAAAATACCCAGCTGGGGTGACCGAGCAAGGTATCCCCACTTCTGATTGCGCCGCTGAGGTTATCAAAATTGGATCTGAGGTTGATGATTTCCAAATTGGAGATCGAGTGGCCCCTATCTTTGATTTGAACAACATCGATGGCACGGAAGAGGAGAAAGTGATACTGGGTGGTGATGTCGATGGAGTATTGCGCGAATATGCAGTGTTCGATCGCAATGTCTTGTTCCATCTGCCTAAGCACCTTTCCTGGGAAGAGGTTAGCATATTTCAAGGAAGAGCGATGAATGGGTTACTAACTTTGTGATAGGCTGCGTGTATCACTTGTGCAGGAACGACAGCATGGAATGCGTTGGACATGCCCCGATCAAAAGGCACCGCTCTTCTCCAAGGTGAGATCCAAACAGACCTCAAGTCAAGGTCAAATACCCTAATGATCTTTATTCAACTCTAGGTACTGGTGGCGTTAGCATGTTCAGTCTCCTGATCTGCGTGGGCGCTGGCATCCGCCCGATCATCACCTCGTCCTCCGATCGAAAACTGGACCAAGCAAAGGCAATCGCAGGTACCGACGCAGTTGATACTATCAACTACCGAGACCATCCAGAATGGGAAGAGGAAGCACGAAGTCTTACCAACGGACGAGGTGTGAATGTTGTTGTTGACAACGTCGGGCCTTCTTCGATCGCCCAGAGTCTCTCCTCTCTCGCTAGAAGAGGAACTGTGTCTTTGGTTGGATTCCTGGGAGGATTTGATACGGAACAATTCCCTGACACGGTCATCCCGACTTTGATGAAGAGCGCTACCATTAGGTTTGTTGCCCCCTTTTCCGCCAAGGCAATAGAAATACTCATCTCGTTGTTCTAGAGGGATCAATGTTGGCTCCAAGGCTGACCACCAAAGCGTGTGCGACTTCCTTTCAGAGAAGAACATCAGTTTGAAGCCTATTCTGGACACCAAGGCATTTTCTTTCGAGGATGCGCCGGCGGCATTTGATCACCTTTGGGATGCGAAGCACATGGGCAAAGTTGTAATCAAATTTTGAAGGTGATATTAGTACGAGCAGGGCAATGCTGTAGAGCTTGGCTTTTGACATCTTATCTTTCGGACCGTTTTGTTTCAGACACTATCGTTAACTTGATCTGGTGAAAACCTGACAATCCAATAATCACAATGAAACTTTGGCCATGCCCACGACTAGTTTACTAAGAGCCGCCTTACTACTTGCACGTAGATACTGATTAGCATAGCGATTTATATCGGCCGACAAATATTATCCCTGCTCAATGTGGAGCAACGCAGTGGCCTTTTTGCTAATCGTTAGTCACTTTCTCGCCATCGGGTGGTGAAGGCACGCAATCCTCTCAACTTCCCCCTCACGATTGAACATAATTCGCAACTCCCACAGCTATTGACGTTCACATAGCATTGCTTCTCATCCTTTTTGCCGTGTCTATCCTAGTTGTTCCGCGTAACGCAATTGCGAACATGGAAGACGTGAGAACCCACTACATGGCAACTCTGCTTGTTTCGCGACTGTCTGCAGAACTCCAATTGGCTGCAGATTCGACATCAAAATGCTGGGCATTCAATATAGGATAGACCCTGCGATGTTTAAGTATTCTCGGCCCTGCCCATTTGACCTTGGCTTTCCTCAGCATAGCCAAAATCATGTCTAACACGATAAATACGGCTAAGTTGGCGCTAATATCTCAAGGGGCAGCCTATGGCCTGCTTATTGGGCTGGGAGTCGTTTTCTGTGGAGTTATTCTCATCGCAGTCACGGTCCAGAAAGCGTATCTGGCAGAAGATTCTGGGAAATCTGAAATGTTCATGGTCGCCAACCGATCTGTTGGTACTGGTTTAACTGCTTCGGCTGTCTTTTCATCGTGGATGTGGATTAATGAGACGGTTTTGGCGGCTGCGATGTGTTATAGGTATGGACTTGCTGTTCCTTTGGTATGTCTCCCTACATCTGGTATCATGGCTTTGCAACTGACAAGTGTCTAGTGGTGGGGATCTGGTCTTTGCTTCCAGATCGCATTGATGGCCGCTCTTGGCGTCATGGCCAAGATTCGGGTGCCTTATGCTCATACATCGCTTGAGATTGTCCGTATGCGGTATGGAAAGATTGGGCATCTCATTTTTATTGTGCTCAATCTTGTGAACAACGTTTTCGGGTGCGCTTCTATGATCATGACTGGATCTCAACTGATCTACGGTGTATCTGGGATGCACTTTGTTGCAGCGACCATTTTGATTCCACTTGGAGGTGAGTTGGCATGAATACAAAACCTTTTGACCAAATACTAATTACGCTACAGTGATCCTCTATACAGCAGTCGGTGGTCTGAAGGCTACCTTCCTGACTGATTTCTTGCACACGGCGATTGCATTGATTCTCATCATCTATTTCACGATCGCCGTTTTGACCAACTCAGAAGTCGGTGGACTGGGTGGTCTGTATGATAAGGTTGTTGCAACAGCTGGAGAAAATTACATATCAGGAAACTATGAAGGTTCTCTTCTTACATTCAAGTCCAAGAACGCAATCATCTGGGGTCTGATTCTCAAGTTCGGAAACCTGGCCCTGGTTGTCATGGTAGGCAACTCTTAGTTCGATGTCGGGGGGCATTTAAAGCTGACAATTTTTCATTTAGGATACCGCATTCTGGCAAAAGTCCTTCGCAACCGAAGTCCAAGCCACGGTGCCAGGATACAACATCGCCGCCGTGGCTGTATTTGGCATCCCATGGGGCCTGGGAACAGTCCTTGGATTAACCGCCCGAGCAATCCACAATACCCCGATCTTCCCAACGTACCCTGGTACTCTCACATCGACAGAAGTTCGCATGGGAATGGTCATGCCCTATACCATTAAAGCACTGATCGGAGACAAAGGCATCATCGGATTCTTCTTCCTGCTCTTCATGGCCCTGACCAGTACAATCTCGTCATCCATGATCGCTGTCAGCAGTATACTGTCATACGATCTCTACAAAACTTATCTCAATCCCAAGGTGACAGACAAACAACTTGTACGTGTTAGTCATTTGACTGTAGTGATCCACGGCGTGTTTATCACGGGTATTTCGATCGCGATGAACTACGGAGGTGCCAATATGACTTGGATCAGCTACATGCGACCGATCATCTCATGTCCTGGGATCATACCACTTATTTTCACTTTGTTCTGGTCTCGTCAAACTAAATTGGCAGCCATTGTCTCTCCTGTTCTTGGCTTTTTCACAGGCCTTGCTGTCTGGCTCGCAACGGCCAAGTCAATGTATGGTGCCGTTGACATTGCCGCTACTTCAAATAACTATCCCGCGCTCTACGCTGCTATCGCATCTTTTTTCTCACCGGCCCTCTACTCAGTTATCTTGTCGCTTTACAGGCCGTCCACATTCGATTGGAGGGAATTCTTACGCATTGAGCTTGCAGATGAGGCCCGGATTCATCCGGCGTCGGACACGAGCACGCTCAACGAAAGCAGCGAGGAAGATCAAAAAGATGAAAAGCGAGTTATTGGATCTGTTAAGTCAGTTGCCGACAGACCGTCGGAAGCGAACACCGATCCCGAGCATATCGGTCCCAGCGAAAAGAACACCCCGACAACTGTCTCATCACCGGCCTCAGTTGAGTATAGTTTGGACAACATCCAACATCCATTCGACGATGCGACTCTCAAAGAGTTATACCGATGGCTCAAAATCGCCTGCTACATGTTCGTAGCCATCGTGTTAGTAACATTTGTCGCCTGGCCATTGCCTCTCTACCGTGACTATATCTTCACAAAGCCGTTCTTCGCAGGCTGGGTAACGGTTTCTATCATCTGGCAATTTGGTGCATTTGGGGCTGTTGTCGTTTATCCGTTGTATGATGGGCGACGCGAGATTGCGATTGGTGCTCGAGGTATTTGGACCTCATCTTTAAAGTACTTCGGCAAGAAACAAGCAGCCTAGATTCACGACAGACCTCGAGATTGAACATAAATTTGATAGCGAGATTTCTAGACTAGAATTCATCTGCATGTTTATGACCCACAGAATAAATTATGCACTGCAACATAACAGTCGGGGTCCCAATCGGGATGGCCCGCCATGTCTCGTATTGCCTGTTGTAGAACTTTCCTCAGAGGTAGCTTGGCGACTTAATTTTCAACAATTAACGGTCCTCTGCGAATTGTCTCCTTTGTTCCGCTCACCCTGCCACCTCAACGCCTCTTACTGGTATTAGGGGATCCTCTCTCGTCTCCTCGACTTCATCCTGAACCCCAAGATCCACCGACTCCAATGTCAACTCAGTCTCAGAACATCTATGACAACCCAAAGTTCTTCTCTGCATATGGTGATCTTCCAAGGTCCAAATATGGGATTTCAGCGGCACCAGAATGGCCCGTCATGCGAGATATGATCCTTACCGCCGCACCATCCACCGCAAACAACACGAACCACAACCTCCACGGCCAGAATATTCTTGATCTAGGATGCGGCTATGGCTGGTTCACCCGATGGGCCCGCGAGAATAGTGCTGGCTCTATCAGAGCAGTTGATATCTCTGAGAAAATGATTGACCGCGCAAAAGAGTTCGAAGTGGAAGCTTCCCTTAGCAAAAAAGGCCGTGGTGATTCGGTCTCCGACCCGAAAGTCATTTTCGAAACCAGAGATTTAGAGCGCATCACTTTCAGCAGCGAAGAGCGAGATAAATATGACCTCGTCCACAGCTCGCTCACTTTCCACTACATTCAAGATCTGGGACGACTCTTGTGCGAAATCCATGATTCTTTGAAAAAGGTGACCGCAACAGGCCAAAGAGGAAGACTGGTCTTTTCTGTTGAGCATCCAATGTGTACTGCACCTATCCATCCGGAACCAGACTGGAAAGTGGTACATGACGGATTGGAAGAATATAAAGTCTGGCCGTTAAACTCATATAGTGATGAGGGACTGCGATTGACAAATTGGCTCGGTACGGAGGGAGTCCGCAAATATCATCGGACTACTGAGACTTATGTGACAGTTCTATTGGAGAGTGGGTTTGTTTTGACAGGGCTCAAGGACTGGTCACCATCGAAGGAAGATGTGGCTGGTGAGCCGGCGTGGGATATCGAGAGACATCGTCCTTACTTCTTGCTTATTTCTGCTGAGGTTAAATAATAGACTGGATGCCAGTTGGTCTGTTGCCATGGTATATGAGACAGCTTTGATATGAATTCTGCAGGCGAGTTCGCACCGCTAGTTACACTGTTGTTATCTCTGTCCCCTCCTTTTTTTTATTTCGCCAGATAGAAGCCCACGAGCAGACTGTACTTTACTTTTGCTCTTTTTAGATTACGGGAGATCTAAGATCTGAATCTACCCTACTCCTACCTTCTATCCGATACCACGTGGGTATATCTACAGAGTCAACATCATGGGATACTAATTCGGATTTCGTGCAAAGCAGCGACAGCCAATCCGATACGATACAGCGACCGCCATCTTCGATGTGTGGGTAGACAATGTCAAGTTCAACTCGAGCAGAGAAACGATAACGCAGAGTTTGCAGAGATGTCCAATCCTGGCAGCAGCAATCCCGGCAGAAGAAATAATCGCGAGTATTGACAAGTCCCCGCCACAGATTAAAGCGATGGCTAGCCACCTCTCCCTGTGCGATAAAGAGCAGTTCCCTCTGGACCATAATGACTTTTATCATAGTAACATCATGGTGAATGAGAAGACATTCGATGTGACAGGAAGCACTGACTGGGAAGGTGCATGTACTGTTCCGTGGGAGCTCATCGCATTTTCTGAGCTTCCTACAGCCATGTCTGTCTCTTTTGAACTTGTACATCATTCTGACCAAGATGAACAACCCTTGGGTGAGGAGCAACTGGAGACGTGGCGCGAGCGAAGAGAGTATATCGGGATGGTTAGATTGGCTAAGCTCAAGAACAGTCTACTCTCGGATTGCCTTAGTAGCAAGAGGAGCCAGACTATAGGGGCGTATATTTCTGCTGGGAAGCTAGGATTTCATGATCGAGTTATCAAAGAGTTGGAAAAGGAGCAATGACGTTCAATAGCAAATGTGTCTCCAAAATCAGATTGAGCAGCAGATGTAGTAGTGAGCCTTCTGGATTTTCTATAGACATCATGCGGAGTACCCCTGAGCCATATCGGCAGGCCCGAGTTTACAAAGTCGATACTCAATGCAGGCAACAGCTTCAGTTGAGGCGCAGGGCCATTTGGTTACGCTAGTCCCGATTAAGTATGCAGTTGGTTAAAAAATTCGAGAGTGGGTCAAGACTTGGAAGCGGCTATAGCGGCCATTTCGACTTAAGTCTTACTTGATGAGTGACTTCTTGAAATCCGACCTCCTCCATGTGATTATTATAGCATCAGACTTGGGATCCTTCATCACAATCAGCTATGAAACAGTCGGCCTTTCTTTCTCCCTCATCTACATAGAGAATTAGGCTTATCCCAGTAGATAGAATGGTCCTGTTTCTGTGGCCGCAATATCCTTTACAGGCAAGCACTAAACCTAATTGGGCTAGGAATGCGACGAGACAGGACGGGCGGCCACACTATTGGTCCACATGTACTAAGCCTTCAGAAGTAAGCAGCCCTGCAAAAAAGATACAGATCCACAATCTTATATTTTCTTGGGGCGCGTGGCTCTGACCTTGAATTTGACGGCACAGCCTCAGGAGGTCTAGCAGCCCTATTTGGGGTATGAGTGCGAGCTGAAAGATGCAGGAGGTTAAATAGCAGCCCGATGCCCTTGAATTGAGCATCACACCAAACCAAAGCATTTGCCCCATACCCTATTTTAACCGGCCATCATGATCGACTATCGCCATGGAATCTCAATCCTAGAGATCATTGTTTACAGCCCTACTCTATTCCTTGCCCTTTGGATGGCCTTCCACCATGGATTCAAGAAGAGTTCTGGATGGTACTTCTTCGTTGTTTTCTCTCTTGCGCGCATCATCGGTGCAGCATGCTACCTGGCCACGATAAATGCGCCTTCCAATATTAATCTTTACATCACATGGGCTGTCTGCACGTCGCTGGGCATATCACCATTAATCTTAGCTTGCATAGGTCTTCTGTCGCGAGCGTGAGTACCATTCACCACCCTCTTCAACTTGCTTGGCAGTAACTGATTATACTCGTAGCAACGACTCCATAATGCGAAAAACAGCAAAGCCACTCTCTCCCATGCTCTTCCGAGGCGTTAGTCTTATCTCGATGGTTGCCTTGATTGTCAGTATTGTCGGAAGCACCGAGAATAGCGACATCACCCACGGCCTGGTAAACACCAAGACACAAGTTGCCCTTGTCCTCTTCTTGGTCACCTGGGTCGGAGCATGCATCCTCTTCCTCCTCATTGCAGCCCGCTCTCGCAGCATCGAAGATGGAGAACATCGCTTACTCCTTGCAGTCGGAATCTCGCTTCCTTTGATCCTCGTTCGACTGGTCTACTCGTTCATTTATACTTTCGGCCATAAGTCTGAATTCAGCATGCTTTCGGGAAACGTCACCATCCAACTAGTCATGTCCATTTTGGAAGAGATTATTATCGTTCTCGTGTGTCTAGGAATCGGTCTTACACTTCAAGTGCGACCCAATCCGGAGTACTCCCACCAGCCCAGTGTCTCCGACCGACAGGGGGACTCTATTGAAATGGAGAATGATACCTATCAGGGACATCAATCTCGCAGGGAGAAGACGCAACGGCCCAAGCGTCGTGGTGGTCCTCTGTACCTACTGGTGATGTTCATCGTGGATACAATCAATGACAGGAGAAAGTGATGTGGGTCTTGATCTGTTTTGGATTAGAAGATGGAGTGCCAATTTCGATTAAGCGATTTGTTCATATAGAGAGAAATTTGATACCTTCATGTTTTTGAATTAAATAACGTTAGACTTTCCAAGTCATGTTTACTTGCACTTTTGAGGCCACTGAAGATTATTGTATCCTTGTTCGGATTGTACACGTTTAAATTAAATACACGTATAACAGGGGCTGAACTATGTTTACAGCGCCACAAAGCACGAAACAATCTCTATTTGAATACCTCGAAACGAATGTATTATTTTTACATTGTTCGTGCCTGAGCTCGGCCTCTCACCTTTCGTCTCCTTTTTGGCCAATTTCGAGTGCCTTATGTTGATCATCTACGTTGTTGAGAGATGTGGGTTGCCAGAGGACCCATGCCATGGTCATCCATATATATGTTGATGGCCCCTCCCAATACCATCAGGTTTGTTTTTGAATATCAAAATTATTCATCTACCAAGCTCCGAGTGCTTTGGAAAACGAATTGCGCAGTGTCCGAGAAAAATGCCTCTTTTCATAGTAGAATGTATACGAGAATGTATGACGTCAGGACTGAGGCTTCACTCCAGGCAGAAGCGGCAAACGGTGAAGAAAGGTAGCCTACACCAAGCAAACAAGATCTCCGCAGTTGAAGCAATCAGATCTTTACTTCTACAATGGGTGTTCCAGCTCAACTCCATTGGGGCTTCTTCCAATCATACTGCTGAAGGGATCGCCTTGATGGATCCCGGCACAGGGTCTCCCCTGTTCATCGCCCAGAAGACACTGTGCTACTACCCAATCAGCACAATATACAACTCGTGTCCTCGATACCTTTTCTATGCACTCATTCTTGCAAGCTGCGTGACTCGGTGGACCGGATGGCTTGCGGACGTGTTCCTGGGCGCTGCAGCGACATACGCAGGGACAGCAGCCATTCAAGCCTTCATCCTCCTTTCCGCCCAGCAAAAGCCACAGTCACCTAGTCCAATTACTATTCCATTCATATCAGCAAATACAAGCCTTACCAGTGACTTTCCTGAACTGGTCACCGAGACAGACTATATTGTGCTTGCACCTGCATCTTTGGAGTTAGATGCCGATGCAGTTCTTGCTATTGTCGTTACTGGGTACCTCGTGTTCCTACCCCTTCAAGCTTGGTCGCGTGTCTTGACGCACGATCGAGCCCGCAACTTGCTGTTCTACCTTTGGAATATTCTCATGCTGGCGGGCTCGATCTGCGCTCTGATCTATGCAGCAAGGGTACCAAACACGCCCACACAGTACATGTTCTGCTATCCCGACATTCCTCCATATGATGATACATCAAGCGATGGTTGGCAGTCCTCCTGGAGGACTTCGACCTGGAATAGTAGTGTATGGGAGACATTCTCAAACATCTCAGTCTGGGGCCAGATAGGAGATATTTGCTACAACCCTTGCTTCAACACTACCCAGATTCTTCGACAGCAGACCTCGTTGCACTCAGCTACTGTCACAGAGGACTCTGCAGCGCCGTCATCGCATGGCTTTTGGAACAAAATCCTTTACTCGAAGCGATATATCTACAGTCTCATCATCTTGTGTCTCGTTCTCAATTGCCTATTGCTGGTTTTCAAGTTTCTCCCTTACAAATCACGAATTCCCTCTTCTCAGATTGTTGTTATCTGGAAAAGTCGACGGAAAATCTGGAACGGCTTCAAAGAAGATGTTCGCCATGGAATACAACGTCCGCTGGACGAGAAACCTGGAAATGAGGAGGGCCGGACAGTGGCCTATCCCGCCAAAAAACAATCACTTTGGCACCGACTGCGGCCTTTTCTTACCTGGCAGTTTGTTAACGCATTTCTGCATGTTTCAGTCGATGCCGGAATTCTCTTCGGCATGCTTTTCAGTATGATTATCAGCCCTTTTACTATTGTCGCGTTCGTCGCATGGGCTGAGTGGACTCTCTATAATGATGGTCCTTCACAAGAGAGTCCACAACAGGTCGGACAGTGGGCATATCTGGTCTCGATTGCACTTCTTGTGATCTCTGCAGGAATTTTAACGCTCAAATATCGCATCGCCTCATCCACGGAGTTGGATAATGAGATTGAAGCTACACGAATGCACTTGACTAATCTGGAGGAGAAGAGAGAGGCCCGGTCGGAATCCGATGAGCTTTGACGCCAGTTGACGGCGACATCATCACGAAGCCACGTGAGATTGGCAAAACCACAAGATAGACAATTTCTAAATATGGTACTTTGCTCAAGTCAAAGCACCCCTTCCCGACAGGCTTCAGTTATCCAATCAACTGGATTGCCAAGAGAGACCTACTTTTCAGACTGCTGAGAGAAGTTTCTTTGTTTATCCTGGATACCTTCCCGTATTCGCTGGGATAATTTATCGCAATTAGGTACTCCTTTGGATAGATTGAAGCTCCCTGGTCCCGGAGCACGCTATCCTTTTGGAATCTTGCTCCGTGCTTCCGCAAATGCTAGCTCTACCCACAGTTCGCGAGAGCTTCTATCGTTCAGTCGGATAATGAAAAACTCAGTGCCAATCTATGGGCGATGATTACCAAAGACCATGCTCCAAACCGGGCTACCATAAATTCACTTACCCTCCCCCTCCCCCCCAGACACTAGAAGCATGGGCACGAGATTCCCGACTTTTTCCATGCCCACAGTGCAATTATCACCAGAGGTAGTGGCGTCCAGTTTCAACGTAGCCTACAAGAAACGCAAAACATTCACATGACCAAAGACCCTGACGTATCAACAGCAAAGAATCCGATGAAAGAAACCCAAGTCGCATCTAAGCGATGGCCAAACCTTGATAGACGATCACTTGGCAAATGTGCGGGGGTGGACCTCATCCCCAAATAGGAACATAAGACATGAAGCTATCCCTGTATCCCTTCAAAACAAGGTCAATGCTTTGCTTTTTCCATTGAAATGAGACATTCGATTCGAGGAGACAGTTCCCAAGATGGCTGGGATTTGCATATCGACTGGTATTGCATCGCGTTGCGAGCGTGTTACATTTAACAACAATCCTCGGCACTGACCGTTCCCCGCCCTGGGGGTTGCATACGGGATTCTTTTATCTACCGATATTCTGCTGTGTCTTCTTTTACAAGGATTATCTTCGTCTTTGTCCTTACCCCTGACTGCAGACTTTACTATGGCCACGCAGAGCAAACAAAGTCTTGAATGTGTGGAAGACCTCTCCCCTGTTGGCACAACCGAGAAGAGGTCGTATATTCCGCTGTGGCAATCACTAAAGAAGTGGCCTAGAATCGTGGGCTATTGTCTCGCCTTGAGTTCCGCGATTCTGCTCTATGGGTATGACCTCGTCATCGTGGGAACAGTGGCCGCGATGCCTCAATTCCAGTATATCTCTCAATCCTGTATACAAAATCGAGAGGATCTTGCTCACACACAGAAAGGCTCGTATTCGGACAAGAGCTGGACGGCAAATACATCATCCCGTCGATGTGGCTCTCTCTTTGGAACGTATCTAGTTGTATCGGCATGATGATCGGCTCTATTCTCGGTGGCTATTATCAAGATCGTCGCGGTCGACGTCTGACGCTTGCAATAGGCAGCTTCCTGTCTGCAATTGCGATCGCGATATGCTATATATCGGATCTACCCGATAGTATCGAATCGCGTCGAGGTGTGTTCTTCGCTGGTAAGCTCTTTCAAGGAATCTGTATTGGAATTCTCCTGTGCGTTACGCAGACATACATGTCTGAAGTTCTTCCCGTGGTTCTGAGGGGACCTATAATTGCTTTCTATCCGATCTTCACACTACTCGGCCAGCTGGTTGGATCTATTGTGGTCTATACTTCGCTCAAGCACGTGGGCCGCGAATCATATCGTATTTGCTTTGCGTCGCAGTGGCCGTTCTCGGCTGTGCCTTTTGTGCTGGCGGCTATATTACCAGAGAGTCCAACTTGGCTTCTGAGAAAAGGGAGAGCGGAAGCAGCTTTGAAGGCACAGAAGAAGCTGAACACGCCAAGTATTGACTCGCAGGCTGTTATTGAAGAGTTGCAGGCTTCTATTCTGGCCGAACAGGAGGAGAAAGACACGCACACATACATTGACTGCTTCAGAGGAGCGAACGCCCGGCGAACCTGGATTGTTGCTTTTGCGAGCTTGTTGCCGCAGATGTTTGGACTGCAGCTCCTGGCCAATGCCTCTTATTTTATGCAGATCGTGGGAATGAGCTCGACGAATAGTTTGATCTTTTTGATTTTAGGGATTGGGCTAGGTTTGATTGCTAATGTGGTTAGTCTCTGGACATTGAATGCCTTTGGCAGACGTTCGCTCATTTTGGGAACACTGGGTGCTGCTATGGTGCTCTGGCTAGCAATGGGGATTGCAGGGTGCTTTACTGGCACCGTAATGATCTGGTAATACCTCACCACCACAATGCGAAACAGATCTTTAATCCGTTAACAGGTACACATCCATCACCATGATGGTCGTTACTATGGTCTCCGGTCTTGGGACCTGGCCTGCAGCGCACGTTGTCGCATCTGAGACATCGTCCCTGCAACTCCGAGCCAAAGCGCAAGGCATTGGTTGGTTTACTTCCGGAGTTGGCACAGGTGTCTTCGCGATCATCTTGCCATACATTTACAACGCGGATGAAGGAAACCTGCGAGCCAAGACTGGATTTGTTATGGCTGGATTCGCTGCGGTCGGAATCATCATTTCATGGCTATCTGTTCCGGAGATGAAAGGTCGAACGCCTATGGAGATTGATCGTATGTTCGCGCTGAGACTACCGACTCGAGCGTTCAAGCGTTGGGAAAGTGATGTTGTTGTTGCGAAAGAGACTGAACAGCCTAGTCGACCGATTTAAACATGATCTCTCTATGTAACCATGTCCACGTCGTTATCTTGAATCCGACCCAGTTTTCCTGTTTAAGCCTTACTTAATCATCATAGCTGATACAAATACTTGATCTTTGTCGTCTTATCTATTTCTACCTCCCAGATCTTTCTCCCTGTTCACCACTCAACTATACTGAAGCTGGGCCTCCAAGCTCGGACTCGATCTATCCCGGATCGAGGATTTCGCCCTAACTAATGAAAAACCACAACCCCTGCCGAAACTCGTGTACATAGTGATCAGTATCACAAGCCGGTTGATAAGAAAGAAAAATAGTCCAAGCAAGATACATTTCCGCTTTTAATATGAGTGGTGACAAAACAGGCACAACAAAATACAAGGCTCACCCTTCGTCCCCAAATGGTCGATCTGATAGGTATTCAGGAAGCCATTTGGGGGCCAAACAGCCCCATGGGGCTCAAAACCGACTAACCTATTTTATTGTACCTTGGAGCTTTTGCTGTCTGCCTATATCTTGCACTATTTTGGATCGCTTGGCTTCTCAACATCTATACTGGTTACCATTTTCAAAATGGGAAACCTGCAAACTGGTGACACGGCACCTTCTCTACTGCCAAAAGTCAGACTTTCCTTGTCGCATCGCATCAATTGCTTCCTTAGATTGTGGTCCTTCAAATTTGTTGCCATTGCATTCTTCGTTGTGCGCAGGCTCCGGTATCCATTGGGACCTGCAACTCGGTCAACACTGGTCAAATACTATCCATATCGATTGGGTCTCCAGTGCCGGATCTTCTTCCCACCAGGGTAAAAGGCTGGACAACGTCTTCCTTTATACTTCAACATCCATGGCGGTGGATTCGCCCTCTTTGATGCAGAGCTAGATGATGAATTTTCTTCCTCCTGGGAACTGGAACGATAGTTGTGAGCTTAAGTTACCGGAAAGCTCCATTGTACCCATTCCCAACTCCACCTTACGACATTCATGCACTCGCCATTGCCGTTCTCGCGGATGAATCTTTACCGATTGATCAAGATCGTGTGAAGATAGGTGGTTTCAGTGCAGGTGCTCAACTAGCACTGTCAGCTTCGTAGCTTCCTGGCCTGAAGGGCATTGTCAAAGCCACCGTCCTCTATTGTCCCACTGTTGATTTCAGCCATCCCCCAGATGAAAAACTCGGCGCAGCGGCCATTCTCTGATGGACCGAAAGAAAGTCCCGAAGTGTCGTCGTGGTGGTATGACTAGGCTTTTGTTTCCCCACGTCAAAATAGACGGGATCCTTTGCCGAGTCCATGTTATGCGAAGAGGGAATATTTGCAGCCTTTGCAGCCTTATGTTTACTGTGTTGGTGCACAGTGGGATATGTTGCAATAAGAGTCCCAGAAAATGATTCATGAGCTTTCTCGCATGGAACATAATCTGTGTGTATCTTTTGCATGTGGAGCCAAAAGCCTTGCCCAATTCCTCCAACCGGCCATATCAGGAAGACCCTTTTTTGGGGGCGAAGAGATTCAATTGGTCATGTCTAGGATTTGCGAATCGTTCCCTCATTAGTGTGGGCCAGAAAGTCCTGGGCCGCCGAGGCTCAAAAGATGGACACTGCTAGGCAATGGCTATTTTTAGTCAACTTGCACGGGGCATGTTTCGCCCCGTTTTAGTTGCTTTACCTCTGCAGATCATAGAGACATGGCTTTCGTTTCATATGTCATCAGACCAGCCTGCAGTTCGTTCGATCACTAAGCCTCGCGCACTTCTAACAAGGCATATGATGGCGGCTCCTAAGCTTGGGATTTATGAGCCGTAACCCAAAGTGACCGTGACACCGTAAAATGATCCCTGTGGCTGATGCAGGGAATATTTTTCACTTGCAAGCGCATAAGAGGACCAGCCAATTGGGGTTTCCAGTACCACTTTAAGCCACGTCGCCCGTTAGGCTACCGCGAGCGATTCATGTTTGCTCCATAAGAAGCCAGGGCCGCCCTTGAAACCCCTTGGCTGCGACATTACCACAGTTCCACACTGGCTCTGTGTCTTCTTCTCTGTGCCAACTTCATCCAAAAAGGTCCGTATCTGCTCGTGTCTTTATCGCTTTTCGTCGTCTGTGCATTCAGTATGTTTAACTCCTTTTTGCCCACTTACTGTGATCTTTCTTTTACTAACCATGTTATCCAGGACCTCTACGACATGAGAGTAATCGCATACCTACTGTCTGGCGTTTATGCGACCACGGCCCTGGCTGCTAGCTACCCTAGCCCCGGTTCCGATGCATATGCTGAAGCGGAGGCCGAGTGCGGGTCGTTGGGGGTTATGACAGTCGATCCAGATAACTTGCCAGAGGGAGTCACTCTCGCGGATGTTCGCAAGTGTAGAGAACATCCTCTGGGCCACCTGGCATATCCTGGTGCTGATGATCTCCTCCGTCGTTGGTTGCCAGATTGGTTCTTCTAGAAAAAGCATCTCTGCATACTTGTCTCAGGCCATTAATATGTGTTGGAACTTGCTGTCTTCCGTAACTTGCTCAGCCAATAAGGGCATTCAAATCTCTGTCATTTATTACTTGCTATTTCTTGCTATTTATGCTATGCTCATCCTTTGTAATCCGCTCATTCGGAGTTACTATAATTCCGGTTCTCAATCCGTATTCATGAATGCAGCACTGACACATAAGTAGTCGAGGGTCCTGACAGATGCACTGACAAGAATCGGGGTAGTCCACAAGAGTTTGATACTGATGTGATACATGTCCCCATGGAGTCCGTGACACGGAGCCGCCGAATTCTTTGTGCCTAATAGATATAACGTATGATTTTGGGGGCAAGGGATCCTCTAGAAAACGAGGGCAGCCTAAATATCATTAACACACTAACCATCACAGAATAAATGGCCTATTCAGGGCCTGTCTCTATTGGGTAAGGTCTAGATTGGGTTAAACAAATCAGGGGTGCTCACTAGGCATTACTAAGGTATCAGTGAGCACTCACTAAGCACTAACTGAGCGATCCGGAACACGCACTAAGCATGCCCAATTGGTCACTAGCACTCACTAAGCACTCACTGAACACGCACTTTCGCTCACTGAGCACGCCACCAATTAGTCATCATACACGTGACCGAATCAGAGCATACTCACTGAGTCTAAGCCCGTGCTGACATCTCACTGATCCTGAGCCTGGGCGCCCTCATAAAGCGGCGGCAGCCCAGATAGGAAAGGCCCCACCCGGCAGACATTATCCTGTCTATATAGTCGCATACAACAGCGGTCGTCTCGGAAATAAAGGCAGCACAATAGATTTGGCAACTGAGGGGAACTTTGCAGACTTAGCGCTTACTTGGTCAAGACAATCATCATATTCAACCCCATGTATCACTATATTATTAGTCGTCAACTAGAGAAATCGCTCATAATCAGTGAGTTTTCTCCAGTTTATACTCTTATGTGCTGCTCGCGATCCCGTATGACTAATCTGCGCTGCATTCCCGAATAGTTGACTCTGTTTTCAACACTTCTCAACAATTAACGAAGATTGTTCACCACAACTGTCCTTGTTTCTGATAAATGGCGGATACCCCGGGAAAGGAGATTCCGACAAAACGTGCATCGAGAAACTCACTGTCTTGCGCACAATGTCGCTATAAACATCTGCGTTGCGACGGCCGCAGACCGGCATGCACGCGCTGTGAGACGGAGACGAAACAGTGTATTTATCCTCCTTCACGACGGCGTGGAAACCCAAAAGAGAAGCAGTCGGCATATTCGGGTAAAGCTCCAGTCCTGGAAAGCTCTATCGACTCCTCGTTGGACAGTCATTTCCCAACAACTAATCCTTCATCGTCATCCTCAATTGCTGTTACTGGTGAACTTGAAGCATCTTTTAATTCGAATTCTCAATATTTGGGCCTATACTATGAGTCATTCCACTCGGCTCACCCATGTGTCCTGCCACTTTATGCGTTGAAACAACGACTCACAGATCCGGCAATCCAGCCCCTTCTTCGGGTTTTGTGCTATGTTGGGTCAATTTTTGATAGCTCAGGCCCAGCTAAGATATGGTATCAGCGTGCTCAAGAAGCAGTGGGTGAGATTCGCATGGCGACTCGCCCCCCCACAGCCTTTGACGTTCAAGCTGTACTTCTCTATTCCATCGCCGTTTACTGGTGCAACGAGCCGGACCGAGGGGTTGAGCTACTCGATGAAGCAATTCGCATTGCGGTATCTATTGGAATGAACAAGAAAGAATTTTCTCAGACATATGGAAATGGCGACTCTCTCTTCGAGGAAAGCTTGCGACGTACTTGGTGGGTTATTTACATCACCGACGCCCACATCGCAGGCAGCACACACACATATCCATTTCGGACTAGTGGTATTGATATCACTACGGATCTTCCCTGTGAAGAAGATGAATACGAGGTTGGAGTAAGTGAACTTCTACCCCTCACTTGGCTGTGAACTGACATTGTCATCAGAATATCCCACCATCAAGATCCATTGAGGATTATGAAAACCGTGAATTTTTCACAGAAGACGACCCTGAATTTTCGTCTTATGCGGAACTTATTGGTCTCACCCTAGGAATTGATCGGGCGTTGTCGCCAGGAAGCACGACAGATGCTCAACTCTACATTGCTATGGCTTCCGCATCTGATACCAGCACCCGAGCGTGGTACAGTCTGCTTTCGCCTTCGAAGAGAGATCCCATTCGGCCTGATGGTTCTATTGACGAGGTCATGTTCAAAGCATTATTCATCATGCACACGTTAGTGTTCTATTGCTGAGCCTTTATCATAGGTTTCTGACATGTGTCTAGGTACTCTGTCGAAATCCACCGACCGCTGTCCGCATTGACACACAGTGCAATTGAATCTGTCTCGCGTTGTGCTCCGAGGGCCCCATCAGACCAATTGAAATGCAACAATGCAAAAGAAAGGGACCTCCACACTCTGAAATGCACCAATGCCATAAACAGCATCGACAAACTGCTGACTCTTCCAACCAACATGAAATCACACTCTCCATTTATCATTTGCATGATTGCCAATGTGGCAATTGCACATCTATCTGCTTGCCGATTTATCTACCATGGCCAGAAACTGTCTCAAAGCCGTGAGAAGATTCGTTTGACGATGGGCACTTTGAAACATCTCAGCGAGCATTGGGTTCTTGGCAAGAGAACATACCGTGAAATCGGGATTATTGCCCGAGAGCTATTATCACTTGCGAAAGATACCCCTGTGGCTTTACCGGCAGCTGACTTGGCTCTCCCCGACCCTCCCTCTATGGATATGCCTGCCTTGGGTATGCTTCCGGACGGAAATTTCGACTTCTGTGCCTTTTTTGATGCGGGCACATCTGGCCTCAGTGAGCCGAGCATGCAGTTTATTCTGTGACGACTGCTACGAACCTATAATATAATACTTTCTCTTCTCAAATTCCTGAATCAATCCTCTAATTTGCTGCTGGGATTGGACAGATCAATTTTAACATTAATTTATTGCAAACTAACGAGTGATTATACAAAACGCAGTACGTACGGCCACTACAATCCCTGTGTTATGATTTCCATTCTGACAAACAATGTTCACATCTCATCCAGTTCAGGCTCCCGATCCGGATCTTTGGGAGCAGGCTTGGCTTTTTTGTTCTTGCCAATGGGCATCTTCCCTCGGACGCTATCATAAATCTCTTCCATTGTCTAACGATCAAACGGTCAGTGAGGTCGGGCGATATGAGGTGTATGACACTGTACTAACTGGATGATAAGACTCCTCCACGCCTGGATTTTTATTTCTGCGCTTGAGGATCTCAGACTTCAAAGGAGAGTCCTCGAAGTCATCCGGGAATGAGGCGCCGACATTCACTGCGAGTCAAGTATGTCAGCTATACTGCAAAAGTTTGAACAGGGGTGCAGGGTAGCCGTACGCCCAACTTCCCCTTCGTTCTGAGGCTCGGTCTTTGTTTGCACTGAGGCTCGGGTTAGTCGAGGGAGGTAGGAAGCTGAAGATCTGGTGATATATCGTTTGATAAGAACGTTGTTCATGTTGTCTGAAGCGTGTACATGAGTAAACTATTAATTCTGACGTTCGCTCAAGATTTGTTTTAAAAGAAGAGCTCAGGCGATATCCATGGCTATGAATACGATGATGATGTCAGTCCCATTAACGTCTTGAGTCTGAACTCGTATATCACCAGACAGCTCAAGAGCCACTTCCCAAACAAACAATGATGACGTCAGTTGTCTTCTACTACCAAAGCAAGTTAAACGGTGGCAGATGATTAAATTTGAGGAGCCAATAAGAAAACGAGAATCACATAATTCGAAGACAGATAGGAGATTGAAGATTACAAATTCAAGAAATCTATAGATAATGGGCAGGAACTTGAGGCCAAGCATCGACGCCATCCAACAAGACCATTCCCATGCCGGACATGAAGTGCGTCTCCATATGACAATGCAAGAGGAATGGCCCTGGGTTCACAACCTGGTAGCGAATAGCAATCCAAGCTTCTCCGTTCGGCGCGGTAACAAAGGTGTCGCGGTACACAGGCGTTTCGAAGAAGCTGTCCGGGCTGCTCTCCTTTGCTTCAGCGATGGATCCCCATGTGAACTTTCCCATTGCACTACCAATCAAAAATGCCTTGTTGGAATGTTTGTGCATTGGGTGTGGTGGCTGTAGCTTGGTTGGCTCTGGGATGGCAAGCTGGAACACAATGTCTACCCACGTGCCATTAAGGGTCTCAATCTTGAGTGCAGAATCCAGACCCGGTGCTTTGGGATTGAGAATAACTGGCTCCATTTGGTCCAGATTGGCAGGTAAGAAGGCTGTGCCGTCCAAAGTCCATTCCCAGGATGAGTTGATACGTCCAAGGGTTAGGAGATGGAAATCATCGCCATTCTCCGCGGGCAGGATTGCAGGATATGGCGGCAGGTTAGTTGTGTCCAGGTCGATCACAGATGCTGTGGTGTTGCTACCACCGTAGTCGATGTATGCCGTTGATTCGCGCTTGTTTTGCTCGCCGCCTTTGTAAGCGAGAGTAGCGTAGCCAGAGATGACCTGGTTGTCGTGGCCAGCCACACGGATGGTGTAGCTAGCAGGCTCCTTGTCCAATTTGATCATAACAGAGTAGCGCTCTCCATTGTATATGGAAACTTTATGGGCAAGCTGGGGCTCAATGTAACGTCCATCCACCTCGTAGATGTACATCGGGTGCTCATCGATGGAGAAAATCAAGGATTTGAGACTTGCCGCACTGACGAAGTTGAGACTGGCCCATCGATCGGCAGGTGTAACTTCAAAAACTGATTTCGGACCCTCGCTGGGTATACATCCGGAGTTCAAACCCTCAGGAAGCTTCTCTGGGTGGTGCTCCCAGTTACCCTGAAGAACTGGCATGAATGGATCACATCTTGTGGGAGTTAGTTGCTTTTAATTCAGCGAAACTAAGAATAGACTCACCCCTTATCCGTCAAAGGCTCAGTTATGACTGCTCTAACCTGGGCCGGTTGGAGATTTGTCAGATAGTCAGGGTCTTTGCAGTATACGGAGCCTGCACCATCGATGAGAATACTATCCGAGCAACTGGTACTTGTGAGCATCTCCCTTTGCTTGACATAATTGTGCCCTTACAAGATATCATAGCCCGTTTCTCTAAGAGCATCCATGTACTCGTTAGACGGCAAGTGGTCCCAGTCAGACATCATAATCAACTGGGCATCGTGAGCGGCTTTGGTCATGGCCTCGATATCGGCAGGGTCATCGGAGATCATCGAAAAAGGTGATTCCCGGTCGGCAGATGGACTAGTACTCTATTAGAACCACAATAAAGACAGTCAGCTGCATACTCACCGAATACGAATGCCACCGTAGAGACCATCCATTATTCTGTCCTTGTCGTGGGCATGGTACCAGTATGTACCATAAGTCGTGGCTTTCCACTGGTACCGATATTTGTCACCAGGCTTGATAGCCCATTGCGAGAGACCTGATACTCCGTCCGCCCATGGGGTGTTGGTTTGCCTGGTATAGTTCAGTATTGTGCGGATCTCTGGTAGTGGTATTGCCGGAGGACTTACTCAATGCCATGGAAATGGACAGATGTATTGAACGGCAAGTTGTTGGTCACATCTATCTATTATTTCTCTCAGTAAAAGTAGTAAGAAGAAGCAGGGCCAAGACTCACTGTGACTTCATCGCCTTCGTCTAGAATCAACGGCGGGCCTGGGAAACGATCATTCACAAAGATCATCTCCCTTTCGTGTCCGTTTGGTGAGCCCCTCTGCCAGGTGAGGTCGAGATCATAATGGACTTTGGCTGCTTGACTCAGGGCAGCAGCGCCAATCAAAGTCAGGAACAGCGACTTCGTATGTGTCATTTTGTCGAATTGGTGGGTATGAACCCGATATTGAAGAGAAAGATTTTCCTCGCCAAAAGTCGCATACAGAAAATGGTTCCCTGCAAGCCTTATAACCAGACCGTGCTAAGCTCCTGCATAGTTGCCAAGCCACACAATCCGCACATTCCTCCCGTGTTGAAAACAGCGGGCCCTTGCATTGCACATTGTTGCCAACCACGAGAACCTGATCTCGGTCTCAAGTCCGGTGCATGACACTAACCTGTTTTAATCAAGCTGAATGCTAATTGATGTACCCAGGCAGTTAGAATCGAACGACTGAGATCCGATAGAAAAGTCATCCAGAAATGGAACGACCGTCGAATAGGCCATTGTTATTCTCAAGATCACCGCAGGTAAGTCGAGGGATCATCATGATCTAACTATAAAAACTAGTCAAAACCTGTGTTTGTTGTCTTCCTGAAAACAAAGCAGGCACAGTAGAAGGTATCTGGTCGTGTCCCTGTTTGCTTCGCCGGATTAATTTACCGCCCTGGAATGTGCTGCAAGGGAGGGCCAGAACACACAGCTCCCTCAATCGCCATCGAATAGAATTGCATGACAAGTTTTTCATGGTTACTTTGTATCGTTTTCAGCTTTTGTCATCTCTGAAGAGCAAGAACAGTTGATGATCGTGACTGGTCTTGTCAATGCGTGTACTAACCTATTTCGGAATAGCGCCCCAAGGGGCATAAACATCGCGTTCTCGCGGCCTGAATACTTGGAATAAGTCTTCACGTCTAGGACTTGTGGAATTCTTGTTTATTTTATTTTCATCACCGCTCGAATGGTACAATCTTTTCCTTGATGCCTAACTATTATGATACGTAGTCTTGGCATACAGTCACTTTCGTCATCCTTCTCACGTATATGAAATTTGAACTATAGAAATGTCACAGTTCCGAAGCAAAGATTCATGCGGCAGGTCTAAACTCCTCATCAATCTGAATAAGAGCAGCCATACCATCCCTCTCAAAGACATCGGTATCCGTGATCATGGTTGCAATCAAGGTTGCCGGCTCGGTCTTGCTTGCATTGTCACTGATGCGATGGTAGCATCCAGGTGCCTCGAACCAGCTTCCTCCTTCTGGGATTGTCTTCATCGGGTCTTTATTCATCTTGTTCAGAAGGGTGCCCTTGAGAACGTATGCTCCGACATTGGCGCCGCCGTGTCGGTGAGGAGGAGTCGAGCCATTGGGAGGGAATTCGACGCGTAGGCTGACGATTGATTTATTTGGGATGCCAACAAGACGATAGGAGTAAGCGATCTGAAGGGCCGGCATGGGGCGGCTAGGTCAATATTAGCTAGGTGTTTGATTTTGGGGTTTCTCGGTCCTCTAATCTTACCTAGGGTCATAGGTAGGTTCCTGCATTTTGAAATATGGTCTGGCTGGTTCTCAAAATTTGGTATTGTAATGTTCTTTCTGTTCTGTGGTGAATGAATATGTTTCTATTCTAAATTATGGAAGATCCCATTATATATGGTTGAACACTCGCCCAACAGTATATGGCACAACTGGAACTGTAGCCACTTGTCAATCAGCTCATCTGGAACAAGTATTTCCGGATAGCCTACGATGTGTCAAACTTTCTGATGACTTTTATTGGGAATATTTAGGTGGCATTTTATGATGCCATAGTGGTTTACCCGACACTGATAGGCTATCAATAGGCTATCAACCAGTAGCCTTCGGATCTTCGTCCTGACCTCATTACAACACCTAGGCAGGACATTGAAAGATCAAACTAAGGAATAATAATTATCTAATATTGCAAGTGCCTAAAAATTCAGTCTGCGGTCCTTGTGAAATGTCAAGGTGAAGGACAAGCCATGAAGGACTTATATCAAGTTCTTCACCAGAAATCGGTCAGTTTCTAATATGAAGACATGCTGTCGGTATCAACCCATCCTATTGGATAGCCTTGAATACCTTGGCGAGACCAGGTGGCGGAATGGGATACGATTTCTCCGGTGGAGTCGTCGAGATCGGAGGAGTCCACGCTGGTCTGTAGGAGACCGTGTAGCTGGATTTGTGCGTGATTGCAAGTACCGTTTTAGTTTTCATAAATAGAGACAATTCCAGTACTAATTCAGTTCTTAGGCCAAGCGGCAAACTAGAGCATTGGCGCATTTCGTCAATATCTGAATGTGAACGCCGAACTCGTTGTATGCTTGCCAAGTCAGCTCCCGTACGAGGATGCGTCTACGCTCGGCATGGGTATCAGCACTGCGGCACAGGCTCTGTATCAAGTGTTGGCACTCCCTCTGCCAGTCATAGACCCGACACCTACAAACCAGACAATTCTGATCTACGGAGGAAGCGCCGCAACAGGGAGTCTTGCAATTCAATTTGCAAAACTGTAAGCACGACCACGCAAGCTACGATATGTGCTAATTAATTCTCAAATCCGGGCTGCGAGTTATCACAACATGCTCTAGCCAGAACGTAGCATGGGTTCAATCACTAGGTCCGGATGCATCGCATCGTTGACTATAGATCCTCAGATGCAATTCAGCAAATCCGAGACTTGGTGACTAAGACTGGATTGTCACTGATCTTGGATTGCGTGGCCAACGATGACATTGCAAGTTCTGCTACGAGTGTTTCACCCCACAGAATACAGCGGCCCAATATTCAGAATCCGTCTATGGTTCGTTAAGGCCAGTGCCTAATCTCTCCGTCAAGGCAGATCTTCTACCTACCTCTTCAACGATATTAAGCGCTTGGAGCTTTGTGTATACTTGCTATAGGAGACGATTCACGCTTATGGGAAAGACATCGGAGCCTTCTGTTGAAGATAAAACCTTCATGACTGCTTCTATCGTCAATTTGAAAACCTAATCGCAAGTGGCAAAGTACGTCCTATGCCTCATGGTATCAAGGGAGGCGGATTGCAAGGCGTGTTGGAGGGAATTTATCTTGTTAGATCTGGGAGAGTATGCGCAAAGAAGCTGGTCTATCCATCCCTGAAGGACTTTCAAGATGAACTGCATTGTCGGATTCTAGAGGCAATTTTGGATTTTGGGGACTTCCCGGTTATTGTGGAGACCTCTTGAGGATTCCTAGCTGTCTCTGTGAACCAAGTATTCATATCAAGCAATGAAAATGTGTTTAAGTATATGACTTGTTTGCTTCTACTTGCTTGCTAATCAAACGGAACATTGCTCTTTTGATAGTCCTTACTTCAGCCAATTGCTGAATTGCCACCTGATAATTTATAACATTCAAACTAACGGGGTATTTCACAACAATCCAATTGCACGCAATAAAGACTAGACTTAGAAAATTGAGCGAAGAATCCGCAAAGGGGCCGCCTTGAAGTACTCTCCCCAGGTAGCATATTCCACTTTCGGAGGAAGGTCAACATCAAGTGCACCGTCACGGATGCCACTAGTAATGTCCATCTTATCAACCGCGACAAACCAGCCACCGCGGTCTAGCTTCGGATCTTTTCTGAATTTGGTATAAATCAACCAAAGGACGAACAGGAAAATGACAAGGGGTGCCGCGAGATAGCTCTCAAAGAATCCCTCAGCATCTTTCGGGGCAACAGAAACGTAAAACTCAGCAATGAGACACAATACGTTCAGCGATAGACCGATCCAACTTCCAATGACTCCAAACGGAGCAGCATATGCAAGTTCCTTTGCCGTGTGTCCATTAGCCTTCCAGGCCGAGCGGAAACGGATGTGTGCGAGACAGATACTTCCCCAAATAAAGAAGTCTGAAATACCAGACAAGGCGAGAAGCCAGTCAAAGATTTGGCCTCCAGATGACGCCTCGTTAATAAAAGCGAGGAAACCAAATGCGATCTGCAGAAGAATGCAGTATAGAGGGCGTCCTCCCTTGTCTATGTATGCCATGAATTTAGGCGCCATACCGCGTGCAGCGAGGGCCTGTATGGTCCGACTTGATCCATAGGTTGCGGAATTGGCGACACTGATGACTGAAATAGTGATGATTGCATTCATGACAGAAGGAAGACCAGAAATACCAGCATTCTTAATTGAGACAACAAAGGGCGAGGCTTTGGTGTTGGCGCCGGAGGCTCCGAGAAGCCACTCGGCGTTCGAAGGCACAATCAAGCCAACAATGAATGTTCCAAGGACATAGAAGATCATAATACGCCAGAAGACCTGTTTTGTTGCTTTAGGGATGGACTTGGCTGGGTTTGCGGCCTCGGCAGCAGCAAGACCAGCCATCTCTGTTCCACCGAAGGCAAACGCAGCTGTAACAAAGACTGAACAGAAGCCCTTAAAGTCTGTGAAAGCACCAGGGTCACGCCAGTATTTGGTTCCGATATAGCCTCCCTTTGGTGCACCGCCGCAGTCGATAACGATTCCGAGGATGATAAATCCGATGACTGCAATGACTTTGATCATTCCAAGCACGAACTCAACTGTAGATTGTAGTTAATATCAGTTGTGTCCATAATAGAAATGTCTTGTCTTACCTTCTCCATAACCTTTGACTCCGAATAGTTGGATTGCAGAGAGGGCAACAAGGAACACTGCTATCCATATACCGACATTTAGGTCGTCCCGCCAATACTGAATGGTTTTACTAGCAGCCGTGAGTTCAAAGGGTAGAATAATCAGCCACCCGATAGCGTAATCCCAACCAACGGCGAACCCCCTATTGTATAGTAACATGTATGGTTAGCTTTCGTGGTTGTGAATGAAGGTTTGGCATACCAACCAGGCTGGACTGATAAAGCGGACACAGTATGTGAAGAAAGCACCATTGACAGGATATAGAACGGCTAGTTCTCCCAAAGCTTGAACCGTGAGAAGAAGCATGCCTCCGACTATCAGATAACAAAGTAGCTAGTTGGTACCTGTCAGAGAATGTCATGCTTAGGAGTCGTAGTCAACCTACCAAAGCGCCAGGGCCGCCAGTCCTCAATGCACTCCCGGTACTAACAAAAAGACCAGCTCCAATCGCACCGCCTAGTCAACCAAATCAGCATGTGGAAATCCAATGCACACAATACCACATACCAACCGCAATCATCTGCATGTGACGATTCTTGAGATTTCTCTTCAAGGGATTGATCTCGCCGACCGACGCATCTCCATTGGCTGAAGGGAAACTCTCAGCAGGCTCAACGGCTATGGCCACTTTCTTCTCAACGTCCATCTCAAGAGCAGTCATAGTTGTTGAGCTGATGGCGCTTGCCAGTTACAGATGGAAGTAGTTGAGTTGTAAAATTCACCGGGAGGCTGACAATTTATACCTTTTTCCCGGGCCCAAGGCCCTGCATGCCACGATTGACATGATACCAGTTACACAGCTCTGGGCGTTCGTCTCGCGAGTGTATATGGCACGGAGAAGATAAGGCTTCCAAGAAAGTATGATCGTATCTTGACCAATCACAGTGGGGGCCGAGATTTATTGTTTGAGCTTAGCCTAGACGCCACATTGGGGGTCAGGGTATTTGTTCCGGTGTAGACTTGTAGGCCATTGGGTAGGTCTCTGTATCTCATTTATACTTAGGACGGATCATCCGTTCTAGGGAGCTAGGCCGGATGAGATGCGGTAAATTGTACAATATAGTGATAACAGGCTAGATAAGAACTTCACACATCAGATCTTCCCCTTAGTGGCCAGCACGAGGGCGGGACTAGGTGCGTACGTTGAGGTCTCTTGAGTGTGCTGTGTGTTTAAAGATCTTGTCTCGTCCTCGGGGGTGAAATAATTCATAGTTTGAACGGCACTCGGACCTCTATGTGCGAGAACACCAAAGTAGGGTATCAGTGGTGCTCATGGCCCGAATTGGGTTATTGCCACAGACCTAAAAGCCACGAGGCGTTTTCTGGAAGAAATAATTGCTTCTTACGCGTCGAGCTGAGCCCCAAAGGTGGACAGTGCTGTGAAGATGGTGTGATCTTATCGTCCACCAATGCTATACCTGAAGCGATCAAATTGCCTCAATCATGGTTACGGGAGAATAGTGTCTAAAGTATTGAGGTGCTTTGCCATGACATTGCCCCTTTCGGGGGAAATTTAAGCCGATGCATTGAGAGGTGAAAAAGGCACTAGATGAGGTAAAAGGTAGAAGTCTCGGGATGTCCAATCAACAAGGACTTAATCAAAGTGAGCCAATAAGGATTTCAAACAAGAATCAAATACATCGACTGTCGCAAGTAACACAACAGTGGCCATACGTCCTTTCACACCCCCACTTTTATATGATCCGAATGGCTCACCCAAGGCACTTGAAAATGAACAAAAGAGGTGAAACAAGGAGAAGCTAAAATAAAAAACAAATAAATCATGAAATGGCACCCTCACTTCGAGAATTTTGTAAAGGAATTGACCAATACTTCATAGCACTGTGGACGGACTTATCACCCCTGGTGTGGTATCTGGGAAATGCTGCTCAGTGCCGAGACTAATCGCGTTAAGCACATTGTCGGCGGCTTGAGACCCTTGCCTCTTGCGGGCTTCCGTCAGCATATGGCAGGGGTTTTAGCGTAGCGCGGCCACTTGATTGGACACATTCTATTATTTCTCACTGGCAATGACTTTCGCAACTTGTTCTGCAATGTTGTAATCTGTGACCTTGCGAATCTGGGAGGTCATGAGACTAGGAAAGAGTCCTAGCAAAAGTGTTAACAGGGGTTCACACCATATTTCAAAGGTAAAATCCCACCGAGTAGTTTCATGAAGGCGTACATCGAGTACTCTTGGAACAATCCCATCTGTCGCTTTGTGTTTTGGGTCTTTCGGGCAAATTCCGAGATTTCTTGTACCCGCGGTTTTCGCAGAGATACATACTGCTGTGAGGCGACTCGGATGGCCTCTTTCTGGCTCTCTGGTGTGGTGCGAGTATCTTTGATTCCATGCTTGCGAAGATAATGAGCCAAGAACAGGATGAAAGCTTCTACATCCTCCAATGCTTGCGAGGAACCCTGTCCCGAGCTTGGTGGCAGGGCATGTGCTGCATCGCCAACAAGAACTACTCCATCGCGCTCCCATGTTGGAAGGGCAGGCGAAGTCCATGTTGGATACATGTTCGTCACATGGAGTGATTGAACTATTTTTTGGACAACGGGGTCTTTCCAATCTGCGTGTCGCTCGCGAAGCTGCCGGGTCACATGTCCCATATCAAGTGTTTTGCGGTCTGGGCAGTCTTCAATTCCGTAGGTCGACCACCAGGCGAGTGATTCTCCTGGCTCGGATACGTGGTATGGCGAGTCGCGATTAACAACAGACTCTGCGCTATCAGCGTAAAAATAACCGAAGAAACCATTTCCTCCGAATATGAAGTTCATCGAGCCTTTTTCGACCAATCCTTTGACATCGGCCGCGGGAATGAATCCTCCAACGCCAACAAGGCCCCTTCGGAAAAATTTAGCAATCAACTCAGTTCTGGAAAAAGTTGGAGACAGGTTTTTAGAAGGAGTATGCTTACTCATAACGTGGAGGATATGGATTTCTGGCGTCAGGGAAGAGGGCGCGCTTGGCGGTACTCTGGACACCGTCTGCACCGATGACCAGGTCGGCTTTTACCGAGGGAGTGCCATCGGCGAAATAAATCAGGTTTCTCCCTTCAGGACGAGCAACCACCTCCGAAATTCTCTTGTTGATAATATGCTCGTCTGGAACCCTTGATCGCAGCTCCTGCCAGAACGAATGACGACTTGTCGCCACCATGTACATATTTTCGGGATTGTCCGGCTCGTTTGGCGACAGAGACGTGTCCATTTTGGCGAGTTGCCATCCATTCTTATTTTTCATGTTGGAGGTGGCTGTGACATACCCACCGCGAACAACATCTTTCAACAAATTCTCATCAAGGCGCCTGAGAACATTCAGTCCATTGGGGCCAACGGCAAGTCCACCTCCAACAAGAAGGGTCGAAGGGTGAGTATGTTCCTCTGTTCTCTGATCTGCTGTCATATCTAGATCTGTGCTGTAGGCCTCATAGATAATGATCTCATGGTCTCCATCGGACTCGGAAGGGTTTGGGAGATGCTTTCGCAACTCCAGATATGCTGCGCATCCCGCAATGCCAGCGCCGATAATTACAATCTTCATTATGACTTCAGATATTGAGACGGATTTAGATTAGAAGAAGACGACCAAATCGTCAAGAGCAGTGAAAAGCACTTGCAAGGCCAAGGTCTTATACTGCCGAATAGAGTTCAAGCATTATGTGGGTCCGCAAAGCTAGCCTGTTCTGGCTTAGAGCAGGGTGAAGTTACGGGTCCAAAGGTTTGACAGGATCATGGGACTGCTAGTGCAACTCGAGATCTCGCGTAACATCAAGCTGACGAACTTGACATCATTTTAGATGTTTCCATGTGGTGTCTGAAGATGTAAGAAGCTACATGGGCGAATAGTTCGTTGAGCCTCGCCGAAGAAATCCTCAAGTCGTCGTCCTTGCTCTTTTCACTGTCAGCTGGCATTGTATTTGTATCTTCCTGGGTGGGTGGATTCCAAATTTCGATAATCCTCAAAGGAAATTCTAACATAAGCGATCCACGACCAGAGGCTGGGCCGGGGATTGCTGCAATGAATTCCTTGGCGGACAATATTGACTGCACATGTCTCTGGATGCGTTCCTCGTATAGATAGGCAGATGTTGATGACAAAAAAAGAAGGCGAAATAGTATCACATTTGCGCAATCATAGACTGATCCCAGAGCAGCTGTAGGCATATCTGAGTGAAACAGCAGAGGGAAATTGGTCGGATGGTAAGGGTCCTCATTTAGATCCTTGTTGTTGACGCTCATCCATTCATCTGCCGGTGCTTCAACTGGACTCAACATAGAGATGCATTGGGACCACCAGTTGTAGAGTCGAAATATTAAGTCCAGTACCATGGAGTTGAGCTTTCCCCTTCGCCACTCATCCGTATTGCTTGTTGTTGTAATCTTGTCCGCAACTGAAAGGCACGGGAGTAAGCCAAACAGGATATCGATAAGTTCATCAAATGCAGTTTTCGAATGAATTTGAAAGGGGATGGTTGTCCATTTTCGTAAGGCAAAAGCGTGCTGCTCATTCCGAAACATTGAGGCAACAAACTTTGCGCCAGGGGGCCCAATTAGCAAGATATTGCAAAAGCAGAATGATAGTCAAGCTCACTGTTAGGAGTCTGAGATGACGGAAAAGCTGATGCAAAAACCCGTCACGGCACAATTCTGGTCCAGTTGCTTCAAGCATCTTTGCGGCACCCTGGAGATGCTGAATCCATGCGTCTTCGGATGTACCCGCTATATGTTCAAAGTGGATAAGCATTACAGCGGCACATATCACATCGTCTGTGAATCGAGAAGAGCTTTGTGATAATACTCCATGTAAGCCATGTAAAGCCCTGGAGTACCATTTGCGTGCTTCTGCTTGAATAGATAAATCTTGTGACAGAGTTCCATAGAAAAACATGCAACTTGCTCGAATAGAGTCTTGTACAAGGCTTCTTCTTGGTGCAACGATGAGCACAGTTAGTTCATCCAGCCAAGTGGGTGGCTGTTTAGTAGAAATCGGTGCCTTGAACCCAAATGATTCAATGAAATGAGACACAAAAAGACGATCAAATATATGAGCACGACTCGGTTGGTATTCAGTTAGAGACGGATAGCACCAGAAATGATTCATCCCCACAAGGTGATGAGAGCTGCGGTCAACTGATGGCAACCTAGCAATGGAGCTCGCCGGTGGCTCGGCTGGAGCAGAATGAACGAAGAATGCACCCCTTCGAGCACCCGAACAGCGCAGACCTTTCTTAATGCATGATATACATTGTGGAAAGGTTTCATCGCACTAGAAGTAGATGCATTAGGTTGTACACAATATCGTTTCGTTTGGAAGATAGCACCTTTAGTTTACGCTGACGACATTCTGAGCAGCCCTTGCTTCTGCCTGAAACATTCACCATGTCGCACCTGATACATGAAATGTCGAACGCGTCACATTGAAGATGATTTCAATATTTTTCTGTGGTTTGTAGTACGGAGATAGCGTTCATTCCCGGGATTTTGGTCGACGTTAATAACGTAATCCACATTAGACCGGGTCCGCCACTTGAGGCCCTCAAAAATTTGCATGATTACTTCCGGTGGTAGTAGCGCTATCAAATAAATAGCATTTAGCTTACGTCATTTCATGATAACTCTCACAGTTCATGGCAAATTCTATGGCGAAAGAGAACGACTGTACACAAATAGGACAATAAAAACGTCCACATTAATGAGAGCTTCATATCGACATCAACAAATAAAACCTAGTATAGCTGCAGGCATGCATCCTTTCAAGGTATGATTACATGCGCAAAGAAAAATTCAACAGCAGACATAACCGTATTCGCTATTCAATCAATACTTGCCTTACATCAAGACGCAGCATGAGTTTTGCTTCTTGGCCTGTGTTCATCGTATCAGTATATATTCAAGAATACGAAGTGGGGAGGGACAAACTTGGGTATAGAACATCTTGCTCTGGGCTGACAGTCCATCACTCTTGGCAACCAAAGAATCAATCTTTTCGCCGCGCTCTAGAACGCTCTCGATCTAGAAGATATTAGACATCGGTCAATGGTAATCTTGCGGGCTATGGAAGAATACCGTCTTGTGGAGAACAATCTTGGTCTCATCAAGCTCCTGCTGGATCTTCATGATGCTGTCCGCCTGGCTGGGATCCTGGTACTTGACAATGTATTCCTTGAGGGCCGGCAGTGGACAGGCATTCTCGCGGAGGGCAGGATCCGAGAAGGAAGTCCGGGGATGCTTGGCAAGGAACTCATCGACAATCTTGCCCAAAAGTTGGTGGGCGACCAGGGCTGGGTAGTCACCATCGGTGACGATGATGCCAGCAACACCCTCTGTGCGACCGTAGGCGTGGAATGTGTAGGCCTTCTCCTCAATATCCTGTCGCTGTCCGGGCTTTGTCTTCTCTGCGACGGTTCGATTGAAGAGCATCAAGAATTCATCGTAGCTGGTGGCGTGGAGGGGTTAGTGCCATGTACGTTTCGGAGCGGAGCGAGTGAAGACTGGCGAACATACTTCTGACGAGTGAAGCGTGAAAAGCTATGTAGCATTAGTAAACAGTTTGTACGCTGTGCGGAGGGCTGTGAATGACATACCTGCTGAGGTCCTTTTCCCCGCACAGCTGAAGAGCTGGAGTGGTATCGTTCCGGAAAACCTGTGAAGGTTAGGGATCAGCATCGCAAGAACCTTTTACTCAACATGGATAGAACAATGAACCGAGACATACGCCCATGTAAAGGATCTTCATTTTGACTTGGAGGATCGATCGTCCGCACGAGAATAGGGAGGCAAGTAGGGTGTCGGGGATGGTGGGTCCTTGAGGTGTAAGGTGTAACTATTTATCGGACGGCGACCTGGTATCGTAAGGCCAGGCAGAGGTGAGCACAAGGTCAGCGGTGAGGTCTGAGGTGACGAAGCAAGGTGAGTGAGCTTGAAACAGGGTCCCTGAGTCCGATAACAATGATGCGCCCTCCGCATTGTCGCCTCAGGCCTGAGCTCTACACCGCTCTTGTCATGCGACCGACCGAGCCCTGCGGCTCTGCCCTATGACTACTTTTGGCTTCTCCCCTCATTGTCCGTTATCTCGTTTCTGACAAAACAAAACAACAGTCCATCCATCAACATGGACAATATTTCGGCCACCGAGTCGCAGTGGCTGTCGCAGCTGGCAGCCATGCGCCAGGCCATCGCCGATCTGAAGCTCCCCCAAGAGTTCCCGCAAGAACCGATCGGATATGGAAGTGATATTGATTTGGATCTTGATGACGACTACTCCTCACCTGGAACGGTTGATGATGTGTGGGATATCATCAGCTCCGATGATGAAACCTCTGACGACACAGACGATCTCGACCGGTTCGACGAATTTCCTATCGAACAAGAATCCCTCTATAACCGAGCATGGCTGGAAGACAAGTGCCAGGACCTGGCTATTCGGAGCCCTGGCATGGATGCGGCAGAATTGTCCCAGCAAATCATCGCCACCTTAGCTGCTGACAGTAATGACGAAGAACTACAGATGTCTCTGGCTGAAATTGTTGGATTCGATGATCTGGATCTGGTTATTGAACTCATTGCCCACAGAAGGGAGGTCTTATCCGACAAAGGGCCTCGCGTGGAGACCCAGACAGATGTACTTGCGGCCGGAAGGCTTCAAACTAGATCGGAGAGAGAGCATGCATTGCGCCAACGCGACTTTGAACACAAGAATGCGGCGTTGATGCCGGCACAGAGTCGGTCAGAGCCTGCCTACCCACATGTTTTCAAACAACATAGTTCTGGAAACCTTCTTTCTGCCAGTGGCAAGAAATACGGATTGCCTCTGGGTAGCAAGCAGATCGAAGAACCAAAGTACACTGAGTTCGAGATCCCAGCTGGAAAAGTCGGAACCCTAGGGAAAGGCCAGAAATTGGTTGAGATTGCCAGCATGGATGGCCTGTGTCGCGGTACCTTCAAGGGTTACAAAACTCTGAATCGTATGCAGAGTTTGCTCTATGATGTCGCTTACAAAACCAACGAGAACATGTTGATCTGTGCCCCTACCGGTGCAGGTAAGACTGATGCGGCTATGTTGACTGTCCTTAACGCTGTTGGAAAGAACACCACGCCCAATCCCTTGGAGAACCCAGAGGCTGCCGAATTTACAGTTCAGGTTGACGACTTCAAAATTGTTTATGTGGCTCCGATGAAGGCCTTGGCCGCCGAAGTGACTGAAAAGCTAGGAAAGCGTCTTGCATGGCTGGGTATCAACGTCCGCGAACTGACTGGTGACATGCAGTTGACCAAGCGAGAGATTGTTGATACCCAAATAATTGTTACCACCCCTGAGAAATGGGATGTTGTAACAAGAAAAAGCACTGGAGACACTGAACTTGTCCAGAAGGTTCGCCTGCTCATCATTGATGAAGTTCATATGTTGCACGATGAACGAGGAGCGGTCATTGAATCCTTGGTCGCTCGAACCCAACGTCAGGTCGAAAGCACCCAGTCGTTGATTCGTATTGTTGGTCTATCAGCCACGCTTCCGAATTACACTGATGTTGCGGACTTCTTGAAAGTAAACAAGATGGCCGGCATGTTCTTCTTCGACTCCTCATTCCGACCAGTGCCTTTGGAGCAACACTTCATCGGCGTCAAAGGAAAGCCAGGCTCTAAGCAGTCTCGTGAGAACATTGACGGTGTTGCGTACGAAAAGGTTCGCGACATGTTAGAGAGAGGTCATCAAGTCATGGTCTTCGTGCATTCTCGTAAGGATACCGTTATGACCGCCAGGATGCTCAAACAGCTGGCTGCCGAGGAGGGCCGTGAAGACTTGTTCAGCTGTCATGATCATGAAAACTACTCCAACGCTCTCCGTGACATGAAACATGCGCGTGCTCGCGAATTGCGAGACCTGTTTGCCAGCGGCTTTGGAACCCATCATGCGGGCATGACCCGTAGTGACCGGAACTTGATGGAACGCATGTTCTCAGAGGGTCTCATCAAGGTCCTTTGCTGTACTGCGACATTGGCATGGGGTGTTAACCTTCCAGCTGCCGCTGTAGTCATTAAGGGTACCCAGTTGTACAATCCCCAAGAGGGTAAATTCATCGACCTGAGCATTCTTGATGTCATGCAGATCTTCGGTCGTGCAGGTCGTCCTCAGTTCCAGGACACTGGTATTGGTTTCATTTGCACCACCCACGACAAGCTCAACCACTATTTGTCTGCAGTCACTGCACAGCAGCCAATCGAGTCTCGCTTCTCCAGTCGACTCGTGGACAACTTGAACGCTGAGATTTCACTCGGAACTGTCACATCTGTCCCCGAGGCCGTGCAATGGCTCGGTTACTCATACCTTTTCGTGCGTATGAAGCGCGAGCCACGAAACTATGGAATCGAATATGCTGAGCTACGCGATGACCCGATGTTGGTTCAAAGACGTCGGCAGTTAATTATTCAAGCTGCACAGGTACTACAGAAGAGCCAAATGATCATTTTCAATGACAAAACGGAGGATCTCAAAGCCAAGGATGTTGGTCGTATTGCCAGTCAATATTACGTTCTGCAGACCAGTGTCGAGATCTTCAACGAGATGATGCGTCCTCGCTCTGGCGAAGCAGATGTGCTGAAGATGATCAGTATGAGTGGTGAATTCGACAACATTCAATCCAGAGACAGCGAATCGAAGGAGCTGCAGAGACTTAGAGAGGAAGTTGCGCAAACCGAAGTGGCGGGTGGAAATGATACACCACATGCGAAGACGAATCTTCTGTTGCAATCATACATCTCCCGTGCTAAGATCGAAGACTTCGCGTTGGCATCGGACACTGGATACGTTGCACAGAATGCTGCACGTATCTGTCGCGCTCTATTCATGATCGCATTGAATCGCCGCTGGGGCTACCAATGCCAGGTTCTTCTCTCTCTCTGCAAATCAATCGAGAAGCAGATTTGGCCATTTGATCATCCATTCAGGCAGTTTGATTTGCCTCAGCCTATCCTCCGAAACCTCGACGACAAGCTGCCCACCACCTCAATCGAGTCGATGAGAGAAATGGAGCCCGCTGAGATTGGGCAGCTTGTTCACAACCAACGCATGGGATACACTCTGTCCAAGCTTTTGGATAACTTCCCTACCCTTAGCGTTGAAACTGAAATCGCCCCTCTCAATCGCGACGTTCTTCGAATTCGCCTGTCCATCTACCCAGAGTTCACTTGGAACGACCGCCACCATGGTGCATCCGAATCCTTCTGGGTCTGGGTTGAGAACTCGGAAACGTCGGAGATTTACCACCATGAGTACTTCATCCTCAGTCGGAAGAAGCTTTATGACGACCATGAGCTCAACTTTACCATTCCGCTGTCGGACCCGCTTCCCAGTCAAATCTACATTCGCCTGATTTCCGACCGTTGGCTCGGTGCTGAAACTGTTACTCCGGTTTCATTCCAGCATCTCATCCGCCCAGACACAGAGAGCGTGTATACCGATCTTCTCAACCTTCAACCATTGCCCATCTCGGCTCTGAAGAATCCCATTCTGGAAGAACTGTATGGACAGCGTTTCCAATTCTTCAACCCCATGCAGACGCAGATCTTCCACCTACTCTATCACACACCGGCCAATGTGCTTCTTGGTTCGCCCACTGGTAGTGGAAAGACTGTGGCAGCTGAGTTGGCCATGTGGTGGGCATTCCGCGAGAAACCTGGCTCCAAGGTTGTCTACATTGCACCTATGAAAGCCCTTGTTCGCGAGCGCGTTCAGGATTGGCGCAAACGTCTCACTGGACCAATGGGTTTGAAGCTTGTCGAGTTGACTGGTGATAACACGCCCGATACTCGTACTATCCGCGATGCCGACATCATTATTACCACGCCTGAGAAGTGGGACGGTATCTCGCGTAGTTGGCAGACCCGTGACTATGTTAGAAAGGTTAGCCTGGTAATCATTGACGAAATCCACTTACTGGGTGGAGACCGTGGTCCAATCTTGGAGATCATTGTCTCCCGAATGAACTACATTGCATCGCAATCCAAGGGATCCGTCCGTCTCATGGGCATGTCCACTGCGTGTGCGAATGCCAGTGACTTGGCCAACTGGCTTGGTGTCAAAGAGGGCCTTTACAACTTCCGCCATTCAGTCCGCCCCGTTCCCCTCGAGATCTTTATCGACGGATTCCCCGAGCAGCGTGGTTTCTGTCCTCTGATGCAGTCAATGAACCGCCCGACATTCCTCGCGATCAAGAATCACTCACCAGAGAAGCCCGTCATTGTCTTTGTTGCGTCCCGTCGACAGACACGTCTCACTGCCAAAGATCTGATCAATTATTGTGGTATGGAGGACAACCCTCGTCGCTTCGTGCGCATGTCCGAGGATGATCTAGAATTGAATCTTGCACGAGTGAAGGACGACGCCCTGAGAGAAGCTCTCAACTTTGGTATTGGTTTGCATCATGCTGGCCTGGTCGAGTCTGACCGTCAGTTGGCAGAGGAACTCTTTGCCAACAACAAGATCCAGGTCCTTGTGGCTACCAGTACCCTTGCATGGGGTGTCAACCTTCCCGCACATCTCGTAGTTGTCAAAGGCACACAATTCTTCGATGCAAAGATTGAGGGCTACCGTGATATGGACTTGACTGATGTTTTGCAAATGCTGGGTCGTGCTGGTCGTCCACAGTTTGATACTTCCGGTATTGCCCGCATCTTTACCCAGGACTCCAAGAAGGCTTTCTATAAGCATTTTCTTCACACTGGCTTCCCCGTTGAGTCGACCTTGCACAAGGTTCTTGACAACCATTTGGGCGCTGAAGTGTCGGCTGGAACCATCGGTACGCAACAGGATGCACTGGACTACTTGACCTGGACTTTCTTCTTCCGTCGCCTGCACAAGAACCCATCTTATTACGGTCTGGAGATCTCCGCAGAAGAGCAGAACACTATGGCAGCACAAGCCTCTGCTCAAGAGTTCATGATCGAGCTGGTTGGCAAGTCACTCAACGATCTCGCTGAATCGTCTTGTGTTCTTGTGGACTCTGCCACCGGCGAGGTCGACTCTACGCCTTTTGGCAAGATCATGAGTTACTACTATCTATCCCACAAGACGATTCGGTACCTCATGTCCCACGCCAAGCGTGACCCGACCTTTGAAGATGTTTTGAGCTGGATGTGTTCTGCAACTGAATTTGACGAACTGCCCGTCCGTCACAATGAGGATCTGATCAATGCCGAACTCGCGCAGAATCTGCCCCTTTCCATCGACTGTATGGGCGATGTGCCTCTGTGGGATCCGCACACCAAGGCTTTCCTGCTCTTGCAGGCTTATATGTCACGCATTGACCTTCCAATCACTGATTACGTCGGTGACCAGACATCCGTTCTCGACCAGGGCATTCGTATTATCCAGGCATCCATCGATGTCATGGCCGAGCTCGGGTATCTTCCCGCTTGCCTGATGCTGATGACTCTGCTTCAATGCATCAAATCAGCTCGCTGGCCCGAAGATCATCCGCTGTCTATCATGCCAGGCGTCGGCACTGAGAAGCTACCCCAGGGCCTCCCTGGTACTCTGGTCTCGCTCTCTTCACAGCCCACTGGCACAGTCGTGGCTCTGGTCAAGAAGTTGCAGCTCCCGTACAACTTTACCCGGGCGGCCTCCCAACTCCCCCAGCTATCTGTCTCAGTCTCGAGTGTTTCTGAAAAGGGTATGACCGTGTCACTGGCACGACGCAATGCCCCTACAAACCCCGAATGCAGAATTTACGCGCCTCGCTTCCCCAAGCCGCAGACCGAAGGCTTCTTCTTGATTGTCTGCAGTGCGACACCGAATGGCGGTGATGGCGAGCTCCTTGGATTGAAGCGTGTTTCCTGGCCTCCAGTCGCCAAGCGCAACGGACATGGCAATGGCAAGGGCAACTCTGGTGATGGATCTGGCCGAGGTGGACCTTCCGACAAGAACAAGGGTGGCTTGACTGTTCGCTCTTCTGTCAAATTCCCCGAAGGCATCCTCGCACAGTCCTCTTCAGCCACTACTGCCAACAAGGCCCGCGTCAATATCAAGGTTATTAGTGACTCGTACGTCGGAATGATGTGGACGGTGTCCAATGTTGAAGTTCATCTCGACAGTAGTATCGAGACACAGCTCGTTACCAAGCCAAGCGCTCCTGCGAAGGAATGAGAACATATCATAGCGAACTCATGATCAAAGGACATTTCAAACTCTTTGTACATAAATGCATCAAATCTCCTGGTCAAGAGAAATATTAAACCGCCTCCTCAAAGCCTTAAATCTCCCCTCATCCCCCTCAAAAGAATCAACAACCCTAGTCCTCCCACCCATATTCACCTTAACAACATTATTGACTATCATAGCCTTCCCAACAACAAAAACCTCCCCGTCACCCTCATGCCTAGCCCCCTCCCCCTCCAAAAACTCAACATCCCCAATTTCCCCATTCCTCAAAAACCTCACAACAACAAAAGATCCCTTCTGGACCGCATCCCAGCTAGGAAAGCGATTAATAACCTCGAAATCATTCCGAAACCACTCCAACTCCGCAAACGAATAGAACGAATTCCAGGGTTTCTCAACTCCATTGCAATACTGATATATCCACACTTTATGCTCTGGGCGCGTTTGCTTCGGTATATTATCATACACCAGCCGCACTTGTTGGGTTCCTAGATTCTGAGTGATCTGCCCTGATCTTAGTGGGAGAGGGCTTGTTGCGCCGTCTCCGCCGAATGCTGCATCAGCATGGTATTCTTGGCTTGTTGGGAGGCGGATTATGTTTATTATGTGTCCTGGTCATCATTGGAATCAATTTCAAACCCAACCCCAGTATACACAGTTTCTTACTTGTCTAGTTGGTTGGATAGTTGGGTCTTACCATCCACTAAACTCCCCCTGCGGAATCCCATCAATCCATTCCCGATTCCGGACACCAATCATGTAAACCGAGAATCCTAGCGCGCGGAGTATATGATGGAAAAAGATGCTCACTTCAGAGACAGTACCTTCCTCAACATGGAGTGGTATCTCCGTCTCCCATGAGTTTGGTGTAAATTTTCTCTGGTTGAATTTGTGCTAGTTGTGTGGTGGAGTAGTGGCATGTTAGGCTGTCATATGGAAAACGGGTGATTTGGCAGCGGAAGCGGTCTTTCAATGCTCGGTCTGTTTTTGGGAAGGCCTGGTGGTTGGTGAGGTACGCTGTCTATGGTGCCGGGGGCGGGCGATGTAGTTGAGGTATTTTGTTATTTGGGTTGGTGTGAAGGCTGATGGTGAGTTTGAGGATTCCATTTCCAATTTGTCTCTTCATTTGATGGAGGACTTTTGACTTGTATTCTTGGTTTATGTGGTTTTATATAAATATTATTCTTTTCTATGGTGCCATGTGTGGGTTCATCTGTAGGCAGGTTCCAAGCAGCGATGTTGCAACGTTGATTTGATGTTAGTTTTGATATATGGAATTGACTTTTGAAGGATCCGCCATTCGGGCTATATTGTGACAATAATTCCGGTTGATTGACTGACGTTTGTTTCCTATCAGATGACATAGAAACAGAATCTTTGTCAGTCTTGGGACTGGAATCAGATTCAGAGAGACCCCCTTTTGTAGCCTTCGACGCAACTCTTTTGGCTTTCTCGCGGTGATGGGCATTTTAGCGTCCTTTATTAAGCATGCGGTTTGTTTTCCGGGAGTGCTACTGCAGCAGGGTCTGAGACAAGTCCCAACGGACATCGTCATGATTTTTGCAGATCGAGACGAAGAGGCGCAGTATTATCCTAGAGGCTTTCTGGCACAACTCCAAAAGATCACAGTCTTTAGCACATCGACGGCATTCTCGGTGCACATCACCACAGCGATTGCAGCGAATCTGCATCGAGCACGAGAAGCCGGAAAAGAAGCGCGGCCAAGTTGTACAGAAGAGATGATCCGGCAGCGTTCACCTGTTGATTGTTACGCAACAGGGCGAGAAGATGTTCGAGAAAGCGGATTTTAACGCCTGGGACGTTGTAGAGAAACCGGGGGATTTGCGGGCTGACTACGGTTCCATAAGGTCAAGCGACGGAAAGCAGAAGAAACACTGGAGACTGCCGGATTGCAAGAATCGGAGAAAGCACCGCGAGGCATATTGTCGATGTGCAACAAGGTCAGCAGGGTTCAAGAAACAACCCAATACCTTGCATTAGGGACAGTCGTCTAGACGAGAAAAAAAAGGCTTAACAGACGAGGACTCACTACGGGGATGAGAAAGATGAGGCGGGAAGAGGAAAGAGGTAGTGAAAGAACACCCTTCTATATTTAGACCCAAAACTTCATCTGACATCTGACCCAAATCCCCACTTGAAACACTACCTCGACTATCGTCTCGACCTACATTGACCTCCGACATTGGATCTAGATTACGGAGGATGTTCTTATAGTTAATTGAAAAGCGCCTTGTAGGTCAGCGGTGGAATTCTTCGTCGTGGACCGGTACGGTTTGAATTAGCTTGGGACCTGGAATACTGACATATGGAATGATATTCAAGCGGGTACAAGTCACAGTCGGTGGGCTGGCATCTAGCATAATTGGCTATCTTATAGATGATTAGTGGTGTATTCTCCGTCGTCTCGTCAATAAGCTCAATTCTGAGGGTGAATAATAGGCAGCATTTGTACCATTTTGAGATATTTTGTTGCGAAGGATAGCTTGATATATAGGCAAACGCACTGATAACGATGTTGACAGCGTGTCCCTATTGCACGTGTTCCCCCTTTTTTGAGGAAGACCGACTAATTGCTAAGTGGAGACGGGCCTAACGTTGACTAGTTAGTAAAAAATACAGTGTCAGTATCTTTGTACATTAGTGGACAGGTAGTAAGCGTGTTAACCCCTCTATCTACGATTGTATCGAAAACTGTAATATACACAATCCATAAGTTTTGAGTATCAACAGAATTCGCATTCGACTTTTTCGGGTGTAAAACAGTCAAAAAGTGGTGCATCGTGTTGTCTTTTTCCGAGGCCAAGCAACGCTCGTGCCATGATTTATGCATGTCAGTGCGTACGGTATGGAGAATGCTTTTCGAGTACAATTTTAGCATTTTATATCTATGGGAAACATTGGCTCTAAGCCAGCCAGCTACCATGGCTAGAAAGTTGATCGGCGGGTGCGTGCCGTGCCGAGCCTCGGCGGACAATGGGCTTGTCAAGGATCTTCATTCTGTGCTATAGACAACAAACATTCTCAAAGGGCTTTCTGTGCAATGAGAATACTTCGATCTCTATGGCATGCATTTTGGAAGCGTTTTATTCGATTTAAACCTAACATGAGTAGGAAGATGAAGAATTATACCTGATTCGGACCCATCCCCCGAAACAGTAGTATGGGCACTACTGTAAGGTAAGCGCCGGTGTAACGTGTACACAATATCATTGGTTCGAATTTGTTTATTGGCAGGGATTATATTCTTGTCCTCCAGCCTCGCCTTTTTCGAGAAAGGTCTGGTAGGCGAAAGGTAGACGGTCCCCCATCTCTTACTGCTCCTTCGTTTCGTAACCTGAAGACCCTTAGAAAGTTCCAACGAAATACTGCGAATTATTGCCACAATGGGCTACTTGAGAGAGTTAAAGGACCGGGCTCTCTTTAAACTCGAGAAACCACGGCATGCAACCGTGCGACGTGACCAAACTCAGGCTCATCCCGACCGTATATACGTTACGCAAGAATTGACCTCGACCGACCAAACCAACAAAGATCAGTCCCACCCCAAGGATTCTTCCTCACCACAGGACCTATGGCAATGTGCGTTCATCCAGCTAGACGAAAAGGATCAGAGCATTTTGTCGAAACATTATCCTGCCTCAATCAACAGAGGCGAGAGTCGCTCGCGGGTAATAGACATGGTCGATTGGGCTATAAGGACCACGGAAGACAACTACACGAAGTACCAAGAACGAGGAGGTATCAAGATCAGGAGGTCAACGGGAGAGGATATTGACCTTCGAAAGCTTGCGGGGAAAATCATCGACGCAGCACTCACTTTCAAGGACGTGATAAATAAAGGGGTCGCTTGTGATCCTACCGGGCATGCCGCAAGTGCGTGGGCAGTAGTCTCCATAGGACTGACTGTTAGTGATAAAACTAAGTTCAGCTTACAGCGAAGCTAATGGTCGAACTCACAGATGACCCAGAACCATTGCGAGCGACGAGATGCCTTGTTCGATTCTTCCGAATTTCTCGCAGAAGTCCTTGCCCGATGTGTGTATATTGAAGAGAATTTCTTCCGCCACCAGACTCGGGACACTATGATAGGATCTGCAATGATCAGAGTCTACAAAGAAATCCTCCAATACACCGCAGAGGTATTAAAAGCTCAATCCTTAGGCCTAGGAAAAGGAGTAATAGACAATATCACGGCAATCATCAGCCAACGCCTTGTTCAGCATCGTTTTTCTATTGAAAAGGAGGAGCAGAAGCTGTATCGATGCGTGATGTGGGACAAGCAGTTACAAAACGAAAAGAGCGCAGAAAGAATTCTCGCAGCAATCGATGACGAGTTGTCGAAATCTCTCGATAATCTTACCTTGAGGTTTAGTCTACCTATTGCCGAGGGGGCATTTTACGACTCATACAAGGATCAACACGAAAGTTTTTGTCTTGAAGATACGAGGGTTCAGCTTCGCGACGAAATCGCACAATGGGCTCAATCACATGAACCCATATTTTGGCTGAATGGGATGGCTGGAACCGGAAAGTCTACTGTCGCGCGAACAGTAGCACAGACTTTTCGAGAGAGACAACAACTAGGAGGAAGTTTCTTCTTCAAGAAAGGCGAAGCGGACCGTGACAATGCGAAACGATTCATAACGACCATTGTGAAACAGTTAATGACACACAATCGGCAGTTGGCATTAGCCGTTCTTCGGGCGATCGAGAACGATCCTGACATTTCTGCGAAGGCTCTCCATGAGCAATTCAAAAAGCTCCTTCTCCAGCCATTACAAAGTCTACCATTGAGTTCAACCACCACGCTAGTGATTGTGATCGACGCGATTGATGAGTGTGAGAACGCTGAGGAAATACGAACCATCCTCGAGCATTTGCCACAAACACAGAACTCCATCGGCATGAGACTAAAGATTTTCCTGACAAGCCGACCAGACAATTCAGTACTCCGTTGGTTTCAGAGATACAATGCGTACCAAGCATCAATTCTTCATGAGATATCCGACGCAGTGGTTGCACACGATATATCCTTGTTCCTGCAAAACCGGTTCGCCAAAATCAGAGAGTCACGAGATATTCCGAGAGACTGGCCAGGAGCTGAGAAGATCCAAACTCTGGTTACCATGTCGGTCCCATTGTTCATTTCAGCCGCTACAGTGTGTCTGTTTATTGAAAATGAGAAGCGGGATCCCATGGAACGCCTCACGATACTGCTCGAAGACCAAGCCAAATATGTAACGAAAATGGATAAAACCTACCTGCCTATTCTCAAGCGGCTTCTCGATGGTCAAGATGACGATGAAAAAGATCAAATGATGCAAGAATTCCAGCAAATCGTCGGTGTTATCATCCTTCTTGCTGTGCCACTCTCGGTGCATGCGCTTTCCGACCTCCTCAATATTCAGGAAAGAACCATCATCGCCCACTTAGACTGGCTCCAGTCAGTTCTAAGCGTACCTAGTGACCGAGATTTTCCGATCAGAACTCTGCATCTATCATTCCGAGAATTCCTCCTTGCTACGAAAAGTGGTTTCCATGTGGACGAGAACAATACACATGCGAAGATAGCCAACCTTTGTCTTAGCGTCATGCGTCAAGAGCTGAAATGCAACATCTGCAGTTTGCAGAGCTATGGAACACAGCGCGCGAATGTAGACGGCCAGAGCATCAAGCAGTGTCTTCGACCACATCTTCAGTACTCTTGTCGCTACTGGTTGTACCATCTAGAGCGGAGCAAAGGCTTTATCTCCGAGCAAGAGATTTTGTATTTCCTCGAAGAACATCTTCTTCACTGGTTGGAAGCGATGTGTCTGATGGAAAATTCTTCAGAGGTTGTCGGGATTATAGACAAGCTACAGTCGTTGAAACAAGTGAGTCCCTACACAAGCAAGGGTTAAAGAAGGCTATTGTTTAACAAGGCTAATGTGGACAACACAGAACAACGTGGATTCCAAGTTTTCCCGGTTCTTATATGACGCTAAGCGATTCATCCTCAAGAATCTTCACATGGTTGAAAGTGCTCCACTTCAACTTTATTGCTCTGGTCTGATTTTTTTGCCGACGAAGAGTATTGTTCGGGAGAAATTTAAAGAACAAAGACCTAAGAAGATAAACATTCTACCCCAGGTGGACGAAACATGGCATGCCGAATTACAGACCCTCGAGGGCCATTCCGATTGGATTAGCAATGTGGCCTTCTCCCCGGACAGCCAAATAGTAGCTTCAGGCTCTGGTGATGAAACCATCAAACTCTGGGACCATCTGACAGGCCGAGAGCTACAGACACTCCAGGGCCATTCCGATTGGGTCCGTTCTGTGGCCTTCTCCTCGGACTGTCAAATACAAATACTAGCCTCAAGCTCGGATGATAAGACTATCAAGCTCTGGGATGTCAAAACAGGCCGTATGCTAAAGACCCTCGAAGGGCATTTGGGTACGGTTTACACTGTGGCTTTCTCCTCGGGCTGCCAAAGTCAAATACTAGCCTCGGGCTCATATGATAAGACTATCAAGCTCTGGGATGCTACAAGGGGCCAAGTGCTAGAGACCCTCGAAGGTCATTCAGGTCCGGTTCTTTCGGTGGCTTTCTCTCTGGACAGCCAAAGCCAATTAGTAGCCTCGGGCTCGGAAGATGCGACTATCAAGCTGTGGGATGCCAAAACGGGCCAAGAGCTAAGAACCCTCAAGGGTCATTCCTCTTGTGTCGGTTCTGTGGCCTTCTCCCCAGGTAGCCAAGTACTAGCTTCGGGCTCTTATGATAAAACTATCAAGCTCTGGAATGCTACAACAGGTCAATTGCTAAAGACATTCGAGGGTCACTCAGGTCCGGTCCGTTCTATAGCCTTCTCCCTAGATGGCCGAATACTAGCTTCGGGCTCGATTGACATGACCATCAAGCTCTGGGATACTACGGTGGACCAGGAGCCACAGACCCTAGAAGGCCATTTGAGCTTAATTAACTCCGTGGCTTTCTCCCCGAACAGCCAGATACTAGCTTCGGGTTCGGTTGACATGACCATCAAGCTCTGGGATACTACGATGGGCCGACAGCGAAAGAGCCTGGAAGGCCATTGTGGTTCAGTCAATACCGTGGCCCTCTCCCCGGATACCCGATCAGTAGCCTCATGCTCTAATGATAAGACCATCAAGCTCTGGAATACCACGACGGGTCAACTCCTGAATACCCTCAAGGATCACTTAGGTCCGGTACGTTCTGTGGCTTTCTCTCCGGACAGCTCAACAGTGGCCTCAGGCTCAAATGATAAGTCCATTAAGCTTTGGAATGTCGAAACGGGAAAAGCGCTTCAGACTCTCGAGGGTCATTCCGATTGGGTCCGTCGTATAGCCTTCTCTCCGGATGGCCTGATACTAGTTTCAGACTCACTTGATAAGACCATCAAGCTATGGGACATCAAAACAGGCAAAGTGCTACAGACGCTTGAGGGTCATTCCTCTTGGGTCCATTCTGTGACCTTCTCCTCAGACAGCCAACTGTTGGGGTTAGGCTTGAATGACAAGACCATCAAGCTCTGGGATGTCAAAACAGGCCAAGCGCTACAGACCTCCGATGGCAATCCAGATTGGGCTAGAACCGTCGCTGGTCAGATCCAATACAAGCCTACATCTCAAGTTTCTGTATCAAATGAGTGGGTGGGTTTTGGGAATGATAGCCCAATATGGCTCCCTGTTGAGTATCGTGACCCCACTTGCTCAGCTATGCAAGATAGAATTCTTGTTCTTGGGTACGCTGATGGGAGGATTTTTATTGTTGGTTGCGGTACAAATTAAGTCTTCTTTGTGCATAGTGTATTTTGGTTGGGTTCTAAGATTGTCAGACCCTGTAGCATGAGAAGTGGGATTACTACAAGGAAATGACCCCGTCCTGACAGCCAGTATAGGTAAGCTCTACTCGTTACAGGAGATATCGTTTTGTATTGAGACATAGTAGGAAATGAGAAATCACATGTTTATCATAGGACAAGGTGGAAAGTCTCAGGCACTTCCAAGGTTAGAGGCTTCACTAGTGTGGACAATTACATCACTGTGGGGATGCAACAGTTCCTACACCGCATCCATAAATGAATATTAAATGTGGTAAGAAAAAGAAGTTGAAATATGAAGTAGGAGATTGAATGAAGTATAAAGATTCAAGACATCAGCTGATCGGCACAGTCGACCTCGGGAATGTAGAACGCTAATGCAACTCTCCTCCATCCACCGTTAACAGCGCCCGCACGTTTCCGATGTTTTGCTTGTTGGTTAGGCTCAACTTCCAAGGAAGCCTTATCAGGCTTGAGCTCCACTAGACAATGGCTAGTCTAGCCCCCTCTCTCACTTTGGGCCTGTCACCCTTCAACCCTGCACCTACCAGCTCTCTCTCATCTCCGCTGTTCCCTCCAGCTCCCGCAACCATGGCGGGGTGGATTGGATGGGTGTTTACCTTTGTCTTTCAAACTATCCCAAGCGTGTTGTACTTGGTCATCACCTTTTCAACCATCACACTGCCTACATGGCTGTTTACGCTCTTTTCCATGAGCTTGACGTTCACCATGAACTTCACCACGCTGTACGTCTATACCTAGGATTGAGACCCTGAGAACTCAATCTGACCATGACTCTTAGAATGTTGATCGTGCTCGCCCTTGTATCGACCGTCAGCTGGTTCATTCGATATCGGTTCCTGAACATGTACAGCCGTCTGCCCCCCGAACCCCAGCGCAAAGAACCCGAGATCGACTTGTTCCCCGATATCCAAGAAGGCGACTCTAAACCTGGTCTTGCGAACTACCTCGATGAATTCCTCAGCGCGATCAAAGTCTTCGGATACTTGGAGCGACCCGTTTTCCACGAGCTGACCCGGACGATGCAAACAAGGAAGCTGATTGCGGGAGAGACACTCATGTTGGAAGAAGAGAAGGGATTCTGCTTGGTTGTGGATGGACTGGTTCAGATCTTTGTGAAGTCGACGCGCCCAGCAAAGCCCGGTTCGCAAGAGAACCTGTACATGGACGATATGACCTCGGACGAGGAGGACCACCATGTCCATGGCCGACAGGGCTACCAGCTTCTTACAGAGGTCAAGAACGGCGCGTCGATGTCGTCCCTCTTCTCTATTCTTCAGCTGTTCACCGAAGATATCGAGCTCCGCAACTCGCAAAGCTATAACTCTATGGCATCGACCCCTACTCGTGGCAACACCCCTGTTCCAGATGCCTTCCCCTTTAGCCCTACCACTGGAATCGTCGAAAGCCCTAGGTCTAACGTACGAGAGACAGGGGATGTGACTACTCCACTCCACGGTCCAGTTGATACACTGCCACCAGTTCCTCCACTTAATCTTGGAGAAAGTCGTACCATGCCTAATCAAACTCCCGAGCAGGGCACACAGCAAGAGCAAAAGGCCAAGAAGACGCGCCGCAAATCAGTACACCCAGACATTGTGGCCCGAGCTACGGTGGATACGACCATTGCTATCATCCCAGCGAGCGCATTCCGTCGCCTGACAAGAGTTTATCCACGGGCGACATCACACATCGTTCAAGTCATTCTGACCCGTCTCCAGCGGGTCACGTTTGCAACCGCACACTCATACCTCGGCCTTACCTCTGATGTCCTGGACATTGAACGTCAAATGGGCAAATTCACCACTTGGGATCTTCCCAATAACCTCCGAGGAGGCGCCCTGGATCGTCTGAAGGACAAGTTCACCAGAGAACGGGATAGGTTGGGGCCCGAGGAAGTCGGCAAAGGCATCGCTCTCCACAATCCATATGTTGGCCGCAGACGTTCCAGCAGTACTCTCAGAAAAGAGGCCGTCTTACAAGCCAAGGTCTCCAGTGAACGCCCTATTGCGCCTTTGACGCCTATGAGATCACCACCGGCATTTGGTGACAGGGATTCCGGAGGTGTGAGCCCTGGAGATCTTCTATCGACCATTCAGCTTTCTCGGTTCGGACCGCGATATGACCATCTGGCACCACGCATCCAAACTCCTCTCACAGAGAGAGAGGAGCCCCAATTTCTACCTGGCCCTATGCGGCCGTCAACGTTCCAGCGCAAGGACTCAATTGATGAGGATGGTTTGTTCCGAGAATCGATTTTAAATTGCATCATGAAGGGCATTGGACTTACTGAAAGTACTCGCGATACCATGCGCAAGGGTACTCACTCCGGTGATGCGTCGCCGAGACTTCTTTCATATGACTCTCGCCGCCAGAAAGCTGTGTTCTCCAATGCCTTTGGCTTCATTGACCCCTATGAAGCGTCTGGGGACGGCGAGACAGAATCCATGATGTCCATGTCAGTGACAAGTGCGGGAGGAACCTCACCTGTGATCAACCTTAGGGAGGAGCTTCGCCATGACATCGAGGTGGTCTACTTCCCACAAGGCTCAGTTCTGGTAGAGCAAGGTGAACGCCACCCGGGTCTCTACTACGTGATTGACGGTTTCTTGGATGTGGGTATTCCCACGCACGAGCGTGATGATGTCCTCATTGGTACCTCCCACGGACATGCCTCGCAGGCACAGGAAGAGCTGTTCCCGAACTTGAGACACACTACCACAGGGTCATCGCGAGCCTCTGGAGCAACAGGCGGCAATGAATCTCGACGGAAGGGACAGTCTCGGAAATCGCTGTACCTGATCAAGCCTGGTGGTATACAGGGATATGTTGGTGCTCTGGCATCATATCGATCCTATACGGACGTTGTAGCCAAAACAGATGTCTATGTGGGATTCCTTCCCCGTGCTTCCCTCGAAAGAATCGCGGACAGGCACCCTACCGCCCTACTGACCTTGGCGAAGCGTCTTACAAGACTTTTGCCGCGCTTGCTGCTTCATATTGACTTTGCGCTTGAGTGGGTGCAGGTCAGCGCAGGAGAAGTCATTTATCACCAAGGAGACGAAAGTGATGCCATCTATCTTGTTCTGAATGGTCGTCTGAGATCTGTGCTCGAAGGCGCAAATGGCAAGATGACTGTCATTGGTGAGCATGGTCAGGGTGAAAGTGTTGGTGAGCTCGAGGTTATGACTGAGTCCACCAGACCGTCTACCTTGCACGCTATTCGGGAAACCGAACTGGCCAAGTTCCCCAGATCTCTGTTCAACAGTCTTGCTCAGGAACATCCGGGAATCACAATCCAGGTTTCCAAGCTTATTGCTCAGCGGATGCGGGACTTAGTCGAGCACCCACTGTCTGAAAAGGGCATTGAACAGGGACACACTGGCGGTGTTCAGACTGCAACCTCGACAATGAATCTTCGAACAGTGGCTATTCTCCCTGTGATGGCTGGCGTTCCTGTCGTTGAATTCGGCAACCGTCTTCTTCAGGCCTTGCACCAGATTGGTGTGACTCGTGGTGTGACCTCTCTCAACCAAGCTGCCATTTTGAATCACCTGGGACGCCATGCCTTCAGCAAAATGGGCAAACTCAAGCTCTCGCAGTATCTGGCTGACCTCGAAGAAAAGTACGGAATGGTGCTCTACATCGCTGACACCAATGTAAACGCACCATGGACTCAGACCTGCATCGCGCAAGCCGATTCCATCCTGCTTGTTGGCCTTGCAGAGTCCTCTCCGACCATCGGTGAATACGAACGGTTCCTACTGGGTATGAAAACGACTGCCCGCAAAGAACTGGTATTGTTGCACGCTGAGCGATACTGCTCTCCTGGCCTTACCCGGAAATGGCTCAAGAACCGAGTCTGGATCAATGGTGGCCATCATCACATCCAAATGGCGTTCCGCTCAACCAACGAAGCCTCGCACCCTCCAACCAAGAAGTTTGGCACTGTACTCAAGCAGCGTGTCCAGATTTTGCAAGCCGAGATCCAGAAGTACACCTCTCGTCGTGCCCAGCAGACCCCGCTCTATTCTCCGCAAACCCCATTCAAGGGCGACTTCCACCGTCTGGCTCGTCGTCTGTGCGGCAAATCTGTTGGACTTGTGTTAGGAGGAGGTGGAGCACGTGGTATCTCGCAAGTCGGCGTGATTAAGGCACTCGAGGAGGCCGGAATCCCAATTGACATCATCGGTGGTACATCGATCGGTTCTTTCATTGGAGCTTTGTACGCACGTGACGCTGATGTTGTGCCCATGTACGGACGAGCAAAGAAGTTCTCCGGCCGCATGGGTAGTATGTGGCGATTTGCACTGGATCTGACCTACCCTACTGTGTCGTACACAACAGGGCATGAGTTCAACCGTGGAATCTTCAAGACATTCGGCGATAGCCAGATTGAAGATTTCTGGCTAGAATTCTACTGCAACACAACCAACATCAGTCGATCCCGCATTGAGTACCATTCTTCCGGCTATGTCTGGCGGTATGTCCGGGCGTCCATGTCTCTGGCCGGTCTCATACCTCCAATCTGCGACGAAGGCAGCATGCTCCTGGATGGTGGCTACATTGACAATCTGACCGTGGCACACATGAAGAGTCTTGGTGCAGACGTCATCTTCGCTGTAGACGTTGGATCAATCGACGATACAACACCTCAAGGCTATGGAGATTCACTCTCAGGCTTCTGGTCAATGCTCAACCGCTGGAACCCCTTCTCGGCACTTCCAAATCCACCAACACTCTCCGAAATCCAAGCTCGACTGGCCTACGTCTCATCAATCGACAACCTCGAGCGCGCCAAGAACATGCCCGGATGTCTGTACATGCGCCCACCCATCGATCCATACGGAACACTGGACTTTGGCAAGTTCGACGAAATCTACCAAGTCGGTTACAAGTTCGGCAAGGAGTACCTCGACACCCTGAGGAATGAAGGCTCGCTCCCTATCCCCGAGGAAACAGAGGAAAAGCGCAAGTTGCAGCGGACTATGGCGCCTCGCCGTGCCAGTATCTGATTGGACTGATTATTTGACTGTTGCCCTTCAACTCTGCATGGTTCCGATGAGGCAAGTTGGTTTGTGTATGCAGCGTTCAACACTGCATATGTTTCGCTTTGTCCCCGGTGCTGGTCACCTTTTCTGTTTGCACGAGATACCGATTGCGTTTTTACTTATGTTACTCTAGTGTATATCGCATCTATTGTAACTGGCAAAGTAGACTAATAGATATAAATCAAATGAGAACCGAGCCTTCTTGAGTTATAATATATTGTAGTGGTGAATCCCGGGACAGTACCATGTTAACGGCCCGGGGTATCATAAATGCCTTAGCAGACATGCAGTCTTCTCCTGCAGGGAGATCTCAGCATGATCATACAACCTCAATATGACTACAGTTATTCAGCAGACTTCTTGATTCATGATATAGCATCAGGCTCAGTACGATTTACACCTTCAGAGACTGCTCTCTACGTCTACATCAGGCCATGGGAGTGGTTGTGTGATCCCTTCGTTAGTATCGACCCGTCTGCTATGTCAGACTGCCATCATGTCATCCCCGTTTCAATATATATATATACAGAGTTCTGTCAGGTATATCTTCCACTGCATGCCCAGAAAAAATACTCCTTGGCGTAAAGTTTCATAGTACGCTGAAAAAACAACAAAGGTTATAAAACTGTTCACATTGCTATGAAGTTTTGTACCCCAACTTAACCTCTCTTTCCTCACCTCTTTTTTGCCCATTTTCGAGTGTCTCGAGGTGTCTCGAGGGAATCAATCAGATGTTCTAAAGGAAGGAAAGCTTGAAAGCACTTATCACGATCGTTATAGTATAGAGTTGTGCAAATATTAGAATGATAATAACTCATAAGGTGAAAAAGACAGCGCCCCCATCAGGGACAACTATAGATGATCCAGCCAACAATGCCTCAACTTCACGACCCATCCACCACCAAAATCACCATATGTGCAATGCAGAAGAAAAGTAAGATATTAAAAGCGCAACCTAATTCCAACGCAGTTCCCGACCAAACCAAAAGGCTATATATTAACAAGCATCCTATGCCAGGAAGCAACAAAGCAAAGCCTTAATTTAAACAGCCCCAGAAGGAGCAGTCGTAGCAACACCATGAGCGGGGCCAGCAGGGGCATCAAGAGGCACGCGGGTGCCAGTCTCGATCTTCTCCTCGGCGGCAGTAGTGCGGGCGTTAGGGTTGTTTTCTTTGCGGTAGGCCCAGAGAGCGGCGACTTCGAGGAACATGCCAAAGAAGGTGAAGATGCTGGAATTCAATCAGTTTCTGAGTGTTTTGGGAATGTGGTTCGCCTGGAAAAAACTTACAACGCAAGGAAGATGAATGCCTCGTTGGCCGTCTTGTATTGGCAACCGACGCCAAATGGAGCGGTGGCGTAGCACCATCTTGAGCTGTAGTCTTGGGCGGAGAAGATGAAAGCGGTTAACCAGCTAGACAGAATTTATGTTAGATTCTGCTACGCGGTTCCTTGCCATGTTTTGGGTATCGTTGTATACGTACAGGTAAGAGAAGACGACGTCGATGAGGAGCACAAACTTGCTCAGGGCTGATGGGAGGAATGGGGAGACGAATGCTGGGATGAAGAAGACGACAGAGATGACAGCCTGAAATTGTATTAGGTGGATATGTTGAAAGGCTGAGACACATATACTTACAATGCACTCTTGGTAGAGCATGTGTGTGCCATGAGGACGACCGTGGCTAATGAACCATGAGGTGAATCCCATGACAATCACAGCACTAATCCATTGCAGGGTGCGGGTGACCAACTGCAAAGGCCGTGCGATAGCTGATGAGAAAAGCATCGTGTCCGTATAGTTCAATGACGGTTTATGGTATGTATGGGCGTGATATAAGTTGATGTGAAATAGTCGCAAGAAGGCAATGCAAGATCAAGGCGTGCCTCGGTGAACAAAAATATGTATGAGCAAGTGAACACAGAACTTGAGTTGTAAACCGCAGACAGACAAGACTGACTTTATATATCGTGGACGAGAAGTGGGTCGCAGCAACATGCGGACACAAACAGACGCAAAAACAAACAACAGATCAATGCAACAAGGTTCAATATCTAGCCCTGGCCAGGTCCGGCAAGGAAACAGAGAGGGATATTCGGGACTTTCCCCAGATGCGTCATGGCGGTCTCTGCATGAAGTTAGAATCAGACCACGTACAGTAGCCTGGGCTGATTTTCAATTACGACCTTCCCAGTCTCGACTAGTATCTTTGGCTCATAATTCGGCAATAGTACGTTCTCTAATAACTATCTCTCTGGTTTGTATAGCTATCCACACTACCAATATGTCGCACTTCGTTCTGATTTCTCGCCGATGTATGTCTAGGAATAGATATACGAACTCGGCAAGGGATCGGCATATAATGTCCTCGTGCCGCAAGGAGATACCTCATATCAACCGGCATCACTGCAGATAGAGCCAAAACAGGTTACAAGTCCCGCCGGCAGTCTGCGGAAGATCTGCTCATCCAAGGTGGTCCCGTCTCGTGATGGTCTCAACCCTCACCAATGAGGTCGCTGGATAGCGAAGTATATCACACCACCTTGCACTAGCAATGAAGCCAAAACAAGAAAAACAACAATTCACCACAGAAAACAATTAGATTCTCATCTGCGCCAGAACCCAATAGCGGGGTCCTCCCTGCATAGACCATGATCGACAGCGGTGGCTTCAGCCTTATTGAACGTTCTGTTTGTGCAATGAAACCGGGGACGATTCCAGGGATGGTGGTATCCCTGGACTCAGGCATACAATTCTGTACATTAGTAAACAGGGCAAAGCGAGCTTCTCACTGGAGATGGGTATTGAACTGATTTGTTTGATAGTTCTAAGGCGCAACAAGAGAGCCAATGGATCTCGGCACGATGTCGTGTCACAGCTGCAGCGGATGTCATTCGCTCCTGCGACTCGTCGATCATGTTGTGGACTGTGCTGCGGAGAGTCTTCCGACTTAGCCGAAGCTGAAAGTACTTTTGGTCAGGCCATGCTTGTTTGTGGCTTCACTTTTCTGTCGATCTTTTGGCACGGGCTACCCCCGGAAACTATGCAGATGTCCTTGTTCAACTTTAATTGTGAACGGTTGAGGTAAGGAGGGTGTCTCACTCTGGTATCAATATTGATGGTCCCTTGCAAATAAATAGACTGTCGTTGTTTCAGAGAGGAATGCCAACAACAACCTACCGTTGTTGGGCAGACAACGGAAGGGCAAGGTCGACGAGGTATAGCCTATAGAGAACCAACGTGGTAGCCAAGCATAATATTAAGCGCTTGTTTGCTCCTACCTTGTTGATATCTTCAGTGTGTACGTCATGAAAGGTGTAGATCGACTACTCCGCTCACACCAGTTCGAGCTGGTCATTTACTTGCCTCGAACAACAGAAGTCTAATGGAAGATAGAAAACCAGATAGAAGAGAAACGACATAATATTTCGCATGCTTTTGCCAAACTCTACATTAACATATTCTAAACACCAGATACAGTAAATAACCCCCATTCCACGCCGAATAAACAAACCATTGGACTCCAGTGCGCCAGGTGATTTGACCATTCACACTCACCACATAGCGTTACCGAGGTCATGCTCCTTGAGGTACTCGCTACCCTTCTCCATGTACTCCTGGCGGGTGACCGAGGAACGACCAAGGTCACTACCAGAAGCCCACTGCGCAGCACCCTTCCAGGCATCGAAGACCGGGTCCGTAGCTTTGCGCACGTCCAGCGTGGCATCAATAGGGAGGAAACCACGGAATTCCTTACGGAAGCGCTCATCAAAGCCAGTGAAGAGGGTGTTTCCACCTGTGAGGAACACGTCCTTCAGGAGGCGGGATTGGTCGGCTGGGTTGGAGTAGCGCTGGTTGATAATATCGGCTGCGAGTTCGATTAGACCGGCTTGGTCAACGCCAGCGATGGAAGGTTGGAAGACAACCTCCGGCACGCGGATGCGCTCGACGTTCAAGTGCAGTTGGTGTGCCTCTCGCTGGCTCTCTGGGTCGAAAGGCCAGGGTCCGCGGAGGAATGCGTGGACCAAACTCTTGGTCCAGTCGGACTGGGCGGCGAGAGTGTGGTTTTCGGTGAAGTCGGGATCATACTCTAGCAGCTCGTTTTCGACTGCATTCAACATACTACCGAGATCCTCCTCCTCTTCATCCTCACTTTGGTCGCCTGTTGCAACGTCGCGGTACACACTCCAGTCGTTGTCATTGGCACCAAAGTCGTCGTCATCTCCACCACGGCGCCGTTTCTTGGGACCGTCGGATGCCAGGTTAGCTAGTGTCTTCATGCGCATTTGACTGGCTAAAGATTTCCGGTTTCCGAGATCTGCTGTCATGCGATCACGGTCCTTGATCCTTTGTAGAATAGTCTAACGATTGTTAGCATATTAACGTAAGACTTGGACATTTTCTAATCATACCTGACGGTTGTTTCGGCGCTGCGAGACCCATGTCTCAAAGTTGTTCTCCCGCTGTTCGCGGTCAAGACGCTCAACCTCTTCGCGACGAGCCTTTTCACGCTCCTTCTCTTCCTTAGCTCGGGCTCGGGCATCGACATTGGACTTCATGAGACGCTGGTGGCGCTTCTCTTTCAGACCGGCCTCATCAAGCTGGTCGTCTGGAATATCAAGCATGGGGAACGTCATTTCCTCGGGCTGTTCTTCGGTCTCTTCAATACCGAGGTCCTTGTTGCGCGAACGCTTGATGGATTTCTCCAAATCGCGAATCATTCGCTCCAGTTGGACCTCGTCCTTCAAATCTTCGGCTTCCAGGATGCGACGGATTTCCTTTTTTGTTTCCGAGGCAAGGTTATCCTGCAGTTGCTTCCAGTACTCAAGCTCTTCCTCCTTCTTCACCAGCTTCTCCAGGCGCATCTTTGCGGCTTGATCTTGCAGACGCCGGCCAGCCTCCTTCTTGCGCTCTAGTGCTTGCTGGATCTGTTCTTCTGTCTTCTCCTGCACGACCTGCTCCGTGAAGGGGTACTGAATAACGCGATCACGTTCCTCCAGTCCAGTCCAGTCAAGATACCCATTCAATTCGTTGGCGTAGTCCTGCGAGATGTAACAATGCTTCTGCTTCATTTCCTCCATCTGTGCATCGGTGAAACGGGTCGGGAATGTTGGGTATTTAAGCTTCATGAGCTTCATGAGATATTCAGAGCTCTGCAATCCACCCCAGTTGAGACGAGAGCTGTTCGAGAGCATAGGTTTCGAATTCATAACGGGAATGACATGAGTAGAAGTATGCGACGAGTCTACAATCAGACCATCGGTGCCGTTGTTATAACGGTAGGAGAAAAGCGAGTCGATACCGTAGGCAACAGAGGGCGCGGAGTAGCATTCGAAGAGGATCTCGTTCATCACTGGAACTGCGTTAGCAATTTTCAAGTTGTCCTAAGATCCAGTGACCACATACTCTTCCTGGGATATCCTAGGTTCGCAATTGGCTCCGTCATCAAGATCGGGCGACCGACGCCTCCATTGGAACCGTCTACGCCGAGCTTTATGAACAGATAGTCCAGCACTCCTTCCATCACATCCCAGTTACCGACGACGCTGGAGCCAGGGTCGAAACCATAGCGCAGCTGTCCTCTTGTCGTCGCATCGACGTAGGCATCATATCCGACGAACTGGCATTGGCGGTTGAGCTTGCGATCACGGTATCGGCTCATGACAGGAGGTATGGCGAATCGGGGATTCTTGTCGAAAGACCAACCGGCCTTGACTAGGTGAGAGCCTGCGCGAAAGAATGCTTGTTAACAGTTGCTCATATCAACCAGACCAATGCGCTTACCATTGTCAATCACGATGGCGCTGTCGGGGCCGCTCTGCTGATATCCCTCAGGCTGCGGAGGTTGATAACCCTTGAAGGGCCATTCTTGGACGCTATGGAGCTGAGGAGGAGGCTTCTCAGACCGCTTTTCAGTCGGATTGACAGTGACCCGCGCGGGCATGAGGTTATTTATGGCGGTAATCGTCATGGCGGGCAGCGTGGCTCCGCAAACTAGGAGCTATTGAAGTCGGGGAAACGGTATAAATTGTGGCGAGGCGCTCACTGCATGGCACTCAAGAAAGAAAGGAGGGTCGAGAATGAATATATAGAAATCGACCGTGGCCGGGGTAATTGAGGAAGATCGCGAACGGGACAAACGTAGTTGAAGTTTGGCGGAGTGACCGCCAAGGGAAGGCGGCCGTATACAGTGCTATCTCCCGCCTCTATGTTTCTACTGGAATAACAATTGGGACATGGGATGAATGTATGAAGTTGGTATCAGACTGGTATCATTGACTAATTGCATTTCTTCGTTACTGGAGCCATCCTCACTAGGGATCTTTGAGGTTCTCCGTGGCTATCAGATATTAGTACTCCGTAGAGTCATACCATATAGGATCAGTATATCTTACCTTCCAAATGGAAGAGAACGTTAGACTGGTAATTTTTGAACATCTGCGCAACAAGCTCGACGTTCATATTCTGGATGTTGACTTCCTACAGCCGTGAATTAGTATCATTACCGGATTAAGAAGGCAAAGACGAACCTGAAGTCCTTTGTTCATGACCATGACAGCTTCATTAAGTTTTTCCTGCACATAGAATTAGTACAAGTCTTCTTTTTAGAGCGGTTTGTGACTTACAACGTTGGTGATGATGCGGGAAAGCAGCACAGTCTGCTGGTGCTCGTGGGGACTCTCCTAAAAATCTATTAGCATCCCAACTGTCATAAATGACCTGCTATACCCAATCAAGCAGAAATCACATACCATGGCTGAGAAGTCAGAACGGGACGTTGATGGCAGGCGTAAGAGGGTTTGTTTGGACTTGATTCACGGATACGGTCACGTGTAGCTATACAGGCTTCCCGTAGATGCTTCCACCGTAACCTATCGTATACATCTGTGACTTAGGCACCGTCATATATAGAGCCGTCTTAGGTTCCACTGATAAAACGACACTTATTCTACGCAATTCATCAACAACCTTGGGTCCCAACAGCCTCCTCGATCTGTCACCTCAATTCACCAGACCAACGCCTTAGACATCTGCCGCCATGCCTCCTCCCAATCCCGCCAATGATGAAGCTCATCAGCGCTTGTTGAACACCCTGGATATTTCAGTTGGCCCTAAGCCCTTCCGCAACCCATACTGGAAGCCATCCCAGCGCCGCAACAAGAACGTGAAGCAGATTGTCTCGGAGGCCTCCCGGAAGGAAGCTTCAGTCTTGGCCACTCAAGTCAACTCGGGCGCAACTACACCAGGAGTTGGCACATCTGCCACAGATGGCGAGCAAACCCCATCCGAAGTGGCTGCCCCGAACCTCTCCCAGGCTACCCAGAACCTGTCGACCCTTGTCTTAGAGAAGAACGCCCGAGCGGGAATCTCCAACGGGCCTGCTGTGACCTACACGAATATCGAATCGGCGCCTTCGCTGAACCCAGCCTACCAGCAACACTATTGCGACATTACAGGATTGAAGGGACCCTACACGGACCCCAAGACGCGTCTGCGGTATCACGACAAGGAGATCTACAAGGTGATCCGGTCTCTAGCACAGGGTGTTCCGGAGAACTACCTTGAAGCTCGTGGAGCTCACACAATCTTGAAGTAAGGGAATGGCGTACAAATACGCCGATTCATCGATTCACAAACGAACAATCATCCGAAGACGGGTACGTTATATCAAGAAGAAAACAATATCAGAATCTAGCTGATCAATTGAACTAGATATGAAAAACCACAAATCGCTACGAAGAGTTATGTACGACCAACACAGTCAAGCCCTTTCCACCCCACCATGCCCCTTTCGAGACAGGCTCAAGAAAGCGCTCCGGCTTATTCGTGATCAAATGAGTCGATCTTCGCCTCGTGCAGAGCACTCGACTATTACCGACACCCCATGGGACAGGGTACCAGTTACAGAATCCGAAGAGACTGTCGTCGCGGCGTGGCATGTAATAAATGCATGAAGTATGTGTAGGGGGTATGGGTGTGGCAGGAAGATGAGAGTATCAGGTTCATCTTTGCATTTTAATGGACATTATGTCGAGTCGAGCAAATTAAATCAGCTGATTAATTCAATACAAGCTGTGCGCATGAGATAATCACATCATTAGAGACTCAATTGCATGTCTGCTTGTTTTCGAAGACACAAGAGAAAGAGAAAACTCCACGCTTCGATCAGCGACAAAAGGCTCTTGCCATCACCGCCTGCCATCTCTGGTCTTGGCGTTGGCAGAAAATGGCGATTTGAGCGCCGCATTGCGTTGTGTTTACCTGCGCCTGCGACTATTTCCCTACTTTTTTTAATACGGATTGGAAAGTATTGTTTTGTTCAGATATCGCCTGTTGTTCCGAACTACTTGTTTCTTACCGCCATACGAACCTTGCCAACAAGCCTCCTGCTTCTGTCCTACCGCAAACGTCTGCCTGGCATCTTCTCCTGCCCCCAATTCTACAACCAACAAACACGATTTGGATCTTTCATATCCTAGTGAAAATTGTCGCAACCCTCGCATAATTAGACCGAGACCATTTGCGCCCCGCTCAGTGCCACATATTCTCGACGCTCTACTCGATCACAAAGATGCCTAGCATGTGGTTAACAGAGAACCAGAGTGAGTCGCATTCGTCGCTATCGATATTTCATTGTTTATTTCGCTGGAAAAATACACATGGAAATGAAGAGAATCCTTGTTAACCCGTATAACAGAGATCGGAGTGATCTTCTGCTCTGCAGGTACGAGTGTCGCGTGTCAAAAAACGCAACAAAACCAAAAGCTAACAACAGACCAGGAGGATTATTCCTCTTCGGAGGAGTCTTGATGTTTTTCGACCGGTCATTGTACGTCCATTCCCTACAAGCTATACCACAAGAAGAGAATTGATCACTAATTGCCAATGTGAACAGACTCGCCATGGGAAACGTACGCCACACCATCTACCAAACACATAAACAATTATAACTAACAATATTCCTAGGTCCTCTTCCTTATCGGTCTTACCCTCATAATCGGTGTCCAAAAAACAATGGTGTTCTTCACCCGTCCCCAGAAACTCAAGGGGACAGCCGCCTTCGCTGCCGGTATTCTTTTCATCCTCTTCCGCTGGCCATTGACCGGCTTCTTGATTGAACTGTACGGCCTGTTCATCCTCTTTGGTGATTTCCTTGTCACTATTGGACAATTCGCTGGCAATATCCCTGTTATTGGACCTTACATCCAACGTGGGCTGGAGGTTCTTGCTGGTGGGAGGAGCAATGCCGAACTTCCTGTATAATCGTGTGCGAAATACTGCACTACAATTACTCAGACTGGACATGATGAGTGTTTCGTCGCATTTTTCTTGAACCCCTCGACTTTTGTTTACATTCTTCCGCCATCGAAGCCAATGCCTGAGGACGAGTGTACATTGTACATGCGACATGGGATGACACGATACACTACGGCCAACTGAAGCTTTATGTAATTAATAATGACCCTGTGAACCCTAGCGTTGAAAATCAACAGCTGGAAAATCAGTTAATATGCATGTTAGAGATAGACAATTACATTGTGCATACGAATCAGCGTAGCACTTCCACAAACTGTGCATATGGCCTCATTCAGCAAAGCCAGGAAACATTAACGGCAAAGTGATTCATCATCCCGCAAACCACGCGCAAGCGCAACTGGGGTAGTGTGTTTGGAAATATTCAAAGGGTCCTTCATTCCTATTCTTCACAAGCCCCTCTTTCTTTCTTTCTTTCTCTCTCTCTCATCATTCATTCAGTTATCATTGCTAGCAATTGCTGCTTTTAAGAAACAATCTATTGAGGGTTGTTGATGTAGTCGACGAGGTCCTCGACGACCTTGGCGGCGTTGGGGGTCTGGACGCTCTCGCCGTGGTGGGCGATCATGGTGCAAGCCGAGGCGCGGACGATGATGACACCCTCCTTACCCTGAACACAAATTTATCAGCATGCATTCTGGTGGTTGGGTTGTGTATCCGTAGGCCCAAGCTACATGTCATACCTTCTTGCCGTATACACTGCGCTCGTCGGCCTTGATGCAGACGAACTTCTCACCGCCGACGGAGATACCGCTGGCGAAGGCGTTGTCGCTGGAGGTGTAGGCGGAGATCAGGGAGTTGATTTCCTCCTGGGAGAGCTGTGCGAGGTGGCAGTTGTGTTAGCGATGTTTCTTCCGGTGCTGGGACCCCACCATATGACACAACACTACGTTGTGAACCGGAGTTGTTGGGGGATGTTGGGAGCTTACAGTGAAGCCAGGGGAGGCGGCCTCAAGACCGGAGAAGTCAGCGGCGAGGATACCGGCCTTGTCGAATTGACCCGAGCCCATAAGGCTGTGAAAAGGAGGTTGTCAGCATAGTGTACGATGGCGGATGTCGACGCATCGGTCCATTGCGGTCCGTTGAGGATCGTTGAGGTCCGCGGTGGGCTTATGGGGTGGTGTTGAGGGGTATGTCAGGGTCGAAGAAAAGTGAGAATGTACCTGGAGTCGACGTAGCCTGTTGTTTTGAAGATGGCAATGTTAGCAAAGTGAAATGAGAGTCGAATGTATAGGTGATTCATACCTTGCCAAACTGCTGAGTGAGCACCCATTATGATAGTGAAGGGAAAGAGAGTAACGCTGGAATGTTTAGACGTGGAACAAGAGTAGATACCAGAGAGAAAGGCACACCTGAGTTGAATATAAAAAGGAGAGCTTGTGGGAGAAGAGAGGAAGTGGGGGGAAACGGTGTTTGGCGGTCGGGTGAGGACCCCGCCATATGACGATCAACCGTCTTCTGTTCACATTTCTATGCGATGCTTGTTTCTACAGGGATTTCTTTGTTTATTATCTGTATTTGATATCCTTCGGCTTCGATATTCAAGGCTTTCAGACATACTATTTTACAGGCAAAGTGGTGACTCGGTAAGGTATACAAAGTAGCGGTGGGAGAGGCCTCCACAGCTAAAGCGAGCTAAGTTGAGATAGCTCGGGCAACTTGGAGGCATGACATACAGCCATAACCTGCATCTGCACTGTAGTTCTCTGTAGTTCGCTATACACTTACATATCGTCTGTAGCCTCAGTCGATCTGCCTCACCTGACCACACGTGCCGGGCACGTGGATGATCTTCATCTTCATCCCTTGGCCTTGGGTTCTAGAATATCATCTCATCTGCCGAGGCACTTGACGGGATTTTGCTAACAATTTCATCGCCTCTCAAATCGCCTCCTGTACTGGTACGAGATGCCGTGATACTTTTCCAGGACACACCTCGCTAGTACATACCGTAGGGGGCCAGGGCGCAGACACCCATTGGCATCAGAGACAGCCTTGGCATCACATTGCCCTCCGGAACTGAGTCAAGTCTTCAGCTGAAAAGACCCTGTCTCTAATCCATGGCTGAAGGAATTCAAAGCCAGCCCAATGCAGCCACACATATTTGATGCATTTTACGCAACAACCCCAATATTGAGGCCCCCTGAATCATGCCCGCCGTTTCATAAGTGAAACACGCTCGCGTCCTCCGGCCGATGCGAAGCTCTCGTTGGTTCCGGTCAACCTGGTAGCGAGCTAATCAACCCGCGACCGAGTGCGCTTATTCGTCCTGCATGAAATAAGCATCTCACACGAGCCCCCTATGCTAACGATGTTTAGCGCTGAGGCGCCCCTTGAATTCCAGAGATTTTTGCGCTGTCTGACCGTCAGGTCTCTGGCCCCTGGTCTTTGGCCATGTCTTTTGGCCCTGACCCTGTCTCTGATCCGTCTCTGATCCCGTTTCTGCTCTCTTGTTGGTCCGGTTTGGCCCCAGACTAGACATGCTTCAGATGTGGCATCGTGCGCCAATCTGGGCTCGGCACGACATTACTTGGGCTGATATGTCTCATCTACAGAGTCCGTCGTTATTGTTGGCTCCACCCTGACTCTATTGCCGCTAATTGCTTTCCTTAATATCGGCCTTTCCTGCTGTTTCGTTATTTGTTTTCTCTGATTCTGTTTCGCCTTCTGGAAGGCATTTCCTTCCCTGCTATTAAGGTCTGGGATCTTATTTTAATCCACTGAACTTTTTATTATCTTTTATTTATTTATTATCTTCTATCCTATACCGGCTGGATCCCAGTATACCCATAAGAGATGGCGAGAGGCACGACAACAGTCACGTCTCGCACCCAACCCACCGAGACCATATCATTTCCCGTTTTGACTTATAGCGACGCATTACCCCGGAACGACCTTCGCGATCTTGATGAGCAAGCTCGAAAACGACTAACCCAGGCTGGAATTGTTGGACAATGGGATTTCCGACAGCCCTCCCCAGTAGAGGGATGGTTCAGAAGACCACCACCAGGCCCTGGTGCAAATTTTGACTTTCAAGTGACATCGCCACCGGATGAGGCCATTCCATCTACCAATGGAGCGCCCGAGCAGTATATGATCGGAGTTGCCCTGGGAAGCCCAGGCATGATCAACAAAGATGAACCTTTGCCGCCGCCTCGGTTCGATACAGCAATCTTTGAACCAGGACGAATGACACAAAGCCCCCAAGGTTACAAGCCGAGCAAGTGGAAGAAGATTGGAGGACTGTTCAAGGTGAAGAATGCACTGTCGCCACCAAACCAACTACATGGAAGCGTGGCCAACCAACCCGAGAAGTCCAACAAGTCCAAGGAAAGGAATAATTCTTTGGAAGAGTGGCCGGCTTTCGAGCTTGACCCCAAGGCAGTCATGGGCGGCATTAATCAAAGCCCTCCACGTTCACGTTCTCGAAAATTCTCGCTGAGCGGGAGGAAAGCGCCTCCAGAAGAACCACCCGTCCAAAGACCTCTGCTTAGTGTCGACATCCCGGATATCCAAATGGAGCGATATAGTGTCATGTTCAGCAACGTTGTCAACAAGAACGAGCGACCCTCACTGCTGGCCAGAAGGGCAAAGACGTTGGACAACCTTCGTGTTCCGGACGCAAACGTATGGCATATTTATACTATGTTGTGGTAAAGAGCTTACTGATATGATAAAGGGATTCCTAAAAGCCCCTGTGCCACCACCAATGCCGCAACGCCGAGCAACCTCGCCAGCGAGATCTAGCTTCACCTTATTCCCGAGCTCCCAGCCGTCCAAAGCGGCCCAATTACTCGGCACGCAGAACTTCTCTCGCGGCCCAAGCCCTCTAATGAGGTCCAATACGCTGCCTGTCGACAGTCCATCTAAAGCCTCAGCAGACCACTCTCGCAACAGCTCCAACGTCAACAGCACCTCTTCATTTGAGTCACCTGTCATCCCAAGACTATATACTGAGCGATCGAGTTCAAACACCCCTCGGTCATCTAGTAGTCTCGATAAACCTCTTCCCGCAATCCGGCCAGACCCACGGGCTTCGCCCCAGCAGAGGATTGTTCAGCCGCCAAAGAAAATTCTATCGCCGCAGAACTCCCGATCAAACTCGTTCGCGCAACAACAGAAGAGTGCTCACCCTCTTTACCCAATGCAGGACCAGCAGCCACCGAAGATCACCCACCCACCAAGAAAGGACTCTCAACCACGGACAGGTCAAAAGCCACTCCAGACATCCTCGCCACAGAAGCAAGGCAGTCATCACCGTGTCGATCACAAGAATGACGGCCACAAACAAGATCACCCGGCCCGACCACGTCTCACAGTCCAAACAGAAGCTCGACCACAACCACCAGCCAAAGATAAGATCACAAGCAGTACATCTCTCAGCCCACCCTCGACCTTGAGTGGTGCCCAACAAAGGATTGACCAAATCATGTCCCCAGCCCCTAGGTCTGGCATTTCCCCGGCAGATTCAACCCGCCTGCCCTTCGCTGATGCCGATGGTGCCATTGAAATCAACGAATATGAGGAGCCCGAATCAGAGCAAGAGCCACCTCGCGCTATCCCACGAGTTGAAGTCTCAACTGCTCGCTCGATCTCTGTCTCCAGGGGCAAGCGACAAATGATTGTTCCTATCAGCGCTAAGGCTGAACATTTCGATCCGGATGAACGGTTCGTGCAGAGGAGAGCTTTGACGCCGCAAATTATGGATGCTCATCGGGGTCATCGGCCTGGTGTTTCGCAGGAGTTGCGAATTGAGTCACTTTGATTTTTGTTCTTGTCATTCCTTTCTACCTCTTTTTTTCCTTCTTTTTTGCATTCTTTTTTGCATCATTTTTTGCTTATTTTCTGATTCCCCAATGACGTACTCCATTCCTTGTACATAATTTCTTTTCGGCACTGACTATTTTGCTTGTAAATATCCATCTAATATTACGTTATGAAGTCCTGCAATCGTCCAGAGAGATCGAAGCGCGAATAGGCGGTGGGTGCATAGGGCACGAATTGGACAGAGACAGAACTTAGATAAACCTTGTATAACCAGTGAATCAGAAACCTGACACCAAGAATAACGAACGGCAACATAAAATTCCTGTAACCAGATATAATCCAAATTTTTCTCCAACAGCTGCCTAACGAAGCGGCTGAGTATGGATTCTGAAGTGCTCGAATCAGCATCCTTGCTGCTCTCGAGGGGATAGGTCTTGCCAACGACCTTTCAAAGGAATAGTGCGTTGCATAAATTTGAGTGGTGAAACAGGTTAATTAAATCTCTCAGTCCTAAAAATAGCTCAACTAACCAAATCACCAAGCGCATTCCCTAAATAGGGCATGACATATCACCAGTAACCTATGCCTCCAATTCGCAAGACCTTCAAACCAAGTGGGTATGTTAGAAGAGATCAAAGCAGCCGTTGTTAATGAGCATTGAACTTGAAGCCCAGGGAGAAAGATACGAATTAGTCTATATAACAGTGTGTCATCCATGGATGTGACTGATGATATAATGCCTAGTTCTACTTACCTGACTAGAAAGCGAAGACTGACAAGAACTTAAAGCCTATGTTGAAAAGGGAACACCAAGATGTTGCCGACAAAATCAAATACATAGGCACTGTGTTGATCATTGTACTTGAGAAACGATATTTTTATCACTTCGGTCACTTGAACTTTTGCCTCTTTGTTGAACCTGTATGTTGAATGCCTCTTTCACAACGCATGCTTACACAGTACATCTATACCCAGGAACACCTAGCAGTGGGCATAATAAGACAAGGCAAAAGCTAGCATAGATCATTTCTTTCACATTCGTAAATGTTGTGGCTGGCGATGACAGCGTCTCTGTGTATGATATTTATCTTTGATTTCCCGTGTTAAGGAAAAATTACTGTTTCCTTTTAAAAGTCGAGGTATTGCCCAGACATAGCTAGCCAACCTATAGAAGACAGTTATACGTATCAGATTATAACCAATTGCAATTGAAATGAAGCAAATACTGCGGAAGTAGTCTATAGATAGGCCGCGTATCAGCCGAGCCCCTTCCACATGGCAGTTCCGCCTTGGCCTTCCCAAACCAATGCTCCCCCTCACTCCCTTACGAGGCCATCTACTCATTCTTGTCTTGTATTTGGTCGACGCTCTTACTCTTGCGTTTGATTTGGTAGAGTTGGTTCATCGATCCGCGGCGATGTTTCAGGTACTGTTTTTCCGTCCTGGTGCCTTGCGTCCTACTAACACTATTGCCAGCGCCTCCGCGACGCCATCGACTCTCGCATCGCAGAGGAACAAGCCCGGCAAAAGTCCGCCCAAGATTCCATCTCTCGCTCCAATTCTGCTCGCCGTCCACCCACCCGTAATCTCTCTCCGAGTCGGCGCACCCGCCCAAGACGCAACACAGGCACTCCCGTCAGAGGACCGGACCCCAAGGAATTCGAAGCGGAATTCACCATCGGGGACGATGATGAGTCCAGCCGGCCTGATACTCCCCAAGTCGATACATCAGAAGCTGCCTCGGAAGTAGGCGCAGCCAACGAAGGCGGATCTACTGAGATGGAGGGCAAAACACCCGCGGAGTCGTCCGAGAAAGAGACCCCCAGCGCCCAGGATGTTGAACCTCCCAAGGAGTCGTCAACTGAGCTGCCACCCGATGTTCGGGCTAAGCTCCGCAGACTCGATAAGCTCGAGGCGAGATACCATGGTACGTAACTGCCTGTTTAGGCAACCGCGCATGAGAGACTAACCGAAGCGCATTTAGATTTGCTCAAGGCATACCGCATGGCGCACTCGCGCGTTCTATCCATTGAACCATTTGAGGCCGCTCTACGCGAAAACACACCCCTCACCTCGATTGGCGAACCCAAGGCTTTCACCGAGTACCTGAACCAAACAGCCCTGAAAAGCGATATGGTCATGGACGAGCTGAAGCGCGTCACCGGCGAACGGGAAGACTACAAAAAGAAGATGGAAGAAGCGCAGAAGTCTACCAAGGAGGCATTGGATGAGGTTACCGGACTCAAGGAGAGGCAAGAGAAGCAAGAGAAGCAAGAGAAGCAAGAGAAGCAAGAGAAGCAAGAGAAGCAAGAGAAGCAAGAGAAGCAGGAGAAGCAGGAAAAGCCCGAGGCCGACACGAACAAGGGATCTGATGGGACAGAGGAGACCAGCGAAGAATTCTTTTCATTTGACAACGAAGTCCCCCGTCTCGAGGGTGAACTCAAGGAGAAGCAAGAGGAGGTCGACAACCTCAAGGTTGAGGTGGAAAAGCTCAAGCGCGATATGTCTGTCACTCGTGAATCGACGGAGGGTATGGTGCAGAACCTTGAGACAGCCACTCGCGAGCTTGTTGAGTTGCGCGAAACTAAGGACAAGCTGGACGCGGAGATTGAAACACTCAAGACCTCCAGCAAGGCTGACAAGGCCAATGTTGATGATTTGAAGGCCAAGCTTGCTACAGCCGAATCTTCTATTGAGTCGACATCCAAAGAGGTTGAGCAGCTTAAGTCGCAGCTCAAGGAAAAGACCGAAGAAATCGAAAAGCTCCAGAACCAGGCTTCCGAAAAGACTGAGCCAGATTTCGATCTCGTTTCCCAATTGGATACAGCCAAGGAAGAGAAGAAGTCTGGCGAGAAGAAGCTGGTTGTTCTCCAGGGCTTGGTTGACGGCCTTCGATCCCAGCTTCAGGAAACTGAATCGACCGTCTTAGACCTCAAGACGGAGATTAGCCAGAAGTCGGAAAGCTCTGAGAAGCTCCAGAAGATTGTCGACTTTGTGGACGAGAACCTGAAGGACAACACTACATGGATATCTACCAAGGACAAAGTTTCCTCTGGACAAAAGGCCGATTTCGACGAGTTCCGGAAGAGTCTAGCACCAGCTAAGGAGGAAGAGCCAGCCCCTGCTGTCTCTACTCCTGCTCCTGTTGAAGAGGAAACCCAGCCTGCTCCAGCAGCTATTGCCGCCGGTGGTGGTGGAGGAGGAAAGAAGAAGAACAAGAAGAAGAAGAAGGGCGGAAAGACCGAGGAACCTACCAAGCCAGCCGAGGCAGCCCCTGCAGAGCAACCAACCCAGGAGAAGGCTGCTCCAGCCTCCGATGAACTCAATGATCTTAAGTCAAAGCTGGAGTCATTGACGCAACAGCTGTCCGAGAAGGAAGCGGCCATTGATCGCTTGAGTGCCAAGCTGAAGGGCGAAGACAACCTCAAGGAGGAAATTGAATCTCTGCGCGATGACCTCATCAACATAGGCCAGGAACACGTCGCAGCTAAGGATCAGATCAAGGAGCTTTCCGCAGAGAAGGCGGCCCTTGAAGAAACCATTACCAAGCTCGAGAAGGAACTGGTTGACCTTCGCACTAGCAACGCTTCGACCTCAGCTGACTCGGAGAAACTCCACACCTCTCTCAAGGAGGAGTTTGAGACCCTCAAGATTCGCTCGGCAACCCTTGAGACCGATCTTTCTGCCGCCCAGCAGCTGGCTGCCACTCGGTTCAAGGACCTCACAGCCCTACGCGAGACTCTTCAGAAGGTTCAACCCGAGCTGCGAAACTTGCGTGCTGAGTCTTCGGAGTTGAAGAACCTGAAAGAGACCCTTACTAGCAAGAACTCCGAGCTGAAGGCTCTAGAGGGCAAGCATGAGGATCTGCGTGCCGAGCTGAAGTCCGCCAAGTCGAAGATCACAGAGCGCGACACGGAAGTGGGCACTCTAAACAAGAAGATTCGACAGGAAACCGACAGCCGCCTGAAGGCAGAGGAGAAATTCAGTATTGCTCAGTCCGAGCTGCGCGCCTCCGAAAGCAAAAAGCAAGATGCCATCAATGCCAGAGATAAGACTAGCGGTGATCTCTCTAAGGCACAGGATGGATTGAAGAGTACTCGTGCCAAGATGCGCGAGATGGATGATCAGATCTCTCAGTTGAACAAGGAGCTTGCTGGTCTCCGGGAAGAGATCCAGCTGAAGACTGCGCAGCACAGCAGCGCTCAGAGCTTGATGAACAGTATGCGCGATCAAACATCGGAAATGGCAATGCAGATGAAGGAGGCACGTGAACGTTGCGAGAGTCTGGACGAAGAACTGGCCGACGCTCACCGTCTGCTCAGTGAGCGAACCCGTGAAGGCGAGACTATGCGCCGACTGCTCAATGACATTGAGGGTCGTGCGGAGTCCAAGGTGCGTGACTTCAAGGAACGCATGGAGGCCGCTATCGAAGAGCGGGACCGCGCCGAAGACGAAGCCAGTAGCCAAGGCCGACGCCGTGCCAGAGAAATGGAAGAATTGAAGACTAAGGTCCGCGAGGCTGAGCGAGCATTGCGCACAGCTGAAGAGGACAAGGAGGAGCTTGAGCAGTCCCAAAAGGATTGGCGTCGTCGCCGTGACGAGCTGGAGTCTGTCTCTGAGCAATCATCGCAGGAAGTGACCGAGATCCGCCAGGCCATGGCTGGTCTACGCGATGCACTTGATGAAAGTGAGAAGCAGGTTCGTGACCTTGAAAAGGACAAGGCAGAGCTGCGCCGCTCCGTCGAAGAGACCAATGCCCGGTTGGAGAAGCTTCGGAAATCTCACAAAACCCTTGGCGAGGACGTTCGCCTGCGTGGGTCCCCATCTGGTCGCCAGTCTTCACGATCGTCCATCGATTCTGGGTCTCGCCGGGGACTTGCATCTCCTTCAGCTAGAAGCGAGACACCCGTTGGACCACCCAGCAACGCCTCCATCGACTACATGTACTTGAAGAATGTCCTTCTCCAGTTCCTAGAGCAAAAGGACAAGAACTACCAGAAGCAGCTGATCCCTGTCCTGGGAATGCTTCTACACTTTGACCGGTAAGTTTTACCCATGCCGCGATGTGATCAAAACTAACAGCAGCATAGAACGGACGAACAAAAGTGGATGTCAGCAATAATGTCTAAGTAATATACCCATAGGTGTATTCTGTACCATAACATTTGTAGTGAATCATAATGATCCTATTTTACATTCTCATATTTATATTCTTTGGTAGCGGAGTTCCGTTGGATCCAGATCCTCAGTGGGTCAAATCCCTCCCCAGACTTAGCTGTCAAATTTCCAACAGAATGGACTTCATACCTGCATTCCACAGACCCATGGCTGACCAACCCACCATCCGCCTGGCAATGCCAGAAGGCAAGTTTCCTCGTCCCCATCACCATCATCACCAACCCAACCCAACCCAACCCAACCCCCAAACCCAAAACTAACACCCCACCAGACGTCCCCCTAATCCTCCAATTCATCTGCGAACTAGCCGACTACGAAAAAGCCCTCCACGAAGTCGAAGCTACAGAAGAATCCCTCCTAGCAACCCTCTCCTTCCCAGACACGCCCCCAAAACGCGGCGCCGTCTACACAGCCCTGATAACCCCACCAGCAACATCCACAACACCAAACCCCATCCCCGTCGGCATGGCCCTCTACTTCTACAACTACTCGACATGGCGCTCCGCACCAGGAATCTACCTGGAGGATCTGTACGTGCAGCCGAGCGCGCGCGGCCACGGGTACGGGTTCAAGTTGTTGAAGTACCTTGCGAAACAGGTGCTTGAGGTCAAGGGACGCCGGCTTGAGTGGAGTGTGCTTACTTGGAATGAGCCTAGTATTCGCTTTTATGAGCAGGTTGGCGCTAAGGGTATGGATGAGTGGCTGAAGATGATGGTTGAGGGGGATGCGTTGGATAAGTTGGCCGAGGGGGCGTAGCGGACACATGTAGTGACTTGGGGGGATGGTAGGGGTCTATGCACATGCACTATGTGTGTGGTATTCTGGATCTGGCAGTGAGATGGTATAGATGTGATCGATCTGTGTGATCGAGGGGCGTACATATAGAGCTCCACGACTAAAGTCTCCACGAGCTGTGCGATCATGAAAATACGAGTTAGCAGAGCAAGCCTGAAATCCACGTCATTCTACATGCTTATTGTAATATAAATGTTATCTAATAAACTTCTACCTGGTAACAAGTAAATGCAGACCTGACGCAGCCAGGCAGGCTTTGCCCCAGCTAAGCCTTAAGTGACGTCGTCCGTCGTCCCGCAGATCATCACCTCGACTTTTCGACTTTCACCATTCTCCCTCCACCACCCCAGGATGACCGCAACCACAGAGAATTCCCAGGAGGTGAATCTCCATGTGGACTATGTAATACATTACAGCTTCGGGGACACAGGTAAGCAGCGAGAAGCTCCAATCTGCAGCCGGGACATATGCTGACTACAACGCCCGAGCTCCAGATAAACCACAAGCCATTGAACAGCTCGAGAAGCTGCTCCAGTCACTCGCCCAGGTTGGTTTGCAGGCTGAGGTCCGTCAGGGCGATGAGGTGTCACTGCTGGTCTTTGTGAAAGCTTCAGAGAAGCGCTTGAAACGGGCGGTTTATCGGTCGCGGTGAGTGACGCCGCCATTCTTGGAATTGTGTATTCGGGCGCGGTGCTGATTTTGACTGATAGGGTACGCGATTGGCTTTATGGTATTCGCAATGCAGAGCCTACACAGACTAATTCGACTGAGCCTCAGACTGAGGCTGAGCGTTTGCGCGTTATTCACCATATGATGACGCTTCCTAAGGAGGAGGGCGGTGCGGAGATTATACCTGGTCAAGGGCAGTGGAAGAATGTTTCTGCTATTTTCCCGCTTCATGATGTTGAGACGAATAATAAATGGATGAGGGAGTGGAGTAAGAAGACTTTCCTTTCTGAGGATGATTTGGATCAGATCAGGAATAAGTTTGGAGAGAGTGTATGTTTGAAACTGGAATTGGGGTTGAGGATTGTTGGCTGACATTGATTGCAGGTTGGATTCTACTTCTCGTTCCTGCAGTCGTACTTCCGGTTCTTGATTTTCCCAGCTGTTTTTGGATTCTCGTGCTGGTTCCTTCTTGGTGGTTTCTCCGTGATCTATACTGTGGTGAACTGTCTTTGGTGTATCATTTTCGTCGAATATTGGAAGCGTCAGGAAGTGGATTTGAGCTGCAGATGGGAGACTAAGAATGTTTCTGCTGTCCGAGAAAAGCGGCGAGAATTTAAGCCCGAAAAGGAGGTCTGCGACCAGAGTACTGGTGAGATGCACGGCGTCTTCCCAGCCACCAAGCGTATGCAGAGACAGCTGCTTCAGATCCCATTCGCCCTGCTTGCTGCAATTGCTCTGGGTGCTATCATTGCAACTTGCTTTGCCATTGAGATCTTCATTTCGGAGCTTTATAATGGACCTTTGAAATCATACTTGGTAAGTTGTTTCGACTGCTTGCTGAACCTAAGCTTACCTTCTAGATCTTCATTCCGACTATTCTTGTATCGGCGCTCGTTCCAACCATGAGTGCCATTTTGACATCCATCGCGACCAAGCTGAATGATTACGAGAACCACGAGACGAGCAACGCGTATGATGTGGCACTGACCCAGAAGGTCTTCGTGATCAACTTTATCACATCGTATCTTCCGATCTTCCTGACTGCTTTCGTGTACGTGCCATTCGCCAGTCTGATTGTTCCTTACCTCGACGTCTTCCGCTTGACGGTCCGTCCTTTCGTTTCCAAGGAACATGCCGTCACAAAGGAGTCGCACTTCCAGATCGACCCGGCTCGCCTCCGCAACCAGGTCATCTACTTCACCGTCACAGCTCAGATTGTTGGCTTTGCTATGGAGACTATTGTTCCTTATATCAAGCAACACGCACTTCGCAAGTATAAGAAGTACAACAAGGAGCGCAATGGCAAGGCAGAACGCAACGGCGACAAGGAATCGCCCGAGAGACCTGCCGTGTCTTATGACGACCCCGCCGAGGAAGTCAAGTTCCTCACGCGCGTGCGCAACGAGGTCGAGCTTTCCGAGTACGACGTGACCGATGACTTGCGCGAGATGTGTATCCAGTTCGGATACCTGGCACTGTTCTCACCCACATGGCCCCTTGTCCCACTCTCCTTTTTCGTGAACAATTGGGTCGAGCTCCGCTCCGACTTCTTCAAAATCTGCATGGAATTCCGCCGCCCGGTCCCACTGCGAACTGACACGATCGGACCGTGGCTAGATAGCCTCGGCTTCCTTTCATGGGTAGGAAGCATCACCAGCGCAGCCTTGGTCTACATGTTCAGTGGCAATGCTACGCACGGACCGAACGGCGAGCCGACAGACATCAAGGGTTGGGCCTTACTCCTGACGATCTTCTTCTCGGAACACCTCTATCTAATCGTGCGGTATGCCGTCCAGGTTGCCATGACCCGCCTGGAACCGCCAAACTCCCGCAAGGAACGCGGTGAGCGTTATCTCGCGCGGAAGCGCTATCTGGAATCCACATTGCATGCCGAGACGGATGATGACAAGGATAACGGTGAAGGTCTCGCCGTGCCTGAGTCATCTTCGATCTCTCGCGCTTCTCTTGAGGATGATGCCCGGCATGCGTCTTTGCATGGTGTTGACCCGGGGGATCGGTTCTGGATGCATCAGCACGGCTGGGCGGAGTCAGCTAAGGTTGGTGCTGGTATTATCCAGGCTCAGCCTGTTAAGGGGGCCGCAAAGAAGCAGCAGTAGAGGTGACGGGATATTATGCAAGTTTACTATACAAGGCATAAGCTGCTGACTGTCGGTGCTGGATACGAGATCACGCTTGATGCGTTCGTTGACTTCTAGTTTTCAGCTTCACGTATAGTATACTGATAATGAGTGTCTGGCAAATATTGATTTGTTGATCGTGGTTGCTCAGTGCACACTGCCTGTATTTCCTAGCAGCCTTCAGGTCAATTTTGTATATTCTTTGAAATGCCCTAACAACATTATCTATATTTGGACGACTTGATGCCTCAGGCTTCATTGCCGAGACAATCATGACGTAGTGCTGACATGGGATTAAGTAATCCCGCCCCGGATACCGGATGCAGGCGGAATGTGCAGTCAGCGAGTGGCCAGCGACGATAAATTGAATAGCTGATTGGAAGAAAACGTCGATTCACAGCTGTATCTGTTGTAATCAAGGCCAATCACGCTCTTTGGCCCATCAATAGAAAATGACAACAATCTATACCCTGAAGTACATCACTCACCGCTTTCCCAGTCCGGGGTTCGCTTACCAACCCCTTACATAAAGCCCGGGGACGCCCTCTGACTCAGATTCCTTAAGTAATCCCTCTCCTCCCTCCAACCTGCTTACAGCATCGGATCTGTAACTGCTTACCTCATTGCCCTGCATCTCGATATCATTAGCAAAGAAGCTCTCTTTTGCTCTGCAATTCGTATTGGATTGGTCGTGCCGTGCTGAGCCACTGTCCAATTCCTCTTCCCACAACTCGCCTCGATCCATGCAGCCTGCACTTGCTCCAGCGCCGCATCCAAGCATGCAGACCTCTGCTCAGGTAAGCAGCCTATCTTGAACGCGTTTGTCATCAGATCTATATCCCAGGTCCCCCGCGTCGCTGGTTTACTGCGACGTGCACAACGAGTGGTATCGGCGTTGTGCTTCCTGTTGTTCCGTTTGCGGTAACCCCCGCGACGCGTTGTGTTTGTCCAAGTCCTGCCGCGTCGAAAGGGTCATCGGGTTTGTTTTGTGTTCAATGCTAACTGTTTAATATAGGACCATGCGGACCAGGGTACGTTCAATTCCTATTTCTGTTATACCGTGTTTTCGTGACTTTAAGGCGAGGTTTTCTGAGCACGCCACGCCAACCCGATACAACTTTCGCCTCCCATATATTACTTTCTCACAGGCTAACATGTGCCTTGTATAGTCCTGCATGATCAGCTTCTAGCTGCCCAGCACCATCTTCAGGGTGGTCGCCCTCAGGGCGCCCCTGGTCAGCAGCAGCAACTCCAGCCCAACACTGCTAGCCCTCGTGACCAGGCCAACATTGATCCCGCCATTTCGGGTTCCATGCTTGGTGCTCCCCAAACCCCTACCCAGCCCCAGGGATCCCCTCCTTCTGATGGTGGCTCTAAAAGCTACGGCAAGCGCGAGCTGTCCACCTCCAAACGCGCTGCGCAGAACCGTGCCGCCCAGGTATGTCTCTTTTGATATCTCACTAGAAATGTCATACTAACCAACTCCACAGCGTGCATTCCGCCAACGCAAGGAAACTTATATCCGCAAGCTCGAGGAAGAAGTTAAGAACATTGAAAATTTCAAAGACACCGTGAAGCAACTCGCCGGCGAGAACTACCAGCTCCGCGAGTACATTATTAACCTGCAATCGCGCCTCCTGGAATCGCAAGGCGAAGTTCCCGAACTGCCAGCAAACATTGACCTGACGCAATCTCGCACGGCCGAGATCGCCCTCGCCGCAGCCGGAGTCCAAAGCACCGGTTCTTCTTCTGTACCACCCTCCGCCCCACAACAGGGCCAGCAACAGAGCAGCGTGACAGACGACATGAACTCGCTCAACCGCATTGCCGTCGCAGGCCTGGGCATGCGCAAGCATCCCGATGAGAACAACTTCCTCGGGAACAATTTCCAACAGAACAAGCGCGTCCGCACCGACGACAGCCAGGGGGATGGCTCCGACTCGGTTGGCAAGCAGGAGACCCACGGTCTACCAATGGTGAACTAAATTATCATAACCTCCACCTCGCCATTTGACTTGCCCGCAAGTTCACGCGTTTGATTGCTATATTTCTCGCGATCATTTTTCGATACCCGCGTCTCTATTTGTTTTTTGCTGCCTGTCATCTACATGTAGCCCCGGTGGTACATTTTCTGTTTTCCTTGTGAGTGTTGCACTTACGCTCTTTCGCTCGTGTGCCTAGCTGGATCTCTCGGCTTTTCCTTTTCCTGCTATAGCTGCTATTGTTTTCTGTTATTTGCGTAATGGTGTGTGGCGCGAACTGTAGTTCGGTGGTGTTCTGAGATTTCTCGATCTATTTTCCTTTTGATGGTGTTGTGCTAGTGAGTGGAGTATTGTTTAGCATATCTTTCATACCTTCAATGCAATTATCTTTCATTCATTTTCGTATATTGTTTATCAAGGTAGCAGCAGTCACAGAGAGATCCTTTAGTGCTAACCATGGCTACCGTACGCTCTGTCTTCGAAAAGTGATTACCATGAGAGATATAGTATTCACCACAGGTAACATACAGCTCCAAGTCAAAATTAAATATGTCCTTGGCACAATTACATGACAATATTTTCCAAAAACCAATCCAAAAACCAATCCAAAAACCAATTCAAAAACCTAAATTGACCTACAATTTCGCTGCAACCCGCTGATCAAGCCCATACTCCCGAACCAAAACATCAGCAGCAGTAGCGCCAGTAACGTAAGCCGTAGCCTGCGTATGATTATTGGTCAAAACAGGCACAACACTCATATCAGCAACACGCAATCCCTGCAACCCAATAACCTTAAAGCTGCGATCAACAACAGCCTCCTTATCCCCAACCTTCCCCATCTTAGCTGTCCCAGTCATATGCCAAGAAGAAGACAAGGAATCCTTCCAGAACGCCAAAATATCCTCGTCAGACTCCGACGCCGGGCCTATCAACGTCGAAACCGTGTCCTTCGCGAACGTCGGCGCCCGCGATACTTCCAACAAATGCCGATACATCTCAATGCACGCGCGTCTGTCAAAGGGGTCCTCCAAGAAGCGCGGGTTGAATAGTAGTGGAACGTTCGGGTCAGATGAATTGAGCGTTACCTCGCCGCGCGATTGTTCGTTCATCATAAATGCCGCTAGGCCAACGTAGCTATAATCATGCTTGAACAAGTCCGGCGCAAAGAAGTGCATGGGGATATGAGTGAGCATTTCATAGTGGGGGATTGTGTCGCGGTTCATGAACTCCTGCACGTCTTTTGGTAGAGCTTTGAATTCCGGCGAACTGGTTATCTTGTCCGATTTGAACCAGCCCGCTCCTAGTTGGCAGCCGTAGCGTGTCCATTCACCTGTGTTTGTTTCTTCCCATTGTTTCATGGCTCTTTCCATTGCCGATTTGTCTTTGAAGAAAGTGTTTCGGTCTGTTGTTTCTGGTTTGCGGGCTAGGATGAGGGGTACGAAGTAGTGGTCTCCCAGGTTTTTGCCTAGGGCCGGCTGGTCTTGCACCACTGGGATGTTGTATTTGGTTAGGTCTGTTGCTGGACCGATTCCGGAGTGCATTAGGATTTTGGGGGTGTCAAGGGATCCGGCGGAGAGGATTACATCCTTGGATGCGAAGTCTGGGATATGAGTTAGATATTTGTCACTAATATTGGGAAATGAATCTGGAGACATACACTTCTGGTTGCCGGTATCAACACCAACAGCTCTCTTTCCGTTCAAAATCACCCGCTGTACAGGGCTGTCCGTAACAATTGTCAGATTGTCAGGCGCATCAACAAGCAAATCCACGGCAGTAGTGCGTTTGCCCTGCCCAGCAGAGTTGATAGTAAGCGCCATACCAAGCGGGTTACCGGAGTTATGATCGGCATTGCGCTTAAATCCAGCTTCTTCAAAAGCATCAAGAACGGTAGACAAATCTTTCTCCCAATTCTGCGCATATCCAATGCGCAACCCACCAGTTCGACCATGATCCGCCGCTTCAGTAGTAGCATATTTCTGATGCTCAGGACGAACAATGCTACCATTAAAAGTCTCAAGGCTCTTAAAGCGCCTCTGCATCTGCTTCCAGCCGAAGGTCTCATCGTCAACTCCGGCAGCCCATTCGTCGTAATCGTCCTTTGCACCGACGGCGAACACTCCGAAGTTGATCGCAGATCCGCCTCCAAGCCCCTTGCCGCGGGAGTAGTCAAGTTCGCGACCATTGCAGTGTTCTTGGGGTGTGGTCTTATAGCCCCAGTTTAGGTCTTGCTCTTCCATGAATGTTGTCCAGCGCTTTCCGTCGACGCGTAGGCGTCGGTCGTCATTGCGGCCGCCAGCTTCGAGGAGGAGGACTAGGGGCCTCTGAGCTGATTTCGCGAGACCGGCAGCTAGAGCGCAGCCGGCTGGGCCACCTATTCAAAAGACATGTGAGTTATGAGGCCGGGAGATGATGTAGTAGGCTCAGGGCTGGGTCATGAATGCTTACCTCCAACGATAACAAAGTCGTACTTCTTCTCTGCAGATTCCATATTGATTGATGTTCAAGTATATATGGCGTGGTCAATGAAAATTAAATCGACAATATCAAGGTCACTAGAGACGTGCCGATTATATGTAAGCTCCCAATTCTCACACGGGACAGATCTCGCACTAAAACCGAGACCACTCTTTGCCCAGCACATCGCAGCAAGTCACGAACCTTAGCAGTAGAGAAGTCCGACAAGGCTCTCCTGAATTCCGTACACTAGTGAAGCTGGTGGAGCGGCTCAGAAATGCGATTGCCCCACCAGAGGTCGATCATCGGTGTGCAAGTATGAAGTCACCCGCTGACTCATCTGTTCAGTTTGACAGGTCTGCGAGGTGTTTCTGATCTGGGAAATGATTGCTCAATGATGTTGGAGTCGATTGATTTGCCGAATTGGAATATGGTTGCAGGCAGCATGTATGGTGCTGCTGTAAGGTTAAGACACAGGGTCTTTGGGAATTGCTAACACGATTAGGACGCGTACCGCCGATCGCAAGAGTCCACTTCCAAGCTTCGTATGGGGTTTGGGGTAAGATTTAGAGGAGCATTCGGGTTTGGACCGAGATTTGTGAGATTCGAAGCCTAGGTTCGGAGATCTTGGTCCGATCTGCTGTGAATTTTATACGTTCATTGTAGTAGAGTTGAAGCTCTGGTGGTGGGTACCGTGAGAATTGAGGTCAGTTTGTTTGTGTGCGAAGTATTTCATTTATATCTATTTTGGCAGAAGCTGACAGCTAGGCGCAGAATTATTGTACACGACAGGTGAACACAATTTGAATCGAGGCTAAAGACTCAACAACGCGTATGTTCTAAGTCATGTCTTGGCGGTGTGAGATACAAAGCGGTGTATGAAAGAGATACTGCCGACCAAGATCTAAACCTAATCGGCTCCGAAGGTTTGGGATTGGGTCATTCTTATTTGAACTTCTGCATTAAATACCCCGGAGATGAATTGAGTTGAAAGTGAATTGAATTGGAGACGAACTTGGTAATGGAGAAATGCGGGGAGGTGGGCTACTGTAGCAGACTAGCATTGTAAGCTAGTTAAGCCCATGCATTAGTGGCCCACAAGGACGAAGCTGCACACTGCATCCAGTGTGATCCGAATCCGAGTTTCGGTTGTAGATCCTGGCCTGGATGTGCAGATCGAGATCTAGTTTCGGCTGATCTTGCAGAGCCTAACTTCTCATACGTCAGTACAGCTCAGTGACTCAAGCACTGGAGTCGATTCCACTCCATGAGCACGCGTTCACGCTGTGCTTGCTTCAAGCCTTATCCCGCTAATTTCTGGCCCATGCCACGTCACTAGCAAGCCGGATCGATAGAAAGGCTATCAGGTCAGATGATACAATAGTGGCCATAAGTCCGTTCCCAAACCTCATGTTTATATGATCTGAATGGTTCACCCGAAGCACTTGAAAATGGGCAAAAAGGAAGTGAAAAAAGAGGCGAAAGAAGAGAGGCTAAGTTACAGCACAAAGAATGCTAAAATGGGACAATCACTTCGAGGTTTTGTACAGAAATTGTCCAATACTTCATAGCACGGTGAACGGGCTTATGACCCCTGTTGTAGAAACGGTGTGGGGGTTCAAAGGGTTGTCAAGTCTCATGTAACGAAACTCGATGCTGCGATCGGGGCAGGTCAATTCCATATACATTTCTTTTAGTTCGAGATGAGCTTCCTCTAGGACCGCGTGTACCGTACAGGCAGTACTGTAGCAGAAAAGTGGTCGAAGTTGGTCTCAAAATAGGGGACATATGATCACCATGCGACCACAAGTCCCTATGTCAGACTGCCGCGTCTTCTCTGTTCACCCACTGAATAGCGTACCCACAGATCAGCATCAGCTCATTATGTTCCGATTCTCCACTGCGATGGAGATCACCCCGGAGTCACATGTTGCCGTTTGAGATAGTAGAGGAAGGCACGGCGAGATTTCGGGTCATGCTTGTGCCGACATATCCCAGCAAGTGCTCATATCTAGCATGGCCTGCGCCAGATCTACAATGTAGGGGAGAACTAGACAAAAGTCGGGCCGAAGACGTACATATTCAGTCGACATGCTGTTGGTGTTCCTGGATTCACCGGTGAGTGGCGTTGGTCTGTGCCTCTGAGGGGAAACCCTGACGCCTCCACACCCGCGGGTTAGCGTGCGAACCTCGGCAATTGATTTCTATTTTCGTATGAAGTCCCGTTTGGAACCAGTTGCAATAGTTTCAGGTTGGTAGCAGGCAAAGAGTGTGTAGAGAACACGTTGAGGCACTGGTCAAACGGTTTCGTCAGTTCAAACCCCGAGTCTCGGGGTTGATAGTAACCTCGAAAGCGGCTCGAGTGCGGCAATTGAGTTGAGATATGCAGGCCCGTTACCTCAAAGAAATCAAAGTCCAACAAAACAGGGAAAGATCCTCGTAGAAAAAAAATCCCACATTGACCCTCAACTTTGACCGTGTATTCCGTGTTAAAAGCCAAGACTGCAACTGTTAAAAGGCAAACGAAAGTTTAACGGCACGTGCCCAAAGCGCTTCCTTCCGGGGAAGCGGGAAAAGTCGTTCCCTTGCTTCTTTTCCCCAACCTCATTTTCTCTGGGACTTCTCTCCTACATATTTGTCCTTTCTTGGACTTGTCTGGCCGGGGTCAATTGGTAATCGCGCTTTGCCTCAGGTGGCGAATGGTGGCTTTGGCTCGGTCTCTTCTTCCTTTTTACTACTTTTTACATACTCATCCTTGTCTTATGCGAGGTTCCCGACCTGATCTCACAACCGCCCTCGGAGCCTTCCCACCCCACCCAGTTACATCCACCGACATTTTTCGGAAACCGAGAATTGCGCGACGATCCGATCCTACCGATCTCAAAAACTGCGCATTTCCTCTTAATCCTCCGAACCGGCGCTCGACCGCGATACCCATACAATTTTGCGCGCATAATATTTTCGATCTAGAGTGACTATGATGCCTTTAGAGTCGATCCGCTTGAACAAAATACATGCACAGTCGAGGACCTCACAGAGCGGGGCGCGCAACATTCTTTGATCAGGATACTTCTCGTTTATACATAGCCCGGCTCAGTCGGCTCGACAATGACCAACTTGTCCGAGCCTCCCGACGGGATCCATGGATACCATGGCAACAATATAGCTGTACGGATGTTAATGATCGTCTTCACATCCATTGCATTATACAACGCCATCGAATTATTCATATTGTTATTTTTGACATTCCAATCATACCGGGGCCTCTACTTTTGGACCCTCTTGCTTTCTGTTGTGGCCGGCGTGATTCCTCACGCTATTGGTTATCTACTGGAACTCTTCGAGTTGGCACCATTATGGCTTTCTCTGACCATATCCACCATCGGCTTTTACGTCATGGTACCGGGGCAATCGGTCGTGCTTTACTCGCGCTTGCATCTGGTGGTTCAGAGTCACAAAGTTCTCCGCTTTGTGCTCTGGCTTATCATTATTGATGCGGTCATTCTTTTAATACCTACAACCGTCCTTACATTTTGTACCGCGTTCGTCGCCCAGCCGGCAATGATTCGCGGATATAATGTCATGGAGCGCATGCAATTGGCCTGGTTTTGCACACAGGAAATGATCATCTCCGGCATCTACATTGTTGAAACCGTCAAACTCCTCAAGATGATGCCAGATAAGGACCGCCGGCGAACTCGGATCATGTACGAGTTGCTGGCTATCAATTTGGTCATTATTTTGCTTGACATTAGTCTACTGGTCGTGGAATATATTGGCTACTACTCGCTGCAGACGACTTTGAAACCCATGGTCTACAGTATCAAGCTGAAGCTTGAGTTCGGCGTGCTTGGAAAGCTCGTCTCAGTCGTGCAAACTTCACGATCGCAGCCCACTTCATCCGAGCATGAGGAGTACCCCGGTTTTGTGGACCCCACCCAGTTTACCACGGATGTTACTCACGCGGCTCCTCGTGAATCGCGATCACGAGGACGGAGGGCATGGAATTCGAACACGATTTCCATGGAGAGCTTGCCCATGTCCGAGCGCCGAATTCGCCCATCCACGCGATCGACCGATGACAGTACGCATCCAACATGAGGGTTGACATGAGAAATAAAGTCACACCTTGATCTTCGGTCCATAATCATCTATCGGGCGATCAGTGAGCCATTGTGCTCTCACCTTCACCCGGGCCAGCAACTTCGAGCGATTACCGCATTGATTCAGCGAATTAGCATGCGCCATCCTCGCCCTCCATTTCCGAGTTGTGCAAACACTTCCGTGGGGGCCAAAATTGTACCCCGGAATACTCATCCTCTGGGTCATCTCGCCTTCGCAACGTTGGCAAGGCAAACACGAGATGCTCTTATTTCTGGATTCCGGTCTGAGATTAAGCACCGTTGCTATAATCCGCCGGTTGTACATTATCTGTGGTCTATACCACTGCCCAAAAGTCATTCCACCCATCCCTTTTGAGGATCGTGGTGGTCATATATGCCAGATGTATTGGCAACGACATAATATAATGCGACCTATTGACGCTCACGACCTGTTTTATTCAGCCTCACGATGTACAATTCCTCAAGCAAATACCACGTTACCATGATATACCATCACTTAATACTGCAGTCAGCTAAAGAATCGTAGAACATGGAGCTTTCTTGCCTTGGTAGTCGGCAGCCATAGTATCGATGCGGGAATCAGCAGAATGGCTGGGTTCCAGCTTGTTATGGCTCTGGCGGAGTACCTGGACGCTTTGAGTCACTTGGAAAGTGCGAGAAGAGTCAACCAGATGGCGATATAGATGCCATTGAGAGCCTTGAGAATGCCGAGTATCGCGGGGAAATTGAACAGGATCTGCCGATTCAAATGCCGGTGTAAGACCGGTGTAAGATCATCAATAAATCTGGGTTACAATTGTGTCAGATATCACAGGTCGGCAATCTGCGGGGGTTGCCGAGATGCGAGACGTTGTGACTTTTCTCCACAGCGGAATGACATCTTGTCTTGGAAGCAGATGCCTTTCTCAGCTGATTATATCTTTTAAAATTACTCGATTCTATTATCGAGTGTGGTCAATCCATCCCAATTGACAATGTTGACCGTGCAAGCACAAACAGAAATCATCCAAAAGGTGCACGGGGCACTGGACAAGTATGAAGCCAAGCTCAGCGACATCAACCAGAGGGTAATGACCACACCATCAATAAGACATAAAGTCAAGAAGACTAACGAGTAGCAGATCTGGTCAACCCCCGAACTAGCATTCAAAGAATACAACGCCCACGACAGCATTTGCACCTTCTTCGAATCGCTCAACGATGCCTACACCGTCACCCGCAAAGCCTACGGCGTCGAAACAGCACTAGAAGTAGCCTACAAACAAGGCAACGGCGGGCGCATCGTCGCCTTTAATGCTGAATACGACGCCCTCCCCGGAATGGGCCACGCCTGCGGCCACAACCTCATAGCAACAAGCAGTATCGCCGCTTTCCTGGCAACAGTCGAAACAATGAAAGCTCTACACAGCAACAACCCCAAAGCCAGCTACGAAGTCCGTCTCTTCGGCACACCCGCCGAAGAAGGCGGCGGCGGCAAACTCCTCCTCATCAACGCAGGCGCCTACAAACCCATCCACGCCTGTTTCATGGTACACCCCTTCCCAATCCTATCCGGTGCGCCAGAGCTGCTGTCATCGAGTTCGTGTATGGGTCAGTATCTCGCGAATGATAAAGTCCGGGTGACATACACTGGTAAACCAGCGCATGCATCTGCGGCGCCGTGGGAGGGTGTTAATGCGCTTGATGCGGTTGTTTCGGCGTATGTGGGAATTTCGATGTTGAGGCAGCAGATTCGGCCGACGGATAAGATTCATGGGGTTGTGTTGCGTGGTGGGGAGAGACCCAACGTTATTCCTGCTTCTACTACTGTTGAGTATTATATTCGGTCCGGGAGTGTGGCTGAGTTGAAGCCTCTCACCGAGAAGGTTGTGAAATGTTTTGAGGCTGCGGCTACTGCTACTGGGTGCTCGGTTGAGTTTGAATGGTATGTACATGTCTTGGACTGGGGATTGGGGTGGGTGGCTGTGTGGTCGCTAATTGGTGACATAGGGAGGCTTCGTACAAGGATATGAAAATCAATCTACCTATCTGCGATAGCTATGTCTCTGCCATGAATGCTATGGGGCATAGTACTATCTTTGATGCAGCGGGACAGGCAGGTGGGCTGAGTGGGGGATCTACTGATATGGGTGGGTGCCTCTAAGTGCGAGCCCTGCAGGGCTTTCGTTCCACTTGTTTCCCACTTATTTTGGATGTCCACATGCTGACGACTATTCTCCTATCTAGGAAATGTCTCCTATGAAGTCCCCAGCTTCCACGGTGGCTTTTACATAGCCACCGACGGCGTCAACCATACGCCACAATTTACGGCGGGTGCGGGTTCAGAGGAAGGCTTTAAGCGCAGCTTGCATTGTGCTGCGGGAATGGCGGTGGTGGCTTGCCGGGATCTAGTCGATGATAGTTTTGCGAAGGCTGTGGAATCTGACTTTGGTACAGATAATACGCTGTAAATCGGGTTAAAACAAAGTAGACTCCGTATTATGGGTCCATCTGGAGTGCGCTATAGATTGAATGGAGAATGTGATATTCGGTTATGGGTCAAAATGGATCAAAATGAACTCGGTAGCTGAGTGGAAAAAAATCACTCTTTCCATGTCCGCCTCATGTGGCGCATATGAAAAAAAAAAAACCGAAAAGATATCGCCACAGCGCCGTTTCATAATGGCATAACGGAACAACGTCGAGCGGTCTTCCATAAAAAGGCAAAAAGGGGCAAAGATAACCACGCAGCATTTCGATATCAGACATCCCCGCATAGAAATTGCCGAGCTGAGTATCCGCTGAGGGGAGAAGTGGATGCACAGTGGGTGCATCTAAACCCTCTCGGAGTCGGTGACAACCCCGATAAAGAACTATGGGGTGCCGAGCAGGTGCAGCTGATTGGCACTCTCGCCAAGTCCCCATTCCGCCTCCACGATTTCAATCGAAATACAGATCTGCACTTGTAAACACAAGCAAGAAACTGAAGTTGTCCCGTTGGTAAAAGCTCCCTTTATCCCCTGGCTCCACCGCGGAAAGTAGCCCGAGGATCTGGACTGGTAGGTTTAAGCGAATTTAGATCCATGGCTTTTTTCCTGTCATAAGTAGGACCCGTGGACCTGCTGCATCTGCTATTTTTCGAGTCATTTGTGCATTTGCTTTTTGTATTTATTTATCACGCAAGCAAACGACCCTACTATGGATGAGAAGAGCCTCAAAGGGGATGGGGAGTCTGTTGGTCGGGACTTTGATTTGGGTCAGGTTCTTGCTGTACAGGCGACTCCTGAAGAGGAGAGGAAGTTATTATGGAAGCTTGATCTTTTGTGAGTATCTTCTTTGCTGTGGGTTGGCGGGTTCTAATTTCTTCCAGTTTGATCCCGTTGATGGGAATTGCATACTTCCTTCAGTTCCTCGATAAACTTGCGCTCAGCCAAGCAACATTATTTGGTTTACGGCAAGACTTGGTATGTATTCTTATTCTCATTGTCGCTTTTCAATTGACTCGTTGGCTAACAGTTATAGAACATGCACGGCAATGAATACTCATGGGCCTCTGCAATCTTTTATTTCGGATATTTCGCTTGGAGTTGGTATGATTTGGAAGATTTTGACCATTCCAATAGACAATTGCTCACTCTAAACAGGCCGAGTTCATATATTATCGTCCGTCTTCCCATTGGAAAGTACCTCGCTGCCTCGGTGTATGTCCTCCACTCCACGACCAAGAATAAGCACTGACAATCCCAGATTCCTATGGGGTGGTATCATGATGTGCCACGCAGCCTGCTCAAACTGGTCCGGACTCATGGTGGTCCGATTCTTCCTCGGAGTAGGAGAAGCCGCCATTGCACCAGGGTTTACATTGATCACAGGAATGTTCTACAGACGTGAGGAACAGCCCCTCCGGTAAACCTCCCTCCAGAATCATCATGGGATGATCCAATTCCTAACAGCTCTTAGTCAATCCGCATGGTTCTTCGGAAACTGCGTCGCCCTATTATTCGGTGCCCTGATCGCCTACGGCATCGGAAACATCAACACAAACACCATCGAGCACTGGAAACTTCTCTTCCTCATCTTCGGTGCCATCACCTCCTTCTACGGCATCGTCCTCCTGTTCCTGCTCCCAGACTCTCCCGCAACAGCTGTCTTCCTCAAGCCCCACGAGCGCGCCATTGCCGTGAAGCGAACATTGAAGAACAAGACTGGTGTCATGGATACTGGTGTATTCAAGTGGTCCCAGGCTGTGCAAGCCCTAACAGATCCCCAAACCTGGTTCCTGGTTTTGTGGTCATTCACTACCAACCTAGCGAATGGTGGCCTCACTAGTGTTCGTATCATGGTTCACATTCTATCCATACCGCATACTGATACAAATCGCAGTTCACATCAATCATCATCGCCGGTTTCGGATTCTCCGATCTCAAGGCTCTCGTCATGCAGATGCCCCAAGGCGGTGCCCAGATCGTGTTTTTGATCACCACTTCGACGATCGCGACCTTCATCCCATCATCCCGTATTCTGGGGATGATTCTCAACGTCATTGTCGCTGTTATCGGAACTCTTCTCATTTGGAAGCTCAACGACGACAATCTCGCGGGACGAATGGTCGGCTTGACGCTTTCTTGTGTCTTTGCGATCAATTTGCCTATCTCGTTGAGTATCGTTACCTCCAACGTGGCTGGTTTCTCTAAGAAGAGTGTTACTGGCTCGTTAATCTTCATTGCGTACTGCGTTGGAAACATCGTTGGTCCTCAGTTCTTCCTTTCTTCGGAGGAGCCCGCGTACCCGGTAAGTTGATATATCTCTTGAAATTTGACAGCTCGCGATACCTTGACTGACTTTTGTTTTCTAGACTGGAATTAAAGCTTCTATGTCAGGATTGGTGCTGAGCATCTTCTTCCTCTTGTGCTTGTACTGCTACTACGTGTATGAGAACCGTCGGCGTGATAAGCTCTATGGATCACCTGAGGAGATAACTGAAGGAGCTGAGTTGCAGGATGAGTTGTCTAACAAGACGGATCGTGAGATTGAGAGTTTCAGATATCTAATCTGAGGAACTTACATGTTAAATTTACGAACGTAACCTTTTAAGAAAAGAAATACTGAGTGCATCATTTTCAAGACAGAATGTGCAAGAAAGAGTAACTATGCCCTCGCGGCTTCAAAGCATCAAAAGAAAGCCAATTGCAGTATCTCAAAATCGTTTAGGAGACTATTCCAACCATGTATCAAGCGCAGCCCGCAAAGCATCAACAAGCCACTTTTCCTTAAACGAAGTATCAACATCAAATCCATGCCCACCAGGCCGGAGGCAAAGAACCAAGTTATCAACACCCTGCTTCCCTTGCAAAGTAACTTTCGCCTTGCTAACGAACCGATCACTAACATCTGCAAGAACATCATCGTCATCAGTGCCATGAATGATAGCCAATCCACCACGCGGCAGTTTCGTATCAGGATGATCCAAGCGCTGCAACGCGAACAGTTTCTCTCGATGAGGCGAGCCTTCAGAGCCTCGAGTATAGAATTTCGGACCGCGACGATGACACGAAATAGCAAATTGCAACGTAGCACGTCGAACCTCTAGATCGGACGATTCAACATATCCAGGCGGTAGACTCGTGAGATACTCATCGATGAACGAAGACGGAACTTCGGCGTTCTCCGGACACACACTCGAGGGGAATAAAGCAGGTGGATCCCAACTAAGTTGCGGATAAGCGGCCGTGCCAGCGCGAAGCTGGTCCGGGTAGGACAGTGTGAGATAGATACTAAGTATTCCACCCGCAGAGTCTCCGGCAGCGAGCACGCGATCAAGATCGAGGTCGATCTGGTGTGGAGAAAGGATCTTCGTTAGGGCTTCGGAATGGAGCCATGTCCAGAAATCGTCGACGTCTTCTAGGATTTGGACTCCTGTTGCTTCGGGGAGGAGACGGTAGTTTGGAGAGACTATTACTGCGTTGTGGGCTTCTGCTAGTTCTAGGACCCATTTTGGGAACCAGTCTGCGTAGATTGAGTCGCCTCTTGACTAGAATGTAGCGTTGTTAGGGGGGTGTCGTATAGTTATAGTTGGACCGCGGTACATACCAGTCCTCCACCGTGAAATCGAGCGATGACAGGGGTCTTTCTGGTTGTATCCAGTGACTCTGAAGCCAAAATATCTGCTCGTATGTCATGGCCATCGACTGTTTTGTAGATTGTTTGGATGATGTTGAAATTGTCGAACTTCTGGCCGAACCTGGCGGCTGTCATCTTTGCGTCTTTCAATAAGCACAATTCAATGAGAGAGTTTTTTGAGAATTATACTTCTCTGCCATTTGAAAAAGCCATAAGCTTACTTATAAATGCTCGAATCTAGTGTTTGCATACATGTGAGGCTGTGAAAGCGGGGCTAACTTGGTGTGCAAACATAATATACGGCAACCTTATTGGCCAGGGTGTTTGCACTTTGACCAAACTCGTATCTAGGCGTTTGTGCTGTTTGACTGGGTATCTGTATATTGATTTAGACACAAGGCTATATTCGGTGGCTTTACTCTGCTAAACTTAATATTGTTGCTTAATTTAACTAATTTTAGGTTGCTACACTAAAATTTAACTCTATTTATATAGAGCAATATTAAAAGGACCACCTCAGGATGCTATTCGGACCCCCTTTCCACTCGCTAAGCCTCATTAGGCCTGCTGCAGTAACTGTATTCCCAATGTATTATTTTGTCAAACAGTATTAGTTGACACGGTGAGCGGGGCGCTGGAAACCGCTCCCATTGCACCGCCCCTCTGCCGTCCCCGACCGCCTGCCCACCTCCGTCGTCCCCCTGCCCCTTCCGGTATGGCGCCCTCCCTCCTGCCCCCGTTCGGGTTTAGTGCCGTCCCTGGCCGCTTTTACTGCCCTGCCCACCTGCCGTCCATCTATAAAAGACCGCTCGCCCTCTCCTCCTCTTGTCGACGCACTTTCTCTTCTCTTTCCCCCCTTCTGCCCCCCCCTTTCCCCCTTTCTTTCTCGCCCCCACCGTTGCCTACGCATTAGCTTTCAGCCCGACGCACTGCCCCTTTCATTTTAGAGATGCCGCTCGATCCGACACCGTGGTCGTTCTGACCAGCGTGGGCTGCAATGCTATCCAGTCCCCCAGGAGCAGGAGCACTGGGGTGATCCAGCTATCCACCGCATCGCGTGATTGTGTGTCAACACTCCATTTTCCAAAGAAGTCTACAAAGTCATCTAGATCGCTTTCTACTGGTGACGCCTTGCCGTTGCGCGGTCTCCCCAATTGCCCTCCTCGATCCTCGATGCTGCATGCTCCGCTTCATCCGCCCCATCTCAGGCCCCATCTGAGGTTACATTGCACAGCCCTTGGCGCCGCAAATCTCCTTTCGGCCGCCTGTTAGCAAATGCCTCGACCTCGCATCTGTCGTCATCGTCGGCGTCTCCGGTCTCTCCGCACCCAATCGATGAATCTCGAAAGAAAACCATGGCGATGCGAGCCAATAGCGAAAATACCGCACACTCGCCTGACCTCGGTCGATGCTGCATCATGCGGCCAATGCTGGACTGCAACTGCGGGCACAATGCAACGATCGTACCGTCACCTACCGAATGGAGAACAGGCTGACTACTAGTGTGGACATACGTCGCAAAGGCCATCAGCGAGGGTAGCGGGAATAGTTACCGGTGAACTACAGCCCATGGTTGTGAAACTAGTGTGGTCTTGCGTCTTGGATGCAGTGGCCTGGATTGCAGGAGCTGGCCGAGACTTTCTGCGCTGGGTAGAAGGCGGATTCCCCCTCACGGGCGACCGTCGTCTATAAAAGAGACTAGAATCCACCTAAATGGCAAAACCGGAATTCAAAACCCCCTTCAAATTCTCCTCTCCCCTACACCTTGTCCCCTGTCACCTATCCCTCATCCCCAGTTCCGTGTTCTCTGCCAGTTTCCCTGTTCTATGAGTGCCCACAATCACCACATCCCGAAGACTTTTTCAGCCCTCTCTTCCACACAATGTCAAACGCTAGTTTTCGCCTGGAATCCTTTCGGCCATGGAATCCTTTCCAGGACAAAGCCCAGCCTCTGCAAGATTCTCTCGATATTTGCCGCTACCCAAGTCCTGTCTCGATGACCGCCACCCCACCTCTCTCTAATCCCGTCTCAAAGAGTCAAAAAAGTCATTCCTACAAACCTGGCCAGCATCCCCTTCCTGCCCGCCCCCCGTTGGAGGTTTGCTTGGATGGCGGTCTACATTCGGACGTTCAAACAACTCGACACGAGCCGGAGGATTTGGGCCGCACCACCTCCAGTCCTCACGCTAAGACTTTCGACTCTGAAGACATTTTGCAATTGCAAGACATACCAGGCACCGAAGACGTTGATTCTGCCACAATGCCCGATAATGTTTGTCTGGGTGCTAAGCATCGATTCCCCGGTTTCAGGTCGTGCGACTTAGAGCCTGCCGTTATTGCTGGTCAGCACCCGCAAGCTGTCGATTCCGGAAACCCTACCCGGACTAGAGAGCTTCCAGACCCTGAAACAATCGATCCCGCAATTCTAGACGATCATGCCTTTCCAGGTGGTGAGCAGACCGAAGCAACGGAAAATATCACCGGCATCGCAACATGTCCAGACGGATTTCTCTTGGAGTGCTCCCGCTCTCCGAATCAAGATCCACCTCTTCAATCCAGGCGACAGCATGGAAAGGGAACAGCGGTTCCTGGTCGCCAGTCCAAAATAAATAAACGTTCGAGTGCTGGGAGGAGATATTCAAAAAATGGTGCTGGCCGGCCTAATGAAGAGCCTCATTGTCGCAGCAGCGTTTCGTTTCTTACCGTTCGTGCTCAATTCTCGGCCCTTCCCGTCGAAGACCGGCTAGAGTTCCTGTCCTGGTTGTTTGAGGGTGCTTTATCTCATTGTATTTCTACGCCTTTGAGCACAGATACCACTGTATCAAGATGCATCGCAAACCAAGATTCAGATATGACATACGACTGTGACCAGCTAAGCCCAAATACCGAACTAGTTGATGCGCAGCATACCCCTTGTACGAGAAAAGGTTTACCATGGTCCGTGGATGAAGTGTCTTTATTGGTGAAGCTCAGGGAAGAACAGAATCTTGCTTGGTCGGAGGTGACGAGACAGTTTGCACAGAAATTCCCCGGAAGGAGCAAAGGGTCTCTACAGGTGTGCTGGAGCACGACGCTCAAGAAACAGCGGCTCTCTTTGGCGGATGTCGCGTAGAAAATGCCATCTTTATCAATACCCAAGGACAATGCGCCGATAATCGGTAGTTACAACACCAGATTCTAAATTAAGCCCAAATGACATACATTTGTATGGGAAAGTGGATTTCCCTGCGACCAAGAAACCCCCTCCTTATGCTGAGAGTCAGGCACTAACCCCCCGGCGTAATCTCCAGACAACGCGTGGTAGTTTGAACATGGCATCGACAAACCACTCTGGCGTCAACTATGGAGCCCAGGTGGGGGTCAATTATGGCTCATTCACGGCAGACTTCCATCTGCCTTCCGGTGAGTCGCTGGAACCTGACTGGGTCAAGGTCGACTGACTAATAGCCGCTTCTCACCCTAGAGCGACCAGAAACCCCACCCAGCCCTCTATCGACTGTCCCGTTCACGCGCGATCCAGACTTTGTCAGTCGCGACACACTTCTCCTTCAGATTCAGGAGAAAAGCTCTGTCCAGGGGTCAAGGATAGCACTTGTTGGCCTTGGCGGTGTTGGGTTAGTGTATAGCGGCCAGTGGTGGTTTATTGCTAACAACTAGCAGGAAATCGCAACTTGCCATCGAATACTCCTACCAGGCCCGATCCCAATCGCGGGCGACATGGGTTTTCTGGGTCCATGCGAGCAGCGTAGCCCGTTTCGAACAAAGTTTCCGGGACATAGCAGACCAAGTTAAAATCTCCGGGCGCCAGAATCTTCAGATCAATATATTCAAACTAGTCGAAAATTGGCTCCGGGATGAGAAGAAGGGAAAATGGATTCTTATCCTTGATAATATCGACGACGATGTGTTTCTTCGCAAGCCCCCGGCGACGGGCCCGGAGGCCAAGATATACGATCATAGTAATGCCCCGACGAAGCCATTATTGGAATACCTTCCTCGAAGCCTATGTGGATCTATTCTTATCACAAGTCGGACCAGAGAAGTGGCTTTGAAAATGGTCGATTATAAGGACCTCATTGAAGTTAAACCAATGGAAGATTCCGAGGCGCTGGAACTTCTCCAAAGAAAGCTTGATCTGTTAGGGGAAAGCCAAGAGAGCCAACAGCTAGTGAAAGAGCTCGAGTTTATGCCGCTAGCAATTGTACAGGCAGCAAGCTATATTCAAAAACTAGCGCCTCGCTGCTCGGTATCGCAGTACCTAAGAGACTTTCAAAAGAGTGACCGCGAAGCGATAAGGCTTCTTAAAAATGAGGCGGGCCATCTCTACCGGGACTGGGAGGCAAAGAACTCAATTCTGGTTACGTGGCAAATATCGTTCGATCATATTCGCCAGACAAAGCCATCTGCAGCGGATTTGCTTTCTCTCATGAGCTTTTTCGACCCGCAAGGAATTCCAGAGAACCTTGTCCGGCTTCAACCTGAGACCAACTGCAAATCAAGTTCAGAGCTCTTGAACGACTCCAGTGATGGGGAGACATCTGGATCTGATGTAGGAGACGATTTTGAAGATGATATCACGACACTCAGGGATTATTCATTTATCTCTCTTGGTGATAACAGCGCATTACTCACGATGCATCGGCTAGTACAACTGACTATGCGTATATGGTTAAAAACGCATGGAAGAATGGGTCAATGGAGGGAGAAGTTCATCAGCAATCTGTACCAAGAATTCCCCACCGGTCAATATAAAAATTGGGAAAAATGCCGGTCGCTCTTTCCTCATGTTCGATCAGCAATGTCCCAACGGCCGGAATCACAAAAGTCTCTAATAAAATGGGCTATACTCCTTTATAGAGGTGCATGGTATGCGTCGGAAAGCGGTAATATCGCAGACGTGAGGGAAATGGCAGCGAAATCGAGAAAGCAGATGGTGAAATTATTGGGCGCCGATGATGAAACAGCCCTTAAGAGTACTGCGATGTTAGCAACAGCATACTCGCTTGAGGGCCGATGGGAGGAGGCGGAAAAGCTCGATGTGCAGGTGATGGAGACTCGCACGACGAAGCTCGGCGAGGACCATCTTGACACGCTGACAAGCATGGACAACCTCGCATTGACCTACTGGGACCAGGGTCGGTGGGATGAGGCCGAGCAGCTCCAGGCGCAGGTGACAAAGACTCGCAAGACGAGACTCGGCGAGGACCATCCCGACACGCTGACGAGCATGAACAACCTCGCGATGACCTACTGGAAGCAGGCCCGGTGGGAGGGGGCCGAGCAGCTCCAGGTGCTGGTGATGGAGACTCGCAAGACGAAGCTCGGCGAGGACCATCTTGACACGCTGACAAGCATGGACAACCTCGCTTTCACCTGGAAATCTTCAGGGCACAATGCCCAAGCTCTCAACTTATTGCGAAATTGTTTAGCCAAGCGGAAACAAAAACTAGGTCTCAATCATCCCAAGACATTATCTACTTCTGAAACCTTGCTGGAATGGGAAACGCAGCAGCTGAATATCAATGCGTAGATAAGACAAACACTTGATATAACGCTTTGCACAGCAATTTCTGCTTTTGTTGTAATTTCATAGAACAATCTCTGTATTATAGATTGACTCAGTGCAAGCCAAGCGCAGGGCTTGACCTCGTCATTTTGGCGAACTTCGCTGCCAAGAGATTGATAGCAAGGATGACGGAAGTGGTCAAACGAGCGAGCTATAAGGCTATACTGTAAGGCTCCGGGGTGGCAGTATTTTTGACAGGGGAATTCATGTAATTTATCAGAAGTAAATTCTAAAATGTCAACCACAACAGTCCGAAATCGAAAGTTCATTCGTAATTAACTTAATACCAAGCTTCATGAAATCAGATACAAGGTAGTTTCAACTGTTTTATTGATTGTTAGACCTGATTCATTATCAAAATTTGTGTAGATACCAGAACAGTGTTAAATAACGGTAAAAAACGTGGCTGAATAATCAGTTTATACGACCAAACAAGGAAGGTCTTGGCATAATTATGAAATTGCGGGGGACCGCATGGGGGACCGCAAAGGACCACGGGGGACCGTGGTGCGGTCCTGACTACTTTGAAAAAAGACCAAAGACCGCATGGTCCGGTCCCGGTCCTCAAAGTTGGGACCGGACCCGGTCCTTGCCGAGGTCTACTCGTCCACCCGTCAACCCTGGCCTCCTTGTTTCTCCACCGGTCCTATACTGCGGGCACTGCTGTCGACCGGAACGTCACAGCCTGAAGCACTGTCGTGCAGGATACTACTGGCGACCGAGAACACTGTCGTTTTTTGGATTACCCTGTTTGGGATCTTGTATATTCCTAATTACTATTGTCTAGGATACATTGAGGAGGGGCTGCAAAGAATCCAAGATCGTGAGAAGTCTGGGGATTAAATAAATTTATAGATAGATAAGTAAGTGAATAACCAGTTACCTGCCTACGCGCAACCAAGGTTACCGGGAGATTTCTTCCCGTCACTGGAGATTGATTCTCGTTGTAAGTAAAGCAACGATGTAGCTGATGCAGTTTAGATTCAAGTAACAAGAATTGAGATTCTCCTGGAGGATAATTCCATAACACAGGCAAGGAAATATGAACCAATTCCTGTCAGGACGGATATCTCATATCCGCTAGGCCTTCTTCCAAATTCCATTTATTTTCACATAAGTACCATTGTCGACACAGTTGGGGCATGGATCCCTTTTGGTTGTCTTGCCGAGATGCTCTGTCTTCTTGATGATGCCGCAATTGTTGCAGCCATTAAGCGCCGTGACCCTTGGGGGAGAATCAACTCTATGCCTGCACAGGTGCTCGATTGTCTCAATGAGTTCCTAACACATGATGTCTCTAATGCTCATTCATATCAGCTTAAGCGATTCCGTCTAGTGATGATAAACTCACTCTGATACTGGGCGTAATTTCAGGATTGAGATGAAGTCCTAGACGTTGGATGTTGAGGGTGCTAGGGAAGTGTTGTTCTCCTTGACTGCTAATTTCGAGAATGGTGGTGAACAGAAAAATCGAGGAATTCAGGCGTATTTATAGACTTTCCTGGGAGGCTTGAGCGCTCATTCATGACTGAGCAAGTTGTTCGCATGTTGGATCTACGAACATTTCATAAACAATACCGCCCTTGACGGCGCACGGCCGCAGCTCTGGTAGCGGCTGGCCCACTGTGGGCCAGCGGCTACACGGTCAAAGAACATGTCTAATTGCAGCTCTAGGCGCCGTCATCTCTGACGTGGCCCGGCGGCGAATTAGATATATTCCAGTACTCGAAGAATTGTTGGACCGAAATTATTAGGCTTCCGCACGACCCAGCGGGACCCGGACCCAGCCTAGACCCAGACCCGGCTGGGTCCGGGTCTGGGTCCAAAATCTTAACCCAGTACTGGGTTCTGGGTTACCTCCCTCAACCCAGACCCAGTGCTGGGTACCCAATTGGGTAACAAACAGGACAAACATGCTAGAGATTTTGACTACATAAATTATACAAATTCTTCTTGTAATTTTAGGTATTCTTATTACATCTTATCCTTGATTCTTCATAATCCTGGTAGAAGTCTAGAGAGAATATACTTATTTAAGCTAGTATTAATTAAGGAGTAAAGGCGTTGAATTAGCTATCTAGTGATATTCAAAAGTATCATCCTCTCGCTGTTTACGCTTCCGTCCTAATGCTCGTAGCTATGTACTATTCTCTGGCAGTTAAGGTTCAGAAGTCTTATCCCCGATATCATCCATCACTATAACCTCCTTTTCTAATTTATCAGGCTCTTCAGTATCACTTATTGGCTCTATCTCAATCTCGTCATGTTTCTTATCTTTCTCCTCTCTTGCTGCTTCAATTTTATCGCGAGTGAAGAATTCTTCAAGGCGCTTTGCATCCTGCTCTTCAAGATCGAATCTTGAAGTACAAAGGAACATTATAAGCTCTTGAATTGTTTCGGACTTTATTCTTCCTCGGCGGTAATAGCAGACGTCTCGGGCTATATTAAAGAGTCTCTCTACACTAGCACCTATTGCTGGTATTGAGAGAAAGTCTCTTGCAAGAGCTGCAATTGCTGGGAAGCGGTGTTGATTATCCCTCCAAAAGCTAAGAGGGCGGATATCAACTATGTCTATTAACTAGTTAGTCAAGAACAAAGATCATATATAAACTTTACTAACCACTATCTAGATATTGTGTTAACTTATCTATGACTCCCGTTAGCTGTTTTTTACCACTATTTAACATCTTATTAAGCTTCGAGCTTGATCTAGGTAGATCTTTTAAGGGTAGTGACTCTTGGCTATTGGAAAGTTAAGCTTGATATAGTGTAAGAGCCTTTTGGAAAGACCTTCGATACTGGTCACGCCACTCTTGTTCCCAATTATTAGTAAGAAAGAATTGAAACTTATTGATAGGCGCAAGCATTGTGTAGATCGCAAAGATATACCCTCGAACATGATTAGTCTACGAGTAATACTTATTAAGTTTTAATCGACTTACTTTAAGCGTATTAAATATCTCAGTCTTCTATAAAACACGCTTTCGCTTAAGCTATTTTATTGATTGCTTAAGATACTCAAAGAGCTTATTATAGATATTGAAAGTATAATATATAGTGATATCCCGGGTCTTTGAAAGTTGCAAAGTAAAATCAAAGAATAGCTCTATGATATGAAGAAGATAGTCGATTTGACGCCACTCTTTAGTGTCGGGTAATAGATCAAGACGCGTATACTCTTCACAAAAAGGGCTGAAGATAGACTATAGTCTCTTCGCGCGATAGAGCATAAGAAAGGTAGAGTTCTATCGGGTCTTCACGTCTTAGATCGGGGCAAGCTTTACGTTTTGGGTCTATAGGCCATAGAATATCTCTCGTCGCTAGGGACTAGTGTTAATATAAATTGCGAGGTAGCGAATCTTGTTGAGTGTAGAAGAGACCCCTTGCTACTATTGTTGTGCGTTCTCTTGCGCCATTCTAGATTGCTGCTTAGTCCACTTTGTTTCTATAGTATCATTTTTTGGAACTGCCTTGATATGCCTAAGAAGCTAGTTAAGGCTAAGCTGAATAACGTAGGCTAGGTAAGGGATTCGAATAATGATAACACCCTCTAGTAGAACTTGCTGAAGGCTCTTAACAAGAGTCTTGTTGTTTGATACATTATCTATAGTCAAGCCAAATACTCGGTCTTTAATTCTATGCTTATAAAGGGTTTCTATTAGGGTATTACTTAGGTTTACACTAGAATGCGTCCCATAAATAGGTTTGAAATCTAAGAGTACTTCCCGATATACCTAATCACGATCGATAAAGTAGCTAGTGATAGCTATAAATACCTATGAATATAGAGACGTCTAGCAATCGAGGGCAATAGAGATCTTTGAGCTAGCTAGAAGTAGCTTAAGCACACGCTTTTGCCGGCTACTAACTGAAGTTTGTAGCCGGCGACGAATCGTATCCGCAGAGGGGATAAATAGAGTAGATTGGGAAGTGCGAGCTATCTAAATTAGGCTCTAGAATTTAGGGTGCTTAATAAGATGAAATAGAAGTCGATTAAGAGATAGGAATGATAAAATCTCTTCTTCCTAGGCTTCTTGCGAGAAAGAAGCCATAGTCGTATTATTATCCTAGAGGAGTTTAGTAAGTGTAAGTCTTCAAATTCTAGAGAACTTACCGCTTTTTTGAGAAACTTTGTTATCTCTGCTGTAGGTCCACGCTTAGCCTTTTGATATGCTGCACTCTTAATATGCTTTGACATAGAGGATATGCTATAATACTATACTTTCTGATCGGCTGCACGAGTATAGAGAATATAGGGATGCTCAAGAATCTGGCCACAATTCTTATATATAACCTTTGGTGCTCCGTTTATGGTATATGCAACCTGGTCGAATTTGCTCTAGATCTCAGCCTGGTGGCTTGAATCCTAGTGTATTTTTTTTCTTCCTTCCAAAATCGGTCTGTAGCCACCAATCTACCTATTCACTATAAGTTATTTCGTCGTAAAGAATATACGCCTTTCTCCGATTAGGTCTAACGCGTATAAGGGAGGTAGGGGGTGCCAAGGGAATAACTAGACGAAGGAATTTAGGGTCGATAGACTCGAGATCGAATATTTGCTGGCTGATAGATGGATTAGGAGTGCTAAGGCGGTTTGAAGGGGTAAGGTAACCAAGATTGCCTATATCTCCATTATAGATAGATGATATAAGGTTAGATCGCTGACTCTAGGACATAGTAATAGAATGAATAAACAATATGTTCTGTAAAAAGTAAGGGGTAGGAGAGGAAGGCAATACCTACAAAAATTTGAAGATATAGTAGCTTCGTAGCTAGTAGAGAGCTGAATAAACGAGTCAACTCGTCAAAAGCAAATATACTACTTTTATCTAATTGGTAGGTATGGCGGGTAGAAGTGGGTATAACCCAACGGAACCTAAGAGGACCTAGCCGGACCCAGTAAAACCTAGCGAAACCTAGCAATAACCCAGGAAAACCTAGCGAAACCTAGCAATAACCTAGCA